GGGGGGGCTGTAGCCTATATGAGCCCACGGCCCATCACCTTGCCAGGCGTTTCCTAGCTGAGAATAGGTACTGGCCTGCGACTCAAGGTCTCGACGCTGACAATGGTTTATCTTCGACAAAGCGCGGTCAACAAGGACCACACGGATGGGGTCCTCCGTCTCGCGCTCACCAGGTGAGGTGGGGGCCGAAAATTGTCAGAAGCTGACCATTATCTCTACCCGCCTGGTCCATGCGCACAAGCTCTTCAACATACCGCCTCTTTGTCGGGATAGGTGCCAGGTTGCTGTAAAGCAATTGCGCATGTGAGGAGGCATTTGGGAGTCTCAGAATGGCGCGGAACCAGCCCTCATTGAAGTCTCGCTATCGTCGGCAATTTTCCTCTTCTCGCCCTTTGACCTGCTCCCCAGATCATCATTGGGTGCGTTGGCCTCGTCCACGGATTTGGTCTCAAAGTTGACCACATCGAATCCCCGTCCGTACCACTCGTCCCAGTTCCAATCAGCGCTGCGATGATTCTCCTGCCCAAAAGCGCGAATCATGGCTTCGCCCTCTTTTTCTGCCTCGGCCCCAGTCAACAAAGGCCGGGCATCTTCTCGCTTTTTGCTTGTCGCTCCCTGTCCCCATATTGTGTTGTTGGCCAGATTGATGAATGTTCCGACGTGTCTGAATGTGAAGCTGATTCTTTCTCCGTCGAAAGCGAGTTCGGCGGGGGTCTTTTCTGGAAGAGGTCGCTTATCGGCTCGTATGGAATGTAACCACTGCCGGTTGGTCTCCTGCCCGAGGACGAAAAGCGAATTGTGTGGCAGAGGGATTCTTTGAGAAGGTCTGGCACCGTCCGAGTCGTCGTTCGAATCGCCGGGTGTCAGAGCGGACTTCTTCGCCCTTAGCATCATGGTTCTCTGTGCCCCCAAGCTTACATTCACGATTTGAGATCCTCGAACGATGTCGAGCGTCTTATCAGAATGCTCAGAGATGTTGTCCTCGCAGTGGCGATACCACTGAATCAAAACATGGTTCAACGGGTGGCCGACAATCTTTTCTGCAACTCCACGTAGCAGGCTAACCACTGCGTCGAAAGGCAATAACTCTGGAGATTCGTCCGCTGGATGCCTATAGATTGGAATCTCCGTCCCATCCTTAGACATGGACCCCTGAACAGCGACCAGGCGAGGCACTTCACCGGATCGGTGAAACATCTTCTGCCATTTGATGTCGCTTCTGCAAGAATAAAAGGCCTGTTCAGCTTCTGTTTGATCGAGAATGCCTGTGTGGAGTTTGCAGTCACCTTGTCCTAGAGTGTCGCCAGGACCAAGTATCTTTGGTATCATCTTCTTCTTCTTTCGAACTGCTTGGACATTTTCTTCCTTCGCTTCAGGGGTTGGGCTTTTGGCCTCGGCTGGATCAGCTTCCGACATTTCCTTGTGAGCAGATGGGGCCCCAGTCGAAAGTGTTTGGTGCAGGACTGATGTCGTAGGGGTAGCGGATCTGACTGATGATTCTTGTGAAGGTCGCCGCTTCCGTGTGTGTTGCTGTGTCTGCTTGGTTTTCAGTTGCTCAGCATGGGTCGAGCTACGACGGGAAGAAGGATTATGGGGTAGCTTTAGGACACGCTCTTCGTCCAAGGGATCCAGATCACTGGTTGATCTTTTCCGAGTAGGACTGCGCTCAACAGATATTTGCCTTATAGATCTACGAGATGACTCACTTGGTGTGTTGGAGTCACGCCGGATAGCGCCGGTCTGTTCCGTCTCTTTCGAAGGTGTTCTTTTGCCCTTGGCAGGTGTGGCAGGGGCTTCTTCGCCTTCGAGGCTCGAAATCCAGTCATGAATCTGCGTTCTCGAAGTATGCGACCTTGTCGTGCGAGATGGTGGTGGCAGGCTGACCTGGAATCTGGTGGGGTAGTCCTCTTCGTGGATAATGTCGCCGAGGAGGCCGGCAATATCGTCACGCAGTTCCTGGCAGTCGATTCCATTTGCACCCATAGCGTCTGCCATCTGGCGCATGGCTTCTATGTGGCAAGCTTCATCGATGTATCCTAGACAATCCTCGACAAGCGTAACCTGGACGCCATGGCAAACAGCGTCAAGGACGGTGGCGTAGACCCCAACGTTTGACAGAGAGCCACAGACATAGAGCTCAGTGACGAGGTGGGTTCGAAGATGCATGAGAAGGGATGTGCCTTGAAAAGCAGAGTAGTGGGATTTCAGCATAACCAGGTCTCTTTGTGGGTCGATGGCTGCTTTGATGCCGTCCGAGTAGTCGGCACCCGATGAGCCAGGCATGCAGCATCTGTGCTTGGTGGTGGTCAATAGGGGTGCAAGGAATGCTTCTCGATCATGCGTGACATCTGGGTTCAGCGAGGGCGACAGAGGATCTTCGCGAGGTGAGCGTGTGTAATTCGGGTCGTTGTAGTACTCACTACTCTCATCGGTAAATTCCTGCCGCTGAAGATGTTGTTTCAGGATTATAGAGTGAGACCCCGTCACGGAAGAGATGGTCGAACGCGATTGTCGGTATTCGGTCCCTGCCCATATCACCTGCCCCTTGGCGCGGAATTCGTCTACCAGGGACAGTAAGTTGGGTATAAAGGGTTCAACGTTGGCGACGGGAAGGTTTCCGCTGGGCTTGACAAAGTCGTTTTGGAAGTCGAGCAAGATCAAGGCTTTTTTGGTTTCGATAGGAGGTCCTGGAGGGACAGAGCCAGGTTCGAATAGCATGATGAATGCGGGAGCTGGTACATCATGCGACAAGTTCAGTATCAAGACAACATGACAGAGGACTCGGGGTCCTTGTTTTGAGAGACGGGCTCCTGCTGGGTTGCGAGCTTCGGCCTTGGATGTGCAAAAGTACAGTCTCGAAAGTCAAGGGCAAGCGTCAGATTCGGTTCGGACCGTGATTATGCTGAATAACCGGTGTAAGAGTGTAGGGCCTGGCTGAAATTGCCTCACACAGGGCGGATGGGAACAAAAACCGAGGAGAAGTAGACGCCAACTGTGGAGGATAGTGGTTCAGATTTCTCTCGAAGCAAAGAGGGACCCTTCAGGGCGGTGCTTGGAGAGTAAATGCGAGCGGATCTGGGAATGGTGTTGGGAAATACGAGATTTTGAGATCTGGCTGGATGAATGATTGTCCCTTTTTCCCTTCCTCGTGCCAAAGCCAGAGCGTGGGAGAGCTTGAAAGGTATTGAGAATTCGATGAACAACTGGGACCTTGGTGGGATGTTTGATGATGTGGCTTGTGGGGGTGGCTGCGGGGGCTTCTTGTTATCTGGAGGGACGGTGTGAGAAGCAAACAATTGTGACAAGAATCTGTGTGAAAGAATAATGGTATTGGCATAGGATGGAGATGCAAGATGTGGGAGAATGCAAAGAGTCAAAAGATTTGCTTTTGCTTGCGACTTAGAATTGGAACTGCCTGTATATCCGAAAGGTTTTCTGGTCGAGGTGGTTTTGGAATGGTGGGTAGGATGCGGATTGCTGGCTAAAGCGGGGACTAAGTTAGGGTGATGGCCAGGGCTTGTAGACCGCCAGACCAATTGCAGGAAGCTCGAGCATTTCATACAGGAGAGACCGTTTTTGGGGGCCGATGAGGTGGTGAGCCAAACAGGTCGGATGATATCGACGTAGGCGTCGAGTAAGTCATGCGGGGGATCATCACCGTTACGCGTATCAGACGCAGGTTGGACGGTCGAGCGGCTTGAGTCGGGGAGCAGATTGCAACTGGGTCCTGGTTCAACGGTAGAAAATTCTAAACGAACAGACAAGTCAGAGGTTGAGGCAGCTAGGACGAGGTGAGTTTGAGGAGGGGACATAGGTAAGCGAAGAGCTTCGAGGGTGGCACGAAGACCGAAGGGCGAGTTGGGAAAAGGGAGGTGGGCAGAGAGTGCTGGAAGTTGAGAAGACACTGAATTCAATGGATCGATGGCCGAGTGAGTGAGTGGTTGAGTGGGTGAATGAATGAATGGATTGAGTGTAGGAGCACGGGAGCAAGGGAGCAAGGGAGCAAGGGTGAATGAAGCAAAGACAGGGATGGTAGAGGCGGGAGGATGGAGAAGGACGGAAAGACCAGGGAGTGAGAGACGAAGCGGAAGCGCAAAAGGCCAAGATTGAGTTTATGCATGAGCCAGCACGACAATCACGAATAAAGAGAGAGACTGTTGGTTCTGTGAGGCAGCATCAGGCAGCTTAGGCGCAGCATGAGACACAGCAATAGAGGATGAAAGAGGGAAGGAGTTAGGATACGAGGACACCTACTAGGGTATCGACTAGGTAGGCACCCAGTACCTAGGTAGATACCTAGGTAGGGAGCAACCTAGGGAGGAAGTTAGTGCGTGGGCGGGATGCAGGTGCCAGGTGCAGCTTGCATGTCGCAGGTGGCAGGTGGCAGGTGGCAGGTGGCAGCCAGGCGCAAATAGCAGCCCAATTTCATTAATACCTACCTAGGTACCTACCTAGGTAGGTAGGTATCCAATATTTCACTTTCCTCTCACTTTCACTTCGCTTGAATTCCCTTTGAACTCTTACTTTACCCTGATGTACATATACCTAGGTAGGTAGTTCTGAGTTGGAAAGAACTGACTGTTTGCCATGCCTCTGGGATCGCCGTTCGTTGACCTCTCTTCAAAATCCTGCTCACCATCAAGCTTACTTTGTGGACTATAGCCCTAATCCACATGGCAATATGCAGATCACCTCCTCCTCCAAGCGCATGTATGTGTGGACGGAGCACCTCACTAGATCTCTCGAGTCTACCTACTTGAGGTAGCCGGTGCACTCAGTCTGCCCACAATAACGACGACAACAACACGCACTACTTTCATTCCCCGATAGCCCCGCTACCATTCAAGGATTCACGGCTCCCACTTGTGCCTCAACCATCCTGTACACACACGCCTGCATCAAGCCACCATCCCACCCTCCCCTCTCCGCGCGCATCTTCTAACCCCATCAACTTATTCGGCCAGAGACAGTCTCGATAGCTATACGGAATCCCCTCTTCCAAGCTAATCGAGCTCGCCGCCATCTTCCACGGCCACTCCACCTGGCACCCGCATTGCTTCATTATGCCGCAAACGCTGCATTAGGTATTTCTGTCCCTCGCCCAAAGGGTATAAAACTCGATCTGCTGCCCCCCTGCTGACTTCTTAATCAGCCTGCATGTGGCTGAAACCTGCCTTTGGAACGCGCTTCTCGCCTACATTTCCCCTCCGATCTCCTTCCCATTTGTATCTTTTCCTGACTCTCTGTATACTGAGTCGTCTACACACAATGCGCGTGCCATCATGGTCCACCTCATTTTCCCACTCCCAGTGGAGGTCTTCTTTTAGCCTTTTCCCCGAATCCTCAAACAGTTTCTTCTCCAAATGATTGACGCAACTACAGTAGAGCATAAAGTTAGATCCTTGAAAGCAGAGGAAGAAACCCACAGATGACGATTGTTCTCAGACGTTCAATTTGTGCTTCGGCTTGGTATTCCCCGCGCTCACGGTCCCTTTGGTGGTTTATGTATACAGGGTAGACAAACACGGTCCCCACATTCGGCGCCCCCTCCGATGACATCCTTGCAGCTTGATATCTCCCAAGCTCACCATTCCTGTTCAGAGGGACCGTCATAGAGCACGCAAGCGTGTGCTGCTGTTGCACCTCCAGGAATACTAAATCCGAGAGATCATCCCAGATCATGTGCCGTCCCCCGTCGCCCTGGTCCAAGTAATAGTGTCTTGTGCTCCCACTCTTTCGGACTAAAAACGACAAACCTACTCGTGCTCCAGGAGGTCGCTTTGATGAAGAGAGAGTTGAAGTGAGATGCTTTGCTATGGGAAGCGGTCTTGACGACTCTTTTGGGGCCTCATCCGGGGTACAATCAGTCGAGGTCGCTGTCCTTGTCGTCGTTGTCGTCTTCGTCCATCCCCATGGCCGCATCCATCAACTCCTTGACCTTGGCCTTGATCTCCTCCACCTTGTTTTCCTTGACCAAGCATGTTCTGTCGTCGATCTCCTCTAGGATGTAGGTATGGCCAGACTCTTTGTCGATCTTCCGCACCATGGCCATTTGCGGCGGATCACATTGGAGAAGAGCCCCTTTCTGGGCTTTCGGCATAGTACTTTATGCGGCTGCCTGGGGTGGTACCCAGGTAATCACTTCGGAGAAAGGCGGTAAGTGGACGAGATATCTGGATGAAAAGCTGCTGATGCAGATGATGGTTGTCACTGTGATTGTGATTGACATGGACTTGCGACTCTCTCGGACCCGAAACGTCAAATTTTGAAACAAGCGAGGTAAGCCACAGCGCTGGCGGTGGTCCTGGTACGCATCTGCTAACTACCTAGTAGTATTTAGGTATCGAGTACGCGTATGACTCGGCACTGGCGCGGTCGCTCGTCTGCCAAGACATTACGCCATCGGGACAATGCTGGCCCTTTGACGTGTCATTTGAAAAGGCCGCACACCCTCTCTGCCTCTGCACATCAAGGGGGAACAGGCACCTCGTTCCCTCATTCTCTTGAATCGGCCGCTATCTAAGGTGCCTACCTAGGTAGGTAGTTGGCGAGCTCGGTACATAATTCGATTTCATGCCCAGGTGTCTGGTGCCGAATCACTGATTCGGCCCGAATGTTGTCTCCCATGGATCGTATCCCTCGCTCGCAAAGATACTCTCGATTTGCCTCCTGCGAACCCCGACATTACCTCCATCGAAAATCGGCAACACCACCGCATCGTTCAGCAGGTCCCCGAACGGTTGCTTGGTTGAATATGCAGAAACACCGACCAGATTAATTGCATCCATGACCGACTCTACAGCGCTTTCCGAGCCAAAAATCTTGGCTTCGTAGCACAGCTCGGCCCCATATCGCGTTCGGCCGAAACAATGCGCAGCCTTCCAAACGAGAGCTCGCGTGGCCTCACATCGAGTCTTGATCTTGATCAACAAATCCGCCACGCTCTGCTTCTGGATCATGGTCTCCGTCGAGCCTCGCTTTTCGGCTTTGGCCCAGGCTAACGCACGATCAAAGGTCTGCCGCATGATGCCTACCCCCATGGCGCCCACGAGAGCTGCTGAGGCTGTGAAGGTCATTTCCACCACATCGGCACCCTTGCCTGGTGGTGCGAGCAAATTTGATTTTGGCACGCGCAAGTCCTTGAACCGGATGTGCGGCCCGTTAACGGCCGTGTGTCCAATGGTTTGGGGATGGTAAAGAACCTGATAAGCACTCGGCTCGTTCGCTGCAATGTCTTGTCTGGTCACAATGATAATGGCAGTTTGGTCACGGACGTTCTCGGCTGGAGCAGATCCAACAACACGGCATAAGACGCACTGAACATCGGCACCCCGATCATCCCACCCGGAGCAGTTTGTCGCCCAGATCTTTCAATCCGTCAGCGAGGCCTTCTCTTGGTACGCGGAACCCTCTGGGTGCCTTACCTTTTCACCGCTGATTACGTACTCTTCCCCTTCATTACGTGCAATCGTCTGAAAACCCGGGGCTCCCGCTTCCGCAAAGTTGGCGCTTCCCTCAGGTTCAGAAAAGACTAAACTGGCCATCGGCGTGCCGGTGCCCTCGAGAAAAGGTTTGAAAAACTTCTCGTGTTGAGCTGGACTTCCCGCCATGATCAAGGGTGTCAAGCCAAGGCCAGTCCCAAGGATTGTCAGAGAGGCGCTGGTCTCGACGGCGTAAAACTCTTCGACAACTAAAGCTGCCTCGATCAAGGGACCTCCGCCGCCGCCAAGCTCCTTGGGAATTTGAGCCTTGATAAGACCGGCTTTGACTGCTTCGGCGTAAATCGGCTGAGTCGAGCGGAAGCGTTGCTGCCATTGTTCGGACGAGGCTCCTTGACCCTCATATACCGAGCGTGCTGTTGTGAGGTGAGCCTTTGCCCAACCCCTGACTGCGTTCCGGAGTGCCAGTTGTTCTGGCGACAGTTGGAAATCGATCATCTTCTTCCTTCAGGTCTGCTCGAATGCTAGAAAGTCAAACTTGAGTTCAACTGCCCATGCAGCTCGAGACCAGTGGCTTTACATATATGGCCTTGTTGGAAAGCCTGATAAGCAACGGATCGTGCGTTTTCCAAATTGGCATTTGTCCTTGTGCAAATGGGACCAAGTCGGCGCTACTAAGGTTTGCTGAATACGCCTTAAGGCCCTTCTTCGTGAAGCTCGCTGTGGGATAGGCGGAAAGCTTCCGAAGTGTGGAGTTGTTCTGTGTCTCGGCGACCTTAGAGCAGGTAAGATGGATCAATATCTCCGTGGGAAGAGCCAGAATGTTTTGCAGCGGCCGTCCATTGTAACGCTTGTGGGGGAATTTCGCTTCCAGATGGTACAGAGGAACCCTAAATGGGTCTAGAGAAAGTCCTGTTCCTGGTAAGGTCCCCTCTGGGGCATTGAGGCAGTCTGGCTGGTGAGCGGAATTGGGGAATTAGTCGCACAATGTCAGACTGGCGCTCATTGACGGCAAGGTAAATCAGTTGTTGATAGAGCAGGGACGCCCTTTCTTTCGATAATAGGGTTTTACGTCTCCCATCTGCCTAGGAAACAACGGCGTATATCCTTCATTTGTGGTGTTCGCTGTATCAGATGTGGCGGCTGCGCGTCCCTCTTGAGCAGTCTGCTTACATGCGAACGTGGCGTCTATTCTGTCAGACGATGCCACTGCCTGCTGGCTGAGTAGGACCATGTTGCATGTCAAGCTCCTCCCTGCATCTGTACAATTCGGTCATGCAGGTTCTGACCAATTGCATGCTGATCACACACTGAATCGCCCACACTGTTGTTTTCACATCTCGAGCCCAACGCACCGTGCGATGAGGACATCGCAAGGAGTCAAAATTTATGAGAACATGGGGATGTAGATAAGCACATGGGCGATTTCTACTCGGCGAACTCGTGATGTTGATCTTGATGGAACTCGAATCAAAGGAGAGAAGTTGTGGCAGCGGCAACGTGCATGACGATCTTGGTGGGAGACACCTATGGTGACCCTGTAATGTGCGCTCATGTGTGAACCCTGCAGCAAAAGTCCCTACCAATCGCCAGACGCAGGTCGTCGTGGTATTGCGCAATGGCACGGGCTACAAAAAACAATCGAGGTCGGGTGGCGATGCTCGATGTCTCTGACGATGATGGTCCTAGACAGTAAGTCAGCAATGGATGCGCTGGAGAAACGGCAGAGGCAAAGGTACAGACACATCTGGGTGACGACTTGACTGCATTCAGCGTGAATTTGTACTGTTTTCAAATCACACATGGAAGCGCAGTCATTTTCTATCGCCAGCTGAACAGTTTGATTCACTTTGATTTGAATTCTTTCATGACTTTTCGTGTCACTCCTTCAGCAGGCCAGTCGACCAGGTGTCTGTGAATGTTGTCTTCTTATCCTTCATTGAACAGTCTCCCTGCTGGCGACATCGACTTTGAGCACATTCTTCTTCATTCCTCAGCGAAAGCTGTGCACACCTCTCAGAATGCTTCAATTCTTCATTTCTGTCGTATCCACTCTTGTTTCTTTCCTCTCACGACATGCTGCCAGTATTGCTCTCGATGTTGATGACACACGTGAGTCCAATCTCCATCTCTCCCCCATTCCACTCATCACTGACTCCTGCCAGAATCCATTCTTGCGGCGGCGTCCTTGACGGCTCAGGGCGTAGTCGACCTGTACAATGGCTACCAGCCCGGGGGAGTCGTGGGAAAATGGCCCTTTCCACCCTACTACTGGTGGGAGAGTGGCGGCGCATGGGGTGGCTTGATGGAATACTGGCACTACACAGGCGATGACAGCTATGTCAATATTACGCAACAAGGAATCATTGCGCAGCTTGGCCCTAAATATGACTTCAACGTTCCTGCCGAAGCCTTCGACACCGGAAACGACGATCAAGCCTTCTGGGTATTTGTGGCCATGTCCGCGGCCGAGTACTCCTTCCCTCAGTTGCCTTCGCCCTATCCATCCTGGGTCCAGATAGTTAACAATGCTTGGGAGGATTATGTCTCTCGCTGGAACACTTCGAGTTGCAACGGAGGTTTGAAATGGCAATTCAATCCTGCGAACGCAGGGTACTTTTACAAGAACAGCATCTCCAACGGCGCATTCTTTCAGCTCTCGGCGAGACTGGCAAGATTTACAGGCAACCGAACATACGTGCATTGGGCGGACAAAATCTGGAACTGGGCATCAGGAATCGGCTTGGTAGACAACATCTACAACGTCTTCGACGGCTCTGATGAAACAATCAATTGCACGGCTGTTGACCACCATCAGTGGACCTACAACGTCGGTGTCTTCCTCTATGGTGCGGCTGTGCTGCAGAATTACACCAATGGGTCCTCGCCGTGGATCGAACGAACCGCTGGCCTGCTCGATTCGACAAACACATTCATCAGTCCTTTTCGCAATGCATCCAATATCCTTTTCGAGGCAGAATGTGAGCTCTCCATGACCTGCAACACCGACCAGCTGTCAATGAAGGCCTACCTAGTTCGGTGGATGGCTGCAACATCCAACATGGCGCCTTTCACGGCAGGTCGAATCGGTGAGGTTCTTCGAGCCTCCGCCCAAGGTGCTGCAGCCGCATGCACGGGAGGTATCAACAACAATACTTGTGGGAGTAAATGGTACATTGAGGGATGGGATGGGACAACAGGACTAGGCCAACAACTCTCGGCATTGGAAGTCATGTACGCTCTGTTGGTCAATCAGACCAATGCACCCGCTACCTACCCAAATGTCTCAATTCTGCCTGCTCCACCATCGCCAACAATCTCCTCCTCACTAGCCTCTGCCACCCAAAATCTTCCTACGGCGAGTGCGACTGCCCGTCCGCTCCACGATGGAGCAGCGATCATTCAGTCCAAGGCCCAGAATAAGATTCGGCCTTTTGTCGTGGCTCTTTTCACCTCATTAGCAGTCATGTGAAAGTGGTAGTGAAGGGATTATCGTGATGTCCACGACATATGTACCTATGAATGGGAACGAAAATGCTTTGATGGATCAGAACACTCCGTGAGTAGATATGAGCGATGAGTCGCAAGGCAAGAAATCATTGCAAGAAGACGACGGTGGCCTGTACGAGGCTCATGGAGTTAAGGGGTCGCTCGTTACCTAGCTAGCCAAGCCAAGGCGGTCTTAGGCGTTTAGTTAGGAGTGACCGGGGCGCCACCATCAGTGACTAAGCGTGAGATGGCTACCTCTAGATACCTAGATAGGTAGGACATGGAAGAGCAAGGGCGAGTGATCCCAAGGCATCTACAGGTCCTGGAAAATGACGTCGTGAAGTTGCAGCGTAACAAGCCCGGTGCAACAATTTTGTCTTTCTTTTTTCCTTCGCGTTCGAGATACATGGTGCATAGGCGCCAAAGATCAGTTCATGAAACCTCCCAACATGACTTTCAAACAGAAACATGGCCACACTGACTACAGGCGGCCAAGGACCAGCTACTCCTGGTGAGCCTCGAGGGAGCCTTGCCATGAAAAAAAGCAAGCATGATGCTCCACAGAACGACTCAGCCAAATTCCAACGGCAATTCCAGTTCATCGAGGGATTGAATAGTAAAGCTCAACGGAGAAAGACAAGATCATGGGTCACTACGCAACACTACCGGCGAAAGCGATTTGAGGCAAGGAACGCTTGGTTGGCCACTGACCAGGAGAACGAGGGCGAATTCTCGAAACCTCTCATTGCGTTTCCCAGCACTTCCAAGCCCGAGAACGAAGGGAGAAGGCACGCCGCAGACAGAGACGCCATCTCACCCGATCATGCTGTACAGCGGGATGCAGGGAGAGGGCAGTCCTGCTTTCTACAACGGTTAGGAGGCGGGCGAGCAGATCCTTTTAATTCCTATCCTGTCCCAGCAACCCGCGATGTGCATGAGCTTGTGGATCACTGTGAGTTGCTTTCTAATCTACACTGACATATGTTTGGTACAGGTGTTGAGGCATACCAGACTACTTTGTGATCCCCTCCCTTGTACACAGACATTGGGCTAGGGCGGTTCGCAGGCCACGAGCCTGTTGGGACTTGTTCAACCTCTACCGCAACCACGAGATCCCATTTCTAGGCATGCTCCACCACGCAGCGCATCACTTAGCGGGAATGAGAGGAAATGTCATGTCTCTGCAGACCTTCGAGTTCAAGCAACGTGCACTTGCGGCCGTGAATCAGAGTCTTCAGAGGCGCCAGGGGCCTTGTGACGATTGGACGCTTATTGGTGTCGGCCTCCTTGCTAATGCAGAGGTATTTTCAAGCAGTCTGTAAAAATAACCATTGCCTGACAAAATCAGCGTATCTGGGGGGATCGCGAGATCGCCAGAATGCATTGGGGAGCCTTAAAGCGACTCCTCCTAGATCGTGGAGGATTCCAAGCGCTGCAGAGCAATCCGACACTGCACACGAAGCTGGTCTGGTCAGTATTCCACATTAGGCATGCAAAGATCTGCTGACGAGGTGTATAGGAGCTTCATAGCATTGTCATGGCCGACAGCAGATGGCAACCCAGCTTATGTGGACGACTTCGTCGAATCCTCGGCGGTTTTGCCTCATTCTCCAAGCACAAACCCAGACTCGACTTTTAGAAACAGTTGCATAGAGTTCACCCAGTTCATCAACGCACGACGAAGCCAGATCTTGAAGAACCTCCCTTCGACACCCGCACAGCATCGGCAATTGACGGCCCATCGGTCTCGTGCAACGATGTTCCATGAAGGATCAGAACTTGCGAATGCTCTGAAGTCCATTGAGACAGGCTATGAAAGCCCAGACAAACGACGAGCGGTGGATAACTGCCGTCTTGCTTGTCTGATACATCTCAACCTGGTCATGGCGGAGCACGGAGACCTCTCCCAAGCCACCGAGGAATATCTTCAGGCTCTGCAACGAATCTTAGATGAAGCCGACGATGACAGCAGTCTAAGTGCTGAGCATCTGTTGTGGACGCTACTTACCCCTTTCCGTTCTCAAGGACACTATGAGCGGATATGGAAGATGTCCAGGCTGGTAGGTGTGGTGAAGAGGACGAGCGCGCAAACTTGGATGGCGATTGAGAACGCGCTTCGTGTATTCCTACGTTTGCCGGGATCGATCTACGATTTTGAGTCTGCCCTGTCGGTATGGGACCGTGGAGAGTGCTTGGACCAGCTCATTGCCGTGGGAAATGTCGACGCTCGTGTTCTGGACTCCCAGATGGATGAGAACCTGCTTGGACAGCACGATACCGCATGCTCTGACGGTTGTCGAATATGTCCTCTCAAGCCGACAACATTCTAAACCCAATTGCATCTTGAAAACATGAACTGCAATACCGGCAAGATGTGTGTACGATACACAAATATTGGTTGAAATCCAATAAGACTTGGTCAAACTGGCACGCCCAAAATCGCTCACACTCGTAAGCTTCCCCCGCCGAGAAGGGGGGGGGTCGGCTAATCCTCGCCTCCACCGCCAGTCTGATGACATGCCGCAGCTCTCCGTATTCACTTAACTGTCTTGTCTTGAAACTATTACCACTGCAGTTCGCACCCTCAGAGTCGTGCAAAGGGGTCCGCGGTTCGCCCATAATGATCCCGCCATTCGTGACACCCACCAGGCCAAGATGATATACTACTCACCGCATCGCAAGGTCCATCGTCGGTGGAAAGGGCCCACTCGACTCTGTCGCACTACCACAGCCATGTAAGTTGTATTGTGGATCTCTCTCCGCCCTCTCTTTTCCTCTTCCTCCCCTGCAGAAAGAAAGCTGAGAACAGCAATTCATTATTTATCTCGTTGCATGGGCGGAGGACTAATACCTGTGGCTTGCAAAGACAGATCCTCCTCTTCCTCACCGTCTCCCTCGCCGTGTGCGGTCTGCTTGAAATGAGCGACGTGGGCGTCTCTCTCCTCTCTTCCTCCGGCCACCAGGGCGTGCTGGACATTCATAACGATAACGGCGGCGGTGGTGGAGGAGGAGAAGACAAGACTGAACAAGAGAACAAGCCCGAGCAGCCCTCGGCGCAAGGAAAATATGCCTACACATACACCACGTTAGATGGGTACTTCCTCCAAGATGATCCCTCCACGGTCGCCGCAGAGTTCGACTTCATGGCCAACAATTTTGGTCTTATCGATCGTCCATATGAATCGGATGAGACACTCCCCGAGAACGGCAGAGACATGACACCTTGGCAGAGATTCGAACACCATATCTCCTCATTGAACCGCGCTGCGCATGAGGACGAGGAAGATGGAGAGAAAAGGAACACAAAACGGCATGGTTCTACTGCGAGGTATCTACTTCTGTTCCTCGGCCGGCACGGAAATGGCTACCACAACATCGCCGAGCGCTACTATGGCAACGTGGCATGGGACTGCCACTATTCTGCGCTCGACGGCGACCCGGACGGGATTATGACCTGGAGTGACGCTCACTTGTCCAAGGAGGGACAGAGGCAAGCGAGGGAGGTCAATTCATTCTGGCAGAAACAGATCGCGGAGCAGAAGATGAGCCTGCCGGAACTGTGGCTGGCGAGCCCCCTCGATAGGGCGATGGAGACTGCCGACATCACGTTCGCGGGCGTCCTCCCAGATGGGGCCAAGCTGGAGGCCATTGTGATGGAGAAGCTGAGAGAAGGCACCGGCATACACACGTGCGACAGACGGAGTGATGTTTCATACATCCGGCAGCGATTCCCAAGCTTCAACGTTGATTTGGATCCGCTTTTGACAGAAACGGATGAGTTCTACGACCCCGACCGACGTGAACCGGAAAGCGCGTTGACAGAGCGCCTAAGAGAATTTATGGACAGTTTAATGGGCCGTGATGATCTGATCGGTGGGAAAGAGAGGGTCAGCATAACCAGTCACTCAGGGGCGCTTGGTGCCCTGATGAGAGTGTTGAACCACAGGCAGTTCAGTCTGGGCACTGGAGCCGTCATTCCTGTGTTTGTCAAGGTTGACAAGATTCCTCTCGAAGATGACGAACACAAAGAGAGAATCACCAAGAAGTCCATCTCTAGGAAGGACAAGAGGAACGGTGGATCGGCAGAGGGTGGAAACCACAAAGAACCTACGCTGCACTTGCCAGACCTCGATGAGGCCGATCATGATGACAACGATGAAAGTGAAAAAGACACAGAGGATGTGAAGCAAGCCTCAGACAGCGACCCGAACGACCGCTCGAAATGGGAGCCCATCCCCTCCTGCCCCGCGGATCTGGATCTCTCGACCGTCGGCCACAGCCGCTGGGGCGTCGGGTTGAGAGAATACCTCGAGGGAGTGGAGAATGGTACGGTCACGATGGAGGAGGTGGCATTTCGGTTTACAGCTTGATGGGAATTCGATGCTTGGATGTCAACAAAAGTGCAATGGGTTGGGTTAGAAATGAGGCGCCGAAGAAAGTGACTGCATTTTGATTTGAGGAATCTTGGATCATTTAATGTAGGTTCGGTCACATACAACTGAGATATATACACTTGGAGGCGATGTTCATGTATGTATATGTGTTAACGATACCTTATGCCAGTCACGAATGTGCAAGGACGAAGCCAGCTGGCTTTAAAAACACTGCGACAACTGCCTCCCTCCTTTTTACTCCTTTTGTATTAATGGGTAGGAGCTTCTGTAAGTGCCTTTTGCTTTTGGAATCTTTTCCAGTGAAGTCATGTTCAAAGGGTGATTTCTTACACGCCTGTGAAAGGCTGAAGGTGAATACAAGACTCACGGGTGCATGTGGTGCTGCTGCCTCACCTCAAAGCCGCGTCTGGTACCTCACTTCCCTCCCTTCCCCTTTCTTCTCTGTCTTTCTCTCTTTCTCAATACCTTGAAGACCACTTGACCAAATCCATTTCTCATTACTTCTGGGCACAACAATTCCTTCAGCACACTACCAAGAGTGCCGGCTCATCCTCTCCATCGCTGTTGAAATCCTCCAGCCAGCGACAAGAGCAAGAATGGCGGACTCAAATCCCTTGACGAGCCTCAGCAGCAACAAGAACGGCACCAGAACCCCGACCCTCCTCCAGCTGAACGACTACAAACTGCCGGTGGAAATCATCTCTCACATCATTTCCTTCTTTGTGCCGGACGCGGGACTCTGCATCTCCAACGATCCCGAATACGATGCCGATCTGGATACCGTGCGTGCGCTTCTGAAGACCAGCCTCAACATCAAGCACGAGGCTTTGCAGCTCATATTCAGAAAGCCTCTGAACGTCTACATCACCAGTGGAAAGAGATGTGGTTGTTCCGGGACACTGTACGAGAGTACTCTGATCTCCGATTTTCACCCGCTCAAGCGACTTGTCTTCCTCCCTCTGGTCAAATGGAAGGAGGTCAGGGTCTGCTTCGCACCAAAAGAGTCAAGGTTGCTGCCATGCCCAGTGGAGCTGGCCTCGCGCGGTTCTTGGAGCCACGTCCACAATGGCTTTTATTCGGCTGAACTGGTGAAAGCTGCGCGATGTGTTTCCCGCCAATCAAATGGCCTGGCAGTCGATATGTGGCGCTTGAGGACGTCTATTCCTCGAACCGGCGCTGTCAATTTCAAATTTGTCTTTGAGAAGCTACAAGGCGCTTCTCCTTGGCACATTCATATGGTGCAGAATGTGCTGCGATTCTGGGAGTGGACAATGGCTGACCAGTCTTCAATGGACCCCGCCCCGCTGGAGCTGCCAGAATTTATCTATGCAAATATCCATCGAGACGCACTCCACTATTATGTGAGGCGGAACCCAATTATCGATCCAGTCCGTCATGCTTGCCTTCAGCTTCAGCGAATCTTTCAGCAGAGAATTTACGGTTGGCAGAGACGTTCAATAGGTGATGACAGCCTTGAAGAAGATGCTCGGGGTTTGTCTGCACGTGTCGGTGCTGTACCAAAGATTTTTTCAGGAGAGGTGATCATGCGTATCAACATACCTAGAACAAAAACAAATCGAGATGTCCTTGCCAGTAAGTGGAGTGCCGAGGTGGTTCAAGAGGTTGTTCTCCAGACAGGTTGAGAAGCAATGTCAGCGACAAAGGACAGTGGCGCGTACGGATTGGGCTATAGTGAGACAACAGATTCTCTTCGCAGCAGCTGAGGGTGGACATGCCAAAAGGGGAAGGGCCGAAGCAGAGATCAATGTACAAGAGTGAGAGAGAACTGGATCGTGCTAGAAGAACGGCCCAGCAGCATGTCAGAATTGGAATGGCTTGACGAAAAGAGCGAATTGGCTAGGAGGTCATAGATACTGGCCTAGAATCATGAACGTGCCATTAGACAGAGTTTGTTCCCCAATCACCTTGATCTAGCTGTCTTTTCCCTTTATGATTCATCCGCTACGCCATCCTCCTTTCAAGACTTTCACAGTATTTCCAAGATCTCACTGCCTACATCGGACGTATTGGTCCAAAGGTACTCTGGCGTGGTCTGAATAACCAGCACGCCATGCTCAAGCAACACCTCATGATACTGTCCTTTCGTGGACTGCAACTTGTCCACCACGCGCAGCGAGATCTCGCCCTTGGACACACCCTCCTTCCACCCTTCCTGGAGCAGATCATCGTCCTTGAACCCGGCGCGCTCGAGCTGGTACTTGAGACCCTCGAAGTAAGCCAGGCTCGCGGCGCCGAGGATCTTGTCCCAGTCGTCACGGACTTTGCCCAAGGTTCCCGCCTCTGCCAAAACGGCGGCGTTGGCCTCGAAGTTTGGCACAAGGCGGATGTCCGGTGCGCCGACTAGAGACCCGATGGCACGCTGCGTGGCGGAGATCTCGGGGTCGTATGATTCGCGCACGGATTGGCGCGCGGTGATGTTGAATGCGGACCTACCTCCCGAAGAAGGGGAGGAGGAGGAGGAGGAGGTGGTGGTGGTGGTGGTGGTGGTGGTGGCGGTTTTGAGGGCTTCGTGAAAGTCGCGGCTCACGTCGCTGACGTTGACGCCGAGGTTTCCCTCGGCGAAGAGCAGCCGGAGCGCCCCGTCCTTGGATATTTGCAGGCCGCCGTACGTGAATCCCGTGTCGTCCTCATGAGTCTGCGGTGCGAGTTCCACTTGGTGCTTGCTGCACAGGGTGTTGAGCTCGGATTTGCCGTCGTGGCCGTATTTGGAGATGAAGGATTCGAGGTTCGTGCAGAAGGCGTCCATGTACCTATATATTGTTGCAGCGGAGCAGATACAGTTTAGTCCCCGGTAGAGAGGCGAAGGGGTGAAGGGATGAATGAATGCCAAGGCCCGAGAGAAGCACCGGCGACCGCATCCGGCGAAACGGCGCAAGGCTGAATTTGCCCACCTGCCCCTTTTTCTTTGTCCCGTGCTACGCAGATCCATCGAGGCGTGTCTCTCCTTGTCTCCCCATCAAGACCACCAACCTGTCTACTCGGTTCTGTGCAAATACCCATCCATGCACGCGGTAGCTCTCCCGTAGCCCGCTTCCTCCCCAGACTCCACAAACAATGTCTCAACTGTAAGTCACGCAGTCCGCATCGACCGCATTTCGCTAACAAACCGACCGCTATAGACCCTTGCAAATCCGCAAAGACATCCGCGATCTATTCGACGAGGCCGACAGCGCTGTGCAAAACTCGTTTGTGAGACTTGCCAAGATCACAGGCTATCAGGTCTCATGCACGCCAGAATGGCACATGCTGTGGGCTGAGTTGCGGCCGACCTGGCGCGAGATGACGACTTTCGTCCCGACAATTGCTAAACTCATCGAGGTGTGGTGCCATACTCTAGGCAAGAGATTGGAGGATGCGCGGTTCGAGGCTTGGACCGAAGAACTACTTGAAAAGCTGAAGAATGTTTATGTTGTGAAGGTATCTATTCAAGTGAGTTGCTAGCCCCTTCTTCCTCTTCAGTCTTCCGTATCTAGACAAATCAAGATTCAAGGCAGGGGGAAAAAAGCTGAATCCGTATGGATATAGGTCACTGCCGACGAATCGAGAGTCCGGACAGCCTGGTTGGAGCCACACTCGTACTCATTCACCATCTCGCTACCCCAAAACACCCAGTTGCAGCAGACGATGGTACAGACTGCTTCATCAGCTTTCTCCGAGGACTTTGAATCCATGTTTGAACAGACAAACCACGGTCCCACCAAACCCTTGTCCACCTCCCGGCAGCAGGAAGTCAATGGACAACAAAACCCGACCCGTGAAGACGAAGAAGAGTGGGCTGAACTGGAATCTGTCGCCGATACCACCAAAAGCACTGGTGTCAGCATCATTGCAGCGCCAAAGGGTGTGCCGCATCATTCAGCTCGGCTGGAGCCGGACGCCGATGTCTTTCCCGCGCTCGAGGCACTGCCCAGACCAGAGATTCTCTTCCGCACCACGACCCCTTATGTGATGCTGGTGTCGTCGAATGGACCCAACAAGATCACGGTAAGCGGCACGCATGAACCCAGTCTGCAGCTTCTGGCGGAATACCTGCGGCGATGGATCAAGACTGATCCTCGAAATATTCTCAAGGTGAGTGCGATGGTGAATTTCCTAGACATATCTATTCCGACTCTACCTAAACAACTCTACTAATGTTCCAACGCAGAAACCCTCCCTGTGTATTACTTTGAACGAGTCCAACATTGGCCTCGGGCTTTTCTATGACTCGTTGACCATCGAGCCTTTTGAGGGCATTCTAAGACCCGCGGTGGTGAATGTTAGTCTGATCCTTGCTTTCATTCAAGGGATCTTAGGGTATCAACGTGTCCATGAAACGTCTGGCCCTGGACAATGGGAGTTCAGCCGGGTTACACCATTCGCAGCCTGACCGAAGTCCCTCGAGAGACCACCGCAGCGCTCGATTATCTAATTTTCCACAGAGCAGTTCTTCATCTTCAGCATCTGTTTGAAAAAAGTATTCTGCTCAGGGACCATTCCAGCAGCGAGCGGCCGCATACGAGCACTCGTCCGAGGGATCTTCAGCGACGGCAATACCATGGTCCATCTTTCAACTGGCCACCGTTAGAACGTGACTCCGTGTAGTCTTACCTGCGAGGCTCTCAGGTTTGTCGCTTAACCTCCCTTATGTCGCTACGCCTAACGGTTGTACGAGGGTGGCGGTTTGCTTGTGGGCCATCTGTTCCCCTGCCTGGCCAGGAATGGCAACACCAGCCGTTCTTGTAGGTAAGCAATGGGTTGTCATTAGAGTAGTCGTCGGTAGGTACTGTGTACCTTGGTAGGCACCCTTGGAACATATACCTATCTAGGTACCTAGCGAGCTTGGTAATTCGTAGCCTCATCGGCAGGAAAGTGTCTAGGTTGGTTTTAAGGCGAGAGGTGTGCAGTAGTGTCCGCTGGGGTGGTGCTGGCTTCCGTGCCAGTTATTAACTGGTTCAATTACCTAGGTACCTGGGTAGGTGGGTAGGTCACTGGGGGGAAAGCCTCAAGGAAGGAAGCTGCCCTACATAACTACCTAGGCGTGCTAGGTACTCCGTACCCCCACCATTCTTATTATTTAGGCTACAGCAGTTTCAAAACCAATTCACCACCCTTCGCCATCAGCCAACAGCCAACAGCATCAAATCTATCCATCACCTGCAAGTACACGACATCGAACCCCGAATTCAGAATGGATGGAAGCGGTGAGAAATGTCCCTCTACATCCTGTGCTCCTTGAAGTGTCCAAAATGTTAGATTCTGACATGATCCGATCATTTTCAGGCTCTGACATTACGGACGGACGAGACAATTCGGCCCATTGGTCTGATGGCGAACACGGCCCGAAGACTACGGCATGGCAATAACACATGATCGAAATGCAAAGTTGAAGGATCGACCTCTAGTCGACAAGTTCTTCCGAGACATTCAAGGCCATCGGACGCTGGAGGATCCTAAGACTTGCTCCTGGCTTGCGAACCTCCCCTTTGACATGTGTGATGACTCAATCCCACTGTTTGTGGAGGGCGACGAGTCTAGAGATGATTCAGTAGACTACCAGTTACACCCTTGTTACACCTGGGTGGAGTTTGACACGACTGCAGCGCACCCTCACAAACAGCTTTGCTGCCTTATCAAGGACGACGAGAGTTTATAGACTCCAAACCCCGTCATTGGTATTGGCCGGCTATTCGTGCATGCTAGGAATGATACAGGGGGGCGCACGTCCAAATGGACAGGCTACGAGGTGTTTGTGGACCGATCCCTTTCGCTCTGGATAGTATTCGACATACATTCGGATAACCCTCCAGCCTCAGACTGGTACCCAGTCCCTAGTCGACTCTGCTCCGAAGACGACCAAGCACCCGACATGGCTCGCTTTCTACCCACCCTCCAAGATCTTGCGCATGCCACCTTCGAAGCCGCTAGAAACACTGTAAAATCGACAGGGATGTCGGGCAATATGAAAGCTGGCCTGATTGCCAAAGAAGAGGTGGCCGGTCTTTTCAGCAGCAGCTAATCACGTGTCCGGAGTGCAAGTGATGAAGATGCTTCTTGACCTGGACCAAGAAGCCGTCTGCGCGAACCTCTCGGTGGCAGCGATATGCCACACAGCAGGGAACAAGAGCGGAGCGCAGATTTTGGTCCGGTTTTACAAGGCAGATAATGGGAGGCTCGAGAAGGTCGTGTTGGAAGTTCTCCGGGAGGCCAAGGAAGGCAAAAGTTGACCAGTTGAGGCCGCTCCGAGCTTGATCAAGAACTTGGAGGAGATTCGACATCCACTCGCTCTTAAGAGCGGCCGCGAGTTGAGTAGGAAACCATCATCTTTAATGCAGGGACGAGATGGAAGCCACGCTTGAAGGCTTAGAGGAGCGCTTCACTCTTGCAAAAGGGCAGATGTATTTTACATTTTGGTTGCCAAGTCTCCCTGGGACGCAATGGAGGCATCGGGGCCCTGTATGCACTGTTCGATCAACGGGACGGACGACAATAAATCTGTCAGGAATCTCCTACCAGGTATCCTTATCTACTATAGTGCCTAATAATCCGCCAGCATTTGGCGAGATATTCGGTTCTTTTGCTGAATAGACAAGGGATTAAGGCACTATCCTGACAGTACCCTCCGAAGCCATGGTTGTTAGTGCCACTATTGCTGAAGCCACGACTGGTCATAGGTTCCCTCACCCACTAATTATGTGGGTCTTTTTTACCCGTCTGGACCTACCCCCTTTTCCCAAAGCCTCGCTGGAGGATCCGGAGGACTTTGAGGACCTGGAGGACCTCCAGGGTCCACAACCACCTTTGTAGTCGACACGATATGAGATATTTATCTACCATGAGCTCCCGGGTAGCAGTATGGAGAAACATCTCGTATAAATCTACGCAGCATTGGCCATAAAAGCAGCTCACGTTGTTCCCTACTCGATTTACGAGACGAACTCTACGTACCTAGGTGTTATTCTCCATAGTGTACCCCAAGATATTTACTAGAATACCCGACTTGACTACGGAACCCTCAGCTCTACCAAGTCGATAATGGATCCAGCCATTTCTCCTTTCAGCGTACACCGTACCCAGAGACCTCTGATTAATAGAGACCCAGAATACGCCGAAGCCATGGACATCGCTCCTTCTTTCGCACGTCACATTCCTGACGAAATCATCCTAAGGGTCCTGAGCTACCTCATTCCACAACGGGGTGTCACCATATCTACCGACTCAGCCGGAGATTTCGATCCTCTTACAATCAAATCCCTTCTCCAGACCTCCCGCGCCGTTAGGAATGAGGTCCTCTCCTGCACGAAGGCCTCCACGCTGCATATTTACATCGCCAGCGGCAAGAATTGCCCGTGCCCTACCTTGACGACACCGGACGATATCCTCGACACCAACCTGGGCAAAGCGGCAAAGCTCCCCACGACCATCTGGGGCGAAATCATCGTCACCTTCGCGCCGGGGCTCCATAGAGAGCTGGGCGATGCATGCATGTTCGTCCAGAGAACTCTGAGAAGAATAAAAGTGCCCTACTCGAACTTTGCTAGCGGCACCAGATGCCGGTCTTCCATCACCTGCGTCCGTCGCCAGTCCACCGCCCTCGCGCGCGCCATGGGAAACGCCGATGATGTGCAAGAGAACGAAAAGATCCGCTGGAAATTCGTCTTCGACGGGTCACGCGGGCTCGACGACCGGGACAAACGCCACCGCGCCTCCGTCCACGATCTCAGCACGATTGACGCTTGCTTGTACCCCTGGCGGCTGCAGAACACAACTGTGCCCCACGTCACCTTCCCCAAACGCTTCAGGGTAGGCCTCGACAGCTACGGCGGGTTCTTCTATTTCCGCCTTGTCGACAACGACGGGAACCTCAGGTCTTGGTCCGAGGTAGTCCGTGAACGGTTTGAGGAGGAGTTTTCGGACCGGTGGAACGGCCTCTCGCCAATGCTGGGGAGGTATATTTGGACCCCGGACGCCCTGGAACGTGGTGAGCTGGAGGACGCGAATCCCACTGCCTACTGGTATACTTGGCCCTTACGGCTGACGCCGCACACAATGGAAGATGTAGAGATTAGAGGAGGAGTGTTTGACACCGACAATGACGAGGAGGACTTCCTAAATTGAGGAGTTTGCTATCGCACAACTTCCGCCTGAGAATGAGGGTAGGAAGGGCGGCGGCTCAGACAGCAGTTGGCATCTGTGGAGAAAGTAGAACAAATGGTTCTTCTGTTGGCCAGCCGCCGCTTGTTTGCGCCATTTATCTTTGGCCTAGTATGGATCCATCAAGAAATACCAGACCTCATATACACAAGCGCTTTCCTCCTTCTCCACCTTCCTCCTCCACCTCTTCCTGCTGACTTTTCTACCTATCTCTTTCCGACTCTACAACAAATTCAACTTTTGTCACCAGTACTCAATAAGAGGGTGCGCACACTTAGATATCTGGAAACCAAATACACGGATGAGTATTTTCATTCACCCGGTGATGGTGGAGGACAGGAATACGTTTCTGCCCGCGTCATTCATTGCGGCATTGGCGCCCGAGGGACACCTGACACAGCGGCGGGCAATGCACGGTTGAGTGCGAAACGTATCATATCCAAGGTCTTAGGCTCTCTATTTGAGTACAGAAGCACGTCGGGTATGTTGGATGGCACAAAGGGGATAAAAGGGATTGCTTCATATGCAATGAGATCGCCATACTGCAAAAGACTGACTCGTCCACACCTATTTTGACTTCGGTCATGTCAGACTCGAGGCGAGATACCCCGGGGTCGGATTTTTGAGTGTAGATAGTAGCTAACATAGCCTTCAGCTACATGACAATCAACAGGGGTTCAAGCAATACTTGCAGACAGAAAAGACGTGGTGATAAAAACAATGATTCGACATCTTCGTTTCTTTATGTGCTCTCCCTTGCACTCCCCCTCTTCTCCCTTCTATCTCCCCTATTGCCTCTTTCTCCCCCCGTCTCTCCCACCCTCCCCCCTTCTCTATCTCTGTCTTCACTCTCTCTCCACATATCTATTTAGTCATCCAAAAAATCATTGACCAGCTGCGCAAAATGGACATTATACTCGTCGAGAAACCCGTGACCGGAGTCCGGGTACAGGTGCAGACTGGCCTCACAGCCCGTCAGACGGCGCCACAGCACGATGCTGTTCTCGGTGGGGACGAGCAAGTCGTTGGAGCCGTTGGCGACCAAGGTAGGCACCTTGATGGCGTCGAGCTGGTCGTAGGCTCCCTCGTCGCGGAACTCGCCCGAGAACCAGCGCTGCACGGCCGCGATTTGGCGGCTTGTGCCTTCTTCGCCCAGCAGCGGCGCGCGGTTCTCGCGAGCGTCTTCCATGCGCTTGATCCACTCGGCCGCTTTCGCCTGCTTCTTCTCCGAGGGCGAGAAGAACGTGTGCATCAGACCCGCGTTCCACTCCTCCGGGGTGGTTGCGCTGGCCACCTCGGTGAAGTGCTTCGGGTCGCCGCCCACGACGCCCTCGCCCGCCGAGGGTCCCGCGCCGGCCACGATCAGGCGGCGGACGAGATCGGGCTCTTGGAGCGCGATGCGCTGCGCCACGAAGCCGCCCATCGAGAACCCCAAGACGTCGAGCTTGGAGATGTTGAGCGCCTTGGCCACGTCGATGATGGTCTGCGCCCAATCCGCGAACTTCAACCCGACTTCGCCTTCGCTGCGGCCCACGCCCGTGTTGTCGACCAGCAGGATCGGTCGCTTTGCTGCCAGCCGGTTGATGAACACGGGGTCCCACCAGTCCATGTTGCCGCGGAAGTGCACGTGCAGGAACAGCGGAGTGCCACTCGTCTGCCCGAACTGGCGGTACGCGTGCTTGATCCCGTGGATGGTGACGAACTTGTCTTCGGCAGTCTCGTAGGTGGCCATGGTGGTCATAAAAGATTTGGCGTCGGTTATTTCAGGGATCTTGATTTCTTTTGTTGTGTCTTGGATATCAAAGTCGTGTGTGTCCACTGATGCTGATTGTGATCGTATGATGTTGTTGAACTGGAAAGCCAATGCTTCTGCTAGACGAAGGAAAACCCATTCTCTTATATACTAGAAGCCCCGGGCCCTCCAATTCCCTCTTCCGGTACCTCTGGCACCTCAGGGTAATGCCGAGTAACTCCACGGACAGCAAAAACCCTCATTTCTCCTATTCCCGTGCTTGACAACCACAACCAACCTCAGAAATAGGACTTGATTACGAGAAAGAAGAACCCGTTCCTGGTGCTTCTAACGGGCGAGAGCCAATGCCTTGACGTCCAGCCACGGCGTGGTTAGTCATGCAAGCCAGTGTTGTGATTGGCCTGCCTAAGAAATTTCCTGATCGGGAGTATGAAGTCTTCGCCACTAGTGCCCGTTTCGGATATTTTGATGCTCCCCCAGCAGAAGCAGAATACAGGCAAAATTACATTCTTTTTTCACCTTGCGTCATTCAGCTCGTTGGTTCCCAGCTTGGGTCGTCCCAGAGTCAGACTGCAAGGGACAACGTCCAAGTCAAAGCATTAGAAATCCTGACGGGATGCCGGCATCCTGCATCTTCCGCAACTATTGTCAGCAGCAGCTGTGGCAGCCAGCGTGCTTCGAGAACAACAATCCGCCATGCAGGTAGTTGTAAGCGTGGTGTCTCTGGATGGTCCAATGGCATTGTCGAAGACAGAGTGACGTACTGAGGAGCAATAAGGGCCTATTCATTTTCCAGTTCGTAAATGCTTTGCGAATCTGGGTCCTGGTCGCGAGCCATTTGGAAGGTGTCTGTGGGAACACCAAATGAGGACCCCAAATGCTTGCTTCCTCTACCTAACGAGCGGAGAGCTCCCACCTAGGGATTTAAAGGCGCGGAGATGCCAAGTTGCTTGCCCGCCTACCTGCGATGCAAGTACAGGGCAGGCAGGAGCGCCACAGTGTCGATTTTTTTCTCCTTGAAAGGCAATTTATTGAAGAACAGTCCAGGAATGTCGGTATCCAGGGGAAAGCAATGTCAATCCAAATCGACTTTTCTATAAGTGTGTATTACTACCTCAGACGCCAAATGCAAAGCCAGACATGACTGATCATCCAAAAATTGCACCAAACATTTGCGCCTCATGCCTAGATTCACGACAGCTTCGCCCCAACTCGGATGCCCGCGCCTTTCCAAAGCCAAATAGTATCCAGAAAATCGAACTCCTAGCTATAGAACGAGATACCATTTCCCCTTCTGTGACGCCAGGTAGTCAAGAGCGCAGGATTCGCAACACTGATTCGATCGTAGCGCTATCTTCCGCCTCGAGTCAAACACCCCCATGGCCAACCATGTGATTGCATGCCAACGAGCATAACGGTCCCCTTTGGTCAATAGAATAATGATCTTCTCCGGCATGGTATTCCCATCTAACAGTTCTTCGGATCCACCAAGCATTGCTACCACGTCTGGACCGAGCTGGATCTTCTTTGGCTGTTCCCAGCCATTCTGGTCTTTGTGGCTGCATTCTTCAATGAGATGGGTATTGAACAAATTCTTAGCCATCTGGCTATAGGCCAGGGTTTGCTGGAAGGACTTGGAGCCCCCATGCTTCTGCCACTCACGAGTCGACTCAAATGAAATGAAGAGGGTGATTTGAAACTCGTACGAAAGAGTTACATAGTAGTCTTTCCTAGAAATGTGGTTCGCGAATGTGCGGGGAGTGTACTCTCCTCTTTCAACAGGGGTGACATAGGACTTGGCAGTTCTTTCAATACCAATCCCATCTAGAATCCGTAGTTTGCGCTCTCCTGTTTTGGAATTTGTGGGTGTACCTTTGCGAATGTGGACGAGCTCAGGCCGAACATCTCCTGGGTCAAGGTCATCATACGTGGTCATCAACACGGACCACCCGAAATCACTGCAGAGGGATTCGGTGGCGGCAGAACCACGTTTCTTGTCCCTGGTTGAGAACTCGCCAGACGAGAGTATTTTCGACACCCCATCAAATACCGCATCAAATCGAACCAGGCCTGGCTCAACATTCCCCTTCCGTACCGTACGTATTAGGCTTCCTAAGGTGATAATGTCATCGGTCAAAATTATTGGCATATCCCCACATTTTCCTACCTCCGCGACGTGAGCGAAGATCAAGACATGTTTTGTGGCACTTTCAAGCATTCGTATCATCCGCGCTTGCGGAGAGAATTCAGGACGGTGGCTCGGGACCATTGCGAAGAAGGAATTAAAGGTCGAAGGCAACGTGGTTTCGGTAAGGCCGTTTTGTGATATGAAGGTCGCAAACCCCCGGCAAAGTGACGGATCGATGGTAATGCCGGCGAAGAGCAATTTAGCGGACTCCATGATTCTCCATGTTTCCAATCGGATCGTTTGCCCAGTTTCCTCGAATTCATCCTGTCCCTGTGGCACAGGGTCCGGCAGCTCTCGGGCCATTCTCTGCGAAGCGGCGATTGCAAATCCAACCGTCAAGCATACCACCTCCTTGTAAATCTCGTCATCATCACTTATGATGGTATCGACATTCAGGCTGCGACGTAGGAAGACCGTGCCATACCCTGACAGAGGGTGTCTTTCGGCTGCGAAGAGGTGTTCGGAGTCGTGATCTTCTGGTTTACACGTAAGAAGGACGGTCATGTCTGTTTCATGGAGGGAGATTTCAGGGCCGTCTTCATCTCCCTCCTCATTCCAGTCCAGCTCTTCCCTATCAGGAAGATCGGCTCGGCGCCAATGAATGATCACATGAGGTCCCTCGGCGTCCCCAAAGGAAACGTCCGGGCCGGGAAGATCTGTGATCACAACATTGAGATTCAAAATGTGGTGTGCCCAGATTGTGAGAGGGATAAATCCTCCCTGAGAGGAGAGTGTGATTATCCTGTTCGCTGGCAGGCTTTTCACGACGTAGAGGAAGTCCATAGCACCCAGAAGAACCGCAGGAGTAAGTCGAGTGTAATAAGGGCTCCAACTGTAATCTTGCATTGAACCCCGAATCCGATCCTCGATTTCTTCACGGTATGGTGCCCACTGGAACTCGCCGCATTGCGTACAGCAAGCTGCTAGTGTGCTCTCGACGCCTTCGTACACGCAAGGACTGCTAGCCCCTGGCACTCCAGCTTCGTATCGTTTAGCCATCCCGGTGGCGATCATTCTGGCAAGGCTTTCTCTCGGAATAAAGTAAGAAAGTGCTGATAGAGTGACTATGGTTGCGAAATATTCTGATTCTTGAAATGCTCGGATCACGGTTGGACCAGGGCCGGTCCGGAGCTGGATTTCCGAACCTTCGTGCAGTGGTGTGACCTTGCTGATGTGGACTTTGGCCTTGAACGCCTTCTCCAATTCAAGGGAAACTTGAGCTCTTCCAAATATGCTTGCCAGATCAGCCTCGACAACTATATCAGAACCTGAATTACGAAGCTCGCGCGCCATGTCGAGTAGTTTTGTGTATACCAAAGTACCAATCTCCCTTACAGGGAGGACATTTGTAAGCTCGAGTGCAAGCTGAAAACCAACGTAGCCCGGCATCTTTGGCAATGGGAGTATTACTCGAAATTCCGAAGATCTTGATTATCCTGAGACGGTATAAAATGGGCTGTGTAGGAAGGGCATTCGAGTATGAGGCAGAAGAATGTTGGTAAGATTTGATCAGGAAACTTCCTTAAGCTGGTGCTCGGAGGCTTTAAAGGATGATCCAGGCGTTTGAGATGAGATTGTGGTCTTTGCCGGAGGCAAATATTGCACTATACTTTCTCGATGACCTCTTCCAAAGAACAAGAAGCTTCGTATAGGCTGAGGTAGGCAAATTGAAAAGCGTGCTTTCACAACTCCAGAATAGAACCCAAGGGTGGCATATACCTCAACTTTCGACAATAACTGAAGTATCACGAATCTAGGAATGTTGTACCGCCATCGTGAAGTTATGTCTCAAGAAGATAGAAGAGAAGAGACTCAAAGAGGATTTCCAGGCAAACAGGTCGCTTACCTTGGCCATTTATTCCTGGTTTGGCGGTTCGAGTTCCTGCAGGGCTATGTACTCGCTGAGGCTGTACATCTACTGGGCCTTGCAGGGGGAATTTGGCGGGTGCTTGAACCGCCCAGCTGATCCTTTGATTGCATGATCCAATCGTTCTGTCCATTGGAGGGCACTGCGGCGTCTAGGCTGGGAAAACCTGAGACCCCCGTTTGGCTGATATCAGGCTGAAGCGACATGATGGTTCCTTTTGGAAAATCTCAGACAAGACTCAAACACGGCCAGTATTATCCTGGCTTCGTTGCAACGTGGCTGACCAGGATGCTGATCGCAGCCGCCGAGGGTGGCAGGGTGGTCGTGCGTGCTGAGATTTGTGTTCAGCCTTGTCGCCCAGTGTGCCTGCCGAAGAGCGGATGCCCGGACAAAGTCCGTCCTTGGCGCCGTGGCGCCGTGGCGCAGAGCGATGACTCAATCTGGCTTTAGCCTCAAACTGCGCAATGAAATGGCGGCGATGGCAATAGTAACTTCTAGATCGTCAACTCAGCTCACTTTCTCTGCAACACACTCAACAACGCCCATTCCTCTCGTATACCTAGCCACAGTACTCAATTGCTGCTTGTTATTCATAATCGACTGCTCTGGTTCCTGTTCTTTGCATCCTCCGTTGACGAAAGCAGAAGCAGCCGCAGCCCACGACACTACCACTTACCTACCTTGCTTGCGTTTCCAAGACTTCCATACTCGACATCATGGCTGATAACGACTGGGATACCGTCACCCGTATTGGCAGCAAAGCCAGAGGCCCTGGCAGCGGAGGCGTCGACCGAGAACGGGTGGTGAGGGGCAGCTCTGCACTCAACGCAGCCAAACGATCAGGTGCCGTCGTTGCCACAGAAAAGAAATATGGAGGGACCAACAGCGTGAGTGGCAACTTTGGTCTGCTGGGATGCAACAGCCAGGACTGACACATGTTTCTTAGAAATCCAGCGTTGAAGGTCAACACTTGACCAAAGTCGATCGCTCTGACGAGATCATCAAGCCCAAAACCGTCCCACTTGCGGTAGGACGAGCCATCACCGCCTGGCGGAATGCAAATAAGAACGACAAGGGAAACGCAATGACCCAGAAGGAGCTTGCCGGCAAATCTGGAGTCAAAGATGTGCTGCTGAAAGACATTGAGAGTGGCAAAGCACTATGGGACCAGAAATCCATCAACAAACTGGAGAATTACATGAAGATTCACTTAACGGGGAGTGATATTGGGAAACCGAAAAATGCGCACCCCAAGAAGTCGTAACATCAGCAACGAATTCCCTGACTTGGATGTGAAAAGAGGCGGGATATAGAAGAGGGGCAAGGGATGCCGAAGGCCAACAAGGGCGAGAACAAACATTGACGGGCGCCTCAACGCACGGTCCTGCTTGTGGAATATCGAGTATGGCGCATGAATCGAACTGTCGGGACCCTCAGCGACTCACCCACTCGGATGTTTAGTTGCTTGTTTCTCCCATGTTGTGGTTTTGCCCCGAGGGCTGCTATAGATAGAGAGGTTGTATGCGTTATGACTTGTGGCTCTGGGATGGGAATCGCAAAATAGACTGGCGTGGAATATTTGATGGCTTCCTCCCTTGCCTTCACGCCAGAGATTGTCACTGTGAAGAGTGAAGAGAAAGGAGAGGAAATGAACACCATGCTTTCCTCCCCATTTCCATTCTCCTCCTTTCCTTCTCTCTCCTTGTCCATCCACTCCCAAGGACGAACCACCATATCCCAAAGCAGGGAGACATGGGAAATCAGCCGAAGACCCTAATGTCTCAATTTTCCCCAGCCCAGCCAGGCACTGGGATGGCTACACGAGCACGCCATGCCATGCTCTTCCGTTTGTCTACTTGATTAATTGCCCGTTTTCGTCATTTTCCCCCGGTCATTCCAATTGATACTTGATTGTATCGTGGAGAGGATAGTCTACCTGAAACGACCAAAGGTGGGATCTGACCCGAACTCAGTTCGAAGAGGAGATGGGTATTTTGGACGCTGAAGCTCGTTCTGATGTTGTCATTTATATTGGTACTTGTGCTAGTACTTAGTACTGAAAGCTGGATAATGCCTTCTTTCCTATCCAAAACTCGAACACAAATCGACTTGATACTGAGTCTATGCCAACTCCTTTCCGATGTCTGGAGATCTTTGCACCGCCGGGCCATATTCTTGCTCTCCATCTTAGTCGTTCTATGCATCTTTGTCTTTGTTGTCACCTTTCGCCGGCATTGTCCTCCATGTCGAGTTTTCGATGATCCACCACCATCTTTTTGTTCCCTCAGCATTTCGACTGCGATCTTATTTATGCCTTGGCCACATCGCCCAGGCCCTCAGCCTCCAGATTCTTCTTGAAACGTTTCTCAATGGCCTCCATGAACTGGGTCGTGGTGACCCACGCCTCCCGATCTTTGCGCCCACATGCCAGCGCAAGATCCTTGGTCATGATTCCATCGTCATTGACCGTCTGAATGACTGCCTTCTCCAGATTTTCCGCCCAAGTCACCAGCTCGGGCGTGTCGTCAAGTTGTCCACGCTTGACCAATCCCCGAGTCCAGGCGAAAATACTGGCAATGGGGTTGGTGCTGGTCTCTCTGCCCTTCTGATGTTCTCGGTAGTGTCGTGTAACAGTGCCGTGTGCGGCTTCACTCTCAAATGTCAAGCCGTCGGGAGTAATCAGCTGACTGGTCATCAAACCGAGAGATCCAAAGCCCTGCGCAACAATGTCACTCTGCACATCTCCGTCATAGTTCTTCATGGCGATCACAAATCCTCCGCTGCTCTTGATCATTTGTGCAACCATGTCGTCAATCAGACGGTGCTCGTACCAGATCTTCTTGGCTTCGAATTCTTTGGCGTATTCTTTCTCGTAGATTTCCTGGAAAATGTCTTTGAAGCGTCCGTCGTAGGCCTTCAGAATGGTGTTCTTCGTCGACATGTAGAGCGGATAACCCCTGTCAAGGGCGAACTTGAAACTCGCATGCGCGAATCCTCTTATCGAATCATCTGTGTTGTACTGTGTTTGCGCAACGCCGCCTGTCGCAGGGAAGTCGAAGACCTTGATCTTTTGTGCTTCCCCGCCATCTTTAGGTGTAAAGACCATTTCCAATGTGCCCGCTTCACGAATGACCGTGTCCTTGGCGCGATATTGGTCTCCGAATGCGTGACGGCCGATAATGATGGGCGCCTCCCAACCGGGCACCAGACGGGGAATTCGAGGGATCACGATAGGCTCCCGGAAGACAGTGCCGCCGAGGATATTTCGGATTGTGCCATTGGGAGAGAGCCACACTGCGAGCAGCGTTAGTAACGGGTCGAGGGGATGCGAGGTGCTTTGTATCATACTCTTCTTCAGGTGGAATTCCTTGACTCTGGCCTCATCCGGAGTGATAGTCGCACACTTCACACCTACAGAATACTTCTTGATGGCTTCCGCAGCATCCACCGTGACCTGGTCGTCCGTCTCATCTCTGTAGGGCAAGCCCAAGTCGTAGTACTTCAGATCGATGTCCAGATACGGGTAGATGAACTTGTCCTTGATGTCTTGCCAGATTATCCGAGTCATCTCATCGCCGTCGAGTTCGACGACGGGATTCTTGACCTTGATCTTTGCTGTGCCTGAGGACATGGTGCGGGTCTGGCTCTGTGGCAGGCCCAGTCTGCGTGATTCGGCGGCGAGTCTGTTGGATGCCGTGGGCGCCATCCTGGACAAGAGCGAAGAGGAAGAGTGATATAGAGACCGGCGTGACAGAGTGGATCTTCTTGCAGCGCCGCCCACGAGCGCCGTTCGGAGAGGATTCATGTGGGTAGGGGAGGGAAAAAAGCTAGATAAAGGAACGGGAAGTGCAGGTTAGTATATAAGAAGATGTGAGGCCCGGGTGAGCAAACCGAAGTGATCAGAGCGACTTGGGGAGATCTCTTAGCCCACGAGCATTACCTCGACAACCCAGATTGCCCAGATTGCCCAGCGAGCTTGCACGTTGGGAAGTGCGCAAATAGCTCGGTTCGTCGCTGCTGTTGTGGACACCCCTCTGAGGTTCCATCGGATACAGATCTTGTGATTCAACAGCCGATGACGAGATGGACCAACAGCCGAGGATGAACAGAGGCGGAATTGGTCAATTGTCTGTAGCGATGTGGCACTTGTGGGACGTGGGGTTTTTTGCTGCTGGTGCTGCTTTGGCGGAATGAATAACGGGCTGCAGGGGGATGGGCGCAGGTGGCAGGTGGCAGGTGGCGAGCGCGGCTAAGGCTCCGAGATCGCTCCGGCTTCAACTTCTAGAAGCCGTGACCGCACCGGCACTGGCTGCAGAATTCTCCCGACGCCAAACAACGTTGAGCACGAGCACAACAAGTAACCAACAATCAACTTACCCGCCGCATATCGTTCTGCCCCACGTTTTTCCCCTTCGTTCCCTTCGTCCCTCGCCATGGCCGATAAATTGCGCACTCTCCAACAACTCGAGTCTCTCCAGGCCAAGTACGTAGGCACAGGCCACGCCGACACCACCCGCTACGAATGGAGCCAAAACGTTGTCCGCGACTCCCTCGCCAGTTATGTCGGTCACCCCCCTCTGCTTGCGTATATGGCCCTTGGGATGGGAGAGAACAAGGAGATTGTCAGAGGACAGTTGATTGAAAAGATGATCAGGGCGAGCGGACCGCCACCACAAAGAGACGATGACTGAACCATGTCGTGTTCACATGAGACAAATTCGGACAACAGTCCACATCGATCCATGAGGACAAACATACATTCAGCGTCCCCTTTACTCATTGCGAGGGTAGAGAAGCGGCTTCCTCAACATCCAGGATGGACATACAGCTTCCTGGTCCTTTTCTAGCCAGAACAACACTTGAGCTCCCCGTGTCCGAGATCGACCGCGGCACATTGTTTACGCGAAGCTCTCAACAAGCGAGTCCCATTTCGTGAAGACCAAGCATTCGGGTCAGGAACGCCAATACTTCCTGGGAAGGGAGGGCCTTGCAGGATTTCAAGACCCTCTCAACTGCAAATCACAAGAGAGGAGCAGTTGCGGCCTTGTTGGCAAAGAAGCAAACAAACCCGGGTTGGAGCATGGAAGACGAACCAGCTATGGATATGGTATTTTTGATTTCATACCAGGCCTCTTGAAAGTACAGTATGTGCAGTACCGGAAAATCTGTCCTGCATGTCAATCAAGTTGAATTCGTCATGCCCGTAAAAAAGATCTGCAGTTCATTCTGGCTTTGCTCGCTTCCTCAATCCTTTAGGGCAATTGTGTGAAAACCACTCTGCCTCGTCCCCCGAATGACAAAACCACCAAGTTCTTGGCCCTGGACAAAGCAATGGCCCGTGGATGGCCTGTTGAAAAGGACAAAGGGAATATAAGTATGGATGGTTGGTGGTAGCGTGCACTCCCCCTTTCCATTCATTTTGTCGACGATCAGCGTAGCCAAAGAGGTCGGTGGCCGACCACCGACAATCAACGCCATTTTCGCCCATTTTGACGCCGTTTGCCCATGCACCCCGTCTCCGTCAAGAGGTGATTCCAGTTTCTTTTTCTTAAGACAATGCCCATTATTCGCTCAGTCGCAGTGCTTGTGCGCTCTTCCGCTCTGTGGAGGACACTCTAATGAAATTTCATAGCCATAGCCTTTGCCAATCAAAGGCTGAAATATCGAGCATCAGAACGTGAATACCATCATTAGAAAATGCCATTGACAATGTTGCTGCCAATGGTAGCTCCAGCTCCAAAGATGGCAGCATTGCCCATCTTCTTGCCGAACTTCTTGCCCTGTTCTTCGAGCTTGCTGTATTTCCGACCTTCTGGGCCGACGTTGGAAGAGCCAGACTGAGTGATCTGGAGGGGTAGATTTCCGTACTCAGTTGACTGTGAGTGAACCATGGGAGGCCGGCGGTCCTCGATGACATTTACATAGCTTCGTGGGAAGATGCCTTCTAGGTTGGTCCTTTCATTGCGACCTCTCCACCCTGAACTTAAGTCAGCACACTGTTGGACACGTATTTGAACGAGCGGCACGTACAATCGTTGTTCATATGCTCCAATACTTGTATCCGATCACCTTGTTGAAGCGCCAGGTCGCCAGCATCTGTGGGCGTGTATGCGTAGAGAGCGGATGCAATCGACAAGATTGGAGGTGGAACGTAGGCTGGAGGAGGGAGAGGCGCAGGTGTAGGTACGGGAGCATATCCCTCCTTCAAGTTCATGCTCGAGAATTGATCGACAGGAGTGTTGGCGGCGCCATTGATGGGAGCGTGTAAAGGAGCATGTAGCGGCGTCTGGGCCGGTAGTTGTGCTAGGATGGAGGAGAGCTGTTCCGGGGAGATGATGGAGGTATCGGCGAGAAATTCCAGTTCCTATCCAAGGTCAGTCTGAGGATCCGAGAAAGGGTAGAGGTTGGGGTGGCTACACACAGTACGAATGGTACGGAGAGAGCGGTTGGTCAGGGCGATGGAGGCCTCGGTGGCCATGTTATCGCGAGGAAATCAGAAGGCTCGGACGCGTATGATCAAGCAGATGCGAGACGCAAGAATGAAGAAAAGCGAAAAGAGATCGAAACGAGAGTGATGAAACTCAACCTCGGAGGGTGGTGGGTGGTCGAGTTGATGGTCGTTTGACTGGATGAGGGAGGAGGTCAGGTTACAAAGGGTTTGAAGGACAGAAGGTTGGTGCAGGCGGGCGGTCGGTCGGTCGGGGTGGAAAGGTGAGGCGCAGGCCCCAGAGCGAGCAAGATGACTGGCCTGCTGGGTAAAACGGGAGCGAGAGATCGGGCAGGGGAATAAGATGCGAGGGCCCGCGAGTGGGTGGATGTAAGGTGGTGTGTGTGGTGTGTGTGGTTTGGATGATGAGGATAGGAGTGTGGTTGGACCGTGAGCATGGACGGGTTGCTGAGGGCGTGAGGGCGCGAGAGGGCGTGACGACGTGCTTTGAAGGGCTTGCCAGGTGGTTGATGCAGGGTTGTCCAAGTGACTCCTTACCGGCTGGTCCAGAAGACAAGGACAGCTGCTCGCAGTGCTCGGGTGTTGCTTCGCGCTCGCTAGGCATAACTTGCTGGGTCTGGCTAGCGAGAATGGGCACTAATTGGCAGGCCTGGCCGCCTGAGGACTAGGGCTCGCAGCCTAACTACGGGTGGTGAAAGGGTGAAAGGGGATGCCTGACTTTTCGGACCAAGAGGATCAAGTAATCCGTGTCTCAGAACGCCGACCGAGCTAGCACGCTCGGATCTATCGGTAATGCCCCTTGTGGCTAGCGGCAGGATTTTAGCGGCATCGATCAACTATCTTTAACCATCCTTGACCATCCTTAACCATCCTTAACAGTCCTTGAACTGGTGCCTGACGTCCGAAAGCCTTGTCCACCTTGTCCACCTTGTCCACCTTGTCCACCTTGCCAACCACCAGAAACAGAAGCAAGACGAGGGATTTGTCGCCCGTGTTCGCTCCACTGGAGCCCCTGCGTACCTCGTACTCATCTCCTTGCTGACTGTGTGCTTGCCTCTTCCATCTAAATTCAACGTCTGTCCTCCATGCAAAGAATGACAAAACTGAAAAGAAAGAAGACCTTGTTGTCCTTGTGTTTCTTTCTGAGGACAATCCACTTCTGATATGTGTGGAGGTCAACCTTTGCGAATATGCGAGCATGCACCCGACTTCCAACATAAAGAGATGCGACTTCCCATACAAAGCATGGCGGAGGAACTATGGCTCTTTGTCACATCAGTCCTCAAAGAGCAGGTAATAGCCTTGCGGCTCACTCATCGCTGCTCCTGCTGGCGCGGGCACTGATGCTGATGTTGGTCTTCGTGAGTTTTGAGTTTGGGTGGCCCGTCGTTCATTGTCTCCTTGTCTTCTTGTCTGCCTATGCAATCGCCCGTTGTTTGGTGGCCCATCCGCCTTTTGTGCAACTCTAAACCCTCAAACCCAGCACGCCGCGGCGGCGGTGCGCACACAACGCACACAAACAGAAACTGAATGAATATGGCGGATTGCTCGGTCCTCACCGTTTGCTGAACGTCCAAACCGCGATTGCTTCCGGTGAAGGTGAGGTATATAATAAATGGGATATAATGTCACTGGCCCAGAATATTTTCAGATCTTGTCACAAACAGTCCCGCGTCCATTGGAGTTTTGCTATATCTTCAATACACTGAATTCACTGCTTTGAAAACCTGTCACCATTGGCCGCGCCTTGCCGACAATCACACTCACATTCACAGATCTATAATTCCCCAGCCACCGTCAATGTGAGTGTTTATCCTTTGCTATTGTCCTATTGTCCCCGTCGCGCCTTTATTATCCGCACTGCATTCACTGCTGCGCGGTGACTGCCTCAGTGACTTCCTCTCCCGAACAATCCTGAATATAAAAATCCTCCTGTCCTCTTTCTCTCCAGACTTCTTACCCACAGACTATTCTCTGCTTGAGTATCAAAGAGCTTCCTTGCTTTGGGCCCTGTTATATACTCACATCAATTCCACAGTCTTCCACTCATACCTTGATCCTCCAGCTCTTCTTGCTCCAGCCAACTCCAGTCAACTCCGATCGACTTGTCAAGAAATACATTCCACACAGTCGAAATGGCCTCGCAACAGACCCTCAAACCTCAATTCTTTGTCACCCGTCAGAATGGCAACATGGTCCCACTGATTGCCATGGACGAGCTGCCCATTCATGTCCAGATTGAGGGTGTTTCTCGCAGTCTCGGTCCCCACGACATCGCTGGCATGATCGGTATTGGCACCTACGAAGCCCGTCACGAGTTCCATGTTGTGCGAAGCATGAACAACACCACACCAATCCCTTTTTATCCCGTTCACGGTTCTCAAACTCCAAACTCGAACGCTTCACCGCAAAATTCCACCGTCACGACTCCATTGTTGTGTCCAACCACTCTCTCAACTCCCACCCCACCCAAAGCAACCGACGTCAAGGGAAATCAACCCAGCGCAACATCTAGCAACGCTGTCTCATCTTCCACCGTCTCAATCGAAGAGGAAAACAAGTCTTCTCGACCTACATCCCCTCCCGCCAGTCCTAGTCCTCGTCCCAAAGTCCAGTTTCCTACGACAACCACCACGACTCCCACTCTCGCTCCTCTCGCATGGCGAAACAAGGCTGCGCCCATTCCCGCAAGCACACCCAACCCTCCTGCCGACCCAGACCCAGAGATGCCTCCGCCTGGTCAGAAAATCTACTGCTCGTACTGGCTGCGCAACGGCGAGTGCAACTTCGCGCAGCAAGGGTGCATGTACAAGCACGTAATGCCGCTCAACCTGCAGGTGCTCGAGGTACTTGGCTTCCGCGACCTCCCGGACTGGTACCGCAAGACGTACAAGTGCGGCAGCCTGCGCGTCAATGGCGGGCGCAACGGGCTCAGCTACGGCATCCTCGACGGCAACGTCAAGCCCGCCAACAAGAAGCGCGTCGGTCCCGATACGGAAGCCACCAAACGCATGGTTGCGTCCCACATCAACGCCGTGCCCACGCCAGGCAGCAACGGTAGAGGAGGCGGCGGCCGAGGACATTACCGCGGCGGCAACAACAACCACCACCACCACCGTGGTCACTCCGGGTCCGCCCTCCAGCAACCCACCGCGGCCAAGGTCGACAGGGATCCCTTCAGTGAGAAGATGCGGCGCGATGCGCGCCTGAGGGCCGCCTTCGACGCCGACCTCAACAGCGAGATCAGCGACATGATGATGGATCCGGAGATGGAGCGAATCCGCGAGCAGGAGCAGGCCGGCTGGGAGGAGGAGCAGGCTGCCGCGAGAAAAGCCGCTGCCGCCGCCGTCGCCGTCGACGCCGACAAGACGACCGCCGAGAGCACCGATGCTGCTCGGAGCGCCAGCAAGGAGTTCGACGCTGCCATGGCTGCTGTCCGTGCTGCTCCTATTATTGCTCCTACTCTTCCTCCTGGTCATGCTGTTCCTGCTGCTGCTCCTTCCAGCCCTGCAAGACCTGCTCCCGCTGCAACTACTCCTAGCCCTGCAAGTTCAGCTGGCAAAGACGGGAAGAAACATGGCCGTGGTGGTTCCGGTGGCGGCAAATATTCACCCCGTGGGAAGAAGGCCCAGGCCCAGCCTCAGGCCCATGGCCAAGGGCAGAAGAGAGCTTAAATCGGCCTACTACAGTGACGACGGCAACGAAGACAGCAATGATCAAGACGGTGAAAAGATATGAGTGCACCTCAACGACCGCAGACAGCCAACGGTGTGGAACGCAACATGCTCAAAGAATCATGAAGCATTGAGAGACGGCGGAACATGACCAAAAGGAATCATGAACAAATGAGAGAAAACGGTGTCCATCAATTTCAACAGGGACCTCGGAGTCAGGGGCTTTTTTTTTTGCGGCGTTGCTGGGATGGCGAGAGCGCGAATGGACGGGTTTCAAGACGAGCTTTTGGAGACTTGGGAAAACTTGGATGGTGATAACGGCATATGGCATGTGGCATGTGGCATCAGCATCATATCAAAATGGCCGGATTCGGGCTCGGGTTCCAACAGGTGTATTATACACCTTAGCATTGCGACTGAGATACCCCCTTTTTTTGCCTTCTTCATTTCCTCTCAAGGTGGGGGAAAAAAGGATAGTTAATATGGAATGCATTAACAGATCATACCCTGGGTGGGAGCAGAGGATACCAGGTAGTTATGAATGCATTCACAGACAAGATGAAATGAGACTTCATGTCAAAAAAAAGGGTTTTTTCCTCTTTTCTTGGGTTGTTGTCAAATGTGCCATTGAGAGATCTATATCTTAACCCCTCTCTATTTTTACAAAGGCCGCTATTGTCTCAAGGGCGCTGGGCCTGGCCTTCCCAGCGCGCGAACATATTCGTGCACCAATTCCTTGCCGTCAAGGACTTGGCCTTGCTGTGCGGTTTGTGCCTCGCCCAGCAACTTCTGCTCCTGTCTCGCCATCACCAGCTCCCTGACCCTCGCAGGCTTCAACTTCCACTCCTCGGGGAACTCGATTTTCTTTGCCGGCTTGTGATGCCTCAAGTCGAGCGGGATGTCTTCCATCATATCCTTCCCGTTGCGCGCCTCGTCGAGCAACTTCTTCACCAGGTCTCCCAGGTACCGCTTGTTCTGCGCGGGTGCCTCGTAGGTTTCGCACGACATCTTGATCACGTCCGTGTCCGGGTTGTAGCGCGGGCCGACGAGTTTCAGAAGTTTGAGACGTTGCTTTTCCGTGAGGTTGGGTAGGTCTTTTGAGCAGAACTGTACTACCACTTTACGGGCCGCGGGGTGGTATTCGCCCATGTACGTGGTGTAGCGGAAGCGGAGGGGCGTGGCCTCTGTAGGGGGTGTGAATGGTTTCGCGAACTCTGAGAAGACAAGACACGTTAGAAGCGATCGTGGGTGGTGAGAAATGCTTCTCAGCAGACTTACGTTGTAATAATGGCATATCCCATGCAATAACCCGCGTATATTCTCTGATCTCTCTGTGGAGGTCCAACTCGCTGTGCGCAACGCTGGAAATGGCACTCTCATCCCATTCCTCGTCGCCATCTTCCACCTGCGTGAATTCGTCGTCCTGTTCGTCCAATGCCCAGAAGCCCACTTCATTGCCCTTCAATGGCACATCGGGGAAATCCAAGGGCTCGACTTCCTTGCCGATTTCCCGGTCCACACTGTCGACAAGCCTCTCCATTGATGGGTCTTCGGCATTGAAGTCAATCCCTGCTTCTTCGAATTCGGCGGCATAGTGATTCTGCAGCGCCAGATATGACTCTTGATCCTTGGGCGAGAGCATTTGGAAATCGGCCAGTTCGTCCGCATCGAGGTCGGCGAGGGTGATGGGTGTGGAGGGGACTTTGTAGCCGCCTTCAGGAGGTCGACTGAGGTCCAGGTCTTCGCCGTCATCTTCATCATCGTCTGCGTCCTGGTCAAACGCACTGGTCCTTCGGTTATTGTCTGCCCGGCGCGGCAAGGACGTCGAGAGTTGTCGAAATTGTACGCTTGTGCTCGTGACTCGATGCCGTCGTTGGGCCAAGAGCTGCGACTGTGCTGCTGTTTGACATTTTCTCTTAACAGGTATCTGTCGAGTGACCTGAAACAACGACCGACATAGATGCCGTGCCGTAGTGGCCATTGTTGCTGCGTGTCTTTTAGATCTTGTGAGCCTGCGCATTGGGGAGCTTCAGATAAATTTCCCCAAATCGCACTTGCATATGGGTCCCTTGTAGTTCGCCGTACCGTTAGATGTAAAGCTCGTGCCGTGTGATCCGCCGAAGTCTACATCTTGTGGTCTACCTCAACGTCGTCTCCATGCTCCCTACCTTGTCGCAATCCTGTCTTCAGGAATTTGGATAATGAGCGATCAGAAATCATCTAGTAATGCCAGTGGGAAGCGGTGCTTTGTGACCATCGGCGCAACAGCCCCCTTCAATAGCCTGGTCCGGGCCGTCCTAGAGCCAACATTCATCAAACCTCTCTGCGATGCAGGGTATACACAGCTACGAGTCCAATATGGCAACCAGGAAGGCGAGGCTATCTTCCAAGAGCGATGCAAAATTCTAAAGGAAGCCGGGTTCGATCAAGGCATCGAGATTACAGGCTTCGGGTTCAACAGGGAAGGGTTGCGAGGGGAGATGCTGGCAGTGAAGGGCCAATCGCCACAGGACGAAGGGATGGTCATCAGCCACGCCGGATCGGGATCAGTTCTTGACGCCCTGCGCATCGGCGTGCCCATTGTGGTGGTCCCAAACACCGATCTGTTGCACAACCATCAGGTAGAGTTGGCCGAGGCTCTGGCCGAGCAGGAGTATGTGATCCACGGCAAGCTCGACAACCTCGCGGGTTCGATAGCGAGCGTCGAGGAGTTGCGGAGGAAGATGAAGCAGTGGCCGCCGCTGAGGTCGGGGGAGGAGAAGTACAAACGCGGGCTGGAGGACGTTATTGCCGAGGAGATGGGCTGGCAGATTGGCTGAGTGGGCACGCCCGCGTTGGGGGCTTCTTGGGCGTTTTCGAACTTGTAGGGTTTCTGTGATCTTACTCATCTGTTATCTTGAAGGGCGGTTTGGCGGGAAGCGAAAAGGTTCAACAAAGGGCATAGAGACGGTATTCGATGCCACGAATTGGGTTTCCAATTGATCAATTAGGTCGACTGTAACATCGAGGGTTCCGTCGACATATTGGACTTTGCAAAGAATTGTCAGCTTCCACCAAATCCGCCTTTGTATCTGCACTGAGAGCCATCCCAGGACATTGAGCAGCTGCCTGCAGCCATACAGTCATGGCTTTCGTGAATTCTGACGGTAGCATAGGTAAGCCATGGCCACAATTCAACTGCACATCTGGCTAACCAGTCTTTTCTCCAGATCCAGGGTGATGATTGATGTCCATGCTCTTGTTTCAATCAGCCGCTGCCCTCCGGTTTTACGACAAGGAAAACGTCCTTGTTAGACTATTTCACTTTGCAAGATGGCAGTGCTCAGTAGTCACGATTCCCGTAGCAAAGCCTGTTCCGTTGCAGTTCTCTCAACAGCTATGCTCTTCCATGGCCCTCCTACTCGCCTTCTTTTCAGGCTACGGTTTGTGGGTCAATAGCCTCAAGAGCCTCAAGGAAGGCCAATGTGCGCTGATAGCGGTATGTACATGGTCCTTCAGATGTCTTGGCTCGGTTCTGCCACTCGCGTATCTTCCTTGTTGGGTTTTTCGTACGTAGCCAATCTGGGTCATGGTGCTGCTGAATGCGAAAGATTTGCAACATTAAACCGTCGATGTCGTCGTGAAACCAATCACAAACTTTCTCATCGTGCAAGACTCGCGCGTCGCCTCCATCCCATTGGTACATCGACCTCTGTGTCACTTTTTTCAAGGCATCCCATGCGAAGGTAGGCCCGTTGACCAAGGTGCCTCTGTTAATCAATGCCTGAATTCGCGGAAGCTGAGGTTGCAAGGACCGTGGCCAAATCTCAATCGACTGCACTGCCTCGTGCTCAAGAGCTGTCCTGAATGCGTTCCCCGCCGAGACATCCGCTGCACAGATGATATTGTTGCGCTCCTCTTTGGCATTACGTCTAGCATCTTCAAAGGCTCTGTCGCGATATGCGAGCAGTTGATTCCCCGTGACCGCGCCAGTGGTTGGATGTGCAAGCAGTGTCAAGACTACCTCCTTCAGATCTCCATGTGACATGTGCTGAAGGACAAGCTCTGGGGCTGTACACTCATTAGTGTGCGGCTGGTACAACAGGCGTAGAACCACAATCCGTACAGATCTCGGGCTTGCTTGGTCCCGCCGCGCGTTTCGAAGGTTCGTCGAGCACGTCACTGTGTCGTCGCTTGTGAGCTGTGGCCATTTTGATTGAAGACTCAGAAGTCTATTGACTGTCTAGCTAGATACTAGGTTCGAGTAAGAGGCGGTGTGAAGGGACGTCAGGTCGCAAGGTCCGAGGACTTTAGATCGTTCGACGCGTCTGGACGCTAGAGACGCATTCTATTCGCGTTGCCACCAATCCTAGGCTGGCACTAAAGTGGAATCAAACCAAGGACGGTGGCTTGGGTGGCTTATTACGCTCTGATCCTTCGAGAGACACATCAGGATAGAGGCTTTATACAGAGCTTCTATCGACCACAGCTCCATTCTGTGAATCCTGGGTGTTTCCAAGTTATTATCCAAGCTAAGATGGCGCTTCGCTGGCAGTGTTAAGGCGAGGAGGAACAGGTGGCAGAAGGAGATAGGGTCAATTCAACGACAGTTCAAGAGAAGACTCTCTGCGAATGTAACAAGCCGACGGAAAGGACTCTGACCGCCATCTATTCTTCGAGGCTGTCGCAATTGAGTGTGATATCGCCGCCGCCGTCACAACGGAGACTGCGCCCACTCCCACGGCCTTCCGTCGGTCCCCCATATTCTAACCCCCAGGTATGACTGGCTTGCGGCCTCAAACTCAACACCTTGTTAATACTCTGAGATGTCTGGATGTGTCCGTCGGGCGTTCGCAGGGCCACCCTCTCTCGATTAGAGCGAAGCATGCCGGCGCTTGGGTCATAGCCGCGGATCCCATAGTAGCCCTGCACCCGCTTTTCCTGTGCTTTCCTTTCTGCCTTGATTTTGTCGTTCTGCTTTGCTCGCTCTCTGCTCTCCTGTCTTTTCTGCTTTCGCGTTCTGTCTTCTTCTTCCCGTCGTGCTTTCCGTTCTTGTGCCGCTGCTTCTTTGCGAGCTTTGGACTGTGCGCTTGGCTCATCTTGTTGGTTTTTCTCGACATCCTGCATCGCAAGGTCTCTGATGCCTTTGGATCGCCTGAACAAGATGCAGTCAAATATTTTGTTTGAGCTGACTTGATGCGTTGCCGCTATCCTGGGGGCCGGTAGGGAAAGAGTGGAACCATCATTTTCTGGACAGTCATGAGAATTACGTTCCACGAGGTCGTCCGGGCCTTGGTGTGCTGCTCCGCGAGCTGCGCTCCCCTCGAAGTCGACTTGATCATGCCTCGGCAGGTCGGCCATGGTGTTCACACGGGATTCGTTTCGCTCCGGTTGAGTAGAGACCGCCGTGATTGAGATATGGATAGGATCGAGTCAAACCGGAAGAAGCGACGCTCTCTGTTTCGGTGAATTGTCAAAATACAATGGATGAAGAGCGCTAGAAGCAGGACAATAAAGATGGGTGCGATAAAATATTCCACGAATTCGATGAGGTTGTTGAAAGCCATAGGTGAGGTGACTGAGTAACAAACAGAAGGCGACTGACTACGCGTGATGGATGGAAAACAGACATTCTCCGTTGATAACCTGAGCCAAACCGCACCTTGTCACCCAGACAAGGCAGGCACGACCGTGCAAGTGACTGCAGTGTGTTATCATCCAACGGAGCTTCAGCTGTGGGCTTTGCATCTGGCTCATTTTCATGACTGGGTTCAATTCCGTTGCTACCGTGGACTCCCATTGCAACAGGCAACGTTTATGCAACATGCATAGTACCTGGTGCGGTCTCCACGGCAAATGCATCTCTGGATCCGACAGGAGCCAAATGCCGACTCGAAATGGAACTTGATCTGCTGCTCTGATGCACAGCAGGCAGCTGACGTCTTGGGGCGGCTCATGGTCAGCGATATGAGTACAAGACAAGGTGTTGGTGTCCATGTACACAACTCCAATCTTCGATGATCACTTGGCGCCTTTGTCTGTGTAGAACAGCGTCTGAATTCAAGGGTTTGCCCAAGCTTTTACCGTCTATTGTCATTTGCACCCGGAGGACCACTCATATTGAAACCCGGTGGAGGCGGGGCTTGGCTCTGATTCATGCCACTACCAGGTCCCGGGCTTGGACCTCCTGGCGGGCCTTGCTGACCTGGTTGACCTGGAGGTGGGAATCCGCCTGGCCCCCCAGGAGGAGGAAACTGGAAGTTGGGAGGAAATCCACCCGGTGGAGGAGGAAAGGGCAAGCCGTTGGGAAGGTTTGGAGGAGGAGCACCACTGGCCGGGAAGGGTGGAAATGGCATGCCGCGACCACCAGGGGGAGGTACTATACCACCTGGACCTGGCGGCGGAGCACCAGGCAGTCCAAACGGTGGAGGAGGCATTCCTGCGAGACACCAGTGAGACGAAGTCTAGACGCAGTTGGGGCAGAACTTACCTGGAAATCCGGGCAGAGGCGGAGGAAACCCCGGCGCAGCTTGTTGAAGCATAGGGTTTGCTTGACCTTCGGCGGCGTAAGAAGACGTGATCGAGTCAATGACCGACTGTGCCTTTTCGTGACCAATCTCTATATCTCGTTAAACACTGTTGGCCCTCTCCTGCCTTTTTGTACATACGCTGATAGTACTCGACAACGTTTCTCAGGTGATTTCGACCAGCATTGTGAGCCTTGCGCACAGACATTGAATCATGTGTAAGGTAGACATCACAGTAGTCGCAAAAGAGTACTGCATATGTCAGTCAAGCAGCCACACGTGGGATGGGAAGGACTTATATTTGGGCATTTTGACTGCTAGAGGGATCGAAATGGGCTTCCGAGTGACAGAGGCGTAATCAGAATCGGCTGGTGTGTGGATAAGTAGCTTGGTAGTGCTGAAGGGTGTGTTTCTTCGCGTTGTGAAAGTCGATACTTGATGGTGAGGAACAAATCCTACAAAAGGCGGTGTAAAGCGGCAGAATTTTTCCCGTCGCGTCTCGCCGCTGAACTCGCGTCCTCTCTTGTCCCAAGTCTCGATGTCCTCAACTACAACAACGACACCATCGGCATAATGCGGTGACTGAAGCTTCAATCCCCCTCAGTATCAGTTCTTACTTGTTTGGAGTGCCTTTGCCCGACATGGCCGACGGTGGAAGTCTGCACAATGTACCGCTCGTGCTGGACAACGGAAGCGGCACCATTCGAGCTGGCTTCGCAGGGACCGATCTTCCTGCGGCCTATTTCCCTTCCTATGTCGGCCGTCCGAAGCACGTGCGGGCCCTCGCCGGCGCCCTGGAAGGAGATGTCTTCATCGGTCCGAAGGCGCAGGAACTACGGGGTCTCCTGAAAATCAAGTATCCGCTTGAGCATGGAATTGTGACTGATTGGGACGATATGGAGAAGATTTGGACATATGTCTACGAACAAGAGTTGAAAACACTGAGCGAGGAGCACCCTGTCCTTCTCACAGAGCCTCCCCTGAACCCGAGACAAAATCGAGACACGGCTGCCCAGATCTTATTTGAACAATTCAACGTCCCGGCGATATACATGTCGATCCAAGCCGTTTTGAGTCTATATGCGAGTGGTCGAACAACTGGTATCGTCCTGGACAGTGGAGATGGTGTCAGTCACGCAGTTCCCGTCTACGAGGGATTTGCAATTCCGAGTAGCATACGGAGGATTGACGTGGCAGGAAGAGACATTACAGAATATATGCAACTGCTCCTGCGCAAAAACGGACATGTGTTTCACACCAGCGCAGAAAAAGAAATTGTCAGAATCATGAAAGAGAAAACGGCATACATTGCCCTGGATCCTCGAAAAGAGGAGAAGGACTGGTCTCAAGGGATATGGAAGAACGAGAAAAGAGATGTCGAGTACGTGCTCCCAGATGGCCAGAAGATCAAAATTGGGGCGGAACGCTTCCGGGCGCCTGAGATCTTGTTCGAGCCAGAATTGATCGGGTTGGAATATCAGGGCATCCATCAAATGGTGGTGGATGCCATCAACCGGACGGACATGGACCTCCGCAAAAACCTTTTCGGCAATGTTGTCCTCAGCGGTGGGACGACTCTGTGTAAGGGGTTTCCGGACCGACTTCTGTATGAAATGCAGCGGCTGGCGGTCAAGGATATGCGCATCAAGATATACGCACCCCCGGAGCGAAAATACAGCACCTGGATTGGTGGCAGCATCCTTGCAGGGTTGAGCACATTCAGAAAGGTAAGTGATGAACCAATATTGGGTCGTTGTTGGCTCACCACTAACACCACACCAGATGTGGGTCAGCATTGACGACTGGCATGAGAACCCGGACGTTATCCACACCAAATTCACCTGATGGAAAAATGCTCGTCCAGAGTGATGGCCCTCATGGAGTCGTGGTCAGGAGTTTCAGGACCTCGGTTTCGCTAGATACCGCCTACGAAACCATGAGCATCTGGCGGTGAGGTCAAACAGAAGAGCAGAAACTTTTTGGTGTCAGGCACCACCGGTAGCGCGCAAAGGACACCTATTCCCCCGCGTCACAGGGAGGCCAACTTTGGATCTGGTGATGGATGAAACCTTGGGCCGCCTTGGGCAACTGCGGGGAAGTGCCGACAATCCGGGGACGGGTCTAGCCACCGGTCAACAGGCTCTGGGAGCACACTACCTATCCGGATTGAGGCAGACCAACAACCCTGAAGGCGGACATTACTCGTACCTGTGGTTGACGGCGAGGGCGGGACGGCCTCGATCCTTCTCAGGGGTAACCCGCAACACGTGTCGAATTGTCAGGACGACAAGGAAGCGAACAAGAGAGCAAAGAGGAGAGAGAGGCGCGAGTGCTGTTTCAGGGGGCCCCAGCTTCAGCGGTGGTGATTATGGTGACTTGAGGTGCCCATGGTGATGGACGGGGCAAGCAAAGCAATCTATTACCCCCAGGAAACGACGGTCCCCGCTCTGGGCAGCAGACGATTACCCCATAGATTGCTTCGGAGGGCAGCGCGTGGCGGAGGAAGAGGCCGAGATGAGGCTGGGCATGACTAACGGAATGGCATCTCGTGGTCAACCTGGTCACCTATGGTCAACCTGACGTCGTGTCGCAGCGAATCACCGCCTCGCCGGCGACTCCGCCAGAGGAATTTTCTGCGCGAGACTTTGGCCCTCGCGCTGCTTCCGCCATCACCCAAGTCACGCAAAGTCACTCTCACCACAGTTTCCTCTTGGTTTTCCTTGGTGCCGCCCCGGACCCAAGTTCCCTAGAATATCCACCTGCATTTCTCCTGATTCCATGACGCCAGCAATGTCGTTTTTCCCTGGTGCCGCTCCCTGGTGTCGCCATCAAGTCCCCATCGTGACCTGCAAATTTGCACCTTCGCGCTTTGCAGTTAACGGCAGCTCTGTCTCAACTTTGGCCGACACTTTCCAGTTAACTGCAAAGTGCGAGAAGGAGTTGGGTTTCTATCGAGTAATGGCCCCAGCACTCACACGCTCATGGCGCCCTCCCTTGCTGTTTCCCCCTTGCTTGCCGTCTTGACTGGAGATCCGTTGTGCCAACTGGGTTTCCTGGTTTGTCCATTATAGAAAATTTTCTCTCGCCATGCCCGTGGTCCGTGATCCGTATATAATCACCTGGTGCGCTTGCTGCTGCTCGTGACGGGATTTTCTATTTCCCATTCCCCCGTCCCAAAATTGCCCATTATTACTGATAGAGGAAGCCCATCGTCATCGACCGTGCGGAAAATACCTCAGTCCAACTAAGAACAACCACAAACAACAACACAAGGTCCTCACCGAGTCACGTCCTACCGTCACCTGACAACTCGAGAGAACCCAATCGAATCCCATTCCTGGGCTCATTCTCCGCAAAACATTTCTCAGGCGCGTGCACCAATCATAAATACTTCCTGGTCAACACCACACAGGGGATTGTTTTCCTACATACCAGCCCACGACATCATCACAGTGCAGAACGTTTATTCTCGAAGCGAATAAGAGCAATAAAACCTCAAATCAATCGGACTGTGCCTCAAATCAGCCAACACAACACAAAACAACTACCTACACCCACAATACACACAAAAAACATGTCCGTCTCAACATCAAGATCCTACTCGATCGTCGAGCCCCACCCCTCCGTGTCCAACAACACGCACTACATCTCAACAGGGCGAGGCGGGTTCGGCAACGCCGTGAGATCCTCGTCAAGCAGCGCCTCGGCATGGGGGGTTAGCCACGTCGCAGCCACGGCCGGCGGTCACGCAGCAGCATCATCATCATCATCATCCCGGCTCGGCTCCCAGTCGTCCACGCCATCCTCAACGACCTCGAGCTCGTCGTCCCGAAGGACCTTCACGACCGGCCGCGGCGGGGCAGGCAACGTATTCCCCAGCTCGGAGCGCGCCATTTTCAGTTTCGACGAGGAACTCGAGCAGCAGTTGCGCTGGGAGCGCGACGCCGCTCCCGTGTACCACGTCGGCAGGGGCGGGGCGGGCAATGTCGGTCACGTTGGTGGTGGTGGCAACAACAACAGCAGCATCATGTCCCATCCCCCTCCACCGGTAGCCAGCTCCAGCATGGCAATGATGAGACGTAGGCCAAGCGAAGAGAGCGCCGTGTCGGCCACCAGCGCGAGCTCGCACGGCAGCGAGTCCGGCGCGGACCAGTTCAATCGCAGCGTGAAGAACGGGTGGAAGAAGATCGCCGGCATGGGCATGCATCATCATCACCACATCCAGCACTAGTCTCCTCTCCTTTTTCTACATCTTTTCACATCCTTTCCCCCTCGACATCACGACATGACATCGTCACACCGTTACCTCTCTCTTTCTGTGTGTCTCTGCAAACGGCCTGGCCGGCTGAGCTGGCTGGACACACTTGAGGCGCGACCCTTTCTCCACAGAACCCTTTGGACGATTATTATGACTTATGAACCACCCCGTTATAATACCTATTTCTTACCTCTTTTGACCCTTTTTTTTGGATTCAGGCGTGGCGTTCTGGGGATGATTGATGATCAAAGGCCCCAAAGAAAATCGGGGCATTGGGCCTAGGCATTGCATTGCATGGCATGGCATGATCATTGGGCGAGGGCCACCGGACACAACAAGCATAGCATGGTCGGACAGATGGACGGATGGAAAGGATACGGACGGTGCATGGCAAAGGGGGAAAGCAAAAAGCATGGAGCTCCTGACGATCGTCTTGTGTGTTGTTCACAGATTACCTTTCTTGTGACCTGTGCATTTTCTGTCAACTATGTATGGCCCGAGTATCACAGAGAGGGCTATGCTAGACAACAATAAAATCCATTGCAAGGCACCTAGAATGCATCTCGCTATGGCGTTTTAATAATCCCGTACTCGGTACATCATGTCTCGTGTTATTCCACCCTTCTCTCAACACCTTGTCTACTCACTGTAAGGTACTTGACGCCTTTATACGGCCGCACACCGTCGCCCAGTCCCTTGGATTTCTTCACGTCGACCATCAAGCTGTCGACCTTGATCCCACTGGGTAGCCATCCTTTGACACTGAACGAGACGGCGATCGACCGTGGCATCAGCGCCTTGATCGCTTGCGTTCTCTTGGCGCTGCCATTGCCTCCTGATGATTCAGAGGCTGTGCCCTGGTTGGCGACGACATCTTCCTGGTAGTACCCTGCCATGGTGTTCTGTTTCCCGATTTCGGCGGCCTGTGTCTCTTCGTCCATGTCACTCTGCGCATTGAACGCGCCCGCCACTGTGCCCGTCAATGTCGCTGTTCCGTTGATCGATGCGCCGTCCTTGGTGGGGACTTTCCACTCGACAACCCTCTCAAACGCATTGAACGTAGCTTCCCCCCTCGAGGCCTTCAATTCAGTGACGCTCCGCACGTCGGAAGGAAATGGTATTGTGACCATCACGGCTTCCAATGTCGGGGCACTGGAACTACCACTGCTGGCACCACCGAAGGACAATGAAGACATTGGGCCTGAACTTGTCCGCGAGGCGGCCGGTTTGGTGGCCGAAGAAACACCGGGAAAATTGTTGTTCAAGGTCAATTTGGCTTCGAATTCGGAACCGGAACTACCAAGTCCACTTCGCAGGTCTACAGTGGCTGGTAGGAATACTTTGTCACTTTTGCTGGGAGGCTGATCCGTGTCGAGGGAAGTGGGCATCAAGTCGGTCTCGTAGCCTCCAAGCATGAAACGGCCATCTGGCGGGACGAATGACAGCTCTCCTGGGTGTTCTTTCCATCGCGCTAATCGGACGCAGGGATGGAAGACTGGGAGTTGCATAGTGCGAGTGATTCCCGAGGTTTTGGCACTGCTGGTGCCTCCGGGCGCGGTCAATACCAGCAGCAAATCTGGCACCCCAGATATTTTGGCTGTGAATGCAATCGAACCGTGTGACCGCGCGGATATGGGACGACCCGAGGGGGCGAATATCACTGACAGATTCTCAATGATGTCGACATATAGCTCGTTAGAGGTGTGTCGGACATTGGACCTCCGCCATGGGATTGCTGGTCCTACAGGAGGCGAAGCAGTCCCACGAAGGCTGGAGGAAAAGTTGCTCGACGGCCCGAGAGCGGGCGAAGCCCTGGAACAATCAGCACAGCGTACATTTGCGAAACATAGTCCAGAGTGTACCCAGGCAGTCCTACGTGCGTGAACAACTTTCCAAGCACTGAGGAAACTTCTACCGACTCTCTCAGCGCATTGGGTTCGGTGTTGCATACTATGCCTCCATCACACATTTCACCCAGTAATTGGGCCACAATTTCATAATTGTCTTCAATCTTTGTGGTTAGGAGGGGGCTCCCAAGAAAATCCTCAAAAACATCGAGGACTCGTTGGAGGAAATCGAGGATGGCCAGCGACTGGGCATCTTTGCCAGATACTGCAATCAGCTGAAACCCCGAAGGAGAAATCGAGTATGCTGTGGTTGGTGGTGCGAGGTCTGAGAGTTGGAGGATGGAGGGTCGAGGGCCGGTTCGCGCAGTCAAACTAGTGATGAGGGCCTGCGCAGATGGTGGGCGACCGGAGTAAATGTGTTCGAGGACGCAGTTGCTTGCATAGGGATTAGCATCTCACACGGCCAACATAGAGACAACCTACTTGTGATCATCAAAGACGTAGAGCGCGTCAATGGTGACGCTCATATTGAGAAGGAGGATGGGCAACTCACAGCCCAATGCATGGCGGGATGCATATTGATCTCACCAGCGCAGCCAAATCTCTTGCCACTTTAACCATTCGTCACTACAGACGTACCTCGTCCTTTGCGCTGCTTCTCATCTCCTCTATCACAACTGAAGCATCCATTCCATGCAGATGTGAGTGCACAGCCATCTCGTATGTTTCTTCATACACGCTAGGCTACATTGAAAGCCAACCACATATACGGAGTATGACTGCCCAGGAGATGTAACGGATTCCTACTCTAACCGAGGGCGCAACCTGTTTGGCTTCGGTGGATATGATGCATCAGAGTTTAGGCCGCCGTATCTCCTCTACTAGTATCGAGCTATCTATAGGTAGTAGCTGTTTCTTAGTCGCTCTACTATCTGACCGCCTGATAGAGCAAAGACTACCGCTTCCCTTCTATACTCCACCAACTCTACTTGTGTCAAACTGACTACTAATTTCAAGACATCCCCATCGTGATAAAGATATATACACATACGCAACCCCAACATGAGCATCAAGACACTGTTTCCGGCATCCAGCCAGAAGCCGCGATCACAATACTCTATTGCGGGAAATATTGGGTCTGGCAAGAAGACCGGGTTCGGCCCTTATTCAGGGTTCGAAATTGCTGTAAGCATATTTCCACACGAAGTCTCTTCTGCTTCACGGCGTGGTGGGACTAAACCACTCCCTAGCTTCTGAAGGACAACTTCTCCATATCAACTTGGCTCCTCATGGGTGGTGCCATTCAGCTCCTGCTCTCTTTTGTCTTTCCTCGATCTTACATCGCTTTCCCTGTTCTGGCCATCTTGGCCTGGAACATTGGTGATGCTTTCATGATGCACTTTGGCCTGAAGAAGAACGTTTGGTCTGAGGGTGTCATTGATGGAAAATGGAGCGTGGCGTATCCTTCCGAGGGAGCGACAGAAGTGGTCCGCGGCAACCCTAGCGAAAATGGTCCACGCGCCGTCATGATTCTAGGAGCAAGGAGCAATTCGCCAATGGGCATGTTTGCTGACGGTGAGCATCGGTTGTTTTACTTGGTTCCAATCAGCTCTAACTATTTGATTTTTCCAGGCTACAAGGAAGTTGGGGCTCGGTTTCGGGACATGCTCGTGCAACTGGAAGACACTCGAGAAGAAAGTGGTTGTGAGCTGCTAGCTTGTCCTTCCTAGCACTTTTTTCTCCACTAACTCTCTTCAGTCCTGGGTATGTCGACTTGGCTCAGTGCCGGCGAACGGTCCACAGGCAATGAAGCCGCGACCATTTCGTACTGGCGCTCGGTTGAGGATATTCACAATTTCGCACTGTCGCCGATTCACCGTGACGCCTGGAATTGGTGGAACGACACCGTGTCCAAGCACAAGGACATCGGTATCATGCACGAAATCTTTGCTCTGCCTGAGCATCACGGCTGGGAGGGTATCTATGTCAACTATCACCCTACCGGCCTGGGCATGACGACCCGGTCTGTGGGATCGGGAGGTAAGAAGATGTGGATCAACCCTATCGTGGATGCCAGCCGCGGCGTTTACCGAACAAGTCGAGGACGTATGAGCAGAGGAGACCCCGAGGGCAAGTGCAACGACAAGGTGGCACAAGATCCATATTCTCAGGCTGTCCTTATGAACTAGACGACGAGGTGATGTGTATAAAAAGAAGCTCAGGGAATGGTGCAACCATGAGCAACAGCCCAGACAACGCAATGCTGGATTACACCACTTTTTTTTTTTGGCGCGAGAAGCTCCTTGTTTTTTGCTCTTGCAGATTTCCTGTGCACGCGGAAAGAATACTTAGTCACTCGACTCCACCTGGCCATCCTGTCTTCAACGAAGCATCCCGTCCCCCTTCCCTTTGGGGGTTCTCTACTAAATACACCAGGACCTCCACTCTCTTCAGGGTTTCAACCTGAGTCCTGACCCAGCTTGGCCCTCGCCCGTGAGCTGCTGACGAGATGCTGTCCCGCAATCAGCGCAAAGACCACGGCGCCTCCACCAACGGTCACCTTGGCGAGGTCGGACAAGGGTTCGCCCTGCAGAGAGCCGACGATGACGCTGCCGCAGTCGATCGTGTCGACGACCAGACCGAGCCAGACGGCCGAGCGGAGAGCAGATTCTCTCTCCGCCATCTGCAGGTGCTTGTTGCCGCCGTGTCCGGGGCCTTGCTCACGGCCCCTGGGAAAGACAGAGGAGGGGTTGGTTGGTGGTGGTGGTGATGGTGATGTTGCGCCGATTCCGTCCCCGTCCCCGTCCTTGTTGAACAGCAGCGGCGTCCTACCCATATCGCGACCTCCTCCCATAACAGCACGATCTGCACCGACAACCCCGTCTGCCTTGTTGTTCGCAACCTCTTCCCAACCCCTGACTCGCTTCCACAAGTACGCACCGAGCACGATATCCCTCACGCCCGCCATGCGGCCCAGGAGCACCCCCTCCGGGCCCGTGCCCAACGGGATGCCGAAGAGCAGGCCCGCGTGGCGGGGCACGAGCAGGCACGCGCCGCCGACCAGCATGCGCAGCGCCGCGAGGGTTTTCAGCGTCATGGGGGACATCGTGCGGCCTGGATCCTATGTGGGTTGTCTTGATGGGAGATTGAATCTTAGGTCGTGGACCCCCTGAGGAGGAAGAAGAAGAAGAAGAAGGGAGGAACGATTGAAGACGACTCGACTTGTCCCACTTCAGAACAAGGAGATATATTGTGGACAATTAGACGAGGAAAGGATTAGGTTGGAAGGAAGATGGATTCTTTTTTTTCCCAACCCATCTTTACTTCTCTCGAGACGGGATACATATACTTCCTTATATCCCGCTTCAAGACATCTGGGTGCTTCGTATCTCGTATTCCCATGACCATAACGTTAAGGTCGCATAATGCCCATCGCCTGCCTAATTGTTAAGTTGGTCCATTTTTCCCCGGGAACCTATCGCAAAATCCAATACGAAGTAAAAGGGCCAAGAGGTGTCTTCTTTACACTGACAATGTGATTTCTTGTTTTTCCCTGCCATTGACTAATCTACAGATAGCCACTTGAGGTGCGCCCCATGTGCTCTGCCGGAGACAGGCCCAGCTCCAGAAGCCTCAAAAGACGCATGCTCATTCCCGCCATGTGCAAGGCATGATGCCGAAAAACCCGCAGAGTTGTGCCGGACTCGTTACAACACACAATGCCATCCGTCCCAATCTCGCCATCGCATAATTTGACAAAAACCAGCCAATGCATTATCACCCGTCACTCTATCAACACTCCTTGCAGGGTAGAGATGCCTGTGATGCAGTGTTCCCATCAAGTGGCCGATAACCCGTAGCATCCTGATGAACGTGCCGTCATAACCACAGATACTGTAAACCTCGTCCAAGTAATCTAATAATACTTGTCGTTTTCCGTTTATTTCTTCTTTCCCTTCGACCGGCTCGCTGGTGCCGTCGTGGATGAAACGCTCTGTGCTCGAGAGGTTGCTGGAGAAGACACTTTACTGCCACGACCAGATTTGACGGCCTTGACTTGCTTGTTCTGAAACAACTGTTAGTTGGAGCTGAGCAACGTGTTTTCAGCGTGTACATACCACAATACCGTTCTTTGCCTTCTTCTTTACAGGCGCAGCTTCGCTGTCGTTCTCCTCGTCCTCGTCATCATCGCGGTCACGGCCTCTTCCTTTTCCGGGACCGTGGCCATTCGTGAGCTTCTCTTCGGTCTCCCCAAACTCTCTAGACACGGTGTTGAGCAAGGTGGTGCATCGTCGACCAATTTCGACAGGCGTTCGGCTAAGGAAGAACCAATCGAATCGGAACAGCGGCGACTCCCGGATCTCATCCCGGATTCTCTCGTACAGGCCTTCGCCGTCAACACCGTACTTGTCAAGCATGACCAGGAGGAAGCGGTCTTCCTCCTCGGTGTAGACCTTCTTGTTGGTCGTGGATACGGTATAGTTGATCTTCAATTGTTGCAGCGGCACTCGATACATCTCCATCTTCTTGCGGAGCATCTTCCGCTGCCGTTCGGTCTTACGCAGCTTTTCCTCTCCTGCCTCGATGTTCTTGATATATTTATCAAACTCGGCGATTTCTGTGTATCTCTTCCAGAAGACCTTTGCATACTTTTCGATTTCATCCGGCTCCTTGCTGTCGACTTCGGTCGCAATTCCTTCATAGTTTGTTCTGCCAAATTTAGCAGAACCGTTAATGAACTGTTGGAAATCACGCCGATTCCAGTTCCCGAAGCCGTGTTCCTGCATCTCTGCTTTGCGTTGTTTCTCTTCCTCGGTCAGCGGCTCTGCATTGTCAATTTCGTTCTGAGCTAGCCGCTGATCGGCTTCCCGGTCGCTGAGATCTTCTTCGGTACCTTCCGTCAGGGGTACCTTAAAGCCAATTTCTTTGTGGTAGTAGGCTGTCTCCTTTTCCTGCAATTCTTGCAGACCCGGAGGGAAGAATTGCCAGTCGTGCACAGCGACCTGTTTCGGCGCCCGTGGAATCTTGGGCTTGGTATCTGCAGGTCGTCCACCTGTCGACAAGGCCTGCTTGTAGTACTTATCCATTGAGTAGGACTGTTCCTTTCGTTCACGTTTGCTTGGATTGATCCAGTGAAGGCTGATATCTTTTCGTCGGTTCGTGAAATCCTCACCGTTCCATTCGTAGGCGTTCTCGGAGGAGAATTTTTGGAGATCGTCAATCCCAAGTTTCTCATATTTAGCACTGAGTTCTGCAGTTCGGGCTTCGCCACGTCGCAGAATCTCATCAATGTCGTCAAGTTCTCCTGTTGAGCCCTTCGTTTCAAATACTTTCTCTGCGCCATGTTGGATCATGGTCAACAACTCATCCTTCGACGCCGCCTGCTTGGCTTGCTGTTGTGCGCGCCCTTGTTGGATGACAAGCTGGTCTAGACGCAACTTTTGGGCAGCTCTCTCAAGAACCTTTTCTTCAATGGCATTCTCTGTCACAAATCGGAATACCACGACTTGCTTAGTCTGGCCGATTCGGTGTGCTCGATCCATTGCTTGCAGATCTGCTTGAGGATTCCAATCGCTGTCATAGAGAATCACAATGTTGGCCGAGGTCAAATTGATGCCCAAACCACCGGCTCGGGTAGTCAGAAGGAAGACGAACTTCTCCGATCCCGGTTTGTTGTACTCATCAATGGCGGCAATTCGATCCTCATGTGCAGTTCCGCCGTCAATTCGACAGTACTGATGACCTCGGAAAACGCAGTAGTCTTCGAGGATGTCTAGCACTCTGCTCATCTGAGAGAATATCAGGACTCGGCTTCCCTCTTCCTTCATTCGCTTGAGGATTTTGTCAAGAATGAGCATCTTGCCAGAATTGAAGACGAGATGCTCATCGGTGGTGTAGGGAGGACCTGGTTCAGCACCTTCGAACAGATATGGATGGTTGCAGCATTTTCGGAGCTGCATGACAATGTTCAAAAGTCTCGTCTTTGACTCACGCTTGCCTCCTGCACCATTGACAGCGTCGATGTCCTTCTCCAGGATTTTTTTGTACCATTTAACCTGCATCTCTGACATGCCGACGTAGAGATTCACCTCCTTCTTCGGCAGCAGGCTCTTCTCAACGTCACTCTTCACTCTCCGAAGCAAGAACGGTCTCAAAACGCGATGGAGCTGTTGAACCACTGTGTCTTGGTCTGCATTCTGGCTAGAGAACCAGGAATCGAATGCTTCGGAGTCTCCAAATACGTCAGGAAGCAAGAAATTGAGCAGGGCCCAAAGTTCGTGAAGATTGTTCTGAAGCGGAGTGCCGGTGATGAGGAGTCTGTTTCGCGAGCTGAACATTCTGATAATCTGTGCAAGTGAGGACTCTTCGTTCTTGATTCGATGGGCTTCATCAACAATAATGTATTCCCACGCAAATTTTTTCAGGTGAGACTTTTCCCGGAGAATCATTTCGTAGCTCGTAATACAAACGTCGAATTTTTCGTCAATTAGTCGTTCATTGATCAAGGCATGACGGTCATCCTTTGCACCCTGTAAGACGAGCACATCGACATCAGGAGTCCATTTCTTGAACTCTCGGTGCCAATTATCCAAGGTGGACTTGGGAACCGTGATGAGATGCGGACCTTTTATGCCACAGATGTGTCGCAAGTATCCGAGGAAGGAAATTGTCTGCAGTGTTTTACCAAGGCCCATCTCGTCAGCGAGGATACCACTAATACCGTTCTCGTGGAGAGAAATGAGCCAATTGAGGCCGGCGACCTGATAGTCGCGCATCTCGCCACCCTTGATGAAGGCCGGCGACTCTCGAAAGACAGTCTGGGAAGCTGTGCCACGCTTTTCATCCCTCAGGAGTTCAGCATCCTCTTCCTGTTCGGTCTTTCGCTTGTTTGCACCTGCGGCACCCCCTTTGCGGGACACGACCTTTCTGGCCTTGGCCTCCTCTTCAGCATTTTCTTGATCGATCTGTTGCAGAACTTCTCTGATCTTGGGGTTTGGGCTCGCATCGATGAAGTGGCGGAAGAGATCGGTCAGACCTAGCAAGTACCTGAATCTCCGCAAGGTATCATCCTCTTTTGACTCGTCCAATTGACCATGCTTCTTTCCCAGGATGCTTTTCCGTAGTTGAAATGCTTCTGAGCGCTTCTTGCGGCCGTCCAGCTGAGGGCTATCCCCAGCGACGCTTGAGGCGGTCGTGTTGGGATTTGTGTCGGAGTCGGTGTAATCGGGGGTATCGTCTACTGGGCGATTGAGGTGCCCGAAAGAAGGTCTGTGGGGGCGTACATACTCAGGACCGTCGGTCATTGGAGTATCCGCGACAGAGGAGGTCTCTGAGTCGGGCAATTGTGACTTTGAGGGAGCCATAGTGAAGGAGTTGAGGGGTGATGGCGGCCACGGCCGCGGCGGAGGGAATAGTTCTCGTTCAGGATATGTAAATAGTTCAGACGCGACTTCTGCTTGCCGAAACCGAAAGGATATTAGAGTGGCACGAAGCAGAGGAAAGACACGATGGCAACGTGTCGTGCAGGCAGAAGTAGAGTTGGCAAGCAGAGATGTTGACGAGTGTGAAAAGATATGGAGGGAGGGTGTGGAGAGAAGAATGAACCTCTTGCCTCACTGCACCTTTCCTCACAAACGCGCTGCGATAGCCTCTGATTGGCCAGAACACGTCCATGGTTCGGCATACATGCCGTGTTAATATTTTCACGTGATTTGGCTTTTTTTGGTCCTTGTGCGGATTAACACATCCACCGAGCCACATGGTCACGGGGACTGACACTTCTTTTGCTCTGTTTCACTCATCCAGCTGCCCAACCACAACTACACTTCCTGCAGCTGCTTGGCTCCTTGCGTGAACGGGCGAGGACTTCATCTGAGCGAAATTCACCCTTCCTTTGTCATCCTTTCTGTGTCCTGCGGAGAGAAGCAGTTTTTTGTCTTAAGGGCCGGCATCAAAACAAACCCCTCCCTCGGTCGTTTCATAATCAAGACCTTCGGCATCGGCTCGAGGCACCGCTCCTTTATCAGCTCATCCACCCAAAGAGCCTCCTCGAGTCTTCATCATGGACTCGATGAGGTCTCTCAACACCTCATTACCCTCGACTCGGCCTGCACCTCCCGAACAACTCCTCCAAGCCTTCCGGACCGCCGCCCTCTCCGTGACAAACCTGTACAAGTCGGCAGTCACAGACCAGAATGCCAGCCGTCAAGCGGGGTACCAAGATGCTCTGGAGGATCTGCTAAGCTTTTTGGACAAGGAGAATCTCGGTCTACAAGATGGCGAGGGCTGGAGAGTGAGGCAGTGGGCGACGGAAAGATATGAAGGGTCTACCCATCATCACCAGATCGAAAGCGACGATGAAAGAAGCGAAACCGGGCAAGGGCAAACGCAACGAGGCCTCACCCCAGCGGGCGAGCAGACAGTCGCAACTACAGCAGCCGCCCAATCTGCACCTGCAAGAGCAGAGTCGAGTACGCAAACCGATGACCACCAAAGTTCTTCATCTCAAGAGCAGTCGGCCTCTGCTCCCATGTTTTACTTTAGTGGAAACCCTGCCTCGACTTCGCTTGACGATATGCAGACCGAGGAGGATGGCACTGCACCTACGGAAACTCAGGCATCTTCATCAACGTCGGGCAACGTGAGCCGAACAACTCTTATCAACAACCGAGGGAATCGCACACCCCATAGAACCGGCAACCAAAGACACGGAACACGATCATCGACGCGAGAGTTTACTTTTACAGCCGGAACGAAGCGCAAATTTCAGATACCCGACTTCTTTGATATTTCCAACATTGGCCCGAGGGATGGATTTGAAAGCAGCAAGAGGGGAAGGACTTCGTGACCTTTTTCCCGCCCACTCGGTTTATGTGTTCAGCGGCATGATCAGGATCTTTTCAGCCCTTGTTGCATGAAACGGTATATTCTTATGAGGACATGACCATCAGCATGGCGAAGTTTGAAGTTACAGTAGAGTACATTCATGTATTAGCTCGAGTTGAGCATTCTAGACAGGCAGATACAGAGCACTATACCCCCGGGTAACGACATGCTGCGCCTAATCCAGATTGACCTGAAATCCTTTTGATTTGTTACACGTGCTGACCAGCTTCATCGCCCCCCTTGAACAAATGATAACATAAACCCAACATTTCCCGACCGTCACGACAGTCGCGGCGCCTAGATAAACATGCGATAGATCCCCAAGCCCACCAATGTGGCAGACAACGACAGGATGCCCAGTTGTCGTGAGCCGTATTTGTACTTTGACCTGCTGAGTTCGATGGCCTTTTGCCGTGCGCGAAGCTGCTGCATGCCCGAAAAGTAAGTGTAGCCGCCCAGGCCCACGAACGCGGTTGATCCTGTTACAAAAAAGAAACAGAACAAAGTCGTCAGCCCGTCAGCCCGCCAGCTACTCTGGGAAGTGATCTAGTAGGTGTGTAGTGGGGAAGAATGTTCGAGGGCAAAGACAATACCGAGAACCCTGCACGAGAGGCAGTCTTGTTGCTTGTCGAATGCTCTGGGGTTTTCGAAGTCGGGGAACTTGTCCTCCTTTTTGAAAACCATGGTTTTCTTTGTGAAGTTGGGGGAAATCTGGAGGCCTCTGGGTTCACATTGTGTTTTCGAATGGATGGCTTTTGGTGCTCTTTGTTGCTTAATGGCTTGGATGGGTTTCTACCTAGGTATGGACGCAAAGAAGTGCCCAAGGTGCCTCAAGGAGGATGCTGCACAGAAGCTGCAAACATGCCAAGAGATTGAACACTCCATCCAGAGCCTGAGGTCGCCAATTAATATTAGAGGCAGCCTCGGGAGCTACTACGGCCTCCCAAGGGCCACCTAGGTACTTTAACGCAGGTACTGAGAGGTGCTTGGAGTATTCTACCTCCCTACTTAGGTACCTAGGTAGTGATCTAAGATTCAACCGGTACTGGAAGATGTACAATGTACCTGTGCCACCATGATCGATAGGTTGAAGTGCCAGACTGATTCTTTCGATCCGATTTAATACGGAATTCCTCATACTCGTTCTGTCCAGGGCACCTCATCCGTCCAATGTCGTAATCTGCCGTGGGAGACTCACCAGCGCATTTGTCCGCAATTCTGAGGCAACCTATAAGTGCTGGGTACCTCGTACTTCTAAACGAAATGCCTTCGAGTCTTGCTCTCTCCGAAGCACAACAAATTCCACGACTAGGTATTGACTCTTGATCACATCTCTCGACTCCAGCAAAACGTCAAAGGATGGCTCAACCTCTAGCAAAGACAGACCGCACCGTCATCGTCGGTGCAGGCGTGTTCGGGCTGAGTACGGCTCTCCACCTGGCGAAGCGAGGCTACAACAATGTCACTGTATTCGACGCACAGCCCTACGAAGCGACAAAATACGACTACATGTCAGGCTGTGACTCTGCATCTGCCGATCTCAACAAGATCATCCGGTCTGCATACGGCGAACAGACAGAATACCAGGACCTGTCTGGAGAAGCCATCGAGTGCTGGAAGGCGTGGAACGAAGAGATCAGCACCGGTAGTTGCGTGCCTGATGGCATGACCCGAGCGGATAAGGTCTTTGTCAACAACGGCCATCTCTCGTTGACCGGTGACCGGGACGAGCTGCCCGAATTTGAGAAGGCGACCATCAGAAACATGGAGCGGGCTGGCTTCCACGAGACACAACTCATCACTACCGACAGCCGGCATGAGAAAATTGCCAACGACAGGGGCTTTGGATACGCAATGGATCCGTTTGGACGCAAACCCAAAGGTAAGGGTTACCTTGGCGTCCTCGACACCACTGGTGGCATCGCCATCGCAGACAGGGCTTGCCGGTTTGCCCTGCACAAGGCAAAGCGAATGGGCGTTGACTTCGTCCTGCATCCTGAATCTGGACGTTTTGAGGGGTTCTGGTACGACGACCGAGGAAAAGTCATTGGGATTAGGATGAGGGATGGCCAAACCCACCTCGCATCCAAGGTCGTTATGGCATGTGGTGGGTGGACGCCCTCGCTATTGCCCGAACTAGACGGCATCTGCGAAACCACGGCTGGGTCCGTGGTGATGCTGAAGATACCACGCCAATCACCACTTTTCGAACGGTTCGCCCCAGAGAGGTTTCCGTCTTGGTCATACAGAATGCGAGACGGGTCCATTGGCGGCCTCTATGGGTTTCCCCGCGACGAAAGGGGGTACATGAAGATCGGGTATCGAGGCACAAAATACACCAATCCCAAGACGCAGCAGTCAGATGGCGAAGAGCGCAGCGTGCCCGTCACGAGATACACGGACGACGAGAAAATTACACAGATTCCAAAACAAGCATTGACCGTCTTCAAGTCCTTTATCGCAGAATTCTTGCCCGAACTCGCCGAAGAAGGAATTGACATCCAGATGACTCGACTGTGTTGGTACACGGACTCCTTCGACAACCACTATGTGATTGACAGCTTGCCTGGTCAAGAAGGGTCGGTACTGGTAGCGACAGGCGGGAGCGGCCACGCCTTCAAGTATCTCCCCAATATTGGCAAGTGGATTGTCGATATCATGGAGGGTGTGGATATGGATCGCCAGCTGATCAAGAGTTGGAAGTGGAGGACGCTGCCAGCAGGCCAAAAACCTGTCAATGTCCTCATGGAAGGCAGTAGTGGTCCGAGAGCGCTCAAGAACGTGGAAATGTCTACGGATGAGGATTTGAAGCTTTCTGCTCGATCGAGACTTTGACATGCAGTCTGCGGAGAAGGATTTGCCATGAATAAATGAATGAACGAAAAAGCGCCCTTTCAAGCTCCAGAAATTCTTCCTTTTTTCAAAGCCTTGGACTGTGAATTTCTATTCTATTTCGCCTCCCGATGCGCTTGTTCTGTCGACCCCGTCCAGTCACCGTTTACGTGTAGCCGCTCTCTCCCTCCAAGCTCGCTGGCAAGAACGTCCTGACGATCATACATTATATTGGACCGCGAGCGCCTTGTTGAGGGCATGGGTGCATACCTAGGGTATCTTCCCCTGTACCTCATTCCCTTCATGCCATTCATTCATTCTCTCCCATTCTATCCCGTCCCACCAAATCCTACTCACATCCCATCCATCACGTACCCACCATATCCGTCCCCGCCCAACATCCTCTCCGTCTCCTGACTCCAGCCGGCTTTTTTCCCCAGCCACTTCCCGCCCAACCACAGCCGGATGCACGTGTCGGCAGGCTTGAGCTGCGGCGACTCCATGGGGACGAGCTTGTAAAAGTTCTCGTCCAGAGAGGTCGGCTCGCATGTGCACGGTCGTTGTCGGGCCTGGGCGGAGGGGAGCCAGAATCGGACTCCATCTTCTTCCCCCGTAATCGTGCTCCCCCTCGGCCCCTGCGGCGGACAATGCCTTGCGATATCGTGCTGGTACCCAATATCTCGAAACCACCACACCCGCTCAGGTGGAAGGAACATGGACACGCTCAGCGTGTGCACAGGCGCGTCACCCCAACGACTGTAGTAGAACCCGCCCTTCTCCTCAAGCCAGTCGAAATACCTCCGATTGCCCTGATTCTCGCGAAAGAACTCGAGCGAGCCGATCTCAAAGTTGGAGAAGAACTGGCAGTTGTTGTACGTCAGTCCCGTTTGCGGGTCCAGGAGCCAGTCGAGGCTCGCGTCCGGGTGGACCAGGTCAGGGTTGGCAGTAATGAAATCGCGGGTCGTGGACCACAGCGAGGCAAAACTCCGCGCGTCGTCCAGGATGGCCATGTTGAAGCCGTACGCCATCCCCGTCGCCTTCATGAATCGGAAGGGATCGTAGGGGATGTCGCAGAAGAAATGCACGTCCGGTTCGACGCGCCAGTAGTATTCGTACGACGCCAGGGCCGGGTGCAGGTAGAAGAGACCCGATTGCCAGCGGATCATGGAGTGGTAGCTGAGCAAGTGGCCCTTGCCCACCGAGGTCAGAGAGAGGTAGTCGAGCGAGTTGTGGTAGAGCGTCTGGTTGATGTGCGAGGGCGTGGCCCAGTGGGCTCGAGGGACGAGGTGATACTCTGTCCGCGCTGACGTTGCGTTCGAGGTCGCGGCCTGTTTTCCAGCAGATCGCAATCACAGCCGTCTCGTCAGCTCTCTCAGGCCAGCACAAGGGGGTTTCCCACACCTTAAGCGCCAGAAGGCGGGTGGTGGAAAAGCTGTACGGACCTTGAACTCTTCCGAGAACGGTTTCTCATTGAAGAAAACCCACGGATACTGATACCGTCTGTTCCAATGGAACTCCAACTGCCGCATGCTCTGCAAGATCCCGTCGAGCTCTTCGTTCCTCACAAGACTGATCAACGCAGCCTTGGGACTCTTCTTCCGGAGGTCGTTTGGGTATGAGTTTTCTTCCAGCCATTTCCGAGGTATGTATCTGTTCTTGTTTGCACCAAGTGGGTGACGCCATTCCCTGGGGAGATGGGAGAGGAGGTTGTCGTTGCGGGAGGAGGAACGGATGCTGAGGAAGACTAAGACTTGGGCAGAGAGCAACACGGCGAGGAAAACAAGGAGCCAGCGCAAGATGCCCCTCTTTGTTGGCAGACGTAGGCGAGTGTAGACAGAGCTGCGAGTGGGGGACTCCTGGGGCTTTTGGTAACGCTTGCCGGGAGATGGGCGAGAAAAGCTGTTGCTCAGGGAAGATGATGCCTCACCCGTGGCAGCGCGCGTGGAGGCGACGGCGCGAGAAGAGGAGCTCGAACTCGCGGTGCTCGAGGCTGAATTGACTGCTGTCACAGACGAGGGCAGACTGGGGGATTGGAGTCGCTGACCAGGCGGCGTTGCGAGGTAGGTTGGATCCATGGTGGACGGGTAAGGCAATGGTAGAGCAAGGGCCGAAGGCTTGAGGGCTTGAAGCAGAAGAGATTGGGATTTGACAAGACTGAAAATGCAGTCAAGTGAAGTTCAGTTTTTCCATCACCAGCTTTTCAGATCGCAAAAACTCATGCCAGCCCCGTTCATTAGATTCTTTCCCCGTGTTAGACATCATCGCCCATTGCTTGTGTCCGTGGCCTGTCCAATTGAAGATATGGATTCAAATCGCTGGCAACTCTCAACCACCTTAATACGCCTCCCTTCCACAGCGACCAGCAAGCTTACAGGGCCATTTGGTCTTGATCCTCTGGCATGTCGTCCACGATATGTAGCATTTTCGCATAAGGCACAGTGATTCGCTGCAAATCCCGATGTTTCCCTGGTTGTGGAATTAGTCACTGTATATCCACGCGCCTGAACAGCGAGGGGAAGATACTTACCAAGAAGCAAGACGACGTCCTTGAGGAGCTCTTCTCGGGGCCATCCACAAATCGTCTTGGAATCTTCCTGCCAGTTGCGACCTTCCACGGCATTGATGGTGGCCGCAACACTGTCCCCATCTTGACCTGACGGTTCCACGATACCGCCGATCAGTGTCCTCAGTAGTTCTTCAACCTTCAGCCTCAAACCTTCGGCGCCCAATCGCTTGGCGTACATGAGCAGGTATATCCGGAACTCGTCCTTTGCCCCCAGCATGAGCGCTGCAGCGATGCGGTTCTCGAGATGAGCAATCGAGACACCCGATTCGAAACTCTCAAATCCTTCCCGTGACAACAAAACCTTGATCAGTCGCTGTAAGAAGTATGCTCGGCCCCGTAGCAACGTCTCCGACGTTGTGTTTCTCTCCAGCCACGGCACGATGCCGGAAGACACATCCACGGACTTTTCGAAGTCGGTCTTTGCCTTCGAAGACTGAATGTTGCCTACCGAAGAATCCGTCGTGTTCCAGTATTGACTGCCCACCGCCCACCACACCTCGGACAGCCGTTGCCAACAGTACATCTGAGGTGAGTACGCATATCCGTCACCATTCGACAAGCTGACGATAATCCGACCCTCGGAATTCAAGCGAGCTTGTGTAATCGCAGGCGCACCTGTCGGGTGAGCAGCTAGGGAATGGACGGCCGCGTCAAGCACAGGGGCCAGCGACACGGGCGGATGGGGGCTTGACATAGTTTTGACATTCCAGACATAGCAAACGCCAACGGCAGTGATGCACATCAGCCATGAATCGTACGACGCAAGAATCACAGGTTGAGCTTCCATGACCAGAGCACTGTTGAGCCGTCGGCCGTGAGGCGTCCACAGATATATAGAACCTGTCTCATCTGCCGCCGCCCAAAACGTCCTGGTCCCTGTAACCAGAAGAACCGGACGCGGAAGAAAGTCCTGCCACAACGGCTGATCCTTCCTCGTCAGGGTGATCCGACAGGGTTCACGATCTTGCGCTCTGGGGGTTAACGACGGCCCCGAGGGATTCTTGGCCTCGAAGACAAACTCGGCTTTGGACTTGCTCGCCGTGTCGCCGGATAGGTCGCCAGGTTTGCCTGTGGGGTCAATGCCCTGCACGATATGCGCTCGCACTTTAGGAACGGCAAGTCGAAGCTGACTGACGGACAGTGCCTGGTTGACAACAGCTGGCCGGATGAAATCTGGGGCTCCCTGTTGCCCACTCACAGCTGGCTGAGGTTGTGCGGGTAAGAGGCCATCCGTGCCATTAACAAGGATAGGCGTAGCTCCCTTCTGGCTTGCTGCCACCACTCGTTTCTCGGTAGTACCTTCTTCTTCCCCTTCGATCTGTGCATACTTTCGTTTGTTTCCAAGTAACAACGCTGCCAGGCCACCTTTTGGAAGTCCGTCAAACGGTTTGGAAAGATCCAGCACGGATTGAGGGGCATCGACCGTCTGAACATTCGCGCTGGCACTGACCAGCTTCGTCTGCGGTAGTGAAGACTCCGTCCCGCCGGCACCAGACACCAACAGAGGCCGTATTCTCTTCTTACCATCCTTAGTGATCTCGACTCGATTCTTGAGTCTCTCGAGTTTGGCCTGGTTTTGGTCGTCTTGTGCCTTCACTGCGGCTTGCCCATTGGTCGTCGGTTCCGCCGTGTCATTTGCGAGGTTTTGGGTATTCGTGGTTGTGCCATTCGTAGTGGCGGATGGCTTTTCTGCTGTTGCCGGTAATGAGGAGTGAAGGTCGCCCATCAACGCACCCATGCGCCCTTCAACACCCTTGAGCTCACCGGCCTTGCTCATCTCTTCGAGCAAGAGTGCATCGGTGCTTTCAGGAAATCCGATCCCTTTTCTTGACGTGCCGTACTTGGAGAGTGACCGGTCATTTTCTTCAATGGGTCTTGCGTAGCCCAACTCTCCCGCTTCGAACATGACCGTCAAAATGGTGCCGTCTAGCGCAGTGGCGAACAGTGTCTGGCCATCTGGGCTCCAGGAAATATCTGAAATCGGTTTGCCAGCTACATCTTGCTGGACTACAATAGGCCGTGGACTGCTTGTCGTCCAGATACTCAGGCATTTATCTGCCCCTCCGCATGCGATCACCGTCGTGTGAGGTGTAGGATGATCTTCAAGCGCATTCTTGGCAGGAGGTTCTGCTCCGTAGAGCCTCGGGGAGAACGCACATACCTCCACTGGCCCTTCATGCCCGATTAAAGTAGTGTCTCCATCCCATGTACCACGATTAATGATGGCGATTGCACTGACGGGCCCGTTGACTGCGTTCGCTGCTGCGATATGCATCCCATCAGGGGCCCAGGAGCATCTCCGGAAGTATGTTGTTAAGGGTGAATTGACAAATGGCTGGATAATGGTCGTCTCGAGGGTGAAGTTGTTCACCGCATCATGCGTCGTGTAGTTCTGTGTCGGAGAGGTGAACCGGAATATCCGAATTGATCGATCGTCGCTTGCGGTCGCGAAGTACTTGTTGGCTGGATCAAAAGTGATACCTTTGACATGGCTGGCATGATTCGAGAGCGTCTTCAATTTTTCGAAAGTAAAACCTGACCATACCACCACCTTTGAATCCAAGCCCACGGACACCAGGATTGTCCCGTCATATGACCAGCCCAGATCTTGTACATCGTTGTCGTGGCCGATCAGTCTCCGGAAAATGCGCCAGTTCTCAACCGGAGGGGCCTCGTTCGAACCTGTCTCAATCTCAGCATCTGCCTCTCTGCGCCAGACCACCACTCATCAACGCACCGAATGTGGCATGGGTAGGAGGACTCGGGTCCAGAGTGTATATGCAGACAATCTTGTCATCTGCCCCAGAAGCCAGGAATTTCCCTCCAGGGGAGAAGCGCACTGTGTGAATGGTGCCCGAATGATAACTCATCGACGCCAACTGCTTGGGCTTGTCGTATCTCGCATTGGTGGCATTGTAGATCGCCTCGGTCGACCAGATTCGCACGTAGCCATCTTTTGATTCAATCAGCGAATAAGTCCTCTGTCAGTGGTGTACAAATGTGGACATACCGCCAGCTGCGGTGACAAGACGCTTGCCGTCGGGGGAGACATGGCAGCTGTAGACCTCGAAATCTTTCTTTTCGCCTATTCATGACCAAAGGGTTAGTCCATCAACAGAGTGACAATGTGAATGCGACACTGTCTACGCGGTTTGCGACGCGTCCAAAGGGGGTTTTGTGCGGGAAATGTCGCACCTCCATGAGTGAGCCAGATCGGTCTGATGATGTGCATTGCGGATCTATCTGTGCAGCCGCCCGGCGCACATTTCCAGAGAAGAGTAGACTAGGCCATCTTGGAACAGTAGGAGTAGGATCAAGTTAACAGTGAGGAAAGACTGGAGCGTGACGGATGGAGGGTGCAGAGATTCAAAGTTCACTGAAATGTACTCGGAAGATGCGCAGGTGGCAGTCCGCAGTCCGCAGTCCGCAGTCTGGCATATGACAAGGCACGGATAGGCTTCAATTTACCTTCAATTTACCCAGGGGCAAGGCTTGACCAATAAGGCTGAACTTAGTCTAAAAGCAGAGGTATAGGGAGTAGATATCCTATTATATTTTCTGTCTGTACTTTTCCCAGAAGTCCTAGAGCTCTCCGGTATACTGGTACACAGCTATCGACTTTTCCCTCCCAATCCATGTCAAGTAATACACGCAGGAGGGCCGTCGCTGCGTCATGAAGGAGTCGAATGTTCGCTTTTTGCCGACATGATAACGTCCCCTTTCCCGCTTCACACCTATCTTCTTGCCTCCCGTGTCTGCTCAAATCCTTCAAGAACTGTTTGCGCAACATCTTTTGCATCCCCGTGCTGGGCCGCCTCAATCACCCTTGCCCCAACATCCTTCGATCTGGAGTCGTCTTTCTCCGATGGTGTGCCAACCATCTTGGCTGCCAGATTCTTGGTTTGGTTCTCGTTCACTTTCCCATACACAGCCATAGCGGTAGCAATCATCTGGCTAATGTCTCCAACGTTACCCGGTACCACAACGGCGGTTCCTTCTTTGGCCAGATTACCAAAGGCTTCAACATATTTCTCCGCAACGCTCAGGCTGACAGCTCCTTGAGCATTGGCTTCTCCTCGTTTCATGGCTTCAGCCACGGCATCGATACCTTGGGCAGTCGCCTTTGCTTTGAGCAAAATAGCCTGGGCCTCACCAGATGCCATATTGATCTGCTCGGCCTTCAAAGCCTCAGAGGCCAAGATGACGGATTGTTTACGACCTTCGGCGATATTGATTGCACTCTGCCGTTGACCTTCGGAATCCAAGATTTCAGCTCGTTTTGATCGTTCCGCCGTGACTTGTCTGTGCATGGCGGCCACAACGCCCTCCGGGGCATGGATATCCCTAATTTCGTATCTCAAGCATATCACACCCCACTCTTGTGCGGCTTCGTTGATCGCCTGCGTAATATTTGCATTGAGATTTGCTCTTTCCTTGAGAACATGGTCGAGTGTGAGTTGGCCAATTTCGGACCTCATGGTCGTCTGCGCTAGCTGTGAGATGGCATATTCCGCATCTTCAACACCGTAACTAGATCATTCTTTAGCGAAAGTCCATTCCGACTTTGACCTTCGCACTCGCTCACCTCGCTTTGTAAGCGTCAAATACTCTTGTGTAAAGGACGCCATCCAACTCCAACGTGACGTTGTCTGCGGTAATGGCACTCTGGCTTGGAATCTCGATGGCCGCCTCTTTCAGCGATTGGACGTAGGCAATGCGCTTTCCTCATATGTCAGCGCCTGCTTTTGTAATTCAAGACAAATATTGCGTACATCGATGATCGGGACGAGAATAGCCAACCCGGGCTGCAATATCCGATTAAACTTGCCCATCCGCTCCACAATCCATGCCGTTTGCTGAGGTACGAATCGGATAATGGTGTTCGCAGGTAGGCTCGTCTGGCGTTGGAAGTATGTCGGAGAGGAACCGGAGCCGCCCATACCCATAGGGCCGCTTGGGAACGATGAATTCGAAGTCGTAGCGAACTGTCTTCGGCTCCATACTGCCATCGGGGAGTAAGCTAGAGCGGCAGTCGAACGGTCCGCATGTCGAAATGAAACTGCGAGCCGAGGGGCACGCCGGGGGAGATTTCGTAGAGCCATGTGCGGTGCCTCCATGATGGCGGCCCTCGCAGTAAGACTATCCGGTCGGTGGAGGACAACAACTCAACGGATTGAAAGGTGCAATGGAGCAGGCGACAGCGATGATGGAGAAGCAAACCATGCGCCACGGGTGTTCGGTCGCGGAGCCAATCACAACAAGCTGCGACTTTTGGCCGGAACGGAGGGCCGCAACATTTATCCGCCCGGGGAAATATAAATCCAGATGCGACAAAATCCCCCAAAATGTCTCGCAAGCCAAAAGACAACTCGAGGTTTCTTCCTGCTCGCATTATTGTTTTGCAAAGAACATACTTGGCTCAAAACGGGATCTGCTCGCAATGACTATAGCGGCCAGCTGGAGTCAATAATTTTGAGGCCGCTCCGCTGTCCGTTGAGCAGGCCATCGAGGAATGCTCCTTCTCCATGTCACTGACCGGTCAACATACGTCTCTAGTTACGAAAGACACCTATTGGCATGCTTCTCTTCCAAAATGTCAAACGTTTGAAAGGTACAGTACCATTGTCCACTGGAGCCTTGCACACCCATATTCGCACCCTGCTACTGGGAGGCCTCGAGGAGTGGATGATGGCTCTCAGACTAAAAAGCGCTCCGCCGATGCATGGCCGATCTCCGACCATTTGCCGCCCTGTGGAAAAATTGCACCAAGCGCAAGGGTCAAGATCTTGGTCGGCAGGCTAGGATCTTCATTGATGGCCCCCTAGAAAATGCCACCAATGCTTTAAATGGGTCCCGGAAACCATTTGACCTGCGTTATATGATGTGTCCAGCTTGACTCCCACAGCGAGGCGGGCAACATTCACACCACAATGGAAGGAAAGAAAAGGCAACGGCCAGTCACTTCGTGTCTTCCCTGTCGCCGGCGCAGGCTAAGGTGTGACCGGGTAGAGTTCAACGGAACCCTGGACTCGTGCGTCGAGCTGATAGACGAGGAACTAATGTATGCATTTCAGGTGCATCCAGCCTGTGGGCGCTGTGTTGCAGGAGACACCGAATGTGTCTACGACGAGAGTGCCGGTACCAGTGCCGGTGCCAGCACCAGTGCCAGCGCCAGTGCCGCACCTCAATCATCCACCTGGCAAAGTGCAACAACCTCCCAGTTCCCATCTTCATCATCGACAACCTATGCAAGACCCGAGGAAGGGATGGGCGCAGGACCTCAGATTGAGCGTAAGTGCGGCTTGCCACTATCAATTCCTCAATCAGCCAAATTGATAACCCGGAATCAGCGAATGCAGAGCCTGAGACCAGGCAAACCAACCATGAGAGGGGACACCTTTCTGTTTATGATGGCGGCCGCTCGTCCTACGTAGGCTCAACATACTGGGCGAACGCAATTCCTTTTGAGGTATTCGAACTCTCTATCCCTGTTCACGCCGCCTGTTATTTCTTCGTAGTCAACTAAGCCTTTGCTGACGCTCATCCAGATCAACCGCGACACCGTGCCTACAGTCCTCGACGAGACCAGCCCATTCCCAAAGTTCCCGGGCAGGATGCAGGAGGGAGGACTCGAGTGGAGCGGACAGAAGTTTCGTCCGCCGCGCAATTGCGGCTTCGAATGGACCAAATCCACGGCGAACAAATGCAAGTTCTGTGGAAGGAACTACAACATCTCGTGTGTCATGGCTCTTCTACCGACCCGCGAAATCTGTGAGAGGCTGTGCGGCTTTTTCATGTCAACTGTCTTCCCTCTGACGCCAATCTTCCACATGAAGAGTTTTGGAGAGGACTTCCGAACATTCTGGGACGGCATTCCACCTGCGAATGTGCATAATGCTGAGCCGAGCGTGTTCATGCGCAAGAAGCCGGGCTTTCTATCTCTCTTGTCTGCCATTCTGTTTGCGGCAGTCTTCTCGGCCCCGCCAGCTCGTCTTGAGCGTCTCTTCGGCGAGCCCATCAATCTCAATCCTGGAGACATGTACTTCCTTGCCATGGCCTCAGCAAGCCTGACTGGGTTTCCTCGACGGCCGAGCATCTATTCTCTGGCAGCTTACATCATTGCGCAGAGCCAATTCGTAAGAGAAGAAGAGTTCTCGGACGCACCCGACTTTATTGCTACCTCGTTCCGGGTGGCACTTGGTATGGGCTTGCACCGCCAGCTCCCAGAACCGGGGCCGTCTCCGGCCGAGCTGGAGACCAGACGCAGGCTTTGGTGGTATATTCTCCACCTGGATGTTATGTCTTCATCTTCGTCTGGGCTTTCACCTCTCTTCATCAATCAGAAAATGGCAAATACCGATGCGATATGTCAATACGACGTCGACAATGACAATCCGGGTGCTCGTCAAGACGGTAAGCTGACAACTCCCTTGATGCTAACTGGATCATGGTCTTGCTGATCTACTGCAGTTGACGTTCGTTACCTGGTGGCATCTCGCCGCTACGAGATCACCAGGGAGATCCGAAGGGTTCTTGTGCTCCATTTCGAGGACGCCTTTCAATCGCTGGACGTGGTCGCAGATTGTGCCGGTCGCCTTCGAATGATAGCTGACCGCACTAGTGCAGCTGTAGACACGTTGCTTAAGGCCAGGGCCGCTGCTGAGGCAAAAGTCGCGAGATCCACTCCTCGCCCTGTTGAGCAGGGGCCTCCTGTGATGCTGGCCTTTGACCGGGTGTGGACACTGCGACCAGACCCGAGCGACAAAGACGTCGTGGACTTTACCGCTTGGTCGGCGCTTCTCTTGCACCTGATGGTCCACAAGGCGTATTGCGTCCTCTACCACCCGCTGTTTCGAGATCCCGTGTTGGTGGCCGACGAAAACGTCCGAACAAAGTAAGCGGTTCAACCACGACGACCCTGTCTTCGTGTGAGCTAACCAGTCTGACAGTGCCGTCAAACATGCCCAAGCATTCATCCAAGTGTTCATTCGCGTGTGCAACGATCCGATCTCCGAACCCTTCCACTGGATGTACCCGGGGACATACCAACCTTTGCAAGCCGTGTCGCTCCTCCTGGCCGACCTCCTGCAGCACCCGTACAGCGACGACGCGGCTCTCTCCCGGGGCCTGATTGACGCCATCTTTGAGCTGTACCAGGTGGACGAGGGCATCGTCAGCCAGAGCGACCCGCCGCGGCGGCAGCTGAGCCCGTCCGGGCGCGACGCGTGGACCATGCTGGTGCGGACGCGGCGAAAGGCCCTGGAGTTGGTCGGCATGGATTTCCACGTGCTCTTCCCGTCCAACGCCGTCCTGTCGAACAGGTGTATCTGCGGCGAAAAGATCTCGGCCGCCGACCAAGACGCCGCTGGCCACCACTACCAGCAAGCCAGGAACCCCACCCGTCCTGGCGAGGGACAGCAACCACCTCCGCAGGTGCCACAGGACATGGCAGGCGACGTGGCCGAACAGACACCGGGGCAGATGCTCTACGACCAAGTCGACTTCGACTGGCATGCCTGGGACAATGCGCTGGGGCCGTCGATAGGGTTGATGCCGTGAGAGAGGGAGAGAGACATATATGTAACGCAGGATATGAATGGAAATTTGAAATGACAATTTACGATTTGAATAATATCAAAAAATTAACAAATCCTAGCTCAATCTAAGGGGGAAGAGCGAGTAGAGGAAGATTAATGTGAGGAAGGGGCTGTTATTTATGGTATATAGTATATTATATATGGCATACATTTACCGTATATGCCATTCAAAGATCGTCGCCCATGCGCAGCGCGGCTCAATGCCACGCGGACTTGTGGGGGTGCTTGTGGTCGTTGTCGATCTTGTTCTCTGTGACCTTGCGGATCTTGTCGCTGAGTTGTGTGTCGACTTTGGCGAACATGGCTGGAAGGACAGTTATCAGTGAAATCGTCCATATAATGATATACACACACAAATCAAGATACATAGGACCATAATAGGGGGGGAGAGCTCAGCACCTAGCGAGATCCAAAAACAGGGTCGGGGCATAAAAAAGAGATACAAAGAGATATAGTGGGTGAAAAAGGAAAAGCTCACCGTAGACCTCGTCCCTCAACCACTTCTCCCCCACGCCACTGACATGGGCGGCCACGTTGTCCACAAATCGGGCCTGTGCGCCCTCCTGCTTCTCCATGATCTTCCACAGCGCAATGGGCTGCTCAAAGTCCTTGCGGTCGTCGACCTCTGTGAAAGCCGAGATCGGGTAAGGGATCTGCACCTCGTCCGGCCGGCCCAGGCTGAGTTGTTGAGTGGTGGTGGTGGCAAAGTCGGTGCTGGCGATCTTGGCGGAGCTGGTGCGGTGGGAGAACGCCACGGGCTTGAGCTTGGTGCCCAGGTAGTTTGGGTCGGCGCCGTAGTTTGGGGTGAAGTTCATGAACCCGTCGCGCTCGATCGGACAGTAGACTTGGGGTTTGGCGGCGTTGGTCGGCAGGAACTGGTAGTTGACGCCCAGCCGGTAGCGCGCGGCGTCGGGGTACGCGAACATGCGGGCCTGGAGCATCGGGTCCGGCGAGGGCGCGATGCCGGGAACCATGTTGCTGGGGCTGAAGGCGGCTTGCTCGATCTCGGCGAACCAGTTCTTGGGGTTCGTGTCCAGGGTCACGCGGCCCATTTTGCGCAGCGGGTACAGCGACTTGGGCCACACTTTGGTCATGTCGAAGATGTTAATGGGCGCCTTGGAGATGTCCTCGGGCTTGATCACCTGGATGTACACGTCCCACTTGGGGAAGTCGCCCTTCTTGATCGCCTCCTGGAGATCAACCAGGTGCGCGTCCGGGTCTTTGCCCGCGATCTCGGCGCCCTCGGCGTTGGTATAGTAATGGATCCCCTGCACCGTCTTGAATGTGATCCGCGTGTAGACGTACGAGGCCCCGTTGTCCTTTGTGAACTTGTATGTGTTGCCGCTGTAGCCGTTGACGTGGCGCACCGAAGACGGCAGGCCCCGGTCCCCAAACAGGAACATCAGCGCGTGGATGCTCTCCGGGTTGTTGACGTGGAAGTCCCAGAACATGCTGGCATCCGAGGCATTGGTGGTCGGGTGAGGTTTATGGCTTCGGTTCAACGAGGGAAACTTCATGGGGTCGCGTACGAAGAAGACAGGCTGAGGGGCCCAACCGATGTGAGTGTGTCTGTGTGAGCCTTTTCATCCCAAGAATGCCAAAACGCACACACACCCATATAGAGTCCATGACCGGGGGGGGGAAGGGGAACGGAAAGAAAGAGAAGAAAGGGGGCCAGCCTTACCTGGTTGTTAAAGACCCAATCCTGGTTACCCTCGTCCGTCTTAAACTTGATGGCAAACCCTCGGAAATCACGGACTGTGTCGGCAGAGCCTCGCGCAGGTCCCACGGTCGAGATCCGCATCAGCACTTCCGTCTTCTTGCCGATGCCATTGAGGAAGTCTGCGTCCGTCACGTCCGAGACATCGTCCGTCACTTCAAAATAGCCCCTGGCGCCGGCGGCCTTTGCGTGGACGGTGCGTTCGGGAATCCGCTCGCGAGAGAAATGCGCCAGGTTCTCCAGCAGCTGGGTGCTTGTCAAGAGGACATGGCCACCTCCTGACCCCGTCGACAGTTGCTCGATGATGTCGTTTCGAGGCAAGGGCACGCCCTCGGCAAGAGTATAGTGAGACTGGGACATTGTCTGCGTAGACCGATTTGTTGATTATCACAATGCCATCAATCCCTGCAAGTGTGCTGATGAGGTGGTGGCCTGGCCTTCTGTCCCAGGTATATATATACCCAGTACCTGGGCCCTCGGGGCTCTCTTAAAAGGCCGTGACGCGACGACCATCTCGATACCATTGAGCGCGGCCTCGGGAGATTTGTCACCCCAAAATCTGTGCCTGCGCGTGGGACTTGAGACATTCTGATTCGAGAGCTGCTTGTCAATGGCTAGCACTCGATTTGCTGTATGTCGAACGCTTCCCATCCGTCAGGCCGACATGCAGGCCATCAATCCGGGGCAATCAAGACTCGACATCCGAGTCTGCCGCTCAATGCGAGAGTTGAGAGCTGGAGCACGGGCCTCACTGGTCTTGCTGACATGGTTGGACGTCCGTAATTATCACGAGCATGAGCATGTGGATGTGGAAAGCCTTTCGCGCGAAGCTTCGCACGAACACTTAGACTTTGAGGAGTTGGGGGACTATCAGCTAAGCACAAGCTACTCGGGCACCAGGGTCCCTCGTCCAATGTCATCCAATAGTCAGCTTGACGGTGCTGCAAGCACCCCAAGGGCTGAAGTGCCATGATTTATAACCTACGCACCAGTCGCATGGCAGATGAATGTGGAAGGAAAGGGATCATCTCCGATTGCCTGGCATGGTTGGAGGAGAAGATCTTCCTCGACCTCGAAAAAGTCAAATATCCACAGAGTTTCCCCCATCAGGTCCTATCGAGCGAGGCCTAAGCACTGGCTCATGGTTACGACAGCTACAGCGAAGGAGTGGAAAGCATCGAGTCCGTGGGGGTCTTGTGGGCTGAGCTATACAGAACCAGTAAAGGATAGACAGGGAGACAGACCTCTCCAAAGCTTGTAAGAAGAAGAACTTAGTCCACGTCGTGCAGCACTGGTGGCACCTGAGTTGTCGTCTTGGTCCGTGCTCGTCTTCTCCTGTTCTTTCTTCCCCGGGGTACACCAGCCAGCCTTAGCAAGAGCGCCAACAGGGACAGGCGTCTTGTCCTATTCCTACCAAAGCGGTGGACTGTCACCTTTGTCATAGTGTGGGCTTTTCGACGTGCCCCTGCTACCATTCAGACTCTACTCGTCGTCCGCATCCCTCGGCTCGTTCTCCTCCCAGAATTTCTTGTAGTCATCCCAGCTCTGTGTGGGAAATTCCTCGGGCCATGTGAGAGGTGCCAAAGGCGAGCCGGTGGCCTCGAATTGCTTGAGCTTCTCTGCGGTGCGTGGCCGGCTCTTGTTGATACTGTAAACACTGATCCTGTGCGCGGAGCTCGTGACGTGGAGTCCCCAATTCCATGCGGCGCGGACGGTCAGGGGCTGTGTGTTCAACGCATTGTCCCAGCATCGGCAGACAATTTCGACCCAGCCTTCCACGTCGCAGGGGAGGTCGATCGACCACGTCCTCCAGGTCCATTTACCCTTCTTGGAGAGGTTGGCGTTGGGCACAGCGTACCAGCTGAACCCTCCGTCTGCCGATAGTTCGACCCGCTCTGGCCATCTTCCACCGCCTGAGTACGCCCACCCTTTGCAATGGATCTTGCCATTGTGGATCACCACTTGTTTTGTCCACGGAGACATGATGGCCGAGCTCACGGGCATTTCCTGGATTTGAATGCCGTCTGTCGGTTGTTGGTTGTGCTTGCCCGTCTGCTGACTACTTCTGGTCAGTATTGGGCCGTAACAGAAGAAGGCAAGTGTCCGGTAACCTGAAACCGAACACACTCGAAAGGCACTTACTTGAAATAGAGATACTCTTTACTTTGGACAGGCGCAAGTGAAGGATGCTCAATGGCTTTGATCCGATAAACCCATTTCACGCTTCGAGCACCAATGTAGCCTAATACCATGATTCTGACCGGGTAGCCGTGAATGGCCGGTAGTGGTTCGCCGTTCATCTCCCAGCAGAGAAGAACTTCGTCGTATTTGACCTTGGACCACGGCACACTCACGACGTAGTTCATCACTGTTGTTGTTAGAAAGAGTCCGTTTTCGTCAACATTCCTTTCCAACTTCTTTGAACGTTACTGACCTTCGTTGTCCTTGAAGTAGGTCTCAGCACCATAGAATTCGAGATGTTTGGCTGGTTTAACGAGGCCACCACAGGCTTCGATGACATCCTTCAGGTTGATACCGAGATACTTGGCGCTTCCAATTGCCCCTTCTGCCCAAGGCGCCTGTGGAACCTCATCTCCCTGGCCGGCGTAAAGAGAGATTTGCTCAATACGTCTTGTTCCAGAGCATTGCATCGTGACATACTTTTCTATGCGAGGAAATCTGGACTCATCCGTGATATCGTTGAAGGTAAACGTTCGCGGGTTCTTGACTAGCCCATCCAAATCCAGCTTCCATTTGTCTTTGTCAATGAGTGGAATGCCGCCATGGTTGCGCACAAAGTGGAGCGAATTCGGCGTCACAGCTTTGTCGGTCACCAGCCTCTTGGGAGGCTCTCCATTGTACGGGAATTGCAGCAGATGCAACATCTCAGGATGCTTTTCGCGAAGGACAGTATTCCAAGAGTCTTCAGGAACATCAGTGAGCTCCCCACCGACCGCATGGTGCCACATCTTCCAGTGCGTGCCCGGGAGCACGGGATTTGTGTCAGGAATAGGCCCCATTTGGAACTCTGGGTTCGGTGGAAAGACCTCGGCGGCCAGGATCTTGCGCGCCTTTTCCTTCTTCTCTGGATATTTCTCCCATTCCACATATCTAACACCATGTCAATTGACGCCTTCAACAAGGAGAAATAACGCACCCTTTCCACCCTTCGAGTTCCCGCGTGAACAGCTCATCGCGGTTCCCGACAGCATCGATGGCTGCTTGATCCTTGGTCAATTCCGGCCATGCCCTGGGCTGGATAAAGACTGGCTCAGCCCCGGTCTGATCCAGAAACGGCAGCTTAGCACCAGCCAAGCCTTGTTCGATTTTCCATTCGTCAGGTCTGTTGTGTATCTCCATTTTGACATATAGCAGCCGTGAAGTCGGAAGACGATGATTGTGGGCGCGGGGTGCTGCAGGCCTTATATCACGCCCACGGACAGGGTGCAGGCCGTCTCTGCCGCCTCAAGCTGTCAGACCCTTGCACCAAACAGCCTAAACAACACGCCCAAGTCCTCTCGAATAGCTGCAGGATCCCAGCTTACGTCTGAGTGGTCTGATACCCCCAAGCATTTCATGACAAGGTTGCCGCGACCTGGCTAAAGCTTCGACCCCTCCAATGCTGAAATGTACGCATGCTCATAACAGGCAAAGTCCCTGTTGCCATGGTTCATGAGGGCAGCCGATTCGGGCGAGCCAGTAGAGATGGCAAGGACCACAGGGATTTGCCACTAAGACTAGATATTTCGCCTTGTGGGGAGCCCTAGTCAGATATGTAGTGATTGGCGGATCCAGCGGATAGTGGTAGACTTCCTCGAAAGATGGTCCATGATGCCTGTAGCCTGCAGCAAAGACCTACCTTGAGCTCCGTGGAATTCATTGGACGACAATACACTGCTGGAGCTAGAATTGAGAAACCAAGCATGAGAGTCTCTGGTTCGCACGAGCTTCGGTGCGAGCTAGGTCAGACCCCGCACCTCAGCTTGGTTGGGATTGCCAGAGGTCAATAGGCCACGTGGAACCTGGCATGGGTAACTGTTGGAGGAGACACATCAAGATGGAATACGAGAGTCATTCGTGTCAGCGCCTATCGACTCGAGTGGTCGACGGCCTGAGGGGACTGGAAAAGGTAGAAGGTCATGATGCCTGGAGAAAGCACATGCCGAGGAGCTGAGAATGGCTCGGATGCCCTTGCATGGAAGAAGTGGAGGGGGAAGGATCAGCCCTCAAGAATACAGCGCTGAGATCATAACGAGCAATTTGCACGGGCGGGAAAGGGAAGAGGGGAGCATAGAAGCGGAAACTCGTTGGAAAGAGTGCGTCTTGGGAAAGGGGGAGCGAGCCTCCCTATATAGTATTTCTCCGCTGCCGCCAAGCCGCCAAGCCTCTGGTCGGGGTCGTCTGCCTTAATTGACGCGCTATTCCCGCTGTGGTAATTCTACCGTCTATATCATTTCTATTTTGGTATTTTTACAGCGACGAGCGAACACAGGTGCCGAGTTGCTCCGTATAGTACATGGGTGTCCAGTCGTATAAGCCTCTGGTCTTCCTCATTTGCGATTGAGCTGATCCATAGGACTGCCCGACTCTGGCTTGTTGTCCTTGATGCCTTCTTCCTCTGCCCGCTGTCCTCGAAGCACCACCCCCCTTTCCCACCCGAGACGGTATGCACCCAACTTGTCCTTCTTCGCCCAGTGGTGTCGATAGCCATCCCATCCAATGAGGAAGAACCAGATCCCTCCCAAGACCCCCATGATCACAAAGTTTCGAACCAGGGAGTGGGTGGCCACCAGCGAGATGGGCACCAGCTGAAATCCCAGGCCGGAATTGATCCAGCCTAGACAGATTGCAATCCGGCCGAGCCACCGATGGATGTAGGCGAACACGCTCTTCTTGCCTGTCTTCTTGAAATGACAATGCTGCAATAATCCCAGTGCCGGCTGAAAGAGGATCAGCGCCGAGCATGCGAGGAGGCCAATCACGACATGTGCTTTGGTAGAGGTGCCGCTGGCAAAGTAGTCCAAATCGTTGTCCGCAATGTCGATACCCAACCCCATTGCGCCAATCATCATGGCCATCCCCAGGATCTGGATTGGCGCGTGGATGAACTGAACCACGCGAACGCCTCGAAGCGGGAGATGAAGGGATATGGCACCCAGTGGGAAGAGGACGATGAAGACGATGGACATCATGCACGCGTGGGCATTTCGCTTGCGTTTGAAGATCTTGAAGCCGTCCAGGTAGAACCCTCCTCGCTTTTGGAGGGAGTATTCTGGCTCCGACTCTTCCGTTACCGTTGCTGCCACTTTATACAATCCATCGTCAGCCAAAATCGAAATTGTTGGAACCGGAGGACGACAACTTACCCGCTGAAGCAGCGAAAAGCATGGCTAGGAGAAGCTTGGACTTCATCTTAATCAGAGGGGAATGATATCTGAGATATTGTGCTTTGCTAGATTGCTAGAGGGAAGGATATCCGTCTCTCGGAGGCCCTTAGGTTATCAGTAGCGACTTGGTCTTTGCCAGGGTGCCGGGCGTGCCCTTTATAGCTGGCTCGTGTTCGACGAGGCTAGCACAAAGTCTCCCTGGCATCCTTGGGTATATCGCGCGCATTGCGTGGCATCAGCGGCTTGAGCCTCCTGTGATGTATGGACGAGGTCCAGGAGACCGAACCAAATGCAGGAAGGGGTCAGCGGCGATTTTCCGACGTTGTTTCGTCTTTGTCGCAGGACCAATCTGACAGCTCATTGACCGACCAAGACGCCCTGAGAATTGCTCCGGTCGCTTGCCACGCTGGTTAAATATAGAATACGAGCTAGCCTTTGCTGTCGCTCCACTCGAGTGCCGTCCGAACAAGTAAAGGTTACGACGACCACCCGCATCCTCCTTATTGTTGATGACAACTTTCTCAAGCAGATATGCGTCGACCTCATGATCGAGGAGGCGCAGATCTCGAATAAAGGTGTGCAAACTCTGACTCAGCGCCTCTGAAGCCGGGGAGCAGGCCGTTGGCGAAAGATTTGTGCAGTTTTGTCCCACGTCGAGACGCAGAAGTGTCGCCCCAGAGCAATGTCCTACATTGTACTCAATACGTAGGTGCCGTGTTCCGTGCATTTATTAGACCGTGCGAATATACCCACGATTTCACGAAGCCGGTAGTTGACCATTCGTGCAGACTACTGGGCAAATCCCGAGAATAGCGCAATGCATCCCAAGGCGCGGTTGCTAAATTGCTTTTGATTGCAACGCACAAGGTAGGCCGCTTTAGAGCGCGTTGTGTGCCTCCCATCGTGGTATGCATAACAGGTCAATATTCCAGTATTTGCAATTAAGATCATAGACACGACGTCCCTTGCATGAATGCAATCATGAGACCTCGCCGAAGTATAACGAGGGTAGCAGTGGTACTTACCTGGTCCGCAAGCATCGGGACGGGGGAAGATCCAGCGATCGGGGACTCTCCTGATATGACAGTGGGTCTGTGCCGTTGTGCTTGCACAGGCAGCACGAGGAGCTGCGTAACAACCATCCTATTTACAGAAAGTGCTTGACACCCTCAGCTGCACAGGATCACTGTGGGAATGATTGTTCTGAGGATGCCACTTCCTCTGGAGGTGTATGCCACAAGCACATAAAGGAGGCCTTATGAGCATCGGAACAAGGAGCTTTCTTCCCGCTTTGCTTGAATGTTGAAAGTCCAAGGGATTCAACGGCTCACGACTTCCCTCAAGGACGTTGAGATCCTTGGACAAGACCCGTTATCTCCAAAGATGGCTGCGCGATTTTGCCGGTGTGGCGGTACCGTCCAGTAGTCCAAAGATAACAGTATTGGGCTGGGCTAGGCTGCGCTCTCGGTTACCTGCATAAAATGCCACTCCCGAACAACCCTCGATATGCGATCCTAAGCCAAAAGACGTCTTTCGGTTCTTCGATGACGCTGGCTTTCTGCTCGGCAGGATAGTTATCCAACTCCTTTTCACCAGCTTGATCTTCGAGCTTCGAGCGACACAGCAAGCGAAACCCGATGCAACGAAGCCTAAATGTGACGTAGGGTTCTGCGATCCCTCAGCATGCCCACGGCTCTCCTAAGAAAGATGCCATGAAACTCCTTTAACCCGCGATCAGTGGAACTGGTTGGGGATACTGTTCTCAGAGACGACAATATCCAAATCGGATTATAAATTGGAGCGAGGACAAGCCGGTGAAGCCTTCGTGGAAACAGAAGAGCTTGTTGGACGAGATGTACTTGGAGAACCAGTCTGCCTTGGGGGGTTGAAGACAGATACTGTGTGATGGTCGAATATATCACAATCTGCCTCGAATAAACAAGCTGAGCAAAGCATTGTCATCGATGGAGCAAAGGTTTGGCAGCTTTGTACATGGCGTTCGGAGCAAGTCCGGCCATCGAAACACGACATGACCGTCCAATGAAGGAACCAGACGCTCGACGCTCCTCAAATGCTAACATTCAGGGCACTGGCAACAGGTTGAACATGGTCCACCGTATGCTGACACATACTCGACTTCTGGAAGACTATCTGGCTGTCAGCTCGAAGGGTAGCATTTGGCAAATCCAGGGGGCCGCAGACTGATTGTGACCTGGGATCGATAGAAACCACGTCTCTTTCCTTTCCGTGCGTCATAATCTGCTTTCGGCCTCCTTCAGTCGACCTTGAGAGCAAAGTCAATGGGTGCTCTTGATGGCATTGGGCAGGCGTGGACAGAAGCTCTCAAATGTCGATGACGCGGTGATGTTGACGCTGCCGCATGTTTAATGCCTCTTTCTAACCTGTCCAGCAAATGATAGACGCGATTGCGAAAGCGGGTGATAGCATCGAGGACCTGAGGATTTGCCCTACAGTTGTGCACCTTTCCCAATGCTCTTCTCTGTGTCCAGCATCTGGCGACAACAAATATCTCAGCTCTCGGCTCGATCAGCTACAATGCTGGGTCCCCGTCTCCCTCATCAGCTCCAGAGGCGTAACTTCGAGGTCCCTTCCCTAGAGGTTGTCCTTTCTCCTTCAGTATTTATGTAGTGAATGGTTCTTTCAAATGGTCCAACACTTGCACGATGAGCCGTCAGTCTATGGGGTATCGGCCCTATCGAGTGCGCGACGAACGGATCTTAGGCTGGGTTCGACGTGGCCTGCGGCAAAGAGTGCGAGAAGGGTCGCTGCTTGTGACACCCTGCTGGTATCCATTGAAGAGAGCTGGCACGGAGCTGATAGCACCGAGTACACCTGTACCTGTCAGCATTTTTGCCAGAGAAATAATGGAGTTGATTTTGACCAGGCCTTCGTGAGCCGGTAAGAACACGACTTGGAGTACGAGCAATGCGCAGCCTCCGGCGGGTGGAGCTGCCATAGTACAAAACCATATTTGCGCCCTCTTCACTTCCACACTCGTGACACTTGACACTCCCTGCTATACCTCATGCATGGTGCTCTGTGCCTTAGTATTGGAAAGAGTCCTTGCTACTAACTCCTCTGTTCCAGTGGCAAGCCTCAAACTACACTCAGCTGTGCCCTTGTCCGCGTGTATATCACCATTTCACGCCGAAGCCTAATGCCCGTGCATCTGCACGCGGATAAAGAATCGTCGCATCCAGTCGTTAGTCTCAGAGAACCTTGCGGCCTGCAGATCAGCGCTGTGGCAGAACGGGCAACTACAACCTTCGACAGGGCAGCCTCCATGGATATCACTAAAGCTGCGGAGTGCGAGCGGCGTCCTCTAACCAGCAACGGCCCTTAACGCTGCGGTACCAGGTTGACCACTTTTTATACGCGCTGTCTACCGTCCATGCATGTTCCTGGAAGCATATTTCAATGTCGCGCATCTCCGCCGACACTCTTTACAATAAACGGCAGGTGATGGAAGTTTTCGATCTGCCGTGCTGGCCAGGAAGCACTTGATATCTTGATGGCCTGTTATCTTGATCTCCGCACTTGCAGATCCCTGAGGAGAGCAACGAAAGAGCTGCGGCGATGACCACCTCCGTCGGCTCTCTTAGCCGTTGTACTATACCGATTGACCTTTCTTACAATGGCAGGTCAAAAACTCCCATGTCGACTTCTCGCACGGGTATACCCAAGTCATTGGTGGTATAGTTGGGAAACCGAGATAAGCCCCATGATAGGCAGCTCCAAGTATGTCGGCATATGGCCGGACAGGACTGCTTCCGCCACATACCCAGGTACTCTGAGCCAGATATATCTTGACAGCGAGATATGCTCTGGAACCTTTGCCTTGTCGACGAAAATCATCGAGTTTCTGCTCAGTCCACAACCATGAAGGACGACATCGAAACACACCAGACAACGTTGACCGCTGTCGAGAGCATCAACGAGAAACTTGTTGACTACAGGGATGTGGACGCAGCCCTTGGCTTTTTGCGAGCCAATGCCCAGCCTGGGCAAGCGGTCGATATTGATGAGAAGAAGCTCATGCGGAAAGTCGATTGGATGATCATGCCGTTGATGTTTGCTTGTTACTATTTGCAATACACGGACAAGACGTTGCGTGAGTTCGCCTGCCGTGAAGCCATTTCAAACGCTGCTGACAATTGACATCAGTTTCCTATGCCGCAATCATGGGTGTCATTGAAGACACCCATATGCCGTCGAATGGCTTCTCGAATTTAGCCATCGCTTTCTATGTCTCCTTTCTGTTCTGCGAGCCGTTCCAGTCGTTCTTCATCCAGAAGTTTCCGACCGCGAAATATCTGGGCTGTAACGGTAAGTGCGAGATGCGTGACCGTCGGGCGTACTGGACTAATATTGTAGTGATTTTATGGGGCATTGTGGTCTCCCTGAACTGCGTGTGCCACAATTTCGCATCCATTGTCGCTCTTCGAGTCTTGCTCGGCGTGTTTGAGTCGTGTGTTGCTCCCAGGCAAGTATCTTCACAACCCGAGCCAAAATGGCGTCTGACAGTTGCAGCCTTGTCATCCTCACGGCCATGTGGTACAAACGGCACGAACAAGTCTCACGGATGGGAATCTGGTATCAAGGTGTTCGTACCCTCATCTCATTCATAAACCCGTCGCTGTTACCCGGCCGCTATAGGTGCAGGCTGACAGGTCTGTTCTAGACATCGGTGGCACCGGTCGTGTCTTCTTTGGCCTCATATGGCTTCCTCCACTACACCGACTCCCACCCGCATGTTCATTTCAAGTCGTGGCAAATATTGTTCCTGGTCTTCGGGATCATCACGATTGCTATCGGAATCTTGGTGGTGCTCTTCCTTCCAGACAACCCTATGAAAAGCCGGTTGTCTGCGGAAGAGAAGATCTACATTATTGAGCGAGTTCGTGAGAACCAAACTGGGATCGAGAACAAGAGATTGAAAACCAAACAAGTCAAGGAAGTGCTCCTTGACTACAGAACTTGGTTGCTGAGCTTGGTTGTCATCACCACTAACGTGCCCAACGGTGCCGTTAGCTCTTTCTCAAGCATCATTATCGAGAAGTGTGTGAAACCCAATTCTCATCTGCCTATACCTGCTAACCTCTCCAAAAGCTTCGGTTATGATGAATACACAACATTACTCCTGAACCTTCCTGGATGTGCGGTTGCTTTTGTGTCGGTTGGTTTCGGAACATGGTGGGCGGGCAGATACAACGGCAGGGGCATAGCAATCATTGTCCTCACCATTCCAACCTTGATCGGAGGAGCATTGATGGCGTGGCTGCCTCCAACAGACAAGGGTGGCTTGCTAGCCGGCAACTTCATGACCAACAGCGTTGGTGCGAGTAAGTGTGGATTTGACCACGACGTTTCGTGACAGCTGCTGACAATCTTAAGCCCTTCCGCTGTTGTATAGCTGGATCACATCGAACTGTAAGTCTCTTTCATGCGCTACTTTTGAGATATGCTGATGACCTCTTGTAGATGCCGGACATACAAAGAAGATCACGATGAACGCGATTGTACTGATGAGCTTCTGCGTGGGCAACGTAAGTTCTCTCCGAGCATTCGCTCAGCTGCGCGGGCGCGACAACCGTGACTGACACTGCATTCACTAGATTATCGGACCTGAGACTTTCCGTGCCAAAGATGCACCTCAATATATCCCAGCTAAGCTTACCATTGTGGTGATCCTCTCGATCGCCATTGTGCTGGCGATTACGCTGGACCTGCTGTATGCGTGGGAGAACAAGAAGAGGGACCGCGAAGAACCTCAGGATTTGCCACCGGATTATGAGTTTCTCGATTTGACAGACAAGGAGAATAGGAACTTCAGATACCTGCTGTGATTCTCGAGATGAGCGTGCCGATTATGCCTGGTTGAGGCGCCTATATATTCTAAGCAACATTATCAGAGACGGAGTAAACAGACACGACCATAGACTCATCTTCAACCCCAACATGAGATCCATAGAAAGTGTGACGCGAGAGAGACCAAAGATGAAAGCTCGGTTATATGAAATCCACGAAGACTAATCTGGAGAGACGGCCAAGTACGCCAACGATGATGATATTCAGTCCGGTGCATTCTCTGGCCAACAGAAGCTGCCGTTTTCTCGCAGCCGAGGCGGAGGTTTGACTGATGACGGATGATGGCACACATGGGAAAATACAATGGTCTTCGGGAACCTGCATCCTCGTCCTTCTCCTTGTCCAGATGATCGATAGATTCGATCATCTGTTCATCATGGAAGCCAGTGAAGACGGCGTCAGTCTCTCGCCTGAACCAAACCTACCGGCAAATATTTCGCGTCCCTATTCTCGCGCCCTACTATCGTGCAGTTTCTGCCGCAAAAGGAAGCGGAGATGCGACAGGACTTTGCCCGATTGCTCTTTCTGCCGAAGGTGAGTCCGTACCTCTACTTGGGTCGGCCAGCCAGAATAAGGGAGAAGACGCCGTACATTGATCAACCGTCTCTAGACATAGGAGGAGATGTATCTATCCTCAACGCAGGGCGTCCACCCCTATAGCGGATGAGCCTGCGCATTTGTGCGCAAATGCAAAAGCGGAAGCAAAAGCGGAAGCTCGGTCATCAGAAGCAGTGACTGTGTATTTTCTGGATCACGCCATCTTCAAATCCGGACACATGGACGTCGCAGACGTCTCCTACGCCATTCCCGAGAGCGTCTCAAGCCTGCTGGGAGATCTCGCCGCCGTACAGAAGGTCGCTACAGAATATTTTGGGACTGTCCATTGTTGGTGGTCCATCATTTCCAAGCATTCCTTCTACAAGCGCCTCATGAACCCCCTGAGGCCCAGGCAAGCAGATGCCGCCCTCCTGTTGCTTTGTATGAAGTTGATCATCTGGAGGCCGTCGGAGGGAACGCAGGACCCCCGGACCCCGTTGTATCTTGCTGCAAAACGCTACTCAACCGAGCTCGAGGTGGCAGGAGCCTTCAGCATCCGCGGGTTGCAGGCAGCTGTACTGATCGCCCTCTACGAATTCGCCCACGGCATTTATCCATCTGCGTTTCTGTCTGTCGCTTCCTGCGCGAGGTACGGGGTAGCGCTTGATATCCACCTGACTTTGACAGAAACTCCTGGAGAATGTGATGACTGCTTTCAGTCGGAGGAGAAGAGACGGATTTGGTGGTCCATTCTCATTCTCAACCGCTTCACAAATATAAGCTGTCCGGGGAGAGGCAAATTCGAGACCGATGATCCCAGCCCGACCGATCTTCTCCCGGCCGATGATGCGGCATGGGATGCAGGCATGGTCACTCCACACGATAAGATGACTATCTCTTGTCCCGCGACGGAGCGGATGGGCAGATTTGCGAAACTCGCCCAGGCTACCCATCTCCTCTGCCGGGTCTTCCAGCATGTGAGCGATCACTCCATGGATGCTGAGTTCCGTGAGAGCCAGGAGCGTCAGCTGGAGAAGGCAATCCAAATGTCCATCCGGATGGTCAGCGGCGTACTGAAGGGTCCTGCGGGTGCTCATGCTCAGATCTGTTACAGGTAAGTTGTTAGCTTTTGAAGGAAGGGCAACTCTCAGCCAGGGGCTCATCAGAGGAAAAGCTCCCTGTTCGTCCTCTACGACGACGTCCTCAGCATCGAGCCCTCGACTACTGCGAAGCTCCGACGTCGCGACCATGCGCGCGACCTGCTCGAACGAGTTTCCAAGACCTGCGCGACCTCCTCGGGCCACTTTCTGCAGGGTAATGCACTCCCTGTCGAGATGGTGACTCCGTTCGTGCTGCATTGGAAGTATCGAGCGGCAGCCTTCTATGTTCGTATGATGAGGGAGAGCCCCAACAGCGATCACGAGAAGAACTTGGAGATTCTCAAGAGTGGACTGAGGACGCTTGACAGCAGGTGGAAGATTGCAGGTACGCAGTACTTCATTATAAGCTGATCCCAACATCGACTGGGACATGTTCCACTGAAACAAATGTATTTCACAGGAACCTATCTACGAATGGTAGAGGCCAGGGAAATCATGCTTTGCACCTAGAACGACTAATGGCCATTCCGCTTCCCCTCCGTCAAAAGTCCGCCCAATTCCACCAACTCCGTCGTCCTCCGCCAGTTCCCACCTTTGTCCACCCATCCGTCTACCAGACACCTCTGCGTCTTCGTCAGGATCGACCCCACAGCTAGTCACAGGAATGCGGGCACTTGAAAGGGGGGTTCTCAAAGGCTAGCTTTGACACTAATCAAGAGAGTACTGGCCGTGTATGGGGCCCCCACATTTTGTCACGCTTATGTATGAAATGTACCTAGGTAGGCGGTTCGATGGCCTACTTGCCTATACCAGTGGTCAAGGAACACAATTGTCGACGATGCCGTCCCCAACATCGTCCTGTCTGCCGTAAGCTGGACCGAGGATGGAATGGCAAGTTATGAGGAGATGCATTTATTGAATACTCATCAGTTGGAATGATCTGACTTGAGATGGTTCTCGTGGTTCTAATTGGATTCAGCGCAAAATCCATTGACTCTGAACTGCAAATCCATCCTGCACATTTGTCTATATAATGGAGCACTCGACCGCCGCAGTCATGGTCTGTAACGATACTCGCTACCGCCATTCTGATCCAGTCGACCATTTTTACATCGAAAGACAATTCCTTCCACCACAGTAGGGATATATCAACTTAGCACTTGACGCCAAAATGCCCGTCTACGAGGTACGTCGCTTTGCCGTTCATCGAGACAAGGGCTACCCTCAGGACATTTCCCGAAGGCGTCAACCATCTTTCCTCATTCTGTCTTCGCCCACACTCACTCCTTTTTGATTGATAGATCCGACACTCGTACCCGCTCAGCCAGCACCAAAAGTCGCTGCTGGCGGCCAAGATCACCGAGCTGCACAGCACCGAGTTCCTGACCCCGTCCCTGTTTGTGAACGTGCATTTTTCCCCCGGCGAGCCGGCCACCGAGTTTTTCTTGGCCGGCAAGCCGTACAACAACGGCGTCACGTCGCCGAACCGCATCATGGGCTCGGTGCGCACGGGGCCCAAGCGCACCAAGGAGAGGTGGGACGCGTTTGCCCTGCGGCTCCAGGAGGCTTGGTACGAGGTCGTCAACGGGCCCAAGGAACAAGGTGGCCGCAACGGTGTCAATGGCCATCACGGCGAGATCAGCAATGAGGAGAGACGGGCCAGGAAGTTGCACCTCCTGGGCTTTAGACCCGTGATTGGCGGGCTCGAGAACGGCGTTCTTCTTCCAAGTGTGAGTTTTTCTTCTTCTTCTTCTTCTTCTCCTTCTTCTTCTTCTCCTTCTTCTTCTTCTCCTTCTTCTCCTCCTGGGGGATCATCATAGTACTCACTGCTAACCGACGCTTTCTTTTTTTCCTTCTCAAAAAAATAGGCCGATAACGAAGCGACATGGCTCAAGGACAACATGGCCTTCTTCAAGGAGCAGGCCGAAGTCTACGACGACGAACCCTTCCAGGGTCTCCTCAAGGAATTGAACGAGAGGCCGGACTTGAGGAAGTTGATCGAGTGAAAAGGGCGCCTGTAGGGCGCGAGCGAGCGAGGGGGAGAGATGCATGGTCCGGCTCTCACCCACCTCGGGCTGGCTGGCTGGCTGGGTGAGAAAACCTGGGGGGTTCTGATCACGCGGATGGACCGGAGAGAGAGGATGATGTAGGTGTGGACAGATGCAGTTCCACCCTCTCTCGTCTTAACTCGATATGATAGCGCAGGAGACAGAAGGCCGTCTTGAGAGAGAACGCCGGATCTAATTTCGAAGATACCGTGATGGTGGCAATCGTAACAGGCTCTACTACATACCTATTCTTCTCTCGCTCTCGCTTTCGCTCTCTTTATATTCGGTCCCAAACGTGAATCTGCCGGCGGCGTGATCTCCTGTGGCTGATCAGACTAGATGACTTGGACTTCCTCAAGGAGAGAGAGATATATATATGTATTGTAAATTGTAATAGATAAGTCGAGTTTGGGGCTTTTATTTCGCAATCTCACGATAAGACGGTACTGGCGTACTATCGTGCTTTGCAAACCTAGTTCCACTGGATATTTCAACCTCAATAGCCGGGATTTTGATTGTCAATTCACATTCCCCCATAGGAGATACTAGTATATATCCATCACAACCGACTCTCACCACCTTCCTTCTCCTTGACCACCAATTCCTTCTGCGAGGCCCACGTCTTGTCCCAGATGCGCATGCCACGGTCCCACAGCTCGTCCTCTTTGTCCTCGATCACATTGCCCTGCGGGTCCAGCCACCACTTGATGTATCTCTCGCCGCCGCCGCCGCCTTGAACAGGCTCTCCAGCCAAGAAGCGGCCGAAGGGGGCCAAGAAGCGCTTGATGGCCTGCTTGTCCTGGTCGGTGTAGTCGGCGCGCCAGCCGCTGGCCCACCAGATCGGGGTGTCGAGGCCGTGGCAGACGCCCACCGAGGGGGTAACCCATCGGTCGAGGTTCTTGGCCCGCCATGAGATGCGGTACCGGTGTACGTTGGCGGCCGGAAGGGGCTTGACCTTGGCGCGTGGGGACGATTGCGGCGGTGGGTTGAGCAGAACGTGTGTGAGACCACGCAGCGAGGCGTGAACCTGCGCGTCCGCCACGATCTGGCTAAACACCTCAGCCCACGCGGCCGCGTCGGTCGAGGTGCTCGCCGGCAGCGAGTACTGCGGCAACAGGGCCTTGACCACGTGTGCGGGATAGTAGTTGGCCAACTGCGTCAGGAGTCCCTGCAATGACGTGGGCGGGTTGACGAGCTTATACAGTTCCTTCTCGTCGCAGACTTCACCCAGGAAAACCGAGATGTCGTTCTCGGCGAGGCGCGTCGTGAACGACCCCGAGTGCAGCGCCGAGAGGAAGGTGGCTGGGATGAAACAGTCATCGGTCGACCCGCGGAAGGTGTGCATTTTCATCTTCCCCAAAGACGCGATCAGGTCCTTGGCCGGGATCTGGCGGAGTCGGTCGAGTTTCTCGCGCGGATTGGCTGAAGAAGGAATGTCAAAGATGGCGCAGAGGTCGTTGAATTGCTGCGTCAGAACCGGAGAGGACGTCGGGTTCGGCTGGATCGCCACCGCGTTGGACCACAGGTAGACTCTCCTGATCAGTCTCTGTTCCCGAGGCAAAAGGGTGTCGTAATTGAGCTGGAAGAAGGTGCTGTTGGCGCCCGCCGACAGACCCCCAACGGTGATGTTGGACGCGTCGCCGCCGAACATGTGGATGTTCTTGGCCACCCACTCCAGCGCGCACCGTTGGTCCCACAGGCCGTAGTTTGAGGCAGAAGCGTCTTCTTTGAGACTGGCGAGTTCGGACCCAGCCAGGAAGCCGAACAGGTTGAGGCGGTAGGTGGGCGAGACAATGATGCGGGGCGTCGTATGTGCGATCAGGTCGAAGGGGTCCTCTTGGTTCTGCTGCAGCGCGTCACCCACCTGGAGCCAGCCGCCATGGATGTGGAACTGGACAGGCCACCCTTTCTTGCTGTTCGGCGGAGGCGAAGAAGCTGGCACCCAGATGTTGAGGTAGAGGCAGTCTTCGTCCTGCTCGTTCTCGACGGGCGGCGCTGCGTTGGGATTCGGAACGACGATCGAGCCGTGGCCATAGTGTGGTTGTGGGCAGATGGGTCCGAACCGGGTATAGTCCCCGGGGGCACCTTGCGGGTTGTTGAATGTAAAGTCCTGCGGTAAAGCTTGGGGGCGCCGCCAACGACGGGACCCCGTGGGTGGCAGTGCGTATGGGACTTTGGTAAAACGATAAAGAATGGGCTTTCCCGCTAGGTCGCGCTGTTCCAGACCCTTGAGTGAGCCCCGTGGTGTCTCTAGGATATAGGGGTGGTTAGTGGATTGCGTTGCGCCCATGGTGGTGACCTCGACCTCTCTATCCTCTTCAGGACGGTGTATCTTCTCACAGTCTCAAACAATCTCCTCCGTATGCTGGACACAGTCTATTTATCGTCGATGGTCGCGGAATGTGTTGCCTGCGCAGATATCCTATCCTTCCTGTGGACGCCCTGCAAGGATTCGAAAACACTCGACAACAGATGAAGGTCAATGGAGGTGGAGATAGAAAACATCTAATCGACCGGCTCCGTGCCAATGATGGAGCCGAGGACGACTTTTGCGGCGGGGCGTCGATCTCCATCGGGAGTTGTTTTACCCCCGCCGACAGCGGACGCTTTCCGCCGGCATCAGCGCCGAGGCTCCGGGGAAGAGAATCGCGCAATCATTCCTGAATGGTCGGGTTGTTGAGATATTCGGTCAATTAACAACCTCAATCACTGTTTGTACTTTCCTCGTTTCTGCAGATGTCTTCTCTCGAGCCCCCAGACGCGGTTTTCGTTTTCCTGAAGTTTGATCACAGTGGAATCTCCTTGGCTTCCCTTAAATGGCTTGCCACGCCCAGAAATGGCGTGTGAAAACTGCGCACCCCGTGATTGAAGGAAACCTGATCCAGCAACCGACTCACTCGAAGTGCTACGGAGTATCAGTCTTGTAGACCTTGACCAGGACCAATCTCTCATCGGATTGTTACGTCGGCCTTGGATCGCACCAAGGAATTGCCCAGGCTCAACATGCTTCCCCCCTACCCGAACGACTAAGAGAAGAAAATGCGTAGAACTCAAACACGGTTGTCTGCAAAGGATACGAGAGAGAGCTTAGGAACGCGGGCGTCATGTCAACTCAGGTCGGGGAGTCGTCCATGCATTGTAGTTGCAGAAGAAGGGAAAGGGCGGGTTGGAGGTAGGTCCTTGTAGATGCACTGCAATGAGCTCTATTTGCGGTCAGTCCACAGAGCTCTGATCGTTCGATGCACCTAGCAACCTGGTCTATTGCTTCTGCATGGCAGCACACAACAAGGTTCGCATGCACGTTTTGTCCCAACTTAACTTTTTAATAGTTGACCTTCGGGCTCGATAAAAGACGTCATGGCTTCGGATCCATCGGTCTTGGTAGGCGGCACGAGCGGGTGGCTTGATCAGTACGAGCATCGAGTCAACGGTGGCTAATAAAGCCACAAGCGGGCAGAGATGAGCCGCCGTGGCGGTCGTGGTTGGCCTCGCCTGAAGCCATGTTCGAGGACAGCCAGCCTGACCAGGGTAGCAGCCGAGCAGGCTCTTGCAGCCTTTCGGAGCTTTGTGGTGCTTCCCACTGCGACAGCTGGCATCTCTTGGAACTTGCAATCTCTCTGCCGTCTCCTCGGACCCAACGGAGTCTGGAGTTGAACGTCCATCCACAAATGAAGATCAGCGGTGAGCTGTCAGGGGAGATCATCAGACTATCAGCTTCTGGACCGAGGAGATCCCGGCTCGACTGCGACGATCCAAACAGCTTGAAACAGCCTTAAACGCAATTCAACCATTGGCTGGAATGCGAATTGCTCAATAAAGCAAACAGATATCCCGTTTGCCGTGCCATCGTGACGACACATGAGTGGGAGGATGGCGACTGACCTGCCGCCTGAGAGCTATCTGAATACGGGATTCATTTGTTCTGATGAGGCTGATGGTCGTCTTCGGCCTGGTGAGCCCAGGTGACAGATTGGACATGGGGTACTGCATGGCGCGGAACAAAAGCTCCAAAGCAAGCAGGGCCTGTTTTAAGCAGCTGCTGGTAATTCGTTCAGCATCGGAGATAAATCACTCGAGTCGGTCCAATGAACAACCGCGGTAGGAACAAAAGATGGAACAAAATCATGCCCAACTGATGAGGCAAACGGGTCGCAAATGACGAAACAGGTCGAAGAGGAGATGGGAAGGTGGTACGATTCGACACGTTCCAGATGACCTCTTTATCTGATCAATTGTGCTTGGGGGGCCAGAATGACGCCTGGGGAAGTTTCCATGGTTGAAGCCAGGCACTAGGGACCCTAGCAAGGAGGCCAAGAAGAGTGGCCACTAGGCGACCACCGCCACCGGTTCCGCGGGTTTAGGTACATGCCTGAAGGTACGAGGTACTCCGTCTGAGCTGTACTCTCGGGGACCCGGAGGCCGTGGGCGGGTTCGCATGGGCAGCAACAAAAGGCAACCAACGGAGTTTGACCAGAAATCTCATGTCTGTTTGGCATTGTTGGGGGTTGGGGCATTCACAGCTACATCCAAGCACGTCTTGATCGCCTTGCTATTCACTAGGTATTCATGTGCGTAGATTGGCAGACGGCCATAGTGAAGCAGCTACAGAGCCAGTTGCCTGGAGACAAGGTTGGTATGTGAATAGGCTATCGGCCTAGGTAGGTATCTCAAATACATACCTACAGTAGGATAGTAGTTGAGTCTGCAGGCGAAGGGCGCAGGCAAGACCCTCCGCTACAAGTGAAAAGGGCGTGACAGCGCAGTGACAGAAGTGGCACCCGCACCGCCCCCCTTGCAGTGCTCTGCGATTGCTCTACCATTGCTCTGCGGGAGGTCTTCACACCCCCCATCGGCGCCCCCATTTGCCCATTCGCCCCTCTGGCTGCCCCTTCTGGCCCAAAGACTGACCCGTGGCTCCCCCTTCAATTGGCCACTTGAAGTCTCAGTCTCTAGCACTTCACCTGGCGCACCTTTCCCTTTTCTTTCCCTCATCTCGTTCCCTCCCTCGTTTGCCCTCCCTTCGTTTCCCCCATCCCACCAACCCTTCACGAAACTGCTTCCTGTCTCTATCTCACAACCAAGAGGATTTCCCAAGCTTGATCGACTTGTGAGCGTCGACTCACTTGTCATCAAGCATCTCTCATCCTTTACACAGGTAACCAAGTTCTGCACTAGGTTAGTCATCTCTTCCTCCCGGTCCTCTTTCCCGCCCTGCCCGCTTGGCTTTCCCTGCAACCTCACCATCCTTTATTCGCCCACACCGATTCATCCTCGTCTTCACCTTCAACCTTCATCCTCATCCTCATCCTCCGCCCCAACCTCGAATCTCAACCTCTAACTTCAGCTTCACCTCTCTCCTACCTCGTCTCCTTACCCGTCAGGCTGCCTCAGTCAGGTTGTCAAGGCAGTGAAGACTGGCGAGTGGGCTTGCTAATCAAAGGTGGAAACAGGCTGAGACCGCTTCGATCTCCCTCAGGAACCACCACTTTTGCCAGCGAAAGCCTCGATACCGAACATAACCCTCTGTTTCCCATCACCCTCATTCATATCGAACATCATATTGCAGCGCTGCTGCCCATAATTCTATCAACATGACGACCATGGTATGTGCAAAGAGTTGGTTTCATTCGGTTTCAGAATAAAATGACACGGGTGCACAAGAGGTGGACGTCGAATTCCACATCCTTGATCTCGTGCTTGCCTGTTCGCTGCAATCTCGACCCTCTGACTTTTGCTGACTGTCGTTTTGCTAGGATTTGCGTGTTGGTAACAAATACCGTATCGGTCGAAAGATCGGCAGTGGCAGTTTCGGAGATATCTACCTGGGAACCAACATCATCTCAGGCGAAGAAATTGCCATCAAGCTCGAGTCCGTCAAGGCCAAGCACCCTCAGCTCGAGTATGAAGCCCGCGTCTACAAGTCTCTCGCCGGCGGTGTTGGAATTCCGTTCGTCCGCTGGTTTGGAACCGAATGTGATTACAATGCTATGGTTCTCGATCTGTTGGGTCCCAGCTTGGAAGATCTCTTCAATTTCTGCAACCGCAAATTCTCCCTCAAGACCGTCCTCTTGCTGGCCGACCAGCTCATCTCTCGCATCGAATACATTCACGCTAAGTCCTTCATCCACCGTGACATCAAGCCGGACAACTTCCTCATGGGTATTGGCAAGCGAGGCAACCAGGTCAACGTGATTGACTTTGGTCTGGCCAAGAAGTACCGCGACCCCAAGACCCATTTCCATATCCCATACCGTGAGAACAAGAACTTGACCGGCACGGCTCGTTATGCCTCGATCAACACTCATTTGGGGGTGGAACAATCTCGCCGTGACGACATGGAGTCTCTGGGCTATGTCATGCTCTACTTCTGCCGTGGCTCTCTCCCATGGCAAGGTCTCAAGGCGGCCACCAAGAAGCAGAAGTACGATCGTATTATGGAGAAGAAGATGACCACCCCGACCGAGGTTCTGTGCCGTGGGTTTCCTAACGAGTTCGCCATCTACCTCAACTACACCCGCTCTCTCCGCTTCGATGACAAGCCAGACTACTCGTACTTGAGGAAGATCTTCCGTGATCTCTTCGTTCGAGAATCATTCCAATACGACTACGTCTTCGACTGGACCGTCTACAAATACCAAAAGAATGCCCAGGCCATTGCCCAGGCAGCTGGCAACCAGACCACTCAAGATGACGAGGAGAAGCCACGACGCGGTGCTCACCCTGCGACAGCCGCAGCCACTGGGGCCCCCACTCCTCAGAATGTCTCGCAAGCTGGTAAGCCCGCGGCCATCTCCAGCTCTCGACGCAAAGTCATCGAACGCGGTGCTAGCGGCAACGACCAGGGAGGAAGTGACAGGATGTGAGTACTGAAACCTTAAGGTTCCCATGTAAGGGATCTCCTCTGCGTTTTGCTTCGGTTCGCGTGGAGGTTTAAGATGGCATCTGACTAATGCGGTAGTCTTCGACGTTAGGCTTCGTTCCGGTACAAGGATAACCACTGGCAACGGCGATTATCGTTGAAACGGAATGACGGCTTGGTGTTCTTACCACTGACCTTGTTCCACCAACCTCTTCTCGAGGACCGCTGTCGGTCTTCCAGAACACAAATAACACCATGGGTATGTCGGATCCGGCGCGGGGTTTGCTCTAGCACATGGCAAATCCGGACCGGGAATTTGTGAGGACCACACGGCAGACAAACTTTTATCTGAATGGCTTACTCGGCTCAATCCAAACATGCAATACTTGCAGAATTACCAACGACTTTGATGGGCGTTCGGTCAGCTCCTTTGACGAGTAGCTCTTCCATGAGACATCAGACATGAACGAAAGTTTGGCGACATACGACACGACAGCATCAGTATGATCACTTGCTGCTCCATTTATGCGGGATTGATCAGAGACTCGATTTCCACGATCAGCCTGCTTTACCACGATGGACCGCTACCTCGAAACGTAGAACTAGTATTTCAGAACCACCACCGACCATCCCTCGGCATCCTCGGCACGTTTTCCTTTTTGTCTTGGCTTCACGCTTATGCTCATCATTCGAGTACTGCTTCAGAGGACGAAGGGAAAGGGGGGATTGGAGAGTATGCAACCGCGAAGCAAGGCCAACAAGCCCAGGAATGGCGAAGCTTTGATGACCTGCGGCAGGGTCTTCGGAGCAGAAGGGGAAGGCAATCTTGAGGCAAAGATGGCGAAGGACTTGTGAGGGGCCGATTCTGGGGAGGCATATGAACAGTAACTCATTGCTTTGGCGGAAGCAAACATAATTAGTGGCGAAGCAAGGGAGTCATCTCTTTGACTCGACTAGCTAGTCCAATCAATATCAATGTGCTACAAAAAGGACCGATCCCGTAGTTCTTTCCATTCGCGTAGGGAGACCGGGAAGATGCTGGAGAGACTCTTTCTTCGCAGCTCCATCTCACGTACCTAGGTATGGAAGAGTAGCCGGTGTGTGCTTCCTAGTTCGACAGACGATAGACGTAGCATTTGCGGGGTAGGCATGGCGCATCACGGTCACGGCTACAATATACCGTAGTCTCGTATGGTCGAAGCTTGGAAGCTCGAACATCGAAGATGGTCTTCCAGCCACCCGAATACCTAGGTACCTGGTAGTGAGTGACACAGGCTGCTTTAGGAAGGCGGAACACGACCTCCCACGACCTCTTTACAGGTTCTGGGAGCTTGTACCTCGTATCTGTCGGTTCGTTGTTTGTTCGCAACTGCACCTCTTGATCCAGATCACCGCAGCTCCCTGCGATACAGCGGCAGTTCGACGCCAACGCCGCTTGGATTCCCTTGTCTGTCAAGCTTAGTCCGTCCACCGTCGCTTACAAATTACTGGTGCTTCGGTTAGTTGGCGGCTGCGCCACCCAGGAGCTTGGAGTCGCAGCTGCATTTGACCGACCGCGCGGACCTCGCTCGCTCAGACGTCGAACCTCCTGGGCCGAAATAACCCAAAGTCAACATTGCGACAAGAACACGTGAGGGTGAGCTTGCTGCGTAGTAGTGATCAAGCCCTTGGCCCCCGGCATAGCAGTCTGAAACCCTTTGCTTCTCACCGACTTCCCCCAGCAAAAACTCCCAGAACCTAACCCGCCAACACCCCCGAGCCAAACAACGACTATTGGTGAGTTCTGTCCCAACGGCTGTACATATCTCAAGCTTGTCTGTCTTTCCACTGGGAAACAACAGAAAAGATGGAAGCTGAAGAACAAAGAAGCTGATTTCCGCTTGTTCAGGGGTCTTATAGAGTAGGAAGCCGTCCGATCCTGGTCTCTCAGAGTCTGCTTTGCGCCAGTGGTTGCGAAACCAATCATCGGTCCTATCGGAGTAAGTAGTGATGGTGACGGCTTTCATACACATATTTGTTCTCTTCCGAGCTCTGTATTTTGCGCTGCCGCGGATTGTCCCGGACGTTGGCATGTTGCATGCACCACACTCAGCCTCGTGGCTTTCAGAGCCGTGGGGGATATAAGGGTCGGAAACGAGTCCTTCCAAACGCAGAACCCAGGGGAGGATGTTTGAGTAAGTTCCTTTATTTCATTCCCCTTCCGTATGGCACCTCCTATGTGGTCTGAGAGTTGCATACCCTGCCTTACATGTCGCAACAAGCATTCTGGTGAGCAAAGAAGGCGCGCTCAGACCACTGGTACCTTGAACGATACCGTGCATGGTCACAGATAGTTGAACTCGATCGCTAACCCAGAAGCTTGTCAGGAATCAGGGTCCGATAGTTTCTTGATCGCACTCGCAGAGAGTCGAGCTCGCGCCGTGTCTTCTACAACAACAGCTGCTGGACGTGTCCGGTGCGCGGACGAAACCAGCTACGTGATCAGTCCAGGACCGGCGTGTGCGCATCAGATTGTTTTTCATCAGATTGCCGACATCGACTAACTGATAATATTGGTTCCTACAGATCCGAGCTCACCATCATCGAACTGTGCACTCCAGTCCCTAACTTGACCAGCCAAAACCAACCCGACTGCTTCAAAATCATTAGCCGACAATGCCTGTCGAACTGCGCAAACGCCCTCCCCCAAAGGAACCAGCTGCCCCTCCTCCGGCCGCGAAACGGGGGAGTAGTAGCAGCACGGTGAAGAAGCTCGCGGGCAAGGCCAAAGCCGCCGTGACTCGGCCCTATCCCAGAAAGACCGCTGGCCCTGTTGTGGGCCAAGTTCCAACGGAGTCGGAAGAAGAAGAAGAAGAAGATGTCGCTCCCACCTCCGCTGCCATCGTCCCCGAGGCCGTCCCAGCCACAGCAGGCGTCGCGGAAGAAACCAAAGAGGAGCAGCCTACGGCGAATGGGAGCGCTGTCACGGGAAAGGCAACCGCCTCCGGGAAGCTGAGCGTGGGCGACAAGATCGATCTAGAAGGCTTTGGGGGCACGGTCCAGACGCATGATGGAACTAACGTGACGGTGAAAGAATTGATCGAGCAGAGCGGCGCCGGGATCGTCATCTTTACGTACCCGAAAGCGAGTACACCCGGCTGTAAGTCTGACTATATCCTCATCTTCCTGTGGTTGTACTCCCGCCCCTGATGGAGACGTGCAGCGGAGAGGTCCGATGCAGAGCGATTGAAGACTGATGCTTCTACTGTACAGGCACCAACCAAGCTTGCCTCTTCCGGGACAACTACGCTCCTATTACGGGTGCATCGCTCGCAGTCTATGGATTGAGTACGGACAGTCCCAAGGCAAACACTACCTTTGCAACCAAGCAGAATTTGCCGTATCAGCTATTGGTGAGCTTCCTGTGCCTCGCTTCTTGATTCCTCCCAACCTCGGATGATATAAATACTGATTGGAATGGCAGTGTGACCCTAACGCGACTCTCACAACTGCTATTGGAATGAAAAAGCCAGGGCCCGGCAAATCCACCACCCGCGGCGTGGTCGTCATTGATAAACAAGGGACACTCCGTCTCTGGGAGCAAGCTGGCCCTGCCAAGACGCTCGAGGCAGTTTTGGAATACATCAAATCTCAGGGTATGACTGAGACGGGCGCCCCAGCGGCAGTTGCTGCACCGCCTGCGGACGACCCGGTTGCGACGGAGGAGGCAGCAAAGCTGGCAGACCCAGACACCAAGATGGATGAGGTGCCGCTCGTTAGGACCCCGAGCAAATCCGAGCGGGACGCCGCCGAGACAGCCGCAGAGGTGGGCGAGAGTGCTGCCAAGATTGATTCTGCTGAAGGAGAAGCGAAGCCATGAAGACTTTCCCTTTGGGCGAAGTAGCAGAGGTGAAGCACTGTGGGTTGTTTAATGTGTCTTGTCAGTGGTGGGCATGATAGTTCTTTCTCGGCGTCCTAGGCGCATCCTGGTCAATGAGCATTATTTCTGGTCTTTCATCATCTCTTCTGTCCTTCAGATGGTCCCAATCCCCGGATACCACGCCTTGCCGACTCTCTGGATCTCCGCAATGAACTTTTTGCTCGTGATTTCGGGGCTCTTCCCCCCATAGTTTGCTATCTGCAACGGCGTCCTCTCGTCGGGCATGTAGAACGGATTCAGCATGAGATGGATGTATGCAGTCTGGACCGCACGGAAGGCTGGCTTAAGATCCGCGTCTCTGAGACCCACTGCGGCAGGAGGGAATCGTCTCTTGTCCTTTGCCAGGTCTTTGGACCCGTTTTCGTCGGACGGAGAGGTCGCAGGCCGACCCATCATGTCCACCACGATGATGAACTTGATCCCCGTGTTTGTCAGCCAGCCGTAGCACGAGAGGCGGTCGTCGATGGCCTGGAGCAGACCCAAGTCGGAATCGAGCAGCTTGGTGGTGCGAGCGCGCAGGTCGAAGACGTCGAGGCACGAGTTTAGGAGGAAGAGGAATTCAAGCTCGGCGTTGGCAACGGTGTCGTGGGGAGGAAAGAGGGAGATGTGTAGGGGTTGGTCATGTTTGCCGATGACGCCGATGCATGCTATCGACGGTGACGAGTTGAGGGCCATTAGGCACGACCACCGAGCCTGATTCTGGGGTGCTCGTAGAGGAGAGACACAGCATATTGTACCTGTACCTAGATGGCCGGCTCCCCAGATATTGCCCAATCAGGAAAGCCGATCTCGCTGTCCTGGCCGGCTCAAAGACCAGCCAATGAACGAGCTCGCAATTCTCCAGACATCCCGACATCATAGATTCTCTACCGAACGAACAAACTGCAGTTTCGCCTCCTCTTTCTTTCCCTCGACGCCCTTCAATTCTTTCCCTTTCACCGTCCATTTCTCTTCTCTCCTTACTGTCAGCGACAATACAGAGCAAGATGATGTCTCTGTCGAGGACAGTCGCTCCCCGAGCGCTACGAGGTATGAAGAAATCCAAGCTCCTTTGCCACCACTCTTCAAGGGTCCCCATTGACAAAATCTAGCGTCAACCATCCTCCCAAACTCGCTCATCCGCGCCGCCCCAGCCGCTTCCATCTCCTCGACCTCTTCGAACCCCGCCACCTCGGTTGTCTCGCAGGCACCCACCCCAAGCGGCGATGCGTCGCGACTCCCCGTCACCGGCGGTATTCGTCGTGAAGTGCCCCTCCCGTCGCAAGATCAGAAGAAAGGAGCCATGCAATTCGCCCTCACCACACTAGATCAGATCGCAAACTGGGCTCGTCAGGGTTCACTGTGGCCCCTCACCTTCGGTCTCGCGTGTTGCGCCGTCGAAATGATGCACCTCTCCACCCCGCGATATGACCAGGATCGTCTGGGAATCATCTTCCGCGCGTCGCCCAGACAAAGCGACGTAATGATTGTGGCGGGAACACTCACCAACAAGATGGCCCCCGCGCTGAGACAGGTGTACGACCAGATGCCGGAGCCTAGATGGGTGATCTCCATGGGATCCTGTGCCAACGGTGGAGGTTACTATCACTACAGTTACAGTGTGACGAGGGGCTGTGATCGCATTGTTCCTGTGGACATTTATGTGCCGGGGTGTCCACCCACGAGTGAGGCGTTGATGTACGGCATCTTTCAATTGCAGAAAAAGAGTATGTCGGGTTTCCACTTCCCTTTTCAATCGAGATCTCTCAAACTAATCAATGACTACAGTGAGACATACACAGATCACGAGACTGTGGTACAGAAAGTAAGGGGTGCGGGACGAGAAAACATCAGAATTATCAGCATTTGCAGTGGCTGTGTCTGCAGGCAACGGGCGTTCTCGAAGTGGGTTAGAGCATCTATCTTGCTTGTGCCTTGTGCTCCGGCTCGCGCACATCATGTACAGAATGAACATTTGGTTCGATTTTTTTGCCGCTTGCCCGAATACCTTGTCCGTTGCAAAGACTCACCTTGAGGCGTTTTCACTTTTCTTCAACAGAGCACTGTCTCTTGAACAGGCACGCGCCTGATGGCCCTTGATTTCCCCTTTACAAGTTGCTCAAGCACTTCTTAAGTGCTAACAGAAAGACCTACCTACTTACCTAGGTAGGTAGTTTTTACACTGCGGGCCGAACACAGCATTTCGTCCCGTCGCAGGATTTTGCAAATCCTGTGGATCACGCACGAGTGTTTGCCGCGGCACACAAATTTCCCGATCTAGTTTTTTTTTTTAAACTTATCATTCAGCTATGCGCCTACCTTTCTTTTTTCCCTTCTCGGGAGCTGAGCTTTATCAGTCATCCTGGATATGCACTACTTCTTATCGTGATATGGGAGCTCGCTCAGTTCCTGCGGACAATGGGGTAGGCCCTTTTCTTATTTGCGTCATGCGTTGTGTTGTCTAATGCTTTGTGACTTTAAATCTTGAAGAGAGAGAGAGAGAGAGTGGAGGCATTTATGTGGACTTGGAGACAAGGGATATTTATTTGCATAACTTTCATATCTATACGTGATGTCTTCAAGCCTTTCGCCAGGACCGTGACGGGCATGACCACGAGATACCATCATGTCCGTGCCCAGGGATGAGGCTTGCTATGAAGTCAGTCCGGCGATGAAACGGTTTTTGAGAACAAGCGGTACGATTGTCGTCGAGGACAAGTCCGCCGTCCATTCAACGTGGGCCTTGGCCCCTTTTGAAAGATTCCACTCCCTCAAAAGCTATCAATCATAGCATCATTCCCACAGCTCCCGCCAGGATCCCACCCACACCACCAACAAGGGCAATTCTCTCCAAACGTACAGGTGGTCTAGGAGCGGCGGCAGCGGCGCCAGTGAAGCTAGATGTAGAAGCAGCAGCCGCAACAAAGCCCGTGCTAGTAGTGACTGAAGATGTGGCTGACGCCGGCGACGCTGTGGTCGCAGTAGTACTACTGGGAACGTGGCCACCTGCAGTTGCCAAGGGCGCCTGCTGGTACGAGTATGTGATATCCTGCAGGCTCGCCGGGCAGGATGGCAAGGTCATGCTTGAGACCCGTGTCGTTGGCGAAGGCACGCCGGAGATGCGCGAGTAGAATTGGCACAGTGTCCATGATGAGGTGGATGTGTCGCTGGAAGAAGACGGGGCAATGGTGCTAGTTGGGGTGGCGGTCGTTGGAGGGATCGTGTATGAAAAGGTCAACAGGCTGGAAGGGCAGAGAGGTAGCGTCATTGAAGTCTCATGCGTCGAGGAAATTCCTGGGATGCTCGAGTAGAATTGGCAGAGGGTGTAGCTGCCGCTTGGGGGAGCTGTGGAACTGACTGCCACTGCTACTGCGATCGCGGTCGACGGAGCAATTGCAATTGTCATCACGATCGTCGTGACGATGGCGCTGAGTTTGAAAAGGACGGCCATACTGGACTATACTCGGTAGGTATATACTTAGGTACATGTACTGAGAGTTTTTTTTTCCTTCGGTAGGTAAGCAGGTCAAGTATTCTCTTTACTTTTGTATGAATGTTCTAAGTCAAAACTCCCTGGGTAGTCAATTCCATTTCATATCCATTGCAGAAAGTCGAAGGGGGGCGACTACAGATAAATCCATTACTTCGAGAAGCAGGCACCAGCCAAAAGACTGGGTTGTGCTGGGATCTGCTCGTTGACGGGTTACTAGGGAGACAGCTATAGCAGGGTGAGGTAACTCTTCAGAGACTAGTCGGTAGGTAGGAGCTCGAAGAAGGAGGATCGTGGTCGAGATGGGCACATGGGATAGGATGGGGATGAGAGTGAGGTACGGAGTCTTGCCGAAACATACTAGAATAAGCGGCGGCGGGTGGGAGTATTCGACTCGTTTGGCACTTTTGGCAACTTTGTCGAGTTTACCGAGTTTGTCCGGTTTGTGTAGTTTGTTCCTCCTGACCACCAGCACTCGCACCAAAGCCTAAAGGAACTGCTTCGCTTCCCGAAAGGCCGCCTAGGGGCCACCTAGAGGCCACCTAACGAGGCACCTAAAGATAGCATCCCCGCCAGTCTTACCGTATATGTAGACTTCAAGAGCGGGTGAGTGGTTCAGGCCCCGGAACCTCAGCATACTGGCACTAGGTAGGGGCAAAGAAGGTGCTCACCCACCTACCCTCCCCTCCTCCTTCACCGCCCCCCGAGTTTCGGGTGCTACGAAGGAACGGAGCGCAATTGCGTTGAGCATGTTTACTAATTGCAGGTGATTAAACACCATCGAGCAAAACCGTCTCAACGCGATACAGAGCATAAAACACTCGCGGTTCCTGTTTGTTTTGTTTTCTTTGCCTTTGTTTGACCTTTGGAATCGGATATCGCAATTGCGCACAAATACCTCAGCCTCACCACCCACCCACCTACCTGCGTTACCCACCCCGCCATATTCTGCCGTCTCGACTGTACTCGGTACATATATTGCACAGAACCCATCATATCCAACTTTGACAACTTCCCTCTCCTCTACTCGCACACGCACACTGCCGTAACACCTCTCCTCACCCCAATTGAATTCCCCCCTCACTTAATCCTCGCGCAACCCAAAGGACGCAATGGCCGAACACCACTACAAGTTCAACGTGACAATGACCTGCGGGGGCTGCTCCGGCGCTGTCGAGCGCGTGCTCAAGAAACTCGATGGTAAGCGCTTTCAGAAATAAACAGCATAGCATACCGCTGCAAAAACACACCACCACCCAAACTGCAGCAAGCCAGACGCTGCTGCCGTAGGCGCAGTGGCGGTGGTCTTGCGACTTGCGTTGTTGTGTCTTCACCTCCCCCTCCCACTGCGTTGCTTTGCTTCATTTCATTCCTTGGACTTTCTCAAGAAGAAAGAAAACATTGGCTGACACATGATTTCCCTGCCCCTTTACAGGAGTCAAGGACTACAAGGTGTCGCTGGACACGCAGACCGCCGACGTGACCACGGAAGACTCGGTGTCTTACGAAACAGTGCTCGAGAAGATCAAGAAGACTGGCAAGGCGGTGAACTCGGGCGAGGCGGACGGTGTCGCCATGTCCGTGTGAGATTTTGAACGCTGAAATCAGGGCACGTCTTTGGGATATCAAGTACTACACAACGAGCCAGTTTGCGCTGGTGGGTGGATTCTATGTGAGGGGATAGTCCGAGGTCCAGCGATGTGGAAGAAGAGGATGTCGAGCAAGCATCACTGGTGAACAAAGTCGCATGCGATGAGTAGCACGATGTATCAGCTGAATCTTCGGACTATTCACCTGGACGAAAATGTGGTCCAGTGTGGGCATGGAAGTTGGACCCTTTCAGAAAGCAGGAATAGAACATTACCAAAAACATTTCAAGTTTGATTTTTCTCACATTGGCTGTCGCTCACATCGAGTCCTATCTGATAGTCCTATGCAGATTGACAACTTCCACGAGCTGGTCTCAACATACATTGGACATTGGAAGGAGAAAGCCCAGGGGCGGATCCCTTCATCGTCTCACAGATGTGGCTAAGAAGCCAGTGCTTTGCCTGAACTCCATTTTCATTGCCTCCGATCGTGATCCAGTGTGCCAAAACATGGGTATCTTGATCAAGCATAACATTACAAGGAGAAGCTCATGGTACTCTTTCGTGATTCTTTGGCAGTCCTCGATCGAAAGTCGACAGAACTCCCGCCGCTGACTTAGAAACATGCATAAATCACCCACCCATTTTGATGCAGGAACCGTGTGATGAAACAATACTTTTGACAATGATGGAGCAAAGTAGTCGTGACTGAGTAGAGAACGTCTACAGAGCGATGAGTGGGTCGAGATGTTGAGGACACTGCTTGCTTAACGTCGTATCGAGATAGTGCCTGGATCAAGTGTCAGCGCTGTCAGTGGAAAAAATGGCAGGGAATGTATGCTGAAGCAAATTTCTGCCTTCAAATCTTACCGTCGTCCGGAGCCTCTTCGACACATTTCCCTTGGTGACGTCTCAGAACGGATGACGCTTGAAACTTTCCACTTCAGCGTGCATACGAATGCAGAGGAGCTGCTCTTCGATCATACTCAGGCAGACGCTGTGGAGGCAAAGGTTGTAGGGGTTCACGGCCACTGGATCCATCAGGATAAATGTACCGCACGCGAGGCTCTTGCACAATAGGTTGCACGTATTGTTCACGGACGAGCCTCTCTGGCTCCCTAGTAATCGTGCTGTTATATGCGCGCGACTCGCCAATGGGCTCGTAGACCTGACCTAGTGGAAGCAACGGTTGCTTTCCCAGATCCCGAATGGGTCGGATTGACTCAACCTCATCGTGGCTAGGCGCCGCGTAGGGTTGTGGATGATAACGACGCTGGATCGTGGTCGTCTCACGGAGCTCATGGGTAGCAGGTATGGGTTCATAGAGACGGACAACAGAATGCGAAGAATCATGAGCATCGTAGAGAGGTTGACGATCAGCATAAGCGGTCTCCCGGGCAGAAATTGCCTGTTGTAGACGCGGGCTGGATCGTGGCTCACCATAATTAGCTGCGCGATTTTCAGCGTGGGCAGCCACCGGCTGAGGTGGCAGATAGTGATGTTCAACAGGCCTGCCGGGAGACTCTCTTCTGTTGATGCGGCGTTCTTGGATTGGTTGCGTCTCTTCCAATCGACGTCTCTTAGGAGTTTGGCTAGAGCTATGCGTCAGGTCAATGTAGGCAGCATTCCTCGCATTGCGTCCGTCTTCCCGCCCTGGGTTAGTTTCACGATGCTCAGAATGCACTTCAAATGGGTTTCGACGTAAGCGAGGAGACATATATGACCCATCAGGTCCTTCGATCGATGGCAGTATCGTACCATCGCCTCTGTCAAAATCTGCGTTGTTGCGCGAATCCCGTTGGGCAAAGTCTTGAGGTGAAGAAGGTCGCGTTCTAATTTGCGCTCCAGTCATTGCCGGCGCCGGTTGTTTGTGATAGTGTTGTGGGGTGTCTGCGCGGGTTGCACGGGGCCTTGTGTCGATCCGTTCGTACAAAATGCCGTTTGCGTCCTGGATGTACGTTGGAGGGCTGGGTTGGCGGCTTCGAATCGGGGGCTGTCAATAAGGTTAGTGAAAACCGTATAATTTCCGCCTGTCAGCAGAAAGTGGTTAGAGAGCCTTTATGGAAATCCCGCTTACCTCATAATCCACTCTTGCTACGCTTGTTGGAGGAGCCTGAGTGTGAAATATCTGGGCTGGTGAGTGGGCTGGAGGGTCAAGAGGGACAAGAACGCGTGGTGCTGGAGCCGGTTCAGGCTCGTAAATCCTTTCCAAAACCGTGACTGGTCTCTGGGCGATGTTGGAATGATAGTCACGCTTAGCTTGTTCCCAGATAGCATATCTGCTTTGATTTCGTCGGGCAATCTCAGCGTTAGATGGTCTGTATGTGCGAACGGTGGGTGGATAGTCCAAAATTCGTTCAGGTTGCAGTTGCGGCCAAGGGGAAATAGGGCGACCAGGGCCAGGACCGTAAGAAGTACTTGGGAGTTCTTCAACCTGAACATGGTCTTGGCCCAGGGGTTCGACGCCTTCGGAGTCACTCTCTGATGCTTCCTCGTCAGAGATTACGATGACCTCTTTAAGGAGATCATCTGCAGCGCCGGTGGTGCTTTCAAGGGTGGTATCTTCACCGCCCCGCCACTCAACCAGCTTTACGAGAGTCTCTTTTTCCACCATATGACGAGCCTCGTTGTATGGCATCTGCCTCAACAACTTGTCATATTGGGTGTAGTTGTGGCGGATATGGGCAACAACAGACAACTGCGCTCTTCGAACAAGTGGTAGTTCGTTTGCAGTGCCGACCCTGCGATCACCCAGCTGAAACGCTGTCTTGATAATCTGATACAAATCATTGTTGGGGATATTGGGGAACAAATCTTTGATGGTCTGTTTGGCATCAGTGTTGATGGTGATCTGGTCCTTCTCTTCTACCGGACGTTGACCGTTCGAGTTGCGATACACTTTACTGAAAAAGTTATCGTCATTCGACTCGTCAATGACCTTGCCTTCGCTGTTCAGGCGGATGCCGTAGTGGGCACAAACTTGGTCGACAATCCTCGTGGGAAAATGGAAGCCGACACGATGTACCTCCCTCGACAACTCATGGCGCGCAGCATGTGGAGTAATCTTGAACGTCAGTGAAACACGCGTGTACAACATAAAAATGGAGTGGGCTTACCGTCACGGCGTAGATCTTGTGGTCACCTCGGCGAGCAAATTCTTTCAATGCGTTGGTGAGCTCGGGGTTTCCGGCGGGAATGAACGTATATCCAGGCGGGGGACGCTCTTGGAATGAGATCTTTTTCGGGTCATAAGCACTGGTAATATAGCCTCGACGATGAGCCGGGTTGACTCTTACCACTGTGGGCAGTTTCTTCTCCTGGGGATCCCCTCCAATGGCGATTTTGTGTCTCTTCTGCCGGGCCACCTGGCCACCTCGGGTTGAGGCACCTGCCGCGCCCTTCTTGGCCACCTTCTGCTTGACTCTTGCCATCTTGAACTCTCAACCTACAAAGGGGGGAAACCGAACAATTGGGCTCGTAACATAGGAGATGAGGGGCGCGAGGTCTAACAGAGAGCAATCAGTTGAACGAAACAGGAGAGAATCGGACAAGCAGTTTCCTGGCTCGTGCGAAGTTGTCTTAGGCGATGGTTGCTACAGTCTTCACCACAGTCTTGCGAGCGGTCAGCTGCACAAACGCGGCTTGACGGGAGGCGCCACTGCACTTCAGGCGCAGGATCTCAGCGTGAGATCGAAACTTGTCCACGGGGCGAAGTGGGATTTCCGGAGATATTGGCATGGAGAATCAACGAGTGAGTGAGCCTCGACAGATGCCGGAACTGGGAGATGTACCGAGTACCAAGTACGTGGTGATTGAGTGAGAGAGGCAGGGAGGAATGGAGCAGGCGACTGCGCTGGTATTTAATTTAAGCTCGCATCTTGAAGTCCGGCTTTGACAGGGCTTGGCGGGCGCTTGGGTGCCGCCTTACAAGTCCAGCCACGTGCCAGCGTCAACACGTCAACACGCCACGTCAAGCTGCGTGGTTACTGCTGCCGCTTTTGAGCAGCAACCTGGGCCAATGAGAGAGAGGCTGGCCATCATGTGATCTCCGGCTCGAGAAGCTCGAGCTACGGAGAAGCATTCAACACTACAGACACTTTTGGTTCGCCGTACCATCTCGCGACCTCCTTTTGTGGCTTCCGCTCCAATCCTCAAACAGCCGCGAACAAATCTTCGCTCATAACATGGCAAGCAAGTTGCCGAGCGCCTTTGCGACGCCCTCAGTATCCTGCAGGATCATCTGATGACCGCTTTGGACCACTACAACTTCTGAAGGCCCTCCCACCAAACTGCTGATGTCCTTCGACCTCTGCGGCGGACTGATCATGTCCTTGTCACCGGCCACAAACACAGCCGGACACTTGATCAGACTGTAATCGGGGTCATGGTGGTCGTCGCTGGCGACTAATTCTGCTGTGGCTGCATATGCCTCAGCAGAGCAAGATTCCACAGCCTCACGCACCTGCTGTTCGTGCGCGCTGTCGTTGGTGCGATCCGCTGGGAAATTCGTCTTGACCGCGATCTGCCCAACCTCATCCATACCTCTCTCACGCGCTATTCTCGCAAGATCTCGCATGCGCTGCTGCGCCGGCGGAATGCCCCTCACGGAACGGCCTGCACCCAGAAGTAAAAGTCCTGCCACTTTGGCGGGATACTGGGCAGCATAGTGTAAGCTGATGATACCGCCAAGGGAGTGACCGACAAGGAGGACTGGTTCTTTGTTACTGCTCGCTCCTGCTGCCGAGGGAGAAGGATGTTCCTGAATATATGTGATGAGATCGTGTAAGTCGGAGACATATCGTGCAAATGAAAGAGGCTTCCCTGGGTTGAGGGGTGTCTTTCCGAAACCTTCGAGATCTACGTCGATGACTTGATAGCCAGGCGGTATAAAGGGAATTAGGTCTCGGAATGTTTCTGTTGAGCCGCCTAGTCCATGTAACAAGACAACGAGACGTTCCCCCTGGTTGCTGGATGAGATATAGTGGATGTCGGTACCATGAGGCGTGAGATGTCTTGTCGATGAATGCGGCTGCATCTTTGTGGTTGTTGACGGTCGTGAAACACTTTTTGTTCTGAGCTACAAGCAGCAACCTGGAGCCACATGTATGCTTGCTCCCTGTGTCCAGGACTCATCCACAGTGCAGAGCCTGAAGCCACTTTGTTGAACCAGAAACTCGGCCGAGCTCCACTTCCCTCGTCGGCCGAAGACGATACTCCTATCCAGCTCCATACCAGCACTTCCAGTCTACATCTCCAGCAACCATACTCGGCCGACTGGTATTAGCCAAGGCGTGCAGTCGCTTGATGGCCGCTGGGGATTAGCGCTTCCAGTTCTAGAGGAGAAAGTCGAAGATTGAAAAGGACATTCTCGGTTTCATAACTGCTGCAGTTGCTGTCAGCCACCACCTTGTAAATACTAACGACAGAATCAAACCGCCGCAACAATGGTTGTTGAAGCTCTCACGGAAGTCATTGCCCCGGAAGGCGTCAAAGCAAGGCTTGTCGCAACCAGGGCGGCGGATATCACGCTTCCACACGCGGAAAAGACAGGTGGACGAATAGTGCCTCTTCAGCATCCGGCCGAAAGCAAAGTTGACTTTGGTGCTGAAGTATACGGGATCGATCTGAACAAGCTCACTGATGCGGATTTTGAATTGATTTCTGATGCTTTGCACAAACATAAAGTCTTGATCTTCAAAGAGCAGCCAGAGATGCTCAAACCGCAACAGCAGTATCTGCTGACTGCAAACTTCGATCCTGACGAGACGACGGGAGGCTTCGCACATGGCGCCGATCCATTCTTGACCTCACACAACGGGGTCAACATCTATGGAATTCAGAGCAGACCTGCCATTCCTGTGCAGCCGCAAGTGCATATATTGGGACGAGGCGAAGTTCCCAAAGATCATTATCAGTTTCCTCCCGGGTTCAAAGTCAAGGGTATCGATCACCACGAATTCCATCTCCCGCCTCACATTCCCAAAGAGGAACGCGAGAAGGGAGCCAGCAGGTTCTATCAGTGGCACTGGGACGGGTCGTTGTACAATATCCCACCTCCGAGGGTGGGTTGCTTACTGGCCGTCAGGACTCCGAAGGGACCGGATGTCACCGTCCGCTGGGACGATGGGACCGGAACGGAGATGAAGATACCACCTGGAGCAACTGCCTACGTTGCCGGATCCAGAGCCTTGGAACTCCTGGACGAAGAGACAAAACAGATTGCATTTCATTCTCGGATCGAGTATGCGCCACACGCCTTCAAGTGGATGTCAACCGCCCACAGCACCAGACTTGGACATACCCTGGAAACCGAAGGCCTCGAGCTGCCGCGCGAGAAGCTCCCACCCATTGATGAAAACAAGATCTGCATCTACCCGATGGTGTGGACCAACCCGAAGACCGGCGAAAAGTCCTTGCAGGTGCACGGACAAGGAGCGGTCAAGTTGTACCTCAAAAGCAGCCCGAATGGAGAAGAAAAGATTGTCGATGATCTGAAGGAAGTGAGGGAGTTCATGCACAAGTACGCTCTTCTCCCATAGCAGTCTCTCGCAGCCGTTGTCACATATGTCCGCTAACAATGTTGCCAGAATTATGCGGCCGGCAATCTCGCCCGAGAATATTTATGCCCATCCCCACCAAGAGCAAGACGTCGTTCTTTGGTACAACCGTGCATTGTGGCACAGCATTGTAAGTTGACTCCAGAACCTGTCTTGCTATGGCGAATTGCTGATATGTATTGCAAGACCGAATTCCCAGAGTCATATGGACCGAGGATCATGCATCAGTGTAATATTGCAGCATCGGACCACCCATCGGGCTAGCGGCTTCAATGGAGGCGGCTGTGAAGCAATGAGAGAGAAATACCGCCCTCGTCTGGAAATTGTCCGGCATAAACAAACCTTCGTCGGTGATTGACGACGATGTGGTCAAAAAGATTTTTGCTATAGAGCGGAGCCAATGTCTTTGGAAAGGCCAAGCTAGAAGGCAGCATCATGGTATCGAGGAAGAAAGGGATCCCCACTGGGCGCGACAACAATTCTTATCCAGTACTCATCGATGCTAGAATCCGCGACCTTGATTTGCAAAAGATAGCAGGTTGTCAAAGGTCTGAGTGCCATCTTCATCAGATAGCGGCATACTCCACAACCAGTTCAAGTCATTAGGAAGAGTTAGTGGTTCGTCCACGCCGACTTCCTGTGTCGTATCCTCTGCTCGCTGCTGTATAAGGTCCAATTCTTCATTCGAGTTCAGACGCTCTGGAATGCCCTGATTCATGAGCGGCGGACGATCTTGTTGATCCTCGCAGAAGGATCTCGCAAACTCGGCGGCATCGAAACCTCGACGTCGTTTTCTTGGGGTGCTGCTGCTGCTGTTGCTGCTGTCTCTGACGGGCGCATCATTGGACCCTCTCTTTCGACTACTACTACCACCACTACTACTCTCGACCCGCCGGTTCTCGATCTGCTTTTGCAGCGCATTCAGGACCTTGACACCTCGTGCGGCGATCATGCTCTTCTGCTGGCAGAGCTGCAGGTGCTCGAGGGTCTGGTCGACCAGCTGTGATGATTCGTCCTGGCCCTGGCCGGAATACGGCGAGTGCAGGATGTCAAAGCATATCACTATGCAAGCCGCCACGGCGAATGCCTGGTGAGTCCAGAGCATCGGGCTCGACTCGTCCCTGCTGCTCGCGAGGTACTCTTTCAAGATCGTTTTGGACGCCGCCAGGCAGGTTCGACGCGTGAATGCGAAGACCGGGTTCGTGAAACTGAGTCCGAGAAGCTTCCTATATGGAACAGACCTTTAGTTACCTAGGGACGATGGGGGACTGGGCGGATTCTCCTGACAAGGATGGGACGTACCTGTGAATCATAATGATCTTGTGTGCGGAACTCATGGCAATGGCTCGCCGCGCCCATGGAATGTAGCACGGCCAATTGGTGTCAAAGGCGGTGTTGGCGAGGAATGAGGGCCTACCCGTGGCCAATGACCGCATCTTTTTGTCGTAGACCAAAACTGCCTCGTGTTTTGTGTAGAGAGTATTGGACATGGCCATGGCGTCCTGGAGGGCTGGCATGATGGCCGCGATCTTGGACAGGAACCGGCAGAAGCTGGTGACGGTCGGTTCGGACTCGTCGAGCACGTTCAAGTCGTCGTCACAGTTTTGAGGCGGGAGAGAGGTCGAGTGCAGCGGATTGATCGAGTACGACTCGGAGAATGCCGTGCTGAACCAGTCCTGCGTACAGAGCTCCTGCCACACGCGCCGGCCTGTTTCCAGCTCCACGCCGTGACCTGGCGCCTCGTCGTCCAGTCGGTGCAGACCAAGACTTTGCGCGATGCGGACAGCAGACGCCAGCATGACGGACTGGGCGTTCGAGTGGCCCAACATATGGGCAGTGTTGGTCAACGTCGTGATGGCCTGGACGGCATGTAAGGAATGGTGGGCGGTGAAATTGGCCGCGTTCAGGGCGACGACGACGGCCTTGTACCATTTTTGAGATAGGAGCCGTGCTTCACTCTCGGCGAACCCCCATTTCCTCGCCTCGTGTGCCGGGGCCGAGGTGATTGTCCCGGCCATGATCGAGAACAGTAGTGCCACCCACTGCAGCGCGACTCCCTTCTTGGAGTCGAACTTGCCACCGTGATCGGCGTAGAAGGATGCGAGTTCTTTGGACAAGGTCGGCGCCAAGTACGAGCCGTGGAACCAGAGCATGCAGTTGCTGTGGTAGTCGACCAGCTGGTACACCTGGCGTCGAGACGGGAGCAGGATCTGTAGCCACGAAACGAGATTCACGCCGGAATCGAGAGCGTAGCAGTCGAGCTCCTCGGCCGGGCTGCTGATGCCAATCCCGCCATCATCGTGCTCGGAGACTCGAAGAGCTTCCGGCGACAGCATTGCATTGTCCGGATCCTTCATGCGGCCCCAGGCCAGGAACTCCAGGACCGTGACTGCATCTGCAATTTCTGACCCCTGGCTTGGCGACGACGACCTCAGCCGTGTGGTGCCAGTCCTCCCCTCGGCCTGATCTGTCGCTGGAGTCGTCGTCGAAGACTGTGCCGCCCCATTGGTCTCGGCAATTTTCTCTTGAAGGGCGGCCTCGAGTTCTGCCACACGCACACGAAGAGCACCCACGGCGGACGTGTCGTCGTTGGACTGATGTCGAGCACTGGATATACTGCTTTGCGCATGTGTGTCGTCGGCATCATCGCGTTCGCATTCTGCCGGAGTCCCCCTCTTCACGCAGTTGTGGCATGGGATCTGTTTGTCACACTTGACCTTCCGCCGAGTGCATAGGCGACAGGCCAGTCTCCTCCGAGGGGCCGCGGACATTGCAGTTGAGCCGGCAACATAGTTGCTCGAGTCTCGCTGATCCTAACGGGTTGCTTCTGAGAGGCTCCAGATATCTGCGCGAAGCCAGCGGGTCGGTGTTTCGTTGACGAATAGTGGGATTGATAAGGGGAGTTTTGATAAACAATACCATCAATGCTATTCGCCAGGACCAAAGTGGTCCCTCTACTTCCTCAAAACTCCACCACGTCCAGGCAGTACTGGCTCCTGAGAGCAATGTTCTGGGCCACCATGGCAACTAACTGAACTTGGTCCTAGCTGGTCCCGTGCGCGTCGGGCGGTTACCCGATCGCTGCCGATGCGATGGATATGCTTCGGCCGCCTCACCAGGAGGTCGTGTGGTGGCTGCGATAACACCTCGCATGGCCTAGGGCGATCATAGCATGTCAGCTCGGCCGAGGATATCAGTTACTACAAACAGCAGAATGTCAATTGGCCAGTCATGCGAGAACGATCGGACATACCCTGTTGATATTGGTACGACATCCAAAGGCCAACAATGGGCTTCGAGATTCATAAACTTGTCGCCGTCGAAGTCCAAACTGTGGTGGCATTGATAGTTGAACCCGGGGCAGCAATCAGTGATCATACCACACTTATCGACTCTACGAAGGGAGACTAGACACCATGTCGCCAGCGGCCCTCACTCCCGAGCCATCATTCCAGGTTCTACCACTTGTCAAACGCAAGGATCAGAAGCTCAATTTCGGTGCCATTGTGGAGGGACTAGATCTAAACCATATTTCCGGTACGAGGCAGACCATTTTGACCCGAAGGGAAAAAAAATAAAATAGAAATTCATCCAGCTGATCAGCAACCAAAGATGACGATGTCAAGCAGTTGAAGGAGACAATATGGACACACAAGGTCATTATTGTCAGGGGCCAAAAGGATCTCACGCCCGAGAAGCACTGGGAGCTTGTCACACGCTTCGACCCAGACGCTTCTCAGGTGCATAGCCACGGCAACCTGGAGACGTTTCAAAAGAAAGGCGGCATGCTGTCCAAATCTCGTGACGTCTATGGTATTCCCGGAGCAGAGAATGTGCGCCTGGTTGGTAAAGGATACCAAGGTAGGGAGACAGAGAATATGAAAGTTCTCCATCCATTCCAGCTAACGGGGCCGAATTCACACACAGGCGAGGATCATTATGGACTCAAGAACCTCAACGTGAAAGGCCTATCGAACGACTTCCACGCCGATCCGCCGGACGACAAGGATTTCCAGGAAGGCTTCACACGCTTTCAGAGATGGCACATCGATGCGCCGCTGTACGCCCGCGATCCAGCCTGGTTCACAACCCTGCGAGCAGTCAAGCTCCCCTCTGGACCGGAGGTGACCATCCGATGGGACGACGGGTCTGGCCTCAGTATGAAAGCGCCGCCGGGCCTGACCGCGTTCTTCAGCACGTCCCAGCTCTACGACATGCTCAGCGACGACGAAAAGCAGCTCGCCGACCACAGCTGGGTTGAGTACGCTCCGTACCCGTACATGTGGATCGAGAACTGCAAGGCGCCCTCGACGGGACTAGGCCTCAAATCCGAGGGCAAAGAACACACGATTGAGGAACTAGGCGAGTATGACGAGAAAGACATCAAGAGAGTAAGTAACCCCTCCCCTTACCGGCTTCTGCCGCTCGCTCGGCCTTTTCACATTCTGCAACCGGACTGACTGACCCTGCGATGGAAAAACAACAGTATCCATTCGTCTGGCTGAACCCCGTGACCGGGGAGAAAGCGTTCCAAGTCCACGGGCTGGCCGCGCGAAAACTCTTCCTCCGGTCGTCCCTCGACGAACAGCCCAAAGTCATCGACAAGGTCGAGGACATCCGCGCCTTTTTGCACAACATCCAATCCCGCGTCCTCCGGCCCGAGTACATCTGGCTCCCGGAAATCCAAGAGGGCGATATCGTCATGTGGGACAACTACGGCATGTTCCACACCGCGGTCGATTACCCGCTCAAGTACGGTCCCAGGTCCATGCACCAGGCCAATATTGGCGCGAGCAAGGGGCCTGTCGGGCCGGTGCCCATCCCTACTTCTGTCTGCTGAGCACCTGTAGGTGGGTTACGACTTTAGAACGTTGACGTCGAAAGCAAGCAAGAGTCGGGGCTTGCGATATGATCATCTGCATCTGTGTCGGAGGTGACACCATGGCTGCGAGGAGTGTGATCTTGACTTCTTCGGCTGCTTTACAGTCAAGGGCATTTTATATCCTTGGTAGGGGACAGATGTAGAAACAAGAGTTTATGGAAATATCTCTAGCATATATGTATGTGCAAATTCGAGACAAGAGGGTTTTTGAACGGTTTAGTTATGTTACATCGGACTATGCTTAAGAAAGCGCTCATCGAGAGTTCCCCGGGCATCTTATATCCATCAACACTACCGATACTCCTTCCCCTCTCGCAGAGAGTAGGCACAAGTAGTAAGCACGTTCTTGAGTCAATCACAAGTCTTAACTCAGCTTCGCACGATGCTGATCTCAAGAGTCGGATGGGCGTCTTGAAGCAAGCGAATCAACCCGGCTATCGTGTCTCCAGCATGAATCACGAGACACCGTCGAGAAAGCAAGGCCTGGAACCTTGCATCTAGCTTTGAGCCATAACGAAGTTCTTGTTGAGTAGGCGCAACATTTTCAACCAGACAGGGAATTCGGGTGCTCCTCGACCGAGCCGCGAGGTATGGGTTGCTGCTAGGTCTACGCAGTGGCATCAACCGTCTTTGGTTTGTAGTCGTCAGCTCGCTTGTACGACTGAACGAACTGGTCGCGTAGAAATTCAGTGACGGAGACGGGTCCATATGGCTCGGCCGGAACAGCCGGGCCGAATTTCCTGGCCACAATGGACTGCGGTCGCTGCTCCAGACCCGGGATGGTCTCCAAGGTATACTTGGCGTTGCCGCTGTAGAAGAAAGGGATCGAGTAGCGGTCCGTCGGCGAGTAGTTCATGACGCGGTGCGTGTTGGACGTGTAGTGGTGGTTGGTCCAGCGGGCCATGAGGTTTCCGAGGTTGACCACGTAGGCGCCGGGGACGGGGTCGATGTCGAGAAACTCGCCCGTCTCTTCGTCCTGGACCTGGAGGCCGCCGACGCCGTCTTGCAGCAGGAGCGTGATGCAGCCGAAGTCGCGATGGGCGCCGCAGCCGCGCTCCTTGTCCGACGTCTGGGGCGTAGGAGGGTAGTGCACCAGGCGAAGCGTTGCCGTGGGTTCCGAGTCCGTGAACCGGTCGAAGTAGTCCTCGGGTATATTCAGCGCCGCTGCGAGAGCTCGCATGACCTCGCGGGCCAGGGTGGTCATGGCTTGGAAGTATTCCATGCAGGTCTCGTGCCACTGCGGACTCAGGCAGGAAGGATAGATGTTCGACCCGCATCCGTATTCACCCTGAAGCACGCGCGGGTGGTCAGCGGGGAGGTCCTCGCCCAAGTAGATGGCCTCTTTGGTGTCCGGGGCCGAGCCGGGTTCAAGCATTTGGTCTCCTATCGTTTCGTAGCCTCGTCCGTTCGTCCCGGTCGTCAGTCTCGCTTTCAGCTTTTCTTCAAGAGGGAGATCGAACAACTCTTTCGAGGCGGCGAATATTCTTCGTTGGAGCTCAGGGTCCACACCATGGTTGGTGAGCTGGAAGAACCCCTTGTCTCTGCAAGCTTGTCCCAGTGCTTGCAGGAACTCAGCCTTCAACTCCTCATTTTCACCCCGAAATGCTACCACCACGGTCAGTCCTTGCCGCGGTTCTCTTCGGTACAATGTTCAATTACCTGAGAAGTCAAGGACGGGCGGGAGCTTGGATCGTCTTTCCAACGAGCCCATCTCGAAGCTCTATTCAAAGGGTCTTTTCCTGTGGCGGAATGAAAGCAAACTTTGAAGCTGAACTGAGAAGATGATCTATGTGTGCCGCCCTTGGGCGTTTGATGTTAGTGCTGTCGCTTTTTGATGTTGTGACAGAAAGTGGTTTACAGCGGGACAATAACCACCAAGAATGGGCCCTCGTGATACCCATCAGCGGTCCAGACTCAACGGGTGGTCCGAGTTGATTTAGGTTTCTGGAAGCTCGGCCGATGTACCGTCATTCTTTCGACTATCCAAAGTTAAGTATTGAAGCTGAGGAGTGCTGAGGACTTATTGGTTCCCGGCAGCCCGCAATCGTGAAGATACATTTCTCGGCAGGAAAAGTAAAGTCGACTTGAATCCCGGTGGCCCGTTCAAATGTAAATCATGCCATTGGTCGCCAAAGATTCATGCCGGACAAGGCTTTCGCCCAAGTAACTGTATAGAGCTAGGGCTCGGCCGAGGGTTTGTCTGGAGTTTCCCGCCGCCAGATAACGAAGCCAGAAGCCTCTATATCTGAAGTCATTTATCTCAGCGGTATATCTGTCATAAGCCAGGATGATAAGACCCTGGGGACAAATAAGTCCCTAGCATTACGCACTAACCATAAAACAGACACGTTTGGATTCGGCCAATGCGATAAGAGTATCCCTTGCCTGTTGTGTATAGTCCCTTGAGTATGTATATAATATATCGTATCCACAAGGATTGTCGTGTGGCAACCGTAGACAAAGGTATCCTTCTCTTCGAAAATGGGCACCCATAGCAAGCTCCAACAGAAGATTCGCCGTGGCTTCCAGGACTTCCAACATGCCTTTTCCAGCAGGCAGGCTTTTGTGAAATACATCGAGACGAAGCCCGATGCTTCCAGCACTGCAACCGGTTCCCGCAACCATTGGACGAACGAAGACCTCGACGTCAGCCCCCAGAGCCATCACACATGGGGTTGGTATGACTATGCCGCCTTCTGGTGGTCTTATGGTTTCTCACCAGGCTGCTGGTATCTTGGGGCCGCGTTGCTTGCCATCGGACTGACTCCAGGGCAAGCATTGGGATGTCTGTTCCTGGGATTCTGCTTTGGCTCTTTGGGGATCGTCATGCATTCCAGAGCCGCAGCCGTCTACCACTTCGGCTTCCCTGTCGAGACGCGGATCGTTTGGGGTCTTCGTGGCGCATATTTTCCGATCTTGATCCGTGCCCTTTGTGCGCTCATCTGGGCCGGCGTCACCATCGCGCAAGGTGGCTATTTCACTGCGGTCGTGCTGCGATGTATCTTTGGCAACAGTTATTGGCACCTACCTAACCACATACCAAAGAGCTCCAACATCACCGTACAACAGCTCATAGGTTCGTGTCCACGGCTATCGCTTTCCGAAGACCTTCTGTATCGACCGAAGCTGACCATTCATTTCGCGCCACAGGAATGATTGTCTATTGGGTCATGACATGTTGGACACTCAATGTACCGATTCCCAAACTCCGGAGAGCATACGAGATTCAGATGCTCGTTCTTCCTGCTGTGATCATTGGTGCGCCAATCCACAACGATCCCATAAATCCATGGTTGCTGACCGTTTCGTGCACAGGTCTTTTCGCCTTTTGCATGGTGACCGGACGAGGCCATCCACACAAGGATCTGTACGATGTTGAACACAAGCACGGAGCGGCGCTGTCGTGGGCATTGGTAAGAAGAGGTCTTGGTTGCACAAATTGAGTCAGCATTTTGACATAGACAGCTTTCCGCCGTCAACTCGGGGCTGGCCAAAACAACAACCCTCATGGTAAACCAACCTGATATTGCCCGCTATGCTCGCAGCAAGATGGCCCCGGTCTGGTCGCAGCTCGTTATGTTCCCTGTGGCAAGTACTGTTTGCGCAGCCATGGGTATATACGCCACCCAGAGCATCTACAATGCATGGGGCAATATTGACTGGAATCCGTGAGTTTCGCCATCACTTGCTTTCACCAAATGTTGTTGCCGTAGATGCACAAGCTGAAGAAATACCCATGCTAGATGGGACCTGAATCATGACATGCTCGACCACAGTTTCAGCCACGGTCGCCGAGCCGGCATCGCGATCATCAACCTTGCTTTTATCTTCGGAAACGCCCTTACCGAGCTTGGAGCGAATGTCATCCCGTTCGGGGCGGACTTTATGTCATTGTTTCCGAGATGGCTCAACATCAAACGAGGCATGTGGTTATGCTATATCCTCGGGGTGTGTATTTGCCCATGGCAGATCTTGGCGACAGCAACAGCTTTCCTTGAGTTCTTGAATGGGTATAGTATCTTCTTGGGACCTTTCCTTGGAATGGCCTTGACGGATTACCTTGTGGTTCGCAAAGGAAATGTCTTCGTCCGAGAGCTGTACCAAGTGAATGGCAGGTACTGGTACTTTCACGGCGTGTCGTGGAGGCCGATTGTAACATGGCTTTTCTCTGTCGCTTTCATGGTATGTCCAAGAATGCATTCCGATGCCTCCGATGTGTTGGCGAGCGTGCTAACGAAGATATCTCACAGCTCCCTGGGTTTGCCGAAACATTTGGCAGGCAAATTGCAAATGGCGAGGGATGGACGCACCTCTACGCTTTCAGTTGGTTCTACACGTGCACCATCAGCAGTGTCGTCTACTTTGCCTTGTCGTTTATCGGGAAGTACGGTAGTGAGGAGAGAAGTATGCCATTTGAGAGCCTCGCAAGGTCTGATCGCGTTGAGGAGGTGCAAACAGTCGAAGGACAGAGCGACGTATCAGAGGTTAATCTCAGCATTGAACAGAAGGTTTGATGCTCGAACAGGCAGCGAGATGGCGAGGAAATGATAGCCCCAGTATAATGCAGGAGTCTAGATTCCACCACAAACCAGATGAAATGAGCAGATGTGGAGTTTCTATGATGGAGAAAGTATGTAAACCACGCATCATCTAAGCAGGACTTTTGCAACCGCGTGTGAAGCTCTTGGCGCGTTGAATGCACCTCAACCTCAATTCTCAATCTGGAAATCTTTCATTTCTGCGCTCCTCCAAACACTACGCCCAAGCAGCAAAGCTTATATTACCTGTCTAGATGAGCTCGCCCGTTTCGAAACAGTCCATCCTCCACGCCTACCGCCACCTCTATCGTACCTCCCTTCGCGCAGTCAGATACGCACGCCCCGCACGCTACGAGATCCGCGACATCTTGCGCGATGCATTCCGCACCTCATCGCCCGCACATTTCAATCGCCGACGCATACAGAATACCCTGAAATTCCTGGAGAATGCAAGAAAATACAATGGATTTGAACACAGAATCTTGAAGAATTTGCTGCATTTGCAGTTTTGGAAGGTCAAGGGTTTGGACAAGCACCTGTATGTCAACCGGGCACTTCTACTAGGCGCAGAGAGAGAGAGAGAGCGCGCTGACGTCGCGGTTCATTTAGGATCAAGAACTCGAATACTTTGGAGGCCGTTGAGTCTAGGCGTCAGATATGGCATCAGTATCGGGCGACGTTGACCATGTTGAATGAGAGTTTGGATATCTGCCTTACGATATGAGCCAAAGGAAGCCGTCCTGCCTCCTTGATGCGTCGACGGCGTCATTCCTCTCCTCTGATGAGACTCCGTCAGAACGGCATCCCATCAGCAGAGGCCGAAACACAGGATCAATAAGGCTCGTTGAAGAAACGACGGATAGCGAACCTGACAACCAAAACATATTGTTGGTTGCAGATGATACGGAAGGCATGGGGAGGCAGCTCCTTCTGGTTGAGTGGTGATTATTGGCTTCCCCTTCAGACGATCCTCTACTCGCTGTATCGAGCTTCAGAGGTTGAGGATGTTTTCCGATTATGCAACGCTTATTAGACAACCACCCGGTTCAAACGTGTGGCATAGGGGCAGGAGTGACACGACATTCTGGCCGGAACCGAGGAGGTCTCTGGGGGGAACAAAATCGGCCCAAAGGAGGGCCTCTATCGTCGTCTCACACTTGAGACTTACGAAGCCCCCATATCATACTTCCAATGTTGCTATTCATGATGTTACACTGAGTTCGAAGCGAAGCGGACTTCTCTGGGCAGCCAACCGACTCGGGCAACTACGAGTCCTGTTATAGCCGCCGACAGGTTCATTGCGCAATGCAGCATTGATTGCTGTCAGATCGCAAGCAACCCAGACGTCATGACTGGATTGTGCCCTTACAGTGAAGAAGAAGCGGCTGACCTTGTATTTGCGCACTGTGCCTGGTTAACCGGCCCTTCAGACATCGAAAAGTTGAACCAAATGAGGCTAGTGACCCTCAGGTGTTACTATTTCAGGTCGTTGGCCCTTCATATCAATTATGGTCTTTCTCAGCCTTGTTTTTGACGCCTCTCGATCCAGCTAGGACGCGGCTCAAGTATTTTAACGATGGGACCTGTCGCTCTAGGATGAATCCATGGGGCTCCACGAATGTCTTCCTGTCACCATACGAGCATGGTGCTGTGATCTACGGCCCTCCAGATCTGCGCAGTCAGTGGCTTTTCGAGCATCTTTTTCACGTGCGTCATCGGAAACGTCGTTGGGACACTGGAAAAAGCCTGGGGGAAGTTATAGAGATATTATGCATTACAGGCTGAGATACCTTCAATAGTGGAGTCTATGACGGGGACCTGCGCTCCCATTGATCTTTAAAAAAAAAACACAAGAAAAGGCCATGGCAACCACCTCCCCATTTTTTTTGAACTCCAAATCTTCCCCAAAAAAGCCATCATTAATTGCCAGAGCGATTTGTCCTTGTCCTCGTCAGATCAAGTCCAGCCAGGGACGTCGACGTGTTGACCCTGTCGATATCGTAGGGACTGGCGTTGTAGTTGGCAGCCTCGCTGATGCTGCCGGCCTTGGACCTGACCCTCGACAACGACGCGCTCACCTCGGACGCAAATGACTTCCTTGTCTTGATGGGCTCGAACTGTGGTTCGGACGATTTTGCGAGGTCTCGGTCTGACTCCGAATCGGTCCTGCTCGACGATCTCCGAACAGACTCTTCGTCTTCGGATGACTCTGATGACGCCGCACCAACGTGGTGGTCGTCGGCTCGGGCAGCCTTTGCACGGAGCTCGGCCATGATGACCTCGGCTTGCGCGGCGTAAACGCAGCGACTGCGGATCTGGGCGCCGTACTTGCGGAAGATGAAGGGGAAGGGCACGCACGCCAGGGCCAGGAACGCCGGGATCGAGCTCGCCCAGTGGATCCCCAAGTTGTCGAACATGTATGGCGTGAAGAGCGGGAACGCGGCGCCGAAGAGCGATCGGAGAACGGTGTTGGCCGCCAGCACGGAGGCGGCGAAGATGGTGTACGCGTCGATCAGGTAGTTGGTGACGGCCAGGAAGATGACCATGAAGCCAAAACCGAATGGCACGCCGGCCAGGACGGGCGAGATCCAGTGGATGGATGGGTAGTTGGTCCAGGCGAACCAGAACAATCCAAGGGGGATCGCCCACGCGCCGTACATGGCTGGGGGCAATCGAGCCTCGGCCGGAGCGACGCCGCCGTGTTCCGCGGCCTCGTGCGTGTACCATTTGTTGGCCCAGCTGCCGAAGACGATCCCGGCAATCATGCCAACCGCGACGCCGAGGAAGGGAAGTCCTCCAACGCCCTCTGACCATCCACGGACTTCTTGAAATACGATCGGGTACGCACCAAATAGGAGATACAGGGTACCTGTTGGGGGGAGTGTCATTAGTTTTAGATCCATAACTAGAATGGAACAAAGTGACCTACCGTAGACAATGGCGATATAGAGCGACAGTAGCAGAACAATCGGCTCCTTGAATAGCAAAATCCACGGCCGAATCAGAGCGGTCGGCAGAAGAGACCTCAGTGACGGAGCTCCTTTCCCTTTGTCTGCTTCCAACATGTATACCTTGCCGGTCATTTGGGACAGCTTCGCGACCCTCTTCCGCAGGATGACCGGCGCGTAGGTCTCGGGCACAAGGAGCGCCCCGAGAATCCACATGACGCCGGCGAAAATCGTCAAGAGACCCATCACCCACCGCCATCCTTGGTTCTCGGCGAGAAACCCCGAGCAGAATGGCCCCAGCGTAGGGCCCATCGAGGGCGCCAGGGCGAAGATGCCCATGGCCAACCCCCTCTCGGCCGCCGGGAAGACATCTGCAATGACGCCGCCGGCATTGGTGAATGGCGACGAGCCAAAGGCTCCAGCGAAGAAGCGCAGGACGAGGAGTGTTCCAATGTCATTGGCGCCGGCACAGCCACCACAGAAGGCTGTGAACCCGCCGAAGCTGATGATGTAGATTATCTGCCTGCCATAGAGTTCCGACAGCGGTGCCCACAAGAGTGGCCCGACGGCGAAACCGAGCACGAAGAGGGATATACCGGCCGTGATGAGCTCTGTGCTGGCGCCAAGATCGATAATGAGCTCGCGTAGGGTTCCTAGAACGCCAATCAGCAAGTGTGCTCCCGCCCCGGAGATACAACTCGGAGAGTTCGTAGACGTACCGCTGAACGCGCTCGATGCAAAAGCCGTCGCCAGCACTTCCGTCGCCACGATCAGGGAGGTGATCCACCGCCTGCCTTGCGACCACTTGAACGGATTGCCCGGGTCATTGGGTATGTAATTGACGAGATAGGGATCTTCTTCGGTGCCGGAACCGGGATATGGATAATTCAATACTTCCTCTGTGACTCGAGCCTGATCAACTACAAGTCGGAACCATGACAGCGTCTGCGGCGTGGGGTCTTCACAGTCGTGCTTCTCAGCCATCATGTGCAATGCAGTGAAGGGGGAGAAAGAAGAATGGCGTCCTTGAGTGAGCGAAACATGGTCCTTATCGTGGGTGGCAGTTGTGCATTTTAAAATCCCAGACGCCCACAGAGGGTTCCATGAGACATGATTGCATCACCCAGGGGACAAGACCTCAAGTATCCGTTGAGCATCTGATGACACCTCACTGGTGGAAGCAACGTCAAGCTTGCGATCCGACTCCACCAGCAAATCTTGGATGGGCTGAACCAGCAGCGCAACGTGGGCCTCTCAAAGGCCGTATCGAAAGGCATCTTCCTTGAAACACGTCGGTGTCGCCGCCTGTAACCGCACGAAGGTTCGGGCATCGGGCCCTTTAAAGACATGCTGCCCGGGAACTATACACACACCCTTGGGAGTGATAGGCTACGCGGATCGCGCAACACGGAACAGTTGTGCCGAGCCCCTTATCTTCCAAAGGTACTAAGCGCGCATATCCCAAAGACGGAAGCAGAAAAGACGACAAGCCCACGAGGCTGGTTTGATTCCATCTCGAACTGCTCGGTGGCGGTAAACTCTCGGCTGCTTGTGATGCGGGCTTGTCAAAGATGCCCAAAGCATGACCAAGCTCGTTCTACCTCGTAGAAATTTGACATTCTCGCGCAGATACGACGATCGAATTTTCGACGAACCGGCAGGACCAGGGGCACTAGGGGGGGAGTTGTCGCTTGGTCCCGTCAATGGGGCGCCACTGACATAAAAACAAACGTGGCGACAGCCTCATGAGCCTCGGCTTAAAATTTTGCGCTCGGAAAATTCTTGCTCCGGTGGGTCGCCCAGTTCGGAAATACACCCTCACAGCCTTATCGAAGGGACTCAACCCAAGATCGCCCGCAATCTTCGGCCGAATCAAACGCACATGCTACTGCGGCCTCAAAGAGGTAGAGACTATCTAGGCATTAATGGGAAATACTAAGGTGTCACCGATACTGCCCATCCAAGATCAGATTTTGGCCCCAATGAAGAAGAGAATATCGAAAATAGGAGATCTTTCCCTACAGAGATAGCAGACTGCCTTTGTGGAGTTTGCACAAAAAGATATGCTGCCATCATAACTTCACAACATGGCCCTCCTTTCCCTCTTGACAGCGTCCACGTCTTCCAAAAACCTCTCCGGAACATCCACCACCTTATCCCGAATGTAATCGGCAAAGCCCTTGCCCAAAGCGTCCAGCAGGCGACAGCTACTCACGCCTCGGCCTAGGGGTCCATAAATGACAAAATGCACCGCCCAAAGATTAGGGAACTCCATCCTCTCGATGAAGAAATCATCCTTCCAGTCATCGCCCATGAGTTCTTGGAGCCTGGACCGCGTCATGAAGGTCTGCAGCCACGGGTAGTGTTCGGCACGGCGGACGAAGATGCCGAAGTTGATGTTCGCTCCTTTGTCTCCTGAGCGGGCAAGGGTGACGTCTCCGAGACGCGCTTTACGTGTGGGCCCAAAGGAGGCTAGGTCGACGGGATGTGCAGTCTCGTAATTTTCACGTGGTGCCAGCTTTTGATACTGTGGAGGATGGCCGGCGTCTGCAGTCTGAGCATTTTCTCCGTCCGCGGACAGGATTGCCACTCCCTCCTTGAGATCGTTCTGCGGGTACAGAGCTGGGTAGAAGGCAAGGTAAGATCTCGGAAGTGCAGTTCGGTAGTCCAGAGAGAGATGGAAGCCCGAGAAATGCTGCATCGCGATCTCGCTCCACGCCTTCACCAACCCGTATATCGCCGCTTCTGTGTCGGCTTGGACGAACAGTCGGCAATACGTCGTGCTGGAGAACTGAGATCTCGGGTTCGCTTCCGGGGTGCCCAGGATTTGGAAATCCAGCAGCTGGTACTTGTCGATGAGGCCCTTCTGCTTGAGAGCATGCCGCATCTGTGTCTCGAACAGCTTCCACTTCTCGGCGGTGGCATACCCGGTGGCATTGGTGAGGAGCTGCGCCTCGTAACCTCCGTGGTAAAAGATGGCCAGCTTGGTGGTTGGAGGCGGTGGGTATCCTCTGATGTTTGACAGCTTGACTCTATTCTTGCCGACCTGATTGATTTTAATATCCGTCGTGTCGGCAGAGACATCTGAGTTGAGGTACGTGCCTCCCTGGAGTTCATACAAGAACTGACACTTGACGTTATCCTCGTTGACGAGGCCATTAGTCCCGTCGTGCTTGGTGATGATCGAGGTCCCATCATCGGCAATTTCTGCAATACCGAAACATAGATCCACGAACGTCTCCAAGGGGTATTCATCAAATCCCGAGAAGTTGGACCCCGTCGCATACGCAGAGCACTCGATCAGATGCCCTGCCACCAACGCTCCGGCCAGTCGGTCATGATCTGTGTCTGACCACTTGTGCCAGTACCAGGCTGCCCCGATGACTGGGGATGCGTCTGCAACTCTTCCGCAGATAATGACATCGGCACCTAGCTCGAGGCCTTTGACGATGGCTCGTGCACCAAGATACGCGTTTGCACTCACGATAGGCTTTCCCTTGGTGTCCAATAAGTCTGTGGCATGTTCTGCCAGCGAAACCTTCTCGTTCTCTCCGTCCAAGTGCTGTGGCAATTTACCTGTCTTCTCTAGGCTGGTTTTGACTTCTTCCATCAGGTCATCGCCATAAACATAGGCGATCTTCAGATCCAGGCCTCGGTCATGGACTAATTTCTGGGCCTTCTGCGCCAGACCTTTGGGGTTCAGCGCTCCTCCATTGATGATGATCCTGATACCTTTATCTTTAATGACCTCAAGCGTCTGCTCCAGGCCATCCCAAGCAGTCGGTTCCCAGCCATCGTGCTTGCCAGCTGCCATCTTCTGGGCATTTTCGGCGAGGTTCATCTCCGCAAGGTAGTCGCCGGTGATGAAGTCGACAGGTCCATAAGTGGCCTGGCGCAGCATCTGGTATCCTGGATCGCCGCGTGCTCCGGAGCAGTTGGCGATACGACAAGGTCGCGTGGCAGGAACCGAGGATGGTCCTGGGTCGCCCATTTTGAAGAAAGAGATTTGTTATAGATTGACAGGCTTCAAGTCAATAAACGTGCCAGGTGTAGGAAGTGTCAAGAATAATACGTCGTTTATCTTCCGCTCTCAAAGTCTGAGGCCTGGTGTGTAGTTCTCCTCTTGGGTCTCTGTTGCCAAGTAAGCGCTGAGAAGGTCTAGATCAAGGGTACGTCTCTTCGCCACGAGCGACTATCTCCCCAATGTCGCTTGGTCCAAGTTGGGAAAATCTCTCCTTTTGCAGCGAAGGGATGCAAGAAGCGTAGTTGTCTTCATGATATCCACGCGCACTTTTCCCTGACGCATGGTTACAGTGCCGATATGCCGGCAGCCTGTCGCAAAAGCTGGAGTCTGAAAAAGCACCTCTTGAGGTATTCCGAGGCAAATATCATGAGGGATCAGCCCGTTTGGTCCTCGACTCGTAAGCGTTGACTCGAAGCGTACCAATCATCTCGTCGTCTTCCTCGGTCCATCTCTACCCCTCTCCCGCATCCTGAGAGTGGGAACTGGACGTCCCTCGTATATGTCCAAGACAATGGGTGGGAGTTATCCCGAAAATCAAAGGACAAGGCGCCCAACGACCGGTACACTCTTAACTGAATCCTTGGAAAATAAGCGTCGTCCAGGTCGCTTTAAGGGCCTTGCCTCTCTGTTGAGCCGAGGGTCCTTCGCCTAGCGTCGTTGAAGTGAGGGTCTATGCAATGTTTCATGTGTTCCGGATAGCAGGTCGTATTACTGTCATCTCCGAGACGTGATCGTCTCGTCCCAGACAAGGTTGCGTGTAGTCTTTTTCATCTACGACCACCTTTAGAACTTGTCTCTGTAGGAACTGAGATCTCTCAAGGTAAAGGATCCAAAAAGGAAGCTAATATTGGGCTGTCACACGTATTGGAAAGAAGAACGAGGTCAATAACCGCCACCATGGGTAGCGTCGACGCCTCGCTGTCCGATGTCATTTCCTCCTATTCAGTCCCTGCAGAATCAAAGAGGCTGTTGACCGAAGCCTTGCTGAAGAATCCAAAGATTGCCAAAGACATTCCCGAGGAAGCCCGCGAATTCGACTCGCGCATCGCATTCGAAGGCAGCGACCTCCCCTCGATCCCCATCAATTGGCGTTTCGGCGAGTCTGCAGCAAGCCTCAAGGCCTTTGAAGCATGCATCGTTTACGCGCTCGTTAAGCGCAAATACAATGTCGAACTCACCGGGGCAGAAATCAACACCGACCACGCCCAGCTGTTCTTCATGTCGACACTGATCTGGGAGATCAACCCGGACACGGACCATACCATCACCATGTCCAAGAACGCAGAGAAGCTGCACGAATTGATCCCCAACTACGACTTCCATAACATGGCATCGAGTCTGTACAAGCTCTGCGTGACCAACATCTACCAGACGAAAGATGGTCGCTATTTTCACCTTCACGGCAGCATGAATCCAAAGCCATCGCTCGACAGCGTCGGTCTACCCGAAGACCGTCCCGAGCTCAAGACCTGGGAGGAAGCGATGCAGCCGTTCATCGAGAAGATGGCGACCATCGACTCAGCCGAGATGCAGCATCTCGCGTCCGATGTCTACAAGCAAGCCGGCGTGATAGCCGAGACTGTCGACTCCTTCCGAGCTAGTGAACATGGCAAAGCGAATGCCGATGTAGGGCTCTTCGAAATCCACCCGGCCCCAAATCCTGCGCAGAAGCCTTCTTGGTGGCCATCCAGCCCCCAGACTTCGGCAGCCAGGCCCCTCGCGGGGCTCAAGGTGGTTGATCTGACAAGGGTCATTGCCGCTCCAGCCGTGACTAGAGGTCTTGCCGAGCTAGGTGCAAGCATCATGCGCGTCACCTCGCCCAATCTTGTAGATTTCAGTTCGCTGCACCTTGACCTCAGCTGGGGCAAATGGCAATGCAGTCTCGATCTGAAGACCGAAGAGGGAAAAGAGAAGCTGCGAAACCTCATCAAAGAGGCAGATGTCGTGGTCCAAGGCTATCGACCGGGTGTGCTTGACAAGTATGGCTTTGGCCAACAGGGTATCATCGATTTGGTGAAAGACCGGGAGCGTGGCATCATCTCGGTTCGGGAAAACTGCTATGGCTGGAATGGACCTTGGTACTATCGCTCGGGATGGCAGCAGATTAGCGATGCCTGTGTCGGCATATCCGCGGGCTTTGGCAAAGCCATGGGCTTGGCCGACGGCGAGCCTGTGACTCCTGTCTTCCCCAACAGCGACTATATGACAGGCATTGCCGGAGTGACTGGAATTCTGTGCGCTTTGATGAGGCGAGCAGACGAAGGCGGCAGTTTCAAGGTGGATATCGCACTGAATTATTACAATCAGTGGCTGGCAAATTCGGTGGGAGAGTATCCCGAGGAGATCTGGCAGGATGTCTGGAAGAGAAACGGCAAACAAGTCTTCAGGTGAGTTGCTTTTCTCGACGTTGTTTCTTGCATCCGGCTCCTGCCCGCTAAAGGAAAAGTCACTGAACTTACTGGATGATCAGGTGTTACCACAACATGAACTACCTGATACCTCGGTATATGGCGATGATCACGAAGAACGGCAGCATCTTCCAGCCCTCATTCTTTGAAGATCGGCAGGCCAAAGCTATCGGCGCCGTCGTGCGCACAATCAAACCAATCATCAAGTTCGACAACGATCAGGTCCGCCCCGGTTATAATGTGGGGACCAGAGGCAACGGCAAAGACGCACCACGGTGGCCGGATGATTTAATGACTGAGGTTGTGCAGTGACGAGTTACCCGCGTATCCTTTCAAAATCCTCCGATCGCCTTTGAGGTGCCTCTGCACCAAGAGCTCGAACAAAAGAGATTCGGCGTGCGAGCAGTAGAGCGCTGGTGTCGACCAAGGCGGCGGACCGGGTGCATGAGTGGCAAATCGAAGATCATGGGTATAGCTGTATTGACCTAGAAATCGATCAATGTGACTTGAGTCAAGAATAAGAACATCGAGACAACGCCAGGCGATATCTTACGCAGCCATGGTCGCCCATTCCTGGATAAACATGGACCCAACCAGCCAATAATGTGTAACGTGAACAGCTCCTGATATATCTATCCCGAAAGGATTTCGCACAGATCCGAACAATGAGCCGTTTGGCCAGTTTCGGGATAGGGACCTATGTCCTTTCCGGGTGCAGCAAAACATCCGTACGGGACAAGGCTAAGCGCATTTTCGGCATGTTAGTAATGTTCCCCTTCAGCAGGAGATGTGCTCATATAATCGCGCATCATCGTGCAGATAGATCCGAGCAGTGGCTGGATTCTGGCTAGGACAGTATCTAGCGAAGCCGGTGGCACCGCAACTGCGAGGGTATAAGTGCTTGCTTTGGTCACCAGCGAGGCCTCGTGGGATCAGAGACCGAACCATAACCTCGAAGTAACTTGGGGATATTCTGCTCTCCACGCCGAACCTCATCTGGGAATCCAGAGCTGCACATCATGAATCTCTGTCACTACCACGTGATGCTTCCATCGAGGTAACAAGTCTTGAGTATGGAGTGACAAGGGACAAGTGCGCAATGTACGACCAGAAGATTCATTATTGACGTAAGGTGATGTTGTTTGTTCAGAGCGAGAGGTCGAAATATCGAAATGTGTCTGTCATTTGTCATTTGAAATTGCTGACAGAATGTGTGCCTTCGGCAAACCTTCCATTCTACTCAGTACGTATTGATCCTCTTGCTTCGCTCATCCTTCATTTTCCTTGTCTTCACATCCCCCTCGTCGCTGGCTATGTCGTCTAGAACCGATGGCGCAGCTGTTCATGATGCTTCTAGAACCATTCAGCGTCAGTGGTCTCATGACTGGTGAGTTTTTGGGCGGCATTTCCCTGTCTTGCGCGATTTCGGCCATAGCCGCCGAAGACTGGCGTGTCCGTGGTGTGACCGTCGGGCTACGAGAACACAGCCCGGTAACGTGATCCATTTTGCATTAACCAATGTTCTGTGGGGATTATAGAGCCTGGTGGCCGAATCTGACAATTGACCAAGCCTCGTGATACCCGTCCAATACTACCGAGCATCGTTGCTTCTTTTGCGACTGCAATAGTTGGTAGAGTTTGCTCATATAAAAGCAATTGGCCCTCACCTTTTCCAGGCCCCTGTCATCGTTTGCCATCTACCAAGCAAAACCCAAAAAGACTTCTACCACGATCGAATTGACAATCACCAAAGCAACCATTGACAACAACAAAGCCCGCGAGACAATGACCAAATTCAACTGGAACTCACTCATCCACCACCACCACTCAGAGACTCCGGCCGGCACAGAAAACCCGGTCCCGGCCACGGAGGAAACACATCACAGGCGCGACTCGAAGCTTAGTCACATCATGGACTCGATTCGGCACACGCTTGCCCACGAACATGAGAAGCTACCTGCCAACAGCCAAGCTCAACAGCCAGCCTCCGCTCCGGTAAACACCGAAGCGGGCAACAACGGCTCACTCAGTCCTTCTTTGCAAGCCGTGGCCTCATCCAAACTCAATGAGAACAATATGGGTGAACATTCCCATGAAGCCGACGGCACCTGGGGCTGGCCTGGCCTTGGTACTTACACATCGGAACACCCCAGTCACACAGGATCCACCGACGCGGGTGCCCCACCGACATCAAGACATCAATCAGTGTCGAAGGGAAAAGAGGCTGAGCCGGAAAGAAGGGCATCAACGGTATCCCAGGCCAGTAAGAAGAGCAGCGACACTCAAACGGGTTGGCCAGGCCTGGGTCCCTTCAACGAAGACGTCGAGGAGTAATGGATTCGGGCAAGAAGGCCGTGGAATGGAGCGGCTATAGCAACCACCTTGCATTTCAGAGCAATTTCCAGTCCTTGTGGCGCGTTAAGCGAAGATGTCCAAGGCGACACCGGCGGGACTAAACCTTGATGGTGGGTTTGAGTTTACGACAACAATCAGAGGGATCAAAAGCCATCTTGGTGAGGCTATTTGTGATTTTACTCAATTACTAGTACTAATACATTGTATTCAAACGAAAGAATCTGCGGCTCCTAGCATCCTCACTTAGAGGAGCGGCGTCACACGCGTAGTCCTTCTTCTTTGTTCATTCCCTCGGCACGGCCATGTTGAAGACTGGCCTTGAAAATACGAGAATTTCTCCAGGTAACTTATGAGTCAGTAGTACCTTGATTAAATTGTGATAGACAAAATCTCTTACTACCAGCAATCCCGTTATGGCCTTCTCTTCCAGGAAGATGTAGCGCACTGTCACCATCTGTCGAGCTATCAATCCTTGTCAAGTTTGATCCACTGGTCGAGTACCTTCTCTGCCAGTGGGATCATGTCTGACGGCTTCAGGATATCATCTCCGAAGCAGGCCGCTCACATGTGGCCTGCGGGCCTCGACGGCATCTCTAGCCCTCTCCATTCGGCTGCGGAATTCAGTTCTCTCTTCTTGCACCAGGTGAAAGAACAAAGAATCAGAGCTGGCGGAGTCAACCTCCGATCCAATAGACGGAGCTGGTAAGCTCCACCGTTCGCACCCTGCATGATGGAAAGCTCCATGCTGCACCAGGCGCCACTGCCTCACACAGCTCACCGCCCAGAGATACTCTCATATGCTAGGCAATCGGCCGTACAGAGACAGCCACCTCATCCACTCCCGCTGCCACGATTGGCGACAGCAGGTCTTCAGAGTGATGACAGCTTCAGCTGATCTCTACGATGAGTCCTGGCTGAAGGAAAGCCAGTTCCCGAAGCGGCTAGAAGATGGAAGAGGCGGCGGAGAGAAGGGGGGGCAGAAGTAGTCGTGACGAAGTCTCGCGTAGGTATGTGGAACATGGAATAGCATCGAGGGAGCAGCTTGGAACCGAAACCAATCAATGGGCTGGCAATGCAAGGGTGAGGTGATGGCGTAGTTTACGTAGGCATTCAGGAAGAACAATCCCGGGCAGTGAAGCTTCAGCCGTTATGCTTTCGTTCTGTCCTACCTCTGCTTGGCCGCCAGAAGGAGGCAACACAGAACACACTTCAGGGGTTGGGGGAAGTGATACCCATAGAACAGCCCTTCAGGGTTACCCAGGCAGTGTAGTGGGCCAGCAGCTGGCAGAAACTGGGGCAGGAGAGCGTCGAGGAGTGGATGAGGCCGGAAAAGACGGAGGATTGATCTATCAGATTGGCTCGAATATGGCATGTGAAGCAGAACCGGGGAGGTAAGTTTTGGCAAATTCTAGCAGCGAGGGAGATTTCTTCCGCGAGAGTTTCTACCCACTTCCGCAGAGTCCGTGTTTTGATGTCCACCATGGTACATGTAGGTACCTGGTAGGCTGAAGTGAGAGGTCGTCGTGATGGTAACGTGATGATGCTCAATTGTAATGACGAGCAGAGTGATCTGCGCTGGAGACTCTGTGGAGTTCTGCTGGTCAGCGCCGCTAATGGCCTGTCCAATAGGTGACTGACACTCTTGGGCGTGCCTAGAACTTATAGTGCGGGGAAGCTGGCCGCCTAGCCACCGCCTGGAACTTGCCGACACCTGCTGGAGCCATTGCCCGAAATTTCCAGACACATCTATGGGTCAGTACTTGTAATGACGCAATATTCTCCCAGGACTTTGTTTCACATGATGGAAACCTTGGAAACATCACTCTGCCAAACGACGATCCTCAGCAGAGAGCCAGATCACCACAGCCGTTGCGGGGTCAGTGGCATCGTCTTAGGAAACACCATTCGAGAACTGACAACTTCGAGAGTCCAAAAGGGGAATCGACTGAAGTCTCTAGAAACCTCACGCCATTTCTGCATATTTCTGTGTACAGGGTGTCCGGAAGGTGAGTTCCACCAACCCATGCAGTCGTACTCCGGTCCTCAGGTCTATAAATCATACCTCATCTCTCCCCCTTGAGACCGTCCTTTCAGGCAGACCAGACCAGATCATCAGAACACTTCATGTCTAATACCCTTCGAAGACTTCCACACCGCGTAACTCCAGCAATCTCCAGCGTCACCAAGCCCAAGCGAACTCAAACCAGAAACATGGCTCTCTTCCCGCGCATCCCATCCTCATTCGGCCCCTACCGCTCCGAGATGGGCCCGTTCTTCAACCTCTTCAACGACACCTTCTCCGAACTCCAGAAGCTGTCTGACACCGCGTCCCGGACCTTTGCACCCAAGTTCGACGTCAAGGAAGCCAAGGACAGCTACATCCTCGAGGGAGAGCTTCCCGGAATCGACCAGAAGGACGTCGTCATCGAGTTCGCCGATGAACAGACTCTCACGGTGAAGGGCAGAACCGAGAACTCCCGTGAGGAGGGCACGAGACCAAGCGAAGCCGCCGCGGTCGAGGGCAACAAGAAAGAAGGAGCCACATCGAACGGCGGCAGCACAGAAGTGGCCACCACCGGCTCCAAGGAAGTTTCAAAGGCCGAGCCACAGCACACCTACTGGGTCTCGGAGCGCAGCGTCGGTGAATTCGCCCGCTCCTTCTCCTTCCCCAACCCCGTCGACCACGAGAGAGTCAAGGCCAGCATGAAGAACGGCATCCTGAGCATCGTGGTCCCCAAACTGCAGAAGGCGAAGACGGCCAAGAGAATCGAAATCAGCCAGGAGTAAAGCAGGAAGTGGCAGAGCACCAAGACAGGGACTCCACGGAGCAAGCTACCACGAAACCGAGCCTCTTAACACATTATCATCCGACAACAAATTACGACATTACGACATTCCGCCCTAGCACTGTCCTCCAGCCAACCAACCTACAGTGCAATTCCTGCTTGCTGTTTCCACGTTTCTTTATCTCCAACATCCTCTCAAATGACGACTACAGTGTGACGTTCCTTTGAAAGCATGAGTGGTGTCTGGCGCGACGTTCCTTCAGGGTCTCAAATCAAAAATCACAAAGCATTTGCACAAGGGGCTGTATAATTACATCATCGGAGGACTTCCTAGCTTACTTTCTCAGATAGTCTCCGTGGTCCTGTAATAGCATCCATTTTCAAACCCAACAAGAAAGTTCCATATTAATTTGTTCCTTGCTTCCTATTGTCATGTATTCGCGGTGGTGCTATGGTCGAGCCTAACCGTAAAAGGTATACTTGGCCGTACCTCTTCCAATGAGAATCGAGGACTCGAAGCCTAATCCGGGACGAGGCGCTAATTATCAACCAAGAAAGGGGAACTGTACTGGGTCCTTCATAAAGACCGCTGAACCACTCACCCTTTGTGTGGAATCGGGGGCCAAGAGAAAAGTCTGAGTGATTACGTATAAAGTTCTAGATAAAATAAAAGAGAATGGCGATTTTTTTTTATCTATACGTACAACTCAAAAGACATTGAAGAGTTCAGATTCAGATATCGTCAGTAACTCGCCCACGCAGGATACTTTTCGCAGATGCTGAGTCCCGAAGACGGAGTATTCGCACAAGTTTATGGCACAGGACACGCAGGGAGGAAGAAGGAGTGGGGAGAGGGGGGGCGGAGAGATTTCTGTTACCGCGTGAGGCAGATGATCTGGGCAGACTACCTCAATAAGTGGGAACGGAATTCTGAGGGATCTGGGTTGCAGAAGGAGTTCGGGGAGAGCTTTTCGTCCTCGTGCAAGAGAGGCGTGCTCAAAGGGCTGGGTGGATGAGCCGACCAAGACCGAACATCAATATGGTCTATGCACCGACCAGCTCAACATGGGGCTTTCTTTGCAAGTGATTTCGCGGAAAAGACGAGGGCGTACCGGAAATGTCACCTGTCTAGACTGTGCGAAGGATGAAATCAAAGACCGGGACAAGCAGGAGGTGAGGTCGTGAAAAAGTTGATCGAGTCACCTTCTTTCTGAAATACTGAACAATCAACATCCCACCTCCTCGTGCCCAAGTGTGTCATGGCGAAATCAACAACACCTGTTCATCCGTGAGGATCATGTCACGATAGTGGCCCGATCCTTTTGCCTTTCTGTAGAACAACAGAATGTCACCGCAACACTATGGTGAATAGGGATACCTATGAGATTCCCCTGACATACCACGAATGACCAACGTACCGTCGAATCGTAAACAACATGACGTCCATACACCATGGATGCCGCTGGAAAGCAATACTGACAAGACAGTGGAGTGTCAATCAAGGTCTTTCAAGCATGTGGCATCTCAGATAGAGACGTGAACGAAGAAGGAAAGAGTCCGGGATCAACATCTCGTAAACTTGGTTGAGATGTCAGGAGACAACTTCAGGTGTGCCCTCAGGAGGGCAAAAGTTACGAATTCTCCCAATTCTTCCAAGCCGCGAATGACACTTACCGCACGCAACTGGCCCCTCTGATGCAGGCATTCCGGGGCCTGAACAAAAGCTTGCAACCGAAAAGCTGCTGTAAGGATTTGCGGGGATTGCGTCCTGGTTTCTAAGCATGGGCCGAGTAAGAGAGCATCCTCTGGAAACAATCCCGTTGAGCAGACCACAGGCGGCTTTGGGGTGGCTGCATCTAGATGTCCATGACGCCGACATGCGCGAAAAGGACGCAAGACTGACTCGCTTGCTTGCTCTTCCTCCTCGTCCTACCCTTCCTCCATCAGGAAGTCTGGTTGGTTTGTTTGCCGTTATCGTGGCGTACCGGGTCAAGACGTCTCGGAAAGGGCAAAGCAATTCCTGAAAACCCAGCACCATACGCGTGATACCTCGCGACAAAGCTGCATGACATCGTAGATGTGCTTTTGCTTGGACGTGTCCTCTTCTAGCCAGGTTCGCGTAATCGTGCTTGAAACCGCCGACGAAAGCTTAGAGCGGGCGTCGTCCATTTGCTGAGATGATTTCAAAGAATACCGATGTCGACATCCTATTCCGTCGAATGTTGTCCAGATTGCATACCGAAGGTCATTCAGATCTTGAAACCAATCTCTTTCCAGCGACGCTGATCACGACTTGAATCCTGTCGACCAAGATCTGACGCTGGCATGACCACCCAAGAGCCATTTACACTGGGAGAAAGTCAAATGTGGCCTGACACGGTGGATCTGTGGATCGGTCTTTTGGGTTGAAGTCGTGCCGAGAAGCACCTAGAGGCCTCGACCTCGGCGGCTTCCGGGGATTGGATCATCCCTAATGGCCACGCCCAGGACGCCCAGGACGCCCTTTCCAGTTAAGGACTTAGGGGGGCAGTGTCTCAAAGGTGCCGCTGCGGCGTTTTGGTGGGTTGATCGATCAGGTGCCCCCACCGTTGCCCAATCCTTCTCTAAACTGCCCGACCGTCACCAGATACTCGGTACATGCATATCGAAAATCCTCCTCCCGACCACTCAGCGGTTTGGACGGGAAAATGAGCCTGAGCAGCGGAGCGGAACCCCTTTTGGCTTTGCCATGCTATGATTATGAAAGTCCATAAAATGGCCGTGAATCAAGAGAGGTCCCCGAGTCCTTTTGCTTCCCATCACTCTACCCAATCCAAAAACAAACAGGCAGATTTATCAAAGTCCTTCTTTGATCAACCCACACCTTGTGAACCATTGCCCCAACATGGTCCAGTACGATCAATTCAATGGAATGTTTCCTCTCACCTCTCTTCCATCTCGCGGAAGGGCGGACGGTTCTGAGAGTCCTCAATCACCGAGTATGTTCATACCCCGGAAAATGCATCCTTGTGAGCAATTGACTGACTCATCCTTTTGCAGGCCAGCCAATCCACCCAAGACTGAGGAGACTGTCCTCGGCCAGCTCGGCCGGGACGCACTATTGCGCGCGATGCCACCTGAGACGCACGTCTCAAGAACGCCGCTTTTCTCTCGAGCACGACTGCTCCTCGAGCGAGGAGGAATGGGACGGGTTTTGTCCCGACATCGCCATGCCCAAGGAGATGACGCCACCACCCTCGTCGTCACCACACCACCACAAAAGACGACATTCGTGTCTCTGCCCGGTCGGCGTCGTCGCTCAGGAACATCACACAAATGGCTCCGTGTCTCCAGTGCAGATGACTGTCAAGGAGGGCGGCTCCCGATGCGCCCATTACGGGCACCACAGCAACAACTGCAACTGCCAGAGTGTGCTTCCCGTGGAGAACTTGGATGCAAGATACGGTCTCGTGGAAGAGCCCGCTCAGACGCGGCGGAAGTTGAGTCTGGAGCAGGGCGCCGCTACTCGCCTGGCGGATATCATGCACGCCGAACTAGTCTCCGACATGGAGGCACGGAACAGCCATCTCTGAAGGGGGAGGAACATGTGACACAGTCACGATATGCCTCCGCAATGTATAGGGGAATGAGGATTGCAATTGGTGCGAGAGCTTGTATATAGTGTTTGGCCGGGAAACAAGGCGTTCAGGATATAGGAACATCACGGGACAACAGGGACAACTAACAGCGGCACCAGGTGGAAATCACGGCTTTGCGAAAGGTTGGGAAAAAGTAATGACGGCTGGCTTGAGTGAAGGGATGGATGACCTTTCTTCCCCGCAAATGCATCCTCATTCAGACAAGTTGAAATCACTAATAAGGTTGAGAGCTATAACTACTTGGTCTACCTGCGTTGACTGCTGTACTATAATACCTGCTCGAGAGGAGAGGGATTGTCTGGCTCTCGGACTGGCTTGCAACACCATGGTTTCTTGCACGTGGAATCTCCTTGTGCCTTGGTTATTTTATTAGTCTGATTCGTGGACTTCTTTAGTAAGCTAAATTTCCATGTTCATTCGAGACCACCATCTTGAACGCAGCTCTCTAGGCCTCTGCGCCATGCTCCCTCCCTAACTTGGCGCGGGTGTACTTGGCCCAGGGCAAGGCTCCGCAAGGCTCTGCAGCTTAAGGGGTTATTTGGCGCTTGGCGAACGGGCGGAAGCCCCGAAAGCACGCGGATCGACGAGGCCCCCCCTCAACGCAAATCGCCTACTGCGTAAGCGAAGAAAAGCTAAACAAAGTGGGCAGGCGGGCAAGGCAGGCACCAGGGGTGGATTCTTCCCGTGCGCACTTTTTAAAGAAAATATCACACCACCCCAGCTGAGTGACTTTCCGTCTCCTCTACCTCATACTCGTAAGCCGACCCCCTTCTTGAGTCGCTCCGCTTGTTCCAGGCTGGGCCTTTGGAACGCTTGCTCTAGGTCGCTCTTTCTGCCGGGTCAGTTTCACCGCAGTACGTCCGCCTTGGGCCGTTGCCTCTTGCGGCAAGTACCTCGTCCAAGTGGTGGCAGTGTCTATTGGAAAGTCTTTCCTGTCTCTGTGGCTTGTTTCTCTGTATCGGATTCTGGATCGTCTACCTCGTGCTCCGTACTTCGCCCGGGCGAGACCGATCCCTTACTGCAAAGCCTGAAACCCAGTGTCAGCTTGCGACATGGGCTCGAACCCATTTGGCCTGCGAGATTGCGCACAGTCCACCCTTGAGACTGTACCGCAGTACGAATAGCAAAAACACAGCGAGTATGTTATCCTGCTGCAACTTTGCATTTTCCACTCAACCAATCTTTCCCCGCATTGATGACTTCTTCATCATGAGATCTTACCTGCAGACCTTGTCCCGTCGAGTGCCGCTATAGGCGAAAGTTTTTAGTCCCTCAGTGTACCATCGTATGATGGTTGCACAAAGACCCTCCATGCAGGCATTGGAACAGGGCATGCTCATACACAATGTCATGATCCAGTCATCGTCGCCTAAGCACTGACGGCATGCCCCTTTTGTGCATCCTTCGCTCCAAAGGCCCCTCACGTGTGTCCCCATGCACCTTTTTCCACATCAGAAGGTGCCCGTCGATCCACGGGTCGCTCGACTCGGGGCGACTTCACCCCATGCGAGCTGGACATGGTAAACATCCCAATGGGCCCGGGTGTAGGGAAGCAACGCATGCAGTGCAGAGGTGTAATGCCCCATTGAAACCTTGCTGATCTAGATATATAAACATCCACGGTCGCTGTTCAAGCTGCGCACTTGACCAACAGCGTCAAGAAACATTCAGAAAACATCGAATACACGCCAATTCATTGCGTTCGAAAAACGTTCCCTGATCTGGTTGATAAAAGGTCCTAACGGTTTTCCACCACTTCATTGATTCTTCCAAAAAGCAATTAATACCAGCGACCGACCGAAGTCGACTCTTTAATTTTCTACCGATAAACAAAAACCAAACAACCATCATGCCTGGCCTTCCGTACGCGGTCCCCTCCAACTACGTGATCCGGCTCGTCGAGACGGACGCCATGTCGGCCAGTTTGGGCCAGCCAGCGCACCCAGTCCAGCCACACATATCGCAGCCCTCGCATTTCCAGTTCCCGCGCACCTCGCTGCACCAGGCGACGCTGCAGTCGCACTTCAAAGGCCCGCACGCGCCTGGCAGCGTGTCGGCGCCGACGACGGGGACGGCGTTCGCCCCGGCCACGGACATTCGCGAGACGCTGCGCGCGTACCACATTGAGATCGAGACGCCGGGCGTCACCGAGGAGAACAAGAGCGACCTGGTCATCACGTGGATGAGCCCACACACCCTGCTCGTCCAGGGCGTGGCCGGGAGGCCCAAGAACATCGGCCTGATGGATCAGGAGGCAGGACAGAGAGTCTGGGAGGGCGAGGGCGACGGATGGGCCACCGAGGCTGGCCACGGCAAGGTATGACTTTCCCTTTCGCCAAGATCAATCTCCCTCCAAATCCCCCATCCTACCAATTCAAAACCACACCCCTGCACCTTTCTAACACTTTTGGTCTCCTCTCACGAACAGCCCCAAGAAGAGACTGACGGCGGTCCCTTGCAGCGCGAAAAGTCGTACGAGACCATGGAGGCAGAGGCGTTGTCGGACTCGACGCCAACGATCCTGCTGTCGGAGCGGCGTGTCGGTGCCTGGCGCCGCACATTCACCCTGCCCGAGGACGTCGAGATGAAGGCTCTCAAGGCCCGGCTCGACGGCGGCCTGCTGCGCATCGACCTGCCCAAGCGCAGCCTGGAGGACATGGCGGAGCTCAAGGGCGCGGGCGTGAGGATCGAGATTGAGTAACAAAACAGTCACTGTATAACTGTAGCATGGGAGAGGAAGGCTATGGAAGGAAAGGGAATGGGAATGTTTTGCATGGATTCGAAAAGAAGAACAAAAGGGTCTCGTATGAACTTCCCCCCGGTTTTCGGGTCGTCTAGGTCCTGATCTAGTATGGTCTACTAGTATACGAGGTATCTCGTAATTGCATATCAAAAAATAACTCCAGACCAGCGACGGAGAATATCATCATGAAAATGCATAATCGAAACCGACCTTGGTCATTCACACCGAAGACCCTCTTATATATATACTCGTACATTGTTTGAATTCCATACAATTTTGCAGTTTGTTCAAAAGGTTCGGTTTCTCATTTTGTTAGGGGTTACTCTCTTTGTCATAAATTCCTCTTTCCCGCATCACACATCAAAATATAAGCCCCCAACAAATAGGCAACATTGATGATAAAATGCACAATACATAGATAGTATTTGATTGCTCGACCCCAACACTATTGTTTGCAGAAAGCGGGGGAACACACATATCCATCATCGGGAAATATTCCTTCGTCAGCTAGCTAAGCTAGGTACATATACCATCAAGGATCCAAGCCGCCACTGCCACCGCCGTCGCGACCTCCGTTGGCCCTCAAAGGGGCTCTTTAACGGCTCTGCCGCACAGCCCCAAGCCCCAGCCCCCAGCCCGACTCCACGAGCGCCGGAAAACTCCTAACCAGAAAAACGTCCGGTGGTAATAGCACTTGTTTTCGCTGTAAAAAATAATGGACAGACGTATTCCGAATTGCGCGCGCGAAACCTTCTGGCAAGCGCTGCAAAGCAGGAAGAGAGAGAGAGAGACACTGGGTGTGGTATTGGTAGATGGGTATTTGGGTATTTTTGACAACCCTTTTTTTACCTTTGCCATTCTTTTTTTTTCTGGCTGGTTTCGTCGGGCCTTAAGATTTAGACCGCTTGAACTTGGAGATTCACCATCTGCTTGAGCAGACTGCAATCCTCGCAGCGCACCAGCTTCTCCAACACCCGGACTCTTTCGGTCAGTCTGTGGATTTCATTTTCCATGTGTCGCATTTCAACCTCGGTCTGGTTGACGTAGTTCATCGCCTCCGTAAGCACATCGCTCTTGCGCACCTTGGGAGGAGGGAGCCCGCTGGCCGAGTTGTTGGCCGCTGCTTCGATTTCGCCGTCCTCGCCCACTTTGGGCCCGTAATGCGACGCTTGAAGCGTGTTGTGCAGCTGGGAGATTTTGGCGTTGAGGTTTTCGCGGTATTTGCGCTCGACGAGCGAGTGGGCTTGTTTGGCCCGTTGTTTGGCGTCGGCTTTGGATGGAGCCGTGGATTTCGCCGTCGTCGGCTGCTCCTCGTCCTCGTCGTCCGAGGCCATTGACGCTGCTGTGGTCATGGTGGGCGGGCTTGTTCGATTTTGACGGCGCGCCGCGGCGGTGGCGGAAGTTCTTCGAGGAGGTAGAGGAACGGTATCAGGCTCGGCCGTGGTTGCAGTGGTGGAATTTGACGAGCGTCGAGTAGTCGCTGAACGGGAGGTGGCTGTCGTGCTTGTCCTGGCGCTCATGCTTGGTCGCTGATGTAGCTCGACCGACATGCCGTCATTACTAATCATGGTCTCACTGGGTGAGCTCGTCGACCCCGTTATGCAAGGGACGGATGTGCACTCCTCAATGGGCGGCAGGGTGGTGAAGTTCATGCAAGGTGCGTCTGGGCCACAGCGCTGTGGTTGGCAGCTGTCTACCTGGCCGGCAATCAGAGGGCAGAGCTTCTCGGTCGAGTCTGTCTTGGATGCTATCGAAGCCGCGATAGGATCCAGGTTGGTGATGGAGCGGCTGGGGTTGAGAGACTCCGAGGCTGATAACGTTGTCGTGAGACTGTTGTCGTTGTTTAGCATAGTGGCATCGTCATCCGCGCGTGAGCTGGTGAGGCTCGACTGATCCATGGGTGGAAGATTTGCCTCCATGTTGAGAAGCTGGGAGTAGGAATATTGGGTGTTGGAGTACATGTCTCCTGAGGATCTTCGTGGCTCGGGAGACTGTTGATGGGAAGAAGAGGTGATCAGGCTACCCGTCGACCCCTGTCGGTGATTGGAAGAGCGAAGGTACGCCAGCGGATCCTGATCTCTGTCCATGGCGGTCGAGTATTTTTGGTTGAGCAGCGTCCCCCGTGACGAAGTAGTGGTGGTGAGCGGAGCAGTGGTGAAGTCCATCTCATGCCACCCGGTGAAATCGATCGAGTCGGGGTCAACCATGGCAAGCTGGGGATGAGATGTTTGAAATGCATGTTGCCCGTGGAAGTCAGGAGAGCCGTCCTGCTGGTGGAACAGCTGCCGAAATGGCATTGTGTCCACTGACATGACTCGCCTTGTCCCACTACTACTACTGAAGCAGTGGTTTCCTGTCGTCTCAGGCCTTTCTTCACCCAAAACGGCCTTCGAGGTCCGAAAGATTACCGTCTCGCAATGTCCAATCGAACCCACAAGGCGCTTGACCGGAGGTTGTCGACCAGTCCTTGACGGCGCTGTTCTCGCTTTGGTCCGGGATCGCGACAAGTTGTTCAGCACTAACGGTAGACAAGTTGGCCGTCGAGTTGGGGCGGCAGTGTTTGAGGAGAGGAGGATGTCAGGCCACGATGACGGTGTTAAGAGGGAATTTTGGCAGTGGAGTTGCGTGCTGTAGTAGAAGTAAGTCGAGTGACGACGTTGGGAAATCGGCACAGGAAGTCCGGAGGGTTCCAGCAGCGAGCGTGTTGGGTTCCTCGATACTGGTAGAGGGTGAGTAAGAAGCCCCTCGGTCACACCACGCCCCCCGTCTGCTGTATTGCCAAGCCCCTAGTGGTAATGTTCTGGCCACTCATACCGCCATGATCGGCGCTGCGCCTCGTTAGCGGTACCAGCATTACGGCAGAAAAACACGGGCTGGGTCTGGACCCACGCGGAGATTGTTCCAGACTCCCGGGCATGAGACCTTTTTCGGTAGTTGTAATGACAGCTGTGACCCGGCCAGATATTTGAAAAGCAGCTGTATATGACGCGAATAATTCTCCGTGGCCTGACTGACTGGGTGGGGCCCGATTGTTCCCTTGCCGTTGGATCGACCACTCAATGCTCCTTTCAGCCCCCCTTCTTCAGCCTTGGGTTTAACTTGTAATACCAGCTGTAGGCTGTAGCCCACCCTGGCATCTCCCGGTCCAGGAACAATGTCTCCCCATGTGCCTGGGCGGAAGCCGCCGTTGTCGATCACTTTTTGTCACCAGAGACCTCTTCCTCTTTGCGTGGCAGCTGGTGATGCCATCACACTACACCTGAGCTCTTTGAGTTCTGCGTTCCTGAACATCGATTACTGTGTATGCTGATGGTGCAGAGGAACAACACTTCGGACCACCAATGGGTGAAGCCGGGCACGTAGATGGTGCCTGGCCATGGTGCCAGCAGATCAACGACAATTAAAAACCGTCATGAGCCTGCGCGAGTTGAATGCACGGTAAGGTCACACCAACAACAAGACATCTCAACTCAATCTGCATCTTTGTGAGTGCTTCATTCCAGAAAACAAAAGCCAGAAACATCTCCCATCTCGCTCCAAGTCTCACCAAAGTCACGATCACTTGCCCTCTCTATTCACTTCAACCAAACCCTCAGCCAAAATGAACGCTGTTCGTCAAATCATCTCACGACGCTCTGTCATGGCCATGGGCCCCCGCCTCACATCCCCAGCTCGATATGCCTCGACGGCTGCAGGACACTCGGCCCACTCCAGCATGTCGCCAAAGGATAGACAGTTTATGCGAGGGATCTTTACTGTGGCGACGGTTGGAACCACAGGAGCGGTAGCCTATGGGGTAAGTCCTACCGATGCTGGCCCCGCTATCTTCCTTCCTTTCCTGGACATTACGCATTTTGAATGCTTTTACACCATCACCCCTCTGCCAAGATTAAAAAGGGACTGACCAAGGCTTCTTTCTCCCTTACAGGCTACCAGATCAGGTGGACGCGTAAACAACCGCTACGTCAAGCGCAACGGGACCCTCGACAGCACCAAATGGTTTTCGGAGGGCGCAGAATATCACCGCAGTTAGGCATGCCAGCAAGCATTGAGTTCGCTTGGGTTCGGGAAAAGAGTACCAGAGTACACGTTTTAACAAGGCGTTACAACCACTTTTTGTTCGGGGGTGCTGGATTATTTTGGGCATGGCGACTGCTGAGTTATAGCGGCAGATACGACACGAGGCGCCCTCGGTGGTTGGGTTATATACGAGGTTTGGCGTTCAAGATCGACAGAAAGGGATCCCATGGAGAACAAGATGGCAAGGAAAAATTGCACGACCGAGTGTCTGCAGCAAAGTTTGTGTGTGTCTCGTTGAACCTATGTGACGAGCACGAGGATTCATTTCATCTTGTACATATTTCAGGTCCATCAATTTTGGGTATCATAGGAAAACTCCATCTGCCAAATAAAAAGGTCCTTGTGCAATCCCGTACCGTGAATGCGCTTTTTTTCTCTTTCATGTGTCCGTCTGGCTCGAGACAACATGAAGACCTCCGACCGACCAGACTCCGCGCCAAGAACAAAACACGAGTAGCTGAAAAGACCAAAAAGGAACGGTTGCCATGTTTCCACCCGCATCTCAGCCCTTCAGCCCTATCCCGAGTCTGCCGAGCGATTGCTGACGAGGGGTATCAGAGGGCGAATGGCCCAGACATCGTCCTCGTCCTCCTGCAGTTGGTCATACTTGGCGTGCGCCGAGTCGAATGTGGGACTCGAGCATTCGGACCGTTGGCCCTCGCTCTCGTAGTCGGTGCAACTGCTGTCGTCGCTCTCGGCGGAGGTGTCCTCGTCATCATCCGACCAATCTCCGTCGCAGCTGTCGTAGTCGCTATCATCTTCCTCTTCTTCGTCACTGTTGTACTCCTCGGCGTTCTTGTATTGTGCCTCCGCCGCCGCTCTGATTTGTGCAATTGTTTCCAGTTGGACTTCGAGCGCGGCTTGAAATTCCTTGAACGAAGGTACTTGGTGTCGGATATAGACAGACAACTCGTTCGGTTCTTCTTCCGGTCTTGTTTCTGCCGATGGCTGTGTCTGTGACTGTGACTCTGCTTGTACTTGTGCTTGTGCAAAGGTCCGCGTTCGATCGTAGACTGATATGTGGCCGAGTAGCCTCCGTAACCGGGGCTCCTCTCGGGCTGATTCTGTGTTGAGTTTCCAGTGTGCTTTGAACAGGAGCCTTGCAGCGGATTGAGAGGTTGTCTCTGGTCGAGGTTGAGGTTGAGGCTGAGGCTGAGGCTTGGAGGCAAAGCACCGCGGGTCATGCGAGGAGAGAGCACTTAATTGCTCCATGACGTTGTTCACGAATGGTGCTGTCTGTGAGGTCTGGGTTACGGGACACAGAGACGATTTGGAGGTGTATGAGCAGCAACTGTCAAGAGCAGGAGAACAGTGTAAGCGTGATAGAACGAAAATGGGAGAAGCTGCCTTCTTGAAGCTCGCAATTAGGCTGGGCAAAAGAACACGAACTCGTGTGCGTCTAGGCCATGAATCAACATCAGTGTGGTGGAAGGGACCTTGTGAGCCCATACGAGTACATTTGAGCCACGTTCACTGTGGATTTTGGGGGGGCTGATCCACAGGAACCATGCCTCAAGGGGGAAGACGAGACAAAGGGGCCTCGCCAAATCATTCGATGGCTCAAAATTTGGGATGCCATGCGGCTGAAAGAAGATTCTGGGGTGGGAAAGAGTTCAAGTCTGAGCAGAAAGGTGGAAAACGAGAAGCGAAGACCCCATTTGGTGGAGCAAGGGTCAGTTCGGCGACCATTCAGCAAGCGACACGGTCAGTGCCAGGTCGCCTGCCCGAGCTAGGCGAGCGACCAGTCCCCGCGGGAGAAGCACTATCGACTCTTTGGAAGCAAGGGGTGGACACAGCAGAGCCATGGACTATGGACAAGAGAGTTCAGGGCGGGGGAAAGATGGGCTGCATGATTGGCGCACCTAGGCCAGTCAATCGTGGGAGAAGGACAAAAAGGCAAAAGGCAAAAGGCAAAGGAAAGAAGTGAGAAGACATGAATGATGATGCGTCCTTGGGGAAGTGGTAGAGTTCAACAGCGGGGGGGGGGGAAACAAAGAGAAGCCAGCCTGATCCAGGCCCCCAAAAGAGGCGTCTTGGGGGCCTTGGCGGTGTATCGCTACGCCGGTTTGGGCTCACTAGGGCCAACTCTTCGCTTAAAAGAGGTTGAGCTGGGATTCGGCCGGCATAGTGGGCACCATGGGCACGGGCAGCACGAGATTTGACACATGATGCCAGCATCACCAGCGCCGCTTCAGCAAGCCACCACTCACCCACCACTGCTATTGCAGGCTCCATGAGACAAACTCAAAAGGGTGTGTCGCAGATTACCGAACGAAGCCTTACCAAAGTCACCTCATGGCTGCCGGGCTACTGGGCTACTGGGCCAGCCGCGTGCGCCGCAGATCTGGTCTATCGAGAAACTCAACCTAGCACTCGTAATCAAGCAGAGAAAAGGGGCTTCGTAACTAGGCCCATCGGCCCACCAACGCACCATGGCTGCATGATGCACAATCTCGTATGATGAGATCCCGTGCATTGTTGTTGTTTGTGCGTCGTAAAGCGCGTACTCGTTTCAGCAAAGCTCGCGCGATCTTATCATGCGGCTATTATTATCAGAAAACTGAAGAGATTGGCTTGAAGAGGATGCCTTTTCGGACCTAGCGCTCTCACCGATTGATTTGAAGTCGATCTCTTGCCGTGTGCAGGACAGATTTGACGAGGAATTGACGTGATGCAAGCACTGGGCGGGAAACCCTCTTCCCTTTACTACTACCTAGTACTGTTTACCTCCCTAGCGTACGTCCTCACCGCCGTAACTCGTCCACCAATCCCCGAGAGCCCTGAAGCCGGTGAGGAACGAGGGATTGGATTTCCTGCTAACCTGGGAAAGCGAGCCGAACAGAGATGCGGGTAGCAGAAGACGACGCGATTGTTGATTTCATGGTTATCAGGCTGTGGTAGGTCCCGGCAAACAAAGCCACTATGCCACCCGAGTTTCTGGCATTGCTGCGAGTCCTACTCCAAACTCACCACCTTCAATCGACATTCTTGTTCTGAAACGAGTCCCTGCATATGTACGAGACAACCTCAGTCGCCCAAGTTACGCTCCCACCTGAGAATGCCCACTCCAACCTTTGGTCGCTGTGCTTCGCCGATCTTAGCAGGATTGATTGCAATGGCACTCGGCACCACTTTCTCAAAAGAGAATCCACATTTCTCAAACACTCTTCTGCTGGCAAGATTGTGCTCGAAGTAGGTCCCGACTATTGTGTGGGCATTCATATGCGGAATGATCACTTCAGCCATTAGTGTCTGCAAGGCGGCAGGCATGATCCCACGACCATGATATTCGGGCACGAGCCAGACTGTTTTGTGTTTAGTGCATGTTTGTGGGCTGTGATTGATATCGACACTCTGGGAAGCAAGGGACTCACATCCGATTTCCCAGGTGATGTTCGGATCACCAGCTTGCAGCTTATCGTTTGCTTCTTTCCGCCGGTTTCTCTCTTCTTCATCTACAATATACAAAAAGCTCTCTCTCTCCACCCCAATCTCGCCTATAAAATTTGCATTGGTACTGGCGTCTGAATCCTCGAAATGGCGAATTGTTGAAGTCCAGTGTCGGCCGAGCCACGATCGCTGCGAACCGTCGCCTGCAGTCGCGAATTTCCCCGTAGTGCTGGGACTGGACTGCTCGCTTTTTCGGATAGCGATCAATTCGGACAAATTTTCTTTCGAGTCGCTGGAGCTCTTGGCGTACCATTCTGTCCAGTCTTTCGCTGTATAGGGATAAGGTGGACCGTTCAGGTTCATGTATACCTTTGGGTGGTTGAGTCCAAGGATGACTGCAGCTCCATCGGACTCTCGAGGTGGGGTAAGTGCTATCCTCAATGTTGGATGAGGCACTGCAATTTTCAAGTCCGAGATCTCCACGGCCGACTCCATGATTTCGCCCAGGACCTGAGTCTATATGTTATGAGATCTGAATGAGACCTTGGAGACTGTGGTGGCAGGGGCCAAAGCATCAAAATAAATGATGCACAGGTGAGTCAAATTGGACCAGCGCCGAGTGAGTCACCTCCATCTTGCGCTATCGTACGTTACATGCGAGCTGCCTGGTTTGATGAGCCCCTGGGAGTCTGGGACAGCTCCAGCATCAACCTCGTCTATGTTTATACATCTGAGGCTTGTCTCTTTTTACGACAGGTTTAGTGAGAAGGTTACTAGGTAAGATTGAAGAAGCCCCAGTGAAGCCTTTCCGGTCATCGGACCATTATTTCCCCGAGAACGTTGATGCCTCAGCAAGCATATCAGGCAAGTGTCTACGAGGCGCACACACGACAGCTACTACTCACCGAGGTTCTTCGTACTTGTCATCTCGCTCATCAAGCGAAAGCAAGCCAAATTCAGGCCATACCGTCTTCGTCATCAATAGTGACCTCCCCCTTGGCTTTCCATGCGTCCGCGTCCACAAATTTCTTGTCATCAGCCCTGTGGAGCTTGAAGTGCTCGTGCCTGTCTTCCGTTGCTTCACTGTGTGATAAATTTCCTGCTGAAAGCATGCCGGAGTCATCTGGGCCTCAGCGTTGCTGATGAGGATGAGAATGACGATGCCATGGAACAGGATGGCTTGATGGCGAGGGGCAGAAACGAATTGAAAGACCACCAGACTACCAGCAGCCAGAATCTTGGTCAGGTCTAACGGCGAGCCAGCCTAGGATAAATGCTTCGAGGCATGTCCGGCTGTTATCATCGGCCTTGACTGTTGGCGCTATTTTCCTGTTTTATCTCCCTCATAAGGTACTGTAAAGTGCGTGGTTTGATCGCATGATTCACGTCGGTAAGGAGATCGCGTTGCTTGATATGAGGATTCGTTGTGACACTCTTATATATTTGACCGCGCTGTTCTTCTGTGAGTTTTCGTGGGGCACCTGAACGAGGTTTAGAAATGTTGTTGATCCGGTCCTTTTCGCGTTGGCACGTTGTTTGGACTGTAGATCGCTTTAAGCCATGTTTATCTGCGATGAACTTATATGAATAGCCTAGACCGCGGAGTTCACAGATCCTAGAGCGTAGTTGAGGGTCGAGTTCGCTGCCACGAGGCATCGTGAAATGTGGTGGTTGATAGAACAGTACCTGGGTAGGTGGAACAGTAACCCTCGTAGTGCTGTTGGAGTCGCTAAATAATATTGTTTACACGAACACTACTGTTCCTCCTAATGAGGACTAGTCTATGTTTGCATCACGTGGGGTGGGCGGACTTTTTGCACTAATAGTCCGAGTCGGAATCGGAGAATGTTTTCATGCGGGGGAGGCACTGGCCAATCGTCGCCGACTGCCTGGTGGCAAATGCTTGGGCCTCCAACTTCAACCATCCAGACTCGAACTTCGTTTCAACTTCCTCTCCATCACTGTCAACAAGTCTGCCTCCGCCTGGTGGGTAAACATCATGGCGTCGTCGGGAGGACACCTCTTGGTCACCAAGGCCATGAGGCTGGTCAAATTCGCCGCCGCGAAGACGGGGAGGTTTATACGTGACAAGATCCCGCAGGCAACCAAGCCACTCGAGGCCGAAGTCCAGCCTGCCTACGCCCGCGTCTCTCAGCGTCAACAACCTGTCAATCGCCTCGCTCAGATCCGGCAGACCCAGAGCCGCTGGTATAGCACGAACTTGCACCGTCTCACCAATACCAGACACTACTCTTCCCGGACTGGTCCAAACGCCCGTCCGAGTCGTGCGTCCTATCCTTCCTCACGCACTGCGGCGGCTGTAGGACGATTGACCGGCCGTGCCCCGTTCGCATCTACCCTTCGACCAAACCTTACGGGGGGCACTTTGTGCCGTCATGCAGGTGGCTATGGATTAGGAGGTGGTCGAGTCGGTGGAGCCAGATACTTTTCTCATTCCCCTGCAGCGCAAGCACAGGTGGTGACCAACGTTTCCCAGGCCGTACGCGCCTTCTGGCTCTCGGGGCAAAAAGCCCGTTTCGACGGAGCCAATCCACGAACAGGCGAGAAGCGGTTCCGTGCTGTTTCCAGCCTTCAAGAAGATGCCAGACATACCATGGACATGTCATCAAAGACTGCACCCGGGTCCTTCATTGACTTCAAGGTCTCCCCTACTATTACCGCCATTGGCCCCTTGGCCAGTGTCCCTCGTTCTCCCTCCACTGCATCCTGCGATTACGAGGCCCAACAAGACACCCTGAACAACACCACGCTCATGTCCAACCTGTCAATCGATTTCGCCCGCGCGCTGAAAGACCTTGCCGCCGTCATGAACGATCTCAAGCACTTGGCAACACTGGGTGACCTTCCCATCGCTCTGCACAATAGCACGACCCTCCGTGTCCGCTTTCCTGGCTGCGATGCAGATACAGTCGAGGCCCTTTGCCGGGAACTCAACATCAAGCGCGGCATGGTCGGTCAAGACGAGGAATTTGATGCGCGGAACGGCACGGAAATGGCCCTGCTGTTTCCCTTTGCGCCCAGCAAGACAGCCAGTGAAGCCGGCTTCATGAATTCTAACGACGGTGGCTACGGCATGGGCAGACCGATCAAGCGCATCAAAAAAGACCGCGTCGAGTGGCAGGAGATGCTTACCCCGCCTCAACACCACTCTGCTGGCTTCTCGCACGTTTCGGTCACGAGCAGCAAGTCGCCCGCCGACGCCTTTGAGATGATCATCGACGAAGCAATGGGCGAAAATCCTTGGATGTCGCGCAGCCCGTCGGGATACTCGAGTCTGCACGAGAGTGACGAAATGCTAGAAGCCGAGGAAGACGACGTCGCCAACATGTACTTCTTCCGGCCGCGAATCCATTCTGCCGGGAGAGACAGATACTATCCCGAGCACTCGGTCGATGATGGGAATGGGAATGGCAACGGATACGAGGGGCTGCAAGGGATTTATAGGTTCATCGAGGAGTGTGACCGGGCGCGGTCCTGATGCGACTTGGACACACAGAGAGAGAGAGAGAGAGTTCTGTTACCCTCAGAATGCACTACCTCGGCCCGTTGTTTGGTTGTTTTCTTTTGTCCAACTCGGTGGGACATCCACCTGGTCACGACGCACTGGTTCGGTGTGAGAGTCCCCCCGGGATCAGCACTCTTTGATAGTTGCGTGGTTTGCGGAACGAGCTACATCTACAGAGCCCCAGAATGAAAACTCTATTCTCTTTGTATTTCAATACGTGTATCATTGTCGTGCATTCATCCCATATCTAGGTAATTAATGAGGGTGCGTTCATATAGCTGATACCGAAAGGCAATCGCCGAGCAGGCCGTGTACTTCGCCGACAAACTCCTCGCTCGTGCTGTATTAGGACTTCCCGCTTGTCCCACCGTTATTCTGGCCTGCTAAACTATTCGGTGTGTGCCTGGGCTCTTCTCACCGGAGAGACTTCGTCTTGGGCTTCTCCCACGGAGTGCAGACCTCGGACCTTGAGCAAGGTTGCCACTTCACGAAGCATTACCGTCAAGCACTTCCCCATCGGCATCTTCATATCCTCTCCGCAACCTGTGCTTGAGTTGTTGGTTCTCTTTCATGACGTCTTCCCTCTCGCGCTCCAGGTCGTCAATCTTCTCTTGGAGCTCTGCGATCTGATCCTCTGCGCCCGAGGAGAATTCCTCGATTATTTTGAAGACTCGCCAGAGCCGCAGGACGACGACGAGGGAGCCGGCTTCTTCCAATGGGCCGCGGAGGAGAACGTCGATTATGAAGGCGGCGATGATGACGAGGGCATCAAAGATGTGGAAGGAGCTGTTGAAGTACCTGTACAGGAGCATTGAGATTAATACTTGAAGAGCAAGAAGACTGGAATAGGTGTCGAAAGGGGAAGCTTTACCTAAACCCAAATGCAAAAACACTGCCGAGCAATTCGGCCATGAACAGACACGAGAAGACCAGACTCGCATAATCAAGCACGGCGTCGGCCAGTTCCCAAGCCTTGAGGTTGAAGCCCTTCTCCCCAGCATGTTCACACATGTGCAGACTGATGAGGAAATCGGCGAAGATACAGCATATATCGGCCGAGACCAGAAGGATGACGAAGTAGTGACCCCATTTAGACGAGAACCAGTGTTGCAGCGAGTGTCGAAGCTTCCATACCACACTGTCCTCGCCGTGGATCTTAACAATGTGGCAGGCTATGAAGTCCTGTGATTCATGGAGAGCGGAGATGAGTTGGCGGTCGGAGGGGAGGAGGGGCGTGTATTCAGATGTGTTGCTCGTGGCTTGGACGGGCGACTGGCCGGTTTCGGGGTCGGCCATGGTGGGATTGATGCAGGTTGAGACTGCCAGTGAGGTTTTCGGGGTTGTGCTTATGCGACTATTCAGGCCATGGTGCTCAGTGGTCTCATCACAAGGCACAAATCTTTGCGCTGGGACAGGGGCGAGGGACCGGTAGACTGACCGCCAGACAGTTGAGATGATCTAGTTGGGTTTCTGGGCAAAGCTGGACAGGAATTGTAGGGATAAAAGCATAGGAGGGAACCGTAGCTTTCAGAATCTCTGGCCGATGGTTGCGATAGAGCGCACAGAGCTGCGGCTGAGATACTGAAGGTTGATCAATAGGTACCTAGGTAGGACCTACAGTAGCTCGCTAGGTAACTCGTGGATAGTAACTCGTGGCAGTAACTCTCAAGGGCCTTCGATTGCGGCAATCGAAGATGATTCGACGATTCGATGACGTAGGGGCTCCTCTGACGCGTCCACCCACGACTCGCACCGGAAGGGGAAGGAGCATTCCCGGAAAAAGGATGTTCCTCTCCGACGGCTATTCTTCCATTTCGCACGAACACCTTGTGCACCTTCATCTTCCTGAACCCAGAGGAAGTAGAAGTGAGGGAAACATTGCACGCGTCTGATGGGTCCTGCTGCATTACCAATATCACGAGAATGTGGTTGCTGAACTCGTTCTCGACACACCCAGAACGATACCTCTATCTGTCAGGTCGGTCTGGATACCTTGATGATGCTGAAATCTGAAGATCCCATTGAGGCCATATCCGAAAACTCACTCTTTCCGAGACCATCGGCCAGGTCAACTGGGCCTGCTGTGATTCTGCTGGGAAAGATGTCTGACTGGAAGTGAGCCACCAAACCTTTTCACCTCTGACCAACTGTGGCACCCTTCATCTTCAACGTTGATTGTTGAATTTGCTCTGCTTTGCTATGGCATTCCATGTCTCTGCCGTCAACCTCGATCCCAGAACTCCCAGGTTCATGTGGCCGGTCTGTGTCCTGGGAATACATATGTTCCCCAAGTCAAATCTTATTCAGAAGAGGCTCCGCGCTTCGGAACATCTCAGCCCGAGAGATGTGTTGATGTGTTTTCCTGAACAAACCCGCACTTCAAGTTCTCCAACAAAACAGTCTCCCGTCTCCAACTCCTTTTCCACTACTGTCGGTTTTACCCTCGGAGCACGCGGGGGCCAGTCCGTGGGAAGGCCCTCGTGGAGGGACTTAGTGATTGACGGAATAGTATTTACAGGACTACAGGTTCCCCGGCAGAGTGGCATAATGTTCTCAAGCGAGTTGATTTAGAGTTCCCCCACGGTAGGAAAAAAACAAGCAAAGCAACGCAAAGAAAAGACACCAGAATAGCAAGCCATGGCAAAGATCTTTCCGAACAATCTATATCGCCTTCGGCAGGAAGGTTCACTGTGCAAGGTATGTTTAAGCGTACCTCCTCTCTATCATTCGACCTCGCACCATCTCTTTCTCCCCCTTGTGTTGCCCATCTCCCACAGAACAAACACATCGAAGGCCCCTTCCCCCCTTCAATCCCTCTTTTGGAGACAAGAAAGTCATCATAACGTGATCCATCTGCACACAGCTTTTCGGGATCAAACTCACGCCGTCGGCTGCGGTCGTGCAAATGGCCGCAGCCGCTGGCTTCGACGCGCTATTCATCGACCTCGAGCATTCGGCCTTGTCCGTCAACGATGCCAGCCAACTTTGCACGATAGGTCTGTTAGCTGGGACAACGCCGTTTGTCAGAGTGCCGTACCAGTGCGGCGACGGGCTCGTCCAGAGAGTCCTGGATGGAGGAGCTATGGGGGTCATTTTCCCGCATGTGAGCACGAGGGGTACGTATGCAATTGCTTGCTAGTTTGCGACGGCCATTTTGAACCACCCACGCATGCGTGCGCCGCGCGTACTCACAATTGGCCCCCCGTATCGGTCGATGCCAGGAGACAAGTTTCCTCTTGGGGCTCCGGCCTTTCTTTTGTCTTCATACTCTCATTTTGATAGAGACATCACAAGCGAGAAGGAGAGGAGAGAAAACTGACGGTATTTTTGCGATCCAATGTATAGGTGAGGCCGAATCTGCCGTCTCCATCTCAAAGTACCCACCCGCCGGGAAACGGTCTTCGACCGGGCAACTCCCCCAATTCGGATACGCTGCCCAGCCTCACTCCATCATGATACCAGAATGCAACAACGTGGGCTCGACCGTCATCGTCATGATCGAAACCCAGGAGGCTCTGCAGAACCTCGACGCCATCGCCTCCGTCCCGGGCGTCGATGTGCTCCTCGTCGGGTCGAACGACTTGACCGTCGAGCTCGGCATTCCCGCGCAGTTTGACAGTCCAGTGTACAAGGAGGCGATGGAAAAGGTGAGCCAAGCGTGCAAGAAGCATGGCAAGATCATGGGTTTGGGGGGCGTTTATGACAACCCCACCATCCAGGGCTGGGCCGTGCATGAGTTGGGCGTGGGCTTCATCCTGGGCGGGCAGGATTCGAGTTTCATTGCAAAAGGGGCAAAGGCCTGTGTTGAGGCGTTGGTTAAAGTGGAGGGAAACCAGAATTGAGGATTCAATAGTGTCATCCTCGAGGGCAAAGCCGTAGAACCCGGTTGCCTGAGGCCGGAAATGGAGGTAGAATATCATACAACAGAACCGTAGCGAAGCGTGTCTGGTTGTACATCCGCTCATCGCCGACTCCTTCCCAGTGCGATCCGTCCCGTATGAGCATCGCGGTAGACTGGGCTGGGACATAATCATGGCTGGTTGAATTGACATCTCCATAAGGGTGGGATTGCTATTCCCAACCAATATTGCACAACAGATGGGCATCTCGCGGCGGCTGCAGCCTCGTGGGACTAATGGACGTCCAAATCGAAGAACCACACAATCGGAAGGGGGCATCTTCATCAACTGCACAGCATAACATTTTCGAGACGTGAGATACTGAGAATGACGTTGGTATTGCATTGCCCAGAGGAGTGTCTCGCCGTCTGAGCTCATGCTTTGGACTTCCTTCGAGACTCCTTATCACAACCGGAGACTGATAGTGCGGAAAGAAGCAGTCAAGTGAACATCACAAATTTGTACGATGTTAGCCAATTCGGCAATGGTGCGATGTCCCTACGCTGCATGAAAGCTTAACGCCGTGGCTTATCTTTCTGATGATGCCCTCGGGCAGCCGATTCAGGCCGTTTTCTCAAAGTCAGACAATTTGGCAATAACCTGTGTGCGATTTCGTGTTGACTTGGCTGGATACCTTCTTGTCGATTGTGGAAAGACATTACTGTGGCCGCCACGGAGCTTTAGATTGCTCTGAACATCAATTGAGTTGGACGTGTGAGGAGATATTCGCCTGAACCTCGACTTGTATAGTTCAAGGTGCTGAAGAATCTGGTTCCGCGCCTCGTGCAGGGATTGCACCTTTAGATCGGACTGCTTGCACTGTGGTGCGAGGATACGCCATGAGCATCAATGTGCTGCCGTGGATATAGTCGCGGGCCCGTGGCCACATCCGAGATGACACCAAACCTGTGCAATTGTCGCACGACATTGAAGAGCTCCAGATCCGAGCCTGGCCGCCCAACGAGACTGATCGATACGGGAAGATATTCAATCTCAGAGGTAATCTTTGACAAATACGGAACCTCTGCAATAGGGATCGTGTAGTCTGGACACCCTACCAAATACCCGAAAGAATAGATGCTGAAAGTATCATTGAAGAGTTCAGTTCGGTCGGGCACGTCGTCGCGGTAGTCTGGGTGACCACGGGATTGCGGGAATACCAACAAAGTGATGGCTTCCTGGTCGTAGGAACCGAAAACAGTGGTTTCGACCCAAAGTTTGAACGCCTGCATCGCCTCCAGGGCGTCGATGATTCTCTCTGTGGACAAGTTGCGTCCATGTTCGAGACGGCGCTGGACCAGATCCGACACTTTTGGAGGCCCTCCGTTGTTGTTGGCCCGGTATTTGTCTAAGAATTGATCGATGCCTCCTGCAAGCGCCGACGCTGTCGTGATAGATGAGTAGATGTGTCCCACAGCTTCATCAAGCGACCTTGGCTGTCCAATCGGTGGTGTGGCTCTCCACAGCTCATCGATGTCAAAAAACACCCTCTCACAGTCAAGATGAGATGCGAGTCTGGTGAGCATTGTCTCGATTTGTTTCTCAGCTAGGGACCAGTGTTTCGCGTCGACTGTGGGATGGGGAAGCCACTTTTGCTGGTCATGATGATAATTCCCTCCATTGTTGGATGGCGCTGGTCTTGTTGGGCAGAGCAAGTTATACTTGCGACTCTCTGGAGGAAACCTCGACGAGGGCTGAGCCCTGGAAATGAGATAAGAGCCGACGCGAGTGAAAACATCGATATTCCTGGCAAAGATTCCAACCGTGTTGAACAAGTCCGTTGCTCCGAGGACTCCCTCAAGGCTTATCAGTCCATGCGAAGGTCGTTGCCCAAATACTCCGTTCACCCCGGCCGGATGTCTTATCGACCCGCCAGTATCTGTTCCAATTGTGAAGTCCAACCAGTCGTAAGCTGCGGCTGCTACGGCACTGCCAGTACTGGAAGACGAGGGTTTTTGGAGGCCGTCACCCCTCGGGTTGAAAGGACAGACATCGTCAGTCCATTCGCAGGGGTCAATCCCCTCGGCGAACTCGGTCGTCTTGAGCTTTCCGACCAGAACAGCGCCAGCTTCGAGTAGTGATTTGATAATCGGCGCAGTGGCTTTCTCTGGAGGATAGGTGTCATGCCAGGCTTTGTTGCCAAAGGCAGTCTTCAGTCCTCTGATGGCGATTGTATCCTTGACGGCGAATCTCAAGCCCGCTAAAGGTCTACCATCGTGATTGCGAGACAGCTTTGAGGGCAATGGGACACCGATCTGTGACTTGAGGTTTGTTAGATCAGGCCACGCTGTCTGGGTCATCCTCCTCACTGGAAAAATTCGCCATGTTGACGTTGAACCTGGCTGCCGCAAGATCCCGGTCACAAACGCATGATGAGAGTCTGTTGCCAGTTTATAGACGCGAAAGACTTTACCTGACGCTCTTGAGACGACGTACGGCCCATTATTCAGTTCGACTTGGGAGTTCCAGACAGAAAGGATCCGCCGTTTTCTGACGTTACATTCCGTGCCGGACGGGCGCAGCAAGAGAATCACTAAATATGCAAGAATATTAGCCAGACGAAAGCGCGTGCATAGAATGATATGTAGCGGTACTTCTCACAGGAGAGGAAACTCTTGCTCCAGATGTCATCTGCGGTGCTGAAGTTGGAGGATACTGAAGCAAGGTGATCTGGGGTGAAGCTTGACTCGTTCCATTCGATGGCAGTTGCGGGAATGAGCTCTTGCTCAAATCGAGTGAGTCTGGGAACCAAGGAGGGCGGTAAACGGCTGCAATCCGAGTCCAAGGCGACATAGTACTTATCCTGACCGATTGTGATGAAGGGAGAGATGGCCTCTGCCATTGCAGACAAAGCAACAGCAAGAGCAAGAGCACGAAGTCAGGGCTACGTCAACCACGCATTTTCGGCGTGACCAGAGTAGACTTCCCACAACAAAGACATTGCCGGAAGCAGCTTACCTCTTTATATGAAACCATCGTCAAAGCCTGTGTCCACATACAAGGAGGGAGTGACAGTGCTTGTGGTGGTGCTAAGTGAAGTTGGCGCCGAGTTACTTCAGATAAGCTCGACATTGGCACCGATAAACATCACTACATGGAGATAAGTATGTCGAAGTTACTAACACAAATGCCGCTATCGAGGACGCGCAGGACGTTCTCTGTCTCGTGCTCTGGTCATTCAGAAGCCTTAAGGGTTGAGCGATGTACAATAGAATCCTTTAATATCTCACGAGGCAAAGCAGGGGTATAAGCCCAACACTTTTCAATCATCGTCCTCTCGCTGCGATGCCCCATTGCGTCCCATGCGCTCCCCTAAAGTCATATCCCCAGCCCTTTTATGGTAGCTATTGACAAAGTCTGCTCGACCACCGTGTTTGGCTGTCCTAGTTCGAGCAGCGTCGTCTCGGTCCCTCTCGGCTCTTTCCCGTTCTGCAATTCCCGCCAGTCTTTGTTCTCGTTGGTGATCGAGGTCGGCTGCATCATGTTGCATCGCAGCTAATCTTGCTGCTCGGTCTTCTTCGTTGGCATCTTCTTTCTTCTGTTCCCGACGTGGACTTCGATGCCTCGGCGGCTCAGGCCTCGAAGAAGAATGCCAGCTTTGCATTTTCCGGACGCCGTTGCTGTGCCCGTTCCTTCGAGGCGCAGAATTTGATCGGGACCGAGATCGCGGTCGTCGTCTCTCTTCAGGTGAATATGAACGTCTTCTCCAATAAGGGGAGCGGGACCGTGATCTCGCGGACCTCCGTGGAGGAGATCTCGAGCGGGATCGAGACTCAGAAGGAGTGTATGATCTGCGGCGCCGGTGTCTACTTCTTGCATGCCTGTCCTCATAGTCGTCTCGATATGAACGAGACTTTTCGGGTTTGTCAGTATCATCGCGATGACTGTGGCGACGGTGATGATGGTGATGTTTTCTCCTTTTGCGATCCCGTTCCCGATCGTCATCCTCCCTGCCGGCCGCCTTCAGCAGCAGCCTCCGCTTGACCGGGTCATTCATCATAGCTTCATAGGCAGCCTGTTCCTGCTTCTTGATCGCCAGCATAGGGTCTTCCCTGATCTTTGCTGCCGTATCTCTCGCCGTGTTTGCATTCTGCACCGCGATGAACGAATCCTCCTTTGCGGATTTTTCCAGTTTCTGGTTCTCGGTGCCCTTGAGCAACCCATCTATCCGCCTCTTACCCAGCAAGTAGCCTTCCATCTCCTCGCTAGTGCCGGCCTGGCCGCTCGAGGGTCCATTGTACATCCAGTCCACACGAGCATGTCTCTTCTTCCCGCCAGCGGCCTCCTGCAGTTCTTCGAGTTCTTGAATCGCCCTCTCTTCGGCGCGCTCTTTCATAATCTGATCGATCTTCTTGCGCTCCTCGAGTGCCTTTTTCTCCTCCTCCCAGACTTTCTTCTGGTTGCTCATGAGCACAGGGTGCCATGATTTTTTGAGATTTAGGTCGCCACCCATGTTGATAGCGGGCGTGCGGCGGTCCTTTCGAGACTGGAGGGAAGTTGTCGTGGGTGACGAGAGGACATGCAACCTTTCTATGAAATTTCTGGTTTGAACCAGGGAAGAGCCCGAGTTTGGGGATAGGTGCTCGTAGATGATGTTGAGGGCCAGAAATGTGAATTTGTTAGATTTGGGCGCAGGCGACACGCAGAAAACTCCGCAAATGCGAATGCGGGACAAGGCTGCACCGCAGGCTTCACTTCTCCGCAAATCGTTCAATCCAACTCTCAATCGCTGCTGAGTCGATTCCCATCTCCTGTCCTCCACAACCAGGAAATACCTCTCATAAGTCCCGATAATCTGTCTATTGACGCACCACCTACGTACCCGCGAGTAGAAAAGCCGTCCCATCTTCGAACCCCGGCACCAGTTCATCGAGATCGACGACTCGTTCCCCAGTAATCCATACACAACAAGTCCACAATGTCTGACGACGATGATTTCATGCAAGAATCTGACCCAGAGCAGTATGCTGTGTTTCGTCTTCTTCAATGATAGCACGCACCTGCGACTAACAAAAGATATCGCCAGATATGATTTTGAATACGAAGACGACGATGACGACCTGGGCGGTAATGACGCCTCGGTCGACATCGAAAACAAATACTACAATGCCAAACAACTCAAAGTCGACAACCCCTCCGAAGCAATAGACGAGTTCCTCGGCGTCCCCGCCCTGGAGGAAGGTAAAGGTGAATGGGGATTCAAGGGCCTCAAACAGGCGATCAAGTTGGAATTCGCGCTGGGCAGATACGACGACGCGGTAAAACATTACAAAGAGTTGTTGACGTACGTGAGGTCCGCGGTGACGAGGAATTACTCTGAAAAATCCATCAACAATATGCTCGACTACATTGAGAAAGTTGCCGGTCAACCTACCTCAGGCGCAGGCGCTCGCGCGAGCAAAGGTGACACGGAGACAACCACGGCGTACAAGTCCATGGAAGAGTTCTACCGCTTGACGCTTGATACTTTCCAGAGCACGAACAACGAGAGACTGGCTCTCAAGACGAATTTGAAACTGGCCAAGTTGTATCTCGATAAAAAGGACTACAATCAACTGAGCAACAAGGTTAGGGAGATCCATCAAGCGTGCCAGAAGGAAGACGGTACAGATGACCCTGGCAAGGGAACGTATTCGCTCGAGGCATACGCGCTCGAGATCCAGATGTATGCCGAGATGAAAAACAACAAGCGTCTCAAATCTCTGTACCAGAAGGCTCTCACCGTTCGGTCTGCGGTCCCTCATCCTAAGGTCCAAGGTATCATCCGAGAGTGTGGTGGGAAGATGCACATGAGCGAGGAGAACTGGAAGGAGGCGCAAAGTGACTTCTTCGAGTCATTCAAAAACTACGATGAAGCAGGGTCCATGCAGAGAATCCAAGTGTTGAAATACCTTGTTCTCACAACCATGTTGATGAAGTCGACCATCAACCCATTCGACTCACAGGAGACGAAACCATACAAGAACGATCCGCGCATTTCGGCAATGACCGACCTGGTGGACGCCTATCAGCGCGATGACATTCACCGCTACGAATCCATCTTGAAGGAGAACCAGGACTTACTCGCGGACCCGTTCATCGCCGAGAATATCGACGAAGTCAGCCGGAACATGCGTACGAAGGCCGTCTTGAAGCTGATTGCACCGTACAGCCGGTTCACCCTCCAATTTATCTCAAAGCACATCAAGATCCCCGTCAGTGAGGTCCAGGACATTCTAGCCGTCTTGATTGTGGACAAAAAGCTGCAAGCGAGGATCAATCAGGAAAACGGTACCGTCTCCGTGGAAAATGACAATGAAGGTGACACGCAACACCTGGCCCAGCTTCGCGATTGGACCTCAGCCGTGGAAAGCCTCTGGTCGGGCTTGTTCAACGAGGGCGAAGGGTTCAAGCTTGAAGATACCCAGGGTGGTGCCTCATTCTCAGGTATGAATTTCCCAATGGGCTTCGAAGCGGGTGGGCCCATTCCAAGCCGGGGCCCTGGACGCCGGGGCGGTGGACGCGGTCGGGGAGGCGGGAAGCTTGTTGCTCCAATATGAGAAGCGCATTTTGAACTGTCTCCATGACGGGGAAAGGTGTGCGGATGCGAAAGTTCAAGCCGCTGCGGCTGCGGCTGCGGACGCCTTCCGCTACACAAACCTAGCTTGTACTGAGGTGCAATTTGACATCTACAATGCTTTCGAAGGCAGCTTGCAACACTGCCTGGCTGGCGGCGAAAAAATGAACAGCAACAACATCTGGCCGAAGATCATTTTATTGCCCCCGGCGAAGGTCCGCAGCGAGTGGTCTGACCTGGTGGGTTTTGGCGAAGGTCGCAAGTCCTGCGCCCACCGCAAGCAGGAAGAGGTGCGAGGAAGGGGGAATCTGAAAGTAGAAATCGGACCTGCGGAAATCACAGCAACCGTGTGCGAGCAAGCTCCGTGCTTGGGCAATGTTGACATGGTGTGGCGAGTGGGCTGGAGCAGCAGAAAATACGAGGAAACCTTTGCTGATTGCCAGCCTAAGGGCAGCTGCAACCTCACCGAGGAAATGCTCACTGGGACGTGTGGCCGCCCATAACACGGCGCCCACAGCGGACATACGCGTGGTGCCCGTGTGATAGGCAGAGCATTTATCACCCTTTGTAAGGATGGGTTTGTTGCAGGGACCGACCTGAATTCTTCCTCGGCTGATTTCCTTTTCCTTTCCCATTTCCTTCTCCTTCTCTCTTGCTCAAGCCTCTTTTCCGAACCTCTCTCCCCCTCTTCATTGGGGGTTTTGACCGAACATGCGCGAGAGGTGTCGCCCCTGGCATGATGTACGTCAGAGAGAAGATGCTATTGGTTTCTTGGTTCTTGCGACTGCACCTCGTAGTCCGCTTGCTTCCGGAAATGGAAACGACAGACTGTTGATTGGCAGAGATCTCGATCTGATATCATTTTTTGGAAGGGCAGCGGACTACGTCGGCTTTCCGACGCCTCTACGCCAACCAGGCCAGTAGCCAGGCCCCGCGGGTGCGCCGCTAAGAAGTAGGCGCATGTTGGTGGTTGGGCTTCCTGTGAAGGGCCTATTCTTTCAGCTTGCCGCCGAGCAGTGTTGGGGCAAATAAATGACCGTCCTGTATGTCACATTCAAGGCCTGTTTATTTCCGTGTCTTATACGGAACGGTTCCAAGGTTTCTAGAAGCTAAGGAGCTAATTTATTAGCGTTTTCCTAGTAAAATAGCTCGTCGTTACCCTTCAGGAGATGGGTAATTTAGATAAATTCATACCTAACTACCTTAAGGCACCTTACTAATATAGCCCTATTTGAGAGCCTATCTACGTACTAATCTAAGCGTTTATCTACGTGCTAACTTAGCCGTTAATTTACGTACTAATTAACGCGCTAGTTAGTACACTAGTTAGCGTTATTTACGGCAATTATAACTATACCTATAGCCCTAGTAGTAATAGCGATAGAGGTACACTAATAGTAGGATTAGTAGTGCTTTATATAGAAGTTTACTAGTTAACGACCTCCTCTTCTATAAATAACGACGTAATAAGATCCTTAGCCGTAACAATCTCCTAGTTATATATATTCTCCTATTCCTCCTATTCCTACGTGATTTATCTATTACGCTATTCTATTATAGTCTATTTATTAATCTCGCGCCGTCGGAGAACTTTCTCGTTAATACGTATATAGAGAAGTATATTTACGTTCTTATTATTTAAGCGATTACGAAGCTTCGTCTATACTAGATTTATCTATAAGAACGCTCGCTTAGATAGATACTAGTTAGCGATTAAATAGAGGACTCTTTTAGCTATCGCCGAAAGAGAAGGATAAATATCGTTCTACTATAGCTAGAATTCTATAGATAATAAATCTAGTTATTAGTATTTAAGACTAGTATAAAAGCCCTCTTCTTATATTATATACTAGAGAAAGTCTATACGCGCTTAACGAGTCTATTTAGGTAGAATAAGCTTAAGTAACTCCTATATATAGAGACCCTTTTTATAAGTCTTCTATAGTAAGTTAGCGTTACTAGATATAAAATAGAATATAAGATTATAAATCCTAGATAGTTATATCCGTTTACGCTCTATAAATAGCTACTAGATTAACGGCTAATTAATACTCTCGGATAATTATTTAACTATCTTAAGTTATTACTAGATTATTATCTATCTCTACTTAACTAGGTTAATATAAGCGCGCTTATCTTATACCTTAATAATTATCTCGTTAATTAGCTATAAAACGCGCTAAAGTCGAGTAAAATCGGTCTAGAATTACGTACTATATATAATAGATTTAATATATCGCGAGGCGTTAGAACTCTATAAAGCTAAATTCTATTAAGTACTAAATTTATATAGATTAAATCTATTTAATAATAGCGCCGTAATAATATTATATTAAGAGCCCTAGTAAGTCTCTTTAGCTAGTATTAACGGCGAGATTCTATTATCTCGTTATAACTAAATCTCTTATAGTTCTACTAGTTATTTAGATATATATTTAAAGTATCTATCGATTAGGTTACCGTCCTTAATTACCTTAGTAAATTCGCGGACCTTTATATAGATATCCTTAGCTAGGAGATTAAGACTATAAGCGTTATAAAGGATTATTAATATATAAGATAGCTAATCAATCTCTTTAAGCTATATCTAAACGTTACGTATTATAATATAGATATCGGAGTAAATAGCTAAAATTCGCTTAGATTATTAGTTCGCGATAGCTAAGAACTACGAGATAAGATCTCGAGCGACTCTCTTAGTAAAGAGCTTCTCGCTATCGTACTTAAAATTACCGATATAGAATATATCTCTTAAGGTCTTAATTAAGAGATTAATTATATACTTATTATTAATATCTATAGAGTTATCGAACGTAATAGTTAGATACTTTTCTATATTAATTACTATCTTAATTTTAGCCTTAATTTCTTAATAAATCGTAGATAAAAAGGTCTCTATAATAAGTCTTCGATAAGGCGTTTTCTAGCTAGAAATAGTAAGACGAAAGAGTATATTTACGATAGGATTCTTAAAGGTTAAGAGAGATAGATTCGATTCGAATATTACGCGCGCTATAAGACGAGATATTCGATCGCTAGTTTCCTTAGAAAGCGTTATATTAAGAATTATTTATAATAGAGAGAATAATATAGAAGAGAGTATAGAACTCGATCGTCGTTAATTAGGTCGATTAAAGCGATTTTAAAGCCTTAATAGACGTTAAGATAGAATCTTCTAGAAACGCTCGTAGTTATCTTTAAGATATCTATATTAGCGCGAGATATTCGCTACTATTATAATATCGTAATACCTATACTAAATACGTTAAGATCGCTTATTTAGAAGCCTTTCTAGGTCGCGAAACTCGTTATAAATAATAAGGTCTAGTACGCGAGATATTCTATAATATCTATAAGGATAGAGAGATCGTTAAGATAGCGATTTAAGCTCCTAGAGTTACGTAGATAGATATTATAAAGTATTCGTAGATACGCTTTTAGGGGCGATTTTACGCGATAAAATAGCGTAATAATCTCGTGTTATATAAAGAAAATAAGGTTAATTAAAGTATATTTTAGCGATATAGTCCGCTATAAACTAGCTACTTTTCCTATATAAAATGCTAGATACTAGTATTTTAGTGTAGTTTAGTTATGTCTTAGTATACGGTATTGTTTCGTATACTATCGTTCAATTCGGTCTACTAACGTTTAATATTTCGGCCGATAATAAAAGTCCGGTCTTTTACCAACCCTGCCGCCGAGGGTTTCCCAGGTGGGTGCCAGGAGATCTCTGATCTTTTGCACTCTTTCGACCATGCATCCACCTGCAACGGTCAAGGACAACAATAGGCGGTGCTAGACCGTCTGGTGGCGCCCACAACCTCTGTTTCGAGCCATGACAAAGAGTCTGGAGCTAAAGATCGACCCTGACCGGTTGGACGGAGGTGAGTTCCTGAGTGGCATATGAATGACAATGCTGCTTGCCAGCCGTGCAAGGGTGCCAGGGCTTTTCCTCAGCGGATTAGATAGTCAAAGTTGACACGGCGGTGACAGGTTGGACCGACATGAAAGGCTCCATACCTTGCATTTATCCCAAGCGACAACTAGGCCTCAGGTGATTCTAAAAAGTCTGGAACTGACAATTCTGTGGGATCCGAGAACTTCTAGGAAGCGGTTGGGGGCAGTGGCTCTGATTGTCGTAGGCACCTCCAAAGCCAAGGGAAGTGACTTGTTGTGCCCTCTCTGCGCCGGCCACGTCGATGGGAGCCTCCAAGCATTCTTGAACTTGATGTTGAATATTAAATGGAAGCCGCTGTTTCCACTGGATGTCTGCTCTCCGCTTCCCGACGGCTGCTGGTAGTTGCGCAAGTGGAAATATATCGCCGCAGAGGGTCTTGGGGCTGGTCTCTGCCAACGAGGGTCGGGTATCTGGGGCTTTACCAATCGGAGGCTCGGGTAGCAGGCGTTGCATGCCGCGGGTCGGCCATCGAGTCAGAAGGACTGTCGCAAAGAGAACAGGGCTCGCAGGCTGCGCGAATGATGGGCAGGATCTAGAGCTGCAGTAGCTTGTGGTCTGATGTCGTTAGGAGATGTGGAGGGTCGACCGCAGGACTGTCTTTTGCGCAGGACTTGTCGATTTCCAGACTGGAACCTTTTGAACCTTGCACCGGATCGGCTGGGTCGTGGTTCTTGCCTGCAACCGAAGACGTAAGTGCTGATTGCGTGCCGCGGATCCCTTCCAAAGGTCGATTGTTGTCCCAAGAGGAGGACTCGGTACAGATTCTCGACTCCCAGGACCCTTGCATATCTCTTGTTTTGCGGAGAAGGCCAGCCATTGAGGGCAGAAAAGGTTTGTCTTTCCGGCAGGGGTGGATCCGCAGGCTGGGGAGGCCATGAGTTGGCTTCTGCGACAAGCCAATCAACCAGTAACCGAAAATCAATGCTGCAAAACTCATGAAGTGGCTTCGCTAGTCCACCGGCACAGATGGACTTGGTTCGGAGCGGTGACTGCCACTGACTAGGGGTCTTGCTGGGCTTGCGTGCATCAGGAGCGGGCAGGAATAGCCGTACGAGTCAACAACCGAAGATGTTCTTCTGATAGGTGGCAGAAAGATGCAGTCGGGTGTGGGCTTCTCGATACTCGATGCGTGAAGGGTTGTAAAAGTGGTCTTGGTGGCAGGCAGGTCAAGAAGTTGAGGAATTTGCCGGTGTTGGAGTGGCCAGTCCCAAGAACCTGCAGAGTAGGTACCTAAGGTAGGCTTGGTACCTAGGCAGAAACTGAGTTGGGCTCCGTGCTCGTACCTAGACGCGCCTACCTTAAGCACTCCACTCCCTACCTCCACCACCACCACCACCGCCCACTGGCACCTCGAACTTCCTCACATTCTGGTTACCCCTCAACATGAGCAAGCCCGTAGAAGGTGCACACACCCGCTGATCAAACGTTCAGCCAGTAAACTCGATTCGTCTTGCAGCTTGCGACTGCCAATTGCTCATCAGAGCCTTAGTTAGAGCTGTCCACAAACTTGTCCACAAACTTGACCCTCCTCACCTTGACCAGACCTCGTGTTTCATTTCCACCATCAATTCTCCCATTCCGCTCGATAATACCTCTTCCTCTCTCTCCTTCGGTCTTCCGTCAACCCTCGTGTCCCAGTCCTTCGGCAAGTCTCAAATCGGTCCTCCTGGCCACCAATTAGAGTCAGCGCCCCTTGAAGCCCCCCGTCCTCGTCTTATCCTCCAGGTCAAGAAGCCCCCCATCGCCCTCTCGCAGCTGCAGACGGTGACAACTGAGCAAACGGCATTTCTTATCCGGGCTGGTACTCACGACCAGAACTCAGTTGCTAAAGACATCCCCGATTGGCCCCGACCGACTATGGCCGATTGATCAACAAGTTAGCTTCACAACACCCACTCGGCCAGCATCAGGGGCAGTCCGCGGCACAGGGTAGAAAGAAGGCCTGCATTGGCGCCCCCAGCCTAAGCAAAGAACCAAACCATCGTTGAACATCACTTCCCTCCTCTTTCTCTTACCTACTTACTACTACCTCGCTCAACACATATACGATCCAAGGTAGCCGTTGCTCCTGAGTGCCGATTTTGCAGGTTTGGCTCCTCGGCAACTTCGTCGCATCGACCCCAGCAGACGCTCTGCGTAAGACAGAGTTTGGCTTCTTTTAATCCTGGTTCACCTGCACAGTCTTGACAGTCTATCCGGCTTCACGAGCCATCGCCTTTCTCACCCAGCCATGAACTAAGGCAATCAAAATCTACCACCTGTGGTCCAAGCAGGACAGTTCAAGGGACGAAATACAGCTCATCAAAGAACCTCGATCACAAAGAGAAGTTTCTCAGCCTAGATCGGCCCCACCGCTTTGCCACCCGTACCTACCCTCCTGGCATCTGATTGTTCAACAAGAGGAGATGACATTTTGTCCAGAACCATTACCCTTTCACAGTTTGTCCGGTCCTTTTCCTCCTCAGCAATATCCACATCCTCGTTGGCAATACTCGCCCGATAGTCAACACTCTCTCGTATACGAATATTTTCCTGAGCCTCCGTACCAGCAACACTACGGCTATCCTACACCGGCTACCTCATATCGCACGACCTCGGCGATGGCAACGCCAGACATTGATGAAATGGAGCAATTCCAACAGCTCTCTGACCAGTATCAGCCAAATCTTCCTGTACGTCTATGACTCAGTGCACGCAGATGATTTACTGAGAATACCCTAGGGACCGTTGATAGGAAGTAAAAAGCCACTATCCGACCTTGTCACCGAATACGCGCAAGCAGATCCGACATATGTGGCCAAGACGAAGGTACGCGAGCTCTATCACTGTCGTCTGCTGTATGCTTACGATTGCCAGGCACTCGAAGCAACTCACTCTGCATACCGGCAAATCAAAGGTGACGGGCAGTGCGGTTGGCGTGGTATGAGGAAACCTTGTGCTCCTGGTATCGAGAATGCCGCTAACCTAATCACCTTCGCATCTGCAGGAGCTGTCTTTGGCTATTTCGAGATCCTGCTCCGTTCGGGAGATCCCAGTCTGATCACCCAAGAGTTGGTCCGACTCCGAAGCTTTGAACAGACCATGCGCAGCGTTGGCATTGACTATGATATCATAATCGACATGTTTGACTATACGTGGGAGCTCTTCGACGCTCTCAAGGCCGCAGTCGAGCGCAGGGACACCAACGAGTCCGTGTTGCTGGATTCACTCAATGACGAGAACATATCGAATTCAATCGTCTATCATTTCAAGGTTGGTGCACCCCTAACCTCTCACAGGATGCTTTTGACGTCGTACCAGATGATGACAAGCTCCTTCATGCAACTTCAACCGGATCGATACGAAGCATTTCTAGAAATGCCGGTTCAGCAATATTGCTTGACCAGGATCGATCCTGCAAATCAAGAGATTGATCATGTCGGGCTCCAAGCCTTGACGGATGCCGTCATCGCTCCCGCATATATCGCACTGGAAGTGGCGTATCTGGACAGAAGCACGGGCGATGAAGTGACTTCATACCATTTCGTGGACAATGCGAGAGGGTGGCCCGCAATTCGACTGATATATCGTCCGTGAGTTCCTCCTTTCGTCTGGCTTCCGATGAGCCGAACTAATCCAAGCATTAGCGGTCACTACGATATCATTTATAAAGAGGATCAGATCCCTGCACCAGAGGCACAGCGGTTGCAGGTGTACTTGCAGACGGACGCTCCTCATTATATCACCCCTCAGCGCGCTGAGGGCTTCAAGTCCGAAGATCCTCAAGCTCTTGACGAATTGTCCCTCATGTTCCCGCACGCTACACAGACCCTGACAGATTCGTCGCTGTCGTATTCGAGCAATAGCGTCTTCTCATCTCCGTTCCAGAGTCCGCAAGCCATGATGTATGGAAGCCAAAATTCAGGGCAAGCGTCGTACTTTCCACATATGCCGCCTGCTAGTTTTCATACGATACCACCTCCACAGCAACGGCGACAACAGGCACCAACTCCTCCAGTCAGAACGAACTCGCTCCCAAAACGGAGCTACTCTTCATCAATGCTGCAGCTAACGCCGCAAATCTCGCCTTCACCACAATCCCCTCAGCCGCCGTCTCCAGCGACACCGAATTCTGCCGTCACTAAGCCGGTCGTGATGCCCAACGTGAAGCCGAAGGAGCCCCAGATCAGATACAACGAGAATTGTTTCAATTACAGCCTCCACGGCAACAAAAGCATTCCTCTACACCCCGCGTCATTTGGCAGGTAAGTATGGCCCTTTGTGGACCGTCCATCCTTGGCCCTTTCTCCCGGCATCACCTTACTGTACGGCTTCTGCATGCTTGAATGAATTGCTAACAGCTTATTTGACGCCTTTAGTTCGGCTTTGAACTCCGCACACTTTGCCAATTCCGCCTTTCAACCGTTGATATGGAACGCAGAGGAAGAATATGGCAAGCGTGACTGACTCATCCTCCGTCGGAACTTCAAACTCAGCTTACCCTCACCTTAAGAGTCACGCGGTTCTCGGGACACCCTTTCCAAGCACACCCACCACCCATCTCAAATGCATCAAACACCACGTGTGAAAAATACTTCTTACGCGTACTGGGGGCACTAATCCAACCATTCAATTAGTCGTCCTATGAACATCGCAGCATTTCCCAGGCGAAACGGAGCAACCGCTATTCTGATATGAGCACACCAGATGCACAGCAATGGGAGAGGATGATCCACCGGTCTTTACTGAGGCATAGCAGTCGTCTCCATTTCATTTTCATTCCTGTATGACACAAAGACGTCACGACTGTCATTACCGTTGTATAAATAATCACGAATTTCAATCCTGCTAGAACCGGGAGATGGGGAGATCAAGGATGTCCTTTCGAGCCCGGTGGATCGGTTGAAAGACTTTACGAGGAAGGGGCACAAGAGAATGGAAAAAAGAGAAAACAGACTCGAGAAGCAACTCCACGTTGCCGTCGTTACAAGCTGTGGCTATGAGTAAGCATCCGCTCGCGATGCAGAAAAGGCCAAGCGAGCAGAGACAGCGTTGGGGGCTGATGTTCGGCGCTTGAAAGCGCCTCGGTGTTTGTGGCAGGGTAACTCTCTTAGTCTTGGAGCTTTTTGCTTCGTTTTTGCTTTTGCTTTCAACAATGAAAGAATGTCTCACACTACATCGGTGCGAAAGATGCGTGTGCGTGTGTGTATGGGGAGGACACGCTCGGCCCCGAACTTGTAGATGGATACAGGCTGGCTCGGGGGACAAAATATAGGATTGCCCAGCTCGCGTCCGGGTTAGCGCCACCGCCGTTGTTGTCCTCGACTCATGTCTAACACGTCCATGTCCATCCCGTGGAAGATGCCTAAGAGAGAAAGATAGATATGTTTGGCCGTAGCTCGAGCCAACGTTGAACGCCGTCGTGCCGGATAAGGCCACGGAGCTGGGAAGAAAAAGAACGGGGCCTGGCAAACCATCTGCCCTGTTTGAAGCCGTCGTCACAAAGGACTGATTTCGACCACTCACTCGCAAGGGTAGTCGCAAGCCAGGTCTCAAAGAATATCCGACTCTTGAATCCGGTACACGCCATCCACAGTCTCCTTGCCCTCGGCCTTCATGATGTTCAGTCCGTGGACGATCTCGCGCGCAAAAACGTCCGCGACGGATTCCATCGCGATCGGCTCTGCGGTCAGCGGGCCGGTCTGATCGTCTTCCCTGCGCGACTCGCCTCTTGCCGGGATGTCAGCTGGAAGAAGGAGAGACGAAGTTCCGCGTCTGATCGGTTCGGAGTCCCCGGGTGCGGATGGATGATGCAAGCGTGACATCTCCCTTGTCAGCCAGGTTACGCTCTTCCCCTCAAGTCCGCAGGCCACGATGCGGCTGAAGCCCCATGACAAATAGCCCCGCGTGGACTGATCGTAGGACGGCGAGGATACTTGTGCGGGAATGAAGTCATAAATTTCGCCTGAAGAGAGCACAGTACCAGAAGGGGACGCCGATGTTGACGGGGACGTAGGGCTAGGAGACAACGAGAGGTCTGCTGAAGGTGACGCAGACGAAGGAGACGCCGAGGGAAGCGGTGCGTCATATACGTTCAGGCCTACTCCGTGGGAGGTAATACCACGCGAGACCTGGACGCCGATCGCACAGATTTTGCGATCGCTTGCTGTTGCTGCTGCTGCTGCTGCTGCCCCCTTGGCTAGCGTGGATGCGGCTTGCACACTACTTTGCTGGTCTATAGCTCGGCCAGGATCCAGCACCCACACCCCCGGATCGTCGGTTCTCCCGGTCAAGACCCCCCAGCGACTGCAGGTGCGCATGACGCTCTCCTCCAACAACTTCACCCAGCATCTGGCGGTGATGCCGAACCTCCGTAAATCGACAATGACGTATCCGGTCAACTGGCCCGGTGCGTGGTACGTTAGCAGGCCACCGCGTGGGGAGGCATGAAAAGTGGCCAGGCCATTCGCAGAAAGGAAGGATCGCTGATCCGCGGAGATGGGATTCGCTAGGAGGTGCCGGCGTCCAACAGTGTAGGTGGGAGGGGTGCTGAATGTCAGGAGGACAGGATCTGGGGGTGTTTGGACGTGTGATAGTGTCCAAGGGCTGGAGCCGGCGTGGAAAGGAGGCACGGACCTTGCATTATGCTGCAAGGCGGCCGTCGTGTCCTTTGTAGTGCAGTTTCCATTTCGGGCGCCAAGCAATAAGGACTCAGGTCGATCATGCCGTAGACTCAATACGTCGCGTCTCTGCGAGGTGCGTGGCCTTGCTGCGTCATCAACCTCATCAACCTCATCAGCATCAGCAGCGGCAACAGTATCTGAAGCTGTTCGGTCGAAGATACGTGGTGACAGCCGGCTTGCAGGGTCCTTGCCCCTGTCGTTGAACGTAGGTGGAGGCGCATTATTCGTGGCCTCGATTGGTCTTGCTCCTCTCGCTGCTGCGTCATCTCTGGTGGCCGAGCGCAGCCAGTCCTTGTGTTGGAAATGTCTTTCCAAAATGGCCGTTTGCAGACGCAGGGAGTGAGTGTAAGGGACCAGGCCCGGGATGTGCAAGTGAGCTAAGCGCATGACAGTGCATCATCGATGGAGTCTTGTTTCACCCTTTGCTCTGGTGTCGACCCTCCTAGGTAGGTAGTGTCTGCCAAACTCTATGCGGTCATGTGGCTCGAGCAGAAGGTGACTGGAGCTCGGCCGGGCTGAAGACGATGGGGTCGTTCAATGGCGAAACTGGGGACCCGCAGGCGATTGCGTTGAAGCAACCAGGTTATTGTGCCAGCAAGAATGAACGGGGGGGGCATGCAGAAGCGGTCGAGGAGCCAGGCAATCACCCGAGGGTTGCATGTATGTCTAGTTCATGCTCGATGGGTTGCTTGTTCAAGCTATGGGTGGCTAGGGCCAAAGTCTCCGGCGAAGCGTGTGCCGCGTCGCAAGCAAGAGGCTGTGGGCGGCTGGTGGCGTCTCGGGCAAAGGCAGTGGTAGTGGTGGCAGAATCGGTCAGACCAGGCAATCATTCGGTTAATCACAAAGGCATTGCATCCAAACGAAGGCGGTACTCAGAAACCCAAATGATAGAGATGAAAGCAGCTTGTAGATGATGGACCTGTGAAAGTATGAATGTGCTGGGTTGTTGTCGTCGTTGTCGTCGTCAAGCTTCTCGGATAAGTTACCCAGCCTTACCAGCGCCCCAAGGCCCAAGGGAATGCACGTCTTTTGGCCCCCGAAAGGCTGAGTCCCTAGTGTTTGTTTCTCAGCAGGAACTTCATTCCTTGGACTGGGTTTTCTGGGCAAGGCTGAACTGGCCTTCCAGGTATAAGGCATACGGAGTACAGAGAAGTGATCGATTCTCTGTCCTTCTCTTCAGGGAGTGCCACGAGGCAGGATTCTGAGAACAACTCCTATTTCTTCCGCAGCACTACCTAGGTACATACCAGAAAACAACTCTCTTTCTGGTTCCCTTTTGACCAGAGACAAAAAGGCACATGTTAAAAGCCTCAACAGGGCTGCTCATCAGCCCATGGTCCGAGGCTCGAAGGACCGTCTCTAGCCGCCGAGGTTGGTTCAAAGTCACAAAATCGACGGTTAAATACCTAATCACAACAAGGCCCAGGTCGACCGCCTCTTTCAGGTATGTATGTAACTTATTTCTCCCGAAAGCTTTTTGCTTCGACGATGGATACGCTCCTAGTTAAGGCTGGGAAGACGACAACACACAAAGCTGTGACTGGCTCGATCCCTGGCCACACCATGCTTTTATTAACCCGGGCCCAATGTGATGGCCGTTGGGAAGAAAAGATGGAGAAAAGCTGAGTGTGGTGTACCTAATGGACCGGGGTTTTCCCCTTTGCGCGCAACCCAGGTTTGCTACCAGGCCAGATCAGGTATGTGTAAAAAGACAGGTTGCATATGTAAGAAAACGGGCCACTAGATTGGATGTTGTATACGAGATACCTACGACAGAAACCCTGTGCCCGCCTTTACCGACAACGACTCGGCTAACTGGTTTTTTGCTTTTTTGCTAACACCATTGTTGGATGCAGGCCTGATCCCCTAGACCACACAACAACCAACACCCACATTCTTGAAGCATTTTCCCTTCGCCGTTGATGTCAAGGTCATTAAACGGTCCAATAAGACGGAAACCTTTCCCCCCTACAGGCCAGGTAGGAGGCGGGATAGTGGAACTGCCTATTTCATCATTTGTCCCAAAACGTGGAGTCTTGCGAAACCGTGGCCCTCGTGCTTTGCTCACTTTGCTCACGCTTCCAAGGCCCAACTATTGATCGAATGGCCAAATGCGTAGCCCTGTCACCCCCTCCTGCTTCTTCTCATCTTCTGCAGTCTATCTCGATCCCTTTGGCTGAGGAAAATGCCGGGCTTTGGAACAATTTAGGAGTTTGCACTATTTCGGTTCCCTCCTGTCTGCCGCCAGAGAGCGGCACGATATGATAGCCGCAGGCCGCCTTGTCTGCCCGTAGCACGAGGGGAAGAATGATGGGATGAATTACGACAAAGGAAAAAAAGGTCTGGACATCGTTGGTCATCACGTAACCCCGTCTAACATAATTGGCAGGGCAAACCATCTTCCTGTCTGACGGTATATATCCTGGGTCATGTATATCAACATGATCCCCCTTGTCTTTCTGTGTGATCGTCTAGACTCTCTCTCCATGTAATCCCATAAATACCTCATTGCCACCCTTCCCCTCATTTCCACTGTTCGCTTCTTTCCGTATCGACACTATATTCCGAATCACTGCCAAGTTCCTTGCACTGACGCCTGTGCATTGAAATAAAGTCCGTGCAGCCCTGAAGCAGCAAAATAACTTTACTGCGGCGAAGCCCAAAGAAGCAGCAGCAGCCGCGCAGCCCTCCCCTTCTTCGCCGTCGAAAAGTCCTGTCGGACCAAGATATAGGTCTTCGGCTTTCGGCTGTACACCATGACCAGCACCTCGCACAGCACCACTCCAACCAATGAGACCCCAGCCAGGCCGAAAACCGTCGATGGCCAGGAGGCCTTCAGAAACGGGCCTCACGTCCAGAGTGACACTCCACAAGCGTTGGCCGAGGTAGGCTTTGTTCCTCTGCTAGACAATCAAGGCGTTGAGATCCTTCTTGCCCCCTTTCACCCACCCTTTCAAAAGCCGCTGCTGATTCTGATTTTGGGTAACCACCAGTACAGCGAATACCTCGGTCGGTGCATTGCCGTAGCTGACAGCGAGGCCGCCACTGCGGAGCAGCAGCAGCAGCAGGAGCAGCAGACAGGGAAGAAGCGGAAATGGGCATGTGCTCACAAAAAGTCATGATGCCCTTTTCAACATTGCCCCTCCTCCTCTGGAGCGGAACGAAACCGATTCGACATCAGGCCTGGAGAGTGTTTTGGCTAAAGGATGTTCACTGTGCGTTGCAGCAAGCAAGGACCCACTCCCTCTTGAGTGTGGCCCAGTGGCCAGTGGCCAGTGGCCAGGACAGTCAAGGACGGTTGGAAGAAAACTTGGGAAGAAATGGGAGGCGTGTGGTGGCGCTCGAGTCTCTCTTCCAGAGGATTCACCTCTTCTGCCGCATTGAAATGCCGTCGGGGTCGTCGGCGAGCTGCTGCACGGTGCGTTATTGGAAGAAGTCGGGGTCAGTCATCAACTGAGCCCTATAACCAATAAATTCATCAGAAGTAATCTGCTGCGTCAACGTCGCGGCAGCGTGCCCGCAAACTCCCAGCCCGCGCGGTGTTGGCGGTGCTGCTGTCCAACTTGCTGCTCCCATCATACATGCCTTCGGCGAATACTTTCTCCACACTCATCAAGCTTTGGAAGACATCAACGTGCATGGCCCTGTCGTATTCGCTGCTTGCCTGCCATCCATATACGACCTGTGGATTCCCCAAAAGCGAAATGATTTCGCCACCACGGAGCAAACACCCCCGGTCACCCAGCTGGTTCAGCAGTGTGTGATAGACCTTAGCGATGGCAAGATGGCTGTCGTCCTTGATGATCGCTTTATTCGCCCAGAGAATGACGGCCACTAGCGTGCAAAAGTGGATGAACGGGATGACTCCTAGGATAGTCCCCGCATACCTCCACGTCACCTTGAGAACTTGCGCAGGTATGGGCTGCTCCTTGCTCGCGACGGTTTTTCTGTACATGGCTGGAGAGTTGTCCATGAATGAAATTGCTCCCATTGTGAACGACGAGATGATGTTGGCCATATCAGAAGGCCCGAGCGTCCCCAGGAAGTTGAACTCAGACGAGTTCGTGTACACCGCATATTCCTCTTTGCCATCAGCACTCGGAGGATTGTCACTCCATCCAATTGCCCCTGCGAGCATCCTCGCAATAAAAGTATAGATTTCATAATCGACAGTGATCTCATTGTAGTCGTCCCCAACTTGAGGCTGTGAATGTGTCAGCCGTACAGAAATGCAGGGGATTTGATGGTAGAGACCGCCAGGAAGATGAATAAGACAGATCAACCCTATTCAAAGAGCAAAACATACCACTGTATTATTGCAGACGAAATAATTCGCAACCCCGTTTTCGACCTCGTCAACACCGCCATCGTCGTCGTCATCGTCACTGCCATTATCGTCGGGGTATGCAGCAGCTTTTAAGGTGTGGATCTCCACGCATCCTTCACCGCAGGTCGAATTCAGTTTGGAGATGGTGAGGAGCCCTCCTGGGCCTGGGCTCGCTGGGAGGGATTTGTTGACGTGTTTGTCGCCGTCGATATAGACGATGTATGACAGATTGCCATACAGGCCTTCGGTGACGTTGTAACTCTGGCAGTAAGCCTGTGATTGAATGTATCGGGAAGACACAATGATGCTATTCGGGTCATCTGCATTCTGATCCTGGAAGTAGTACAAGGTATAGCCATCCGAATCCGAGAAGTAGCTCTGGAAGTACTCCACAACATCACTGTCATCGTCCAAAGGAGTTGTAATTTCTCCACGAACACCCCATTCTTGGACTGCGGCCAAGTCAGCCGGATAGTCGCCGGTCGAAAGCGCGTTCAAGTCGACGATACTGATGCTGCCTTTTCGTGTGAGAACAAAATCGGCCGAGGTGTCCAAGTTGTAGTTCAAACCAATGATGCCTACCAGGACCGTGATCGCCAGGTGGACAAGAAGCCACAAAGCACAAAAAACCTGGGTCTTGGACGGCAGATATCTGCGTTGGTGATTCCGCGCCTTCCAAAGTAGCTTGATGACGTTCAAGAGGCTATCGCAACCCATAACGAGATCGAAAGTCTCAAGCGGTCGGTAACACGCCGCCAATATTCGCCAGCGGAGGAGCTTCGCGTAGCTGCGCAATGATGCTGCCAAGTTCACTCCGAGAAGAAGAGAGACGCCTGTGGTGAGAGCGTTGAAGATCCTGCGTTGAGGGACGCTGATGGTTTGCTTCTTGGAATAGGCATAGAGGATGCCGAAGTATACAACACAAAGGATCAGGCTATTGAACCATTCACCAATAGTCAGCCGCAAAAGCCGGTGTCGTTGTTTGTGGTGTCGATACTCTCTGGAAGTATTGTGATCGGCACATTTCAGCTCTAGAACTTCGTGAAGTGAGGGGGTGATAGAACTGTAAATGCGATCCTTCCATCCACTCGAGTTCGAGTACCTCCTATTATCGAGCGGTTGTCCCGCCGGTCTTGGGTCTGGCTCTGTTTGTTCGGTCAAAGGGCAGCCAGCATAATTAGGGTCGTGGACTTACGTGGAAGAGTTTGGGCCACGGAGACAGTGTCAGATTGGTCGGTATTGTGCCTTGTCGGAAGCGAAGAAGGTGATGGAGGCGATGGGGGAGGAGATATCTCGATGACAGGCACGCTTGTTGTCTCTGGATCATGTGGTAGTAGACTCTGGACGTCGTGGTGGACGTCGTCGTGCGCAGCAGCTTCTTGGCCGTGACCTTGTTCGGCGCCTACGCCGTCCTCGTCGTCTCCCGCTGGGAGTGGACTGTAGCCCGCCGATGGTTCCATGGCCATGTTCACGGGGTTTCTGGCGCCAACGGTCCCAAGTGCGCTTTGCAATTCGAGTTTGCTGGCACCATTTTCGCGAGGAGAGGCGTTCAGGAAGGATATAGGCAGGCGAATCTTCAGGCCCAGGTCTGAACGGCACTAGCAACAAGGCCGATTTCAATTCTGTTTGAGATGGCGACGTTTTCCCGCCCATCGCGAACCCGAGTTTCCTGACCAGTAACGGCCGCCATTTGACTGAAGGCCCCATATCGGAACAGGCAGGTCGCTCAAGGACACGTCGTATATTCTGGGTTTTGCAGAAGGGGGCGGTTTCAGGTCAAGCAACCGGCGGGCCTCGCTAGCTCAGCAATTTGCTGACATCCCTGCAAAACTCTTCAGTCAATCACGCTAACAGGCTATAGCCTTGTGATATTGCCCCAACGATCAAGGCCAAATGGCATGTTAGCGTGGGTTTGTGATAGGTGGCGAGACATGGGATGCCTTATTCAAAGAATTGGGTAGAACAGACCTACTCGGCAGAAGACCGTCGATCGGCCGGAAATGGAATATGGCTGCGCACACTGCACGCTGAGAGGTCCCATTTTGCAAGGCGCCATTCAGCATATGCAGGCAGAAGCTGTCGACGGGGACTGTGTGCTCCGCGTAAGACAATGATGCGAGAGCAGGTGGTTGACGGGCACCCATCAGAGAGTTCTCGCAGATTATTATTAAGCACAATGTTGTGGAGAACTTGAAGGCGTAACTCGGACGTGTTTCGGGGAGGTTCAGGACTGGTAAAAAGGAGAGGTTTCACAGATCGCAGACCGTCCCTCCTTGAGTAATGACAAGGGATACATGGGCGCTTGCGGGACGCCCCTGCGGAATTTGGCCCGTACCGAGTTGCCTCCACGAGCTTCGAATCCACACTATTATTGAATCCCAGTGTTCGAGGTACGTATCCTCCCGGTCTCTTCGCAGCACGGATGGGGTCTATCTCCGTGGAGACTGGGGTTCTAAAAGCCATGCAAACCAGTACCTTCTAGTTCGTACCAATCAAGGCCGGTCAGTGGAGTTGCATGCTCGCAGTGTACGCAAACCACTCTCAAGAATCGGTCACAGGACGCTTCTTCACGGAGGAAGAACCGAGACACCGGTTGAACCCTTGCCTTCGACCAGGTCATCACCTTGCCTCGTGCGACAGCACTCGGATGGTGTGACGCGCACTCAACAACCCGTCAATATTGCAGTATCCAAATCTGGAGTGCCTGCAGGACATAGATGAATCTCCCAAACTAATGTCCCTCAAGTAAAACAATGCGTCGAGACAGGCCCGCGACACAGCCAGAACAGAAGATTTGGCGGCTTGACTCTCAAGCAGCTGCAGAAAGCGGCAATTGATAACCTTCATTCGAACAGGGGCACTGCGGAGGGCTCGTAGAAAGATACTTGACATGGTCGAAGATGATCAACCGATGGGATAAACCATCTAGACTGCTCAGATGAGGTCTGTAGTTCGGGTTGCAGACAGGTCTTGAGAGGGTCGCTGAAGTTCAGGCGCAAGCTACCGAGCAGCGTGCAGAGGGAGAGCATGTGGTTGAAGACCCATCCTCACTGAACATTCGAACAGGCGAAGTTATCCGATGGTCGGCCGCTGAATCTCAGATGAGTGTCAATGGCGTGCTCGTCGTTGAGAAGAGAGGTCAAGCCAACTCCGGTGCGATTTCGGGCGGCACAGTCTTAACGATTGCCGAACGTGCGAACGGCATTCCGAGATATTTCGAGGCTTCAACTCTTCTTGCTCTCGCCAGCACCAGCAGTGTTCTGGTCTCCTGTTGCTGTTTTGCCAAACTCCAATCCCAAGTTTGACCACTCGTCTTTTGCCATCAGACCCTTCTCCATGCGACACCCAAGATATTCTTTGGCGAGTAGCCTACACTCTTCATTGTTTCTTCCAGGAGGATTTTGTCTTCTCAGGCAGCGTAGGTAGGAGGAGATGACGTGCTTGCATTCTGCGTCGTGGTCAAGTGGAAACGAACCGCGCTCTGGAGGTGTCGGCTTGTAATTGGCGGCGCCACCACCGGGCGCACCGAAGCCAGACATTTATATGTTCTCAAAGAGGAAGACAAGAAGGACTTTTGAGGAGAGCTGGACCTAGTAAAGGCTGGACTGGCCTGGATGTTTGCGAAGGATTGCTTTTGGGAAGTTTGTGTTACGGGGATGGATAATGTCAGGCAACGGGAAGTCCAAGCTCCAGAAATTCATCGTCACGTGTCGGGCGCTTACCTTGTTGAACAAAACTCGGGGCTTGAGCGAAGAATTTCTCGACATATGATTATCGTTATTAAGTACATGTGAATTATCTATTTGCTACAGAACCAACTGCTGAAGGGCCAGTGTGGAAACAGTTGACCACAAATCGTAAGCAGACCACCCAGTATCAGTGACTGGGAAGCTGGCGAGCCTTGCCCATCACATCCATCAGCAACAAAGCAGGACGAACTAAGAAGCAATTAGCATGTCTGAAGGACAGCGTTGGGCGTCAAAAAAAGGGAAAGCGAGTAACGTTTCAGTTCTCCAAGGTGATGTATAATCGACATGAGGATTCAGTAAGAACACAGCGAAATACATGAGATCATCATCAGGATGGACGTATCGGCAGGAAGGCATGTTCTTACCTGTTCCAACACTCGGCCCTTCGAACCGAAGTAGAATTAAAAGAAATGTACCTGTGCCAAACAATCACCGGTCAGCTCAGCCGAGAGGATTAGATCTCTTGCAAAATATGAAGAAGGGATAAGCATCTATTTCAGGCTATTAGCAACTCTGTCAGCGAGCCGCCGGAGGTAGCAGAATGGGTGAGGAACATACCTCATTAAATCAGAATTTTCAGTGTTATACGTTCATTTCCAAGTCAAAGCTTGGTTCAAACAGTGTGAATATTGTTCATCATAGGATGCGATTTGGGATGAGAAACACAAGGGGTTCGCAAATACCTAGAAACAGGTTGTTAGCACCGCTTCCCATTTCTTGTACCGTCCGACAGTGTCTTGTGCAAGCAGTCCATCAGCTGACGAGTTCTCAACAAGTGTTACGGCCCTTCCACATCCACAAGATTGTACGTCCTGCTTTTACAGATGGGTGGAACCGCACACACAGTCTGTCCGCCCGTTCGTTCAAGTCTTCGTCACAGGAAAAGTATGGGGTATAGGGAGGATATGAGTGGTGAGGAATGTACCTGTCACAGATTTTCATTAGCTTCCCAGGCCACGACACAGAGAAACTTTGGGAACAAGCAAAGAATGTACATATATCAGACAAGGCTGAAACTTGTAATAGACAGATTCCACATGGTGAATTAAGTCTGAGGAATGCCTTTCGTGTCATGGGGTCATCACCAAAAGAAGAGGGAGAGGTGTATGCGAGGTTGTACCTTTCAAGAGAAATGTTGCGCAGTCGCTCTAGCTATGGGGAACGGGAGTCAGTCAAACGCCTGTCATAGCCTTCAAACAAGTCAGCGATCCTTCTACAAGGCAGCATGCACAACAAATAGGGCGGAGAGGCAGTCAGCGTAATTCTAGAGATAAATTTTGCTCCTCACAGAACATGAGTCCTTGGAGTTGGATTGTATAATGTTCATCATTCAAAAGGGGACAGGAAAAGGATCTGTGCTAACCTTGACTGCATCTATACGGAAAGTGGGCGTATGATTGTGCTTCGCGCACTGCATTATTCAAATCAGAACGAAGACATTCAGGACGGAATTCGAACTTTGCGGAGAAACTGACCTGCGAACAAAATAAATTGTGCCAAGCCCGACCTTTCTCAGTCTAGTGCCATCGGGCCATCGCAGCCTTGTTCAAAATCTCAGCCTCGCGGGCACGACGAGTTGACCATCCCTCCCTTTTTCTTACCTTTGATTTCTTAATCAGCCACCACCAGCAACATGCCGTCCCTGCTTCCTAAGGCCCCCTCGTCAGCCTCAAAGGTCAATGTTACCTCAGGTCAACTTCCGTCATATGTCACTGCCTCGCAGGCTCCTACCAAGAAATCTCCGTGGCGCACGATCCGTGGACTGGATTACAATCAATATGCAGCCGTCATTCTACCGGATGAGCTATACCATCTCGTTTGGAAGAAAGTGGACGCAAGTATCGTGCCTGTAAAATATGCAAAAGTCATTATGAGGCTGGGAGATGTACTTGATGGAGAGTTTTTCACGACGTACATTAAAAGAGGTGAGCCTGCCTTGATACTATCTTCCGCTATCAACTCTCAACGCTGCGTTCAGATCGTGCGCAGGAAGCCTGACAATTTTTCGATCCTCAGGGAACATCCTCATGCTCTCAGAGGGTGAAGCAGGTGTTGATAACATTTTTTCTCTGAAGGAAGGTATGGAAGCCAACCAGTTAGTTGAAGCCATTATTTATTTGGCTTCGGAATCGCACTCGGTTGGCGTCCCTGAGTTGACTGGGAATACCAGGAATCCTGAGACTGGAGCTTTCGAAAGACTCATACGACCGAGCTGGCCTGCAAGGCACGCCAGTACCGTCTGGCGGCAGCAAACATGTCAAGTTGAGATACCGTAAGTGTCTCCTTCCGTGTTTCTGTATCGCGGCCCTACTGCACCGGAACACGAATCTATGTTTAGATATGGGGCTGACTTACCAGCAGTCGTAGAGGTCAATCTTCGTCTCCCTTCAATGTTGCACGGCAAGAAGGGCTTCGAGCGGCTCGTCTGGGCTGCAAAGCATGTCCTGAACCAAAGTCTTAACTGGCTCTTCCTAGATCTCAATACAGACTTTGGAGGTATTATTTTCTACTCTTTTACGCGAACTCTGCCCCGCGGTGCTGACACTCACCGCAGATGTCTTGAATCAGAACACAACGCCTTTGAGCATACACCATCCCACAATCCACATGCTGACGCCGGTGACACAGTCCCTGACAGCCACCTTGATTCCTCGTACGATGTCTTCAATACCTGGTGGAGTCTCCGTTCTGTCCACGGAGGCGCATGAGTCTTTGTATGACGTGTTGGAATACATCGATATGCTCTCACTGGCTTCGCCTCGCGTCCAAGCCACAGACCAGACTCACTCTTTCCTCAGCCGGTATGAGGTGCCTGACCTCGCAGATGATGTCGACTTGAATGACCCCAGCACGTCGGGAGAAACCGTCAGAGTTCTTATATGGTCTGGCCTGATACCATCTCGGTGGATTTTAGAGCTACTATGCGCCGTCATGTAAGTTGGTTGTCTCCAGATGGACTCAGGAAAGAAGTTATCGAGTGGAATCAAGCCTTCCGTCGGTCTTCTATTTTAATGCCCATCCTGGCCGTGTTCATTGCTGAGCTAGATCTGAACAGAAGATACTCCCGCGTCGGAGCCTTTGAAGCACTGTCGAGGCAGCAGCAGTGGCTCGCAATCAATGTCTCCTCTCACAAGACGCAAGCAGTCAACCAAATTGACGGCTATACGGTCTTACTTCAGCCGGCTCACAATGCTGGACAACCCCGAAATCCTCATCCAGATGACCAGACGACCAGCACCCCAGCAGACACAAATATGGATATGGGGGAACTGGTACAACAACCTTCACAGCAAGAGCAGGGCGATGATGTGGATATGACACGTACACCGACACCCGACAAACCTCAGCACACTCAGGAGCCTGCTCCATCAAAAGCAGGATTTCAATGCTATCTCTGTGCGGAATATATTGGCAGCCTGACATAGCCAAGCCGCATGAGGGCAGTCAAGTGCTTGAAACTTGCTCATGTGTGAAGCTTATCAGCTATTAGATTTGTTTGTCAACATGAGGTCGAACCGCATCGACTGGAACCCTCACTAAATTTGAGGGGTTGAACGGCTCCTCTGGCCCTCTTCTCCGCCGCACCTGGGTTCACATTTTGGCTACACAAGATGGTTCAATAAGAGAACCTAAAGGCAGGGTGATCGTCACCCAGATTATTGAGCTCGGCCTCTGGCAAGTTATACCGATGATCCCTTGCGCCCTTCTCCCGCAGCCTGTTCTCCCTCATGAGGTACCATAAGAGAACGCACGATGCTAGTGCTCCAGCGGCAAGAAGCCCCACGCCAGTTCCGAACCCAGTTGGATATGTCGGAGCTTCCGACATGAGATATATGTTGCTCCCCACGATGCCACCAATATTTCCAACGGCTAGCTGCATCGCGATTCCCACCCCACGCTTGTAATGGCCGCCGAGATTGTTGCTCAACCATCCTACAATCCCCGGCTGTGCCACGACAACGCCGGCTTGGAGGAGGTAGAGGGCAAAATATCGCACTCCAACTGAAACCGAAAAGTATGACAACAAGATGGCATATGCGATGATGGCGAGGATGCATCCGCCGAAGATGAACGAAAATCGGTGTTTGAAGTAATCGGAGAGAAAAGCGCAAGTCAAACATACCACTGTCCCGAAAACATAGAGGGGGATCGTCATAACCTGGGCTTTGGTGGAGGTCCAGCCCAGCTCCAAGAGTATCGTGGGCAGAAAGTAAGCAAACCCATAAGAGGTCGTCAGTATGCAGAGGTACGCGAAACTTCCAATCCAGATCTTGACGTCGCGGATGCAAAGCCATAGCGCCTGCTTATTCAGAACGTTCATCTCGATGCGTTTGGTGTCCGACGCCAGTCTCTGTGCCCAGAACTGTCGTTCACTTTCGGTGAGGAATTTTGCCGTCTCTGGCCAGTCGGGGAGGACCCAGTACGCCGGGATCGACACCGCAATGGTGATTAATCCTTCTAAGATCAAGATCCATCTCCAGCCACTGTATCCAGATATCCCGTTCATTTTAGCGATGGCGTAGGCCAGGAGGCCACTGAAAGCTCCCGTAACGAGGGAAGCGCCGTAGAAGATGTTCAACCTCCACTGAAACTCATGCCTCTTGTAAAACATTGTCATCAAATAGATCGACCCCGGGTAGACGCCCGCTTCGAGACCACCCAGGAGTACCCGGCAGACAACGAGGCCAGCATACGATCTTGTCAAGCCCTGGCACATGGTCACGATGCCAAAGCAGAAGGCCGACAGGCTTAGAAAGAGCGACGGCCGAACATGCTTGATCAGGATATTCGCGGGAACTTCCAGCAAGATGTACAAGATGAAGAAGACGAACAGGACGACACTGAAGTCCTGGCCATGCATATGGAGATCCTTCTCCAGACCTTGTATCCGGGCATTTGCGATATTTACTCTAGATTCAACTGTCAACGCGAGTTCTTAGGAGGAAACGGAGGACTGACCTGTCAAGAATCGTACACATGAACAGCAGACATAGCATAGGCAACAAGTTGAGGTCGCACTTTAAGAGGATGCGCCTTTCAGATATGCGCACGTCATTGGTCTCGTGCTGGATCTCTGTCGCGATATCCGCGGACTCATTTTTCTCCATCGGCCTCCTTGTAGCTTGGGCGTCGTTCGCCTCCATCTCTGTCTCGAAAACGAAGATGCGTTGAATACCCGAGATTGCACGACGAGGATGGCTTTGAGCTCCTAGGCTCTATGCAAAAGAGGGGGAGACTCTTATTAAGGCCGCTCTTCTCCATCTCTGCCACGAGGCCAGGAGGATGCTGGCCTCGGGGTAAATTGTACCACTGCTTCTGAGGACACCGAATCGTGGCCCTTGACGGACTTCACCCGCTGCATCATGCAGAGTTACCAAACCCGGCATAAAGAGACGTCGACCAAACGCATTGTGAAGGTGTTCGCTAACGCTGAAACGACAGAGATGGTTGCTGAGTAATTGCATTGTGTAAGAATGCAGCAGTTCTCACTCTCGACCAGAACGGGCAAGTGCCCACACCAAGAACGGCTAGCCTATTACCAAATCACATACTTCAACCAATAGAAAGCATCCTCCAAGACAATCCCTACCTAGGTACCTACTGCTTGTTTTGGCGGACAACTGGCCGTACAATCTGAAATGCAGATCCTTGAGTCAGAAGCCTGCTCCTCCTGCCAGCACTTGAAAGAACAAGAGTGAGCGCGGAATGAACGCGGGAAGTCGCCAAACGGGGGAGAAGGGGGAAATACCCAGGCGGCTCAGGGTACTCCACTGGCCACACCGCTGACGCACTGATTCGCAATCTGCGCTCGTTCATCATCGAATACTCGTACTCTTGGCACACGCCCTTATCAAGGGAACCGACTGGCTTATATTGGACGAGATCCCAATATCCGACAGTAGATCGCGCAACGCTGCAAGGGCTGGAGGAGAACCTGATTACGTGTGCGAAGGGCGAGTCCTATCCGCCTGTCCTTGGTCGAAGATGCCCTCGTGGCAACGATACTATGCTGATTGCGTTTGTTCACTAATGATTTCAGGACCTCCTCCCTGCACACCATGACGAAACAAGATCAGCCGCCCTTGATCTTTGTCCTGCAACCATCCTCCTCCCAATCACAGAAAGAGAAAGAGCTTCAGGCTGCCGAGCGCAAAGCCCATGCTGCCAAAGTCGCGCATGCCAGACGCCGACATGTGCGCGGAGTCGGTCAAGTCAGGCAAGGCAGAGCGGTTAGGAGGGCTGCTGCCTCAGCCGCAGGTGGTTCAAGAAGGTCGAATCAGGCTTCAGGTCCCAGGGAAGGTCTGTGTGGATGCTGATTTAAACAATTTCCGTTAGCCAAAGGACTATACACTAACCCGCCGACTTTTGTTTGCCACAGATGATTATTGGGTGGATGAGACGTCACAAGAGGATCTCCCAGCTGCTCTCCTAGTCATGTCTCAACATACTCCTGCACCGCCTTCCCAACATGGCTCTTCTGATCCGTTCGGCTCGCAGGCCATTCCCATCACGCCACGGGTGAACCAAGTCTTGCAATATGCGACCCAGACGCTGGCCAGCCTCTTTGCGACGAGCTATGTCAGGCGGTTGTTTTCCGGCCCGTGGAAAAAATATTTCGATCCCAAGACTGTCGCAATCCTTCACGATCTCAGATCGTTTGCTTGGACCTGGGAATGGTCGTCAGCCGAGGAAGGCTCGATCTCCGCCTATGTCTCCATGTACGCCACATCCATGCAACGATTCCTACCCAAGCACATCCATAAAGAATACTCGATGATGGCCTTCAGCCTCCGGACGCGAAGTCTAGAGGTGTTGCGAAAGAGAATAAGCGATCTGGACGGGACTCGCCAGCCAGATATGGCGCTGATCATGAACGTGATGCGTCTGTTCCGCATGGACTCGTTCGCTGGAGACGTCAAATCGGCGAGGGTGCATGCGAACATGATCCGTGGCTTTGCTGAGGCTGTCCCGAACCTGGAGCAAAAGGGTCACTTCGTCCGCATGACAGTCTATAACGACGTCGTCGCCGCGACCAACCAGCTCCGACGGCCATTGTTAGACTATGACAATTGGATCCAGGCTTTTATGGACGAGTGCAAACAACAAATTGCTCACTACCTTCCGCCCGAGCCCCAGAACGGTAAAGATATTCACTATTCTGTCTCGCTGTACAAATTGCGCACGATAATGAAGCGGCTCCAATGGTATTTGTCCTTCCCGAGGGAGGCAAAGTTTGCTCCGCGTACGATAGGGGACGCAGAGATGATTCATCGCTGGATCATATTAGGCGCTCAAAAGAACACGGCAACCCTCTTGCACCTCTACCAAGAATTGACCGAAGACGATGATCCCATCGTGGATCTCCATCTCACAAACGTTGCCTTGACTCTGACGTTGATCATGTCCTATCAAAAGAGCATGTGGGAGGCTATAATCCAAGGCAGTGATATCTGCGACTCTAGTCGAGTCATCATGCCACGGTTGGAGAGAGTCATGAGATCGACCCTCGAGACTTCGACCCTCGAAGAACTGCATTACTACCGGCAAGCGCATTTCTGGGTCTTTTTTGTCGGAGCTCAGATGGAGCAGCACAAGTTGCAGCGGACCCGCCCCGGTTCATCACCTCAGCAAAGCCAAGCCGCACCGCACTCACTATGGTTCAGCAATATGCTTGTGCAGCAAGCACGTTTTCTGAATCTGTGGGCATGGTCCGATGCACGGGAATTGGTTCAAAGCTTCGTCTTCAACGAGTTCTGGGAACCATCCCCGAGTATTTGGTATGAAAACCTCGTCCAAAACTTCAGTGACCCAACAGACAGATCTGTGATGGGACATAATAGCTCGCAAGCAGCGCTGGTGATCACAAGACCATTGAACAATGTTTCCTGGCCGCGCGAACAGCGCCACGTCTGACAGTGCTTGATCTTTGCCGCAAGATGCGCAGCTGCATTTCAAGGGGAAATAAAGGTAAATAGCAGTGGATGAGAACGTATCTCCTCAACATTGTCCCGGAGAAAAGGTTCCAAGAGGGGTCACATACCAATTATTCAAGATCTGAAGGGGTCAATCTGTGTGATGAAGTGAAAAGAGACAGATGGATATCGACCTTTCAAAATCCAGGCTGATGAAAAATTTACTACCTTGGTAGCTAGGTATATAGTACTTGGCGAGATCTGGCTCTAGTCCCACGATCGCAGGAGGCAAAAATGATTCCAGTGCCAAAAAAAGCTCTAAGGGAAAAAAAGGATGTGACAAGATTAGCCCCTACAAAGATGCCTCAGCCTCCATGTATATATACTGAGATGCGCCCCCCACCTCTCCTAATAAAGCCCTCGAAGAGTGATCAGTGTCTGGACCAGATCCGAATGGATTTCTCTGCCGCTTCAACAACAAACCTGATCCGGAGCCCCCGCCCGCCACACCCACAAATTGTGTACATTCAGGAGAACGGAGACCATTCTAGTGTTGAAGCTCGTTCCCGTACCTGCGCGCCAGGCCTGATCCTAATGTGGGAGGAAATTGCGGGAATGTGAGTGATATATATTGAATATTTGCGGAGTCATTCGTGGGGAGTTTCTGATTGGATTGCCGTGGTGAGAGGTGCGGCAGAACGGTGGGTTTCCTGGGAGGAGGCTGTTGCTGGCTCAACCGACCGGACGACGTTCGGAGTGATGGATGGTTTCTGTGATGCTGTCGAGAGACGTTATGCGGACTTCAATGAAAAGCATACACCTATGTGTCAACATGTCCCTTCAGCAATCAATCCGCATTCTGGAGTTGGGAATTCACGGTAGCGTAAGCCAGCATTCGGCAAGTAGATGGAAATGCGACGTTGGGATCGTAACTGCATATCCATTCGCAACTCGTCTGGCTCGCCCGCTTGATCCGGGACATGGCAACAGATTCAGTTGGTATGCCTGCCAACAGCATCAGTGCGGACACACATCGATTTTTCAGCCGGAAGATGAGATGTTCCCCTCGCATCGAGCTTAACTTCCAATGAGGTGATCAAGCAGCGTTCATTCTCCTCCCATTGAGTGTTGAGCTTCAAATGCAAAACTGGCCACCTTCGTTCAGGTGCGAGCAAATCATCGCCATTTTATAGACTTGGTATCACAGCGCCCACTCGATGGATGCGAACAAAGTCGGCAATCTGGATTCAGAGACAGGACGTCTTTAAGGACAATATGGACAAGAGGGGGGCTGTGATTGTGAGGAGAGCGTTCGGATTGAACATTCTATCAGGGCTGTCCTGGTAAGTGACATGATTGACACCGATGACCTCCAGCTTCACACTGCTGAGTAGTGATGTACTGTGGACTGGGAGGTCACTGTGTCAAACAAAGGGGTTGTTAAGTCCAGACTGTAGCGGTTGTGCAGAGTGAAGATGATAATGCCAAGACTCTACAAAACTGCGCGAAATCTACACCTTGATCCACCGCATAAATATTCCTTCTCGCTTTCGCTTGCTCCACCGTTCCTACACGTGACCACGCTAAGCATCAAAATGGTGTTCCTTGTCGCTCTCGCCGTCCTGGCGGCATGCCTCCTCCTTGTAGTCGACTACCGTCTGTCCGAAATCATCGCTTCCCACATTTTCCAGAGCATCGGCAAGATGGAGGAGTTCCAGTCCGAGACCGACAGCGATTACACCAGTTACTGGCGTGACTGGGTGAGTTTCACACCATACCCCCGAAAACAGCCTCACATTCCCCTCTCACATAGAACTCACTTTGTCACTGAAATGTACCCGAGTAAACACGCCACTGACTTTCAAACTCCCAGTTCATCTCTTCGCGTGGCAACGAGTACTTTTGTGAGATCGACGAAGAATACATCACCGACCGCTTCAACTTGACTGGCCTTAACACGGAAGTCCACTACTACCAACACGCCCTCGACCTGATCACCGATGTGTTCGACCTCGACTGTGAAGACGACATGCGCGAGACGATCGAAAAGTCGGCGCGCCATCTCTACGGGCTCGTCCACGCGCGCTACATCGTCACCACCCGCGGCCTGGCCAAGATGGTCGAGAAGTTCAAAAAGTCCGATTTCGGCCGTTGCCCGCGTGTCATGTGCGAGAGTCACCCACTGCTGCCCTTCGGACCGAGCGACAACCCGGGCCTCAAGACGGTCAAGCTCTACTGCGCCAAGTGCGAGGACATTTACAACCCGAAGTCGTCCCGCCATGCGGCCATCGACGGCGCGTACTTTGGCAGTTCCTTCCACAACATCCTGTTCCAGGTCTACCCGGCCCTTGTGCCCGTCAAGTCTAGGAGACGGTACGAGCCCAAGGTCTTCGGGTTCAAGGTCCACCACGCCGCCGTCTTGGCTAGGTGGCAGGACGTTGTGAGGAGACAGCAACGGAAGCGGTTGGAGGAAGCCACCGTGGTCGCCGAAGGGCAGCAATTGTTCATCGAGGATGCCGAGAGCAGCGACGGCGGCGCCGGCGACTTGGATCGTGCCGAAGAACTCGATGACGACGAGCTTGTCGGCGACAATGGCGATCGCAGAATGGCTGCTACCGGTGGCGACACTGAGGAGGGTGTGGCCCTGTACGGAGCTGCCCTAGCTGCTACAGGACAGGCTGCGCACTGAAAAACAGCGAGATCACGACATCCAATTGACAAAACGGCGTTACGACATCATGGCAGAATGATGGGGACGAAGCGGTGAATTGGCGTACGTAATCATTGCTTGCACAAAGCGTGGCTTAGGAGCACACCGGGGCATCGAGGCGTCTCATCGTCCTTTAGGGGAACAAATGCTGAACAAACACAAAGGAGAAATTCATGGGCTGAAAAGGGGCTGAACGGTTGGAAAGGGCGCAAAGGCTCGATCGAATCACGATCACCAAACCCAGAAGGTGCGCTGTGCAAAAAACGCACGGTAGATCCCAAGTCGTACCACCAGTGTGTAGCTGAGACTTTTCACCCTGTCGATACTGAATCTCAATCGGCTTGATTGGGGAGCATCCGAGTTTCAAGAATTATGTAAAACTCTCATTGTAAACTGGCTAAGCAGGCCATCATCGCTTGAAGCCATCGCTGTATCTTAAGATGCTAACAATGCAGCTCAAAATTTGCCCCCCTTCCCAAGCCTAGGCCGTGTGAACGTTCCCAGCATCAACCACAATGGCGTCGTTGACCTCTGGGGCGGCGGCGGCGGCGGTGGCGGAAGAGGACCAGGAGAAGCAGTCGGCTGGCTCGTAATCCGAGACCTCTAATCTCGTCGTCTCCTCTTGCCCTTCCGTCCCGTATCCTCCTGCGCTTCGTCCACTTCTTCGTCCTTGCCTTTCCTCAGCTCCTCCGGCTGCAGTCCCCATGCCTCGGCATCAATCCAGTCCTCCCCGTCCGACCACTCGCCCACGTGGCCCTCGGTTCTGCACCAGTTCCAGACCTTGTCCCGCATCCTTTTCGCCTTGATGAGTTTTCCCAACACGGCCTCGTAGCCGCGCACGCTCTCCTCTTGTTTTTGGATGTACATCATCAGAAGACGGCGAGTCTCCATCAGTTCGTCAACGGGAAGGCCGAGACGCGCTAGACTCCGTGGTGGCCGGTGGTTTGCTGCGAGGACGGGAGGAAGAAGGAATAACGGGTCAGGTTGAAGGAGGGACGAGTCTATGGATGAAACCGTTGACTCTGGGGAGAGGGGAGGAGTCGGCGCGGTCGAGCTGTTGTGCTCAGCGGCCAGGGCTCGAGTAATCCTTCGTGTGGGTTTCGGCTGACTCTCGTCTTCGGACGCTGCATCACCTTCCTGCTCCGGTTGTCGCTCTTGGCCATCCACTTCCACAGTTATGGATGCATCTTGTTCTTTCCCTGCCTCAATCTCGGCGGTCTCGTCTTTCGAAGCTGGTCCATCCTCTCCTTTATGTACTCCGTTCGTTTTTGGATGTTCGGGCTGATCACCGGCTACTTCTTTGGCAGACTGCTCGACTGTTATCTCAGGGAGCGGCCTCGACTTGCCGGCCTTTGCAGCTTGATCCCTGTCATCCGTGTTCGGGCTGGTCTCTGGCACACTTGCCACAGAATTGGACACATTCTCGTCCTTTCCACCATTTGCGTAATTGTGTCCATTCACTCCGTTCTGAGAGCTTTCGTTCTCGAAGCCGCGCTTCCTTTTCTTTCCCGCGTGCTGTGTAGGTAGTTCGGGTTTGGGATCGAAGAGATCCCAATCATCCACACCCTCAGTAGTCTCGAGTGGCATCCACGGCTCGTCTCCCATGAATTGTCTGTTCAGATTTTTGGCCCGCCAGAGATTGGATCTTTCCAGACGCAGTTTCTCTTCGGTAGATTTGATCATGTCAGGAAGGGCGCGGTCGGTAAAGGGTAAAGACAGCGTAGGGTGGCTCGAGAGCTCCGAGGGGTGTTTTAAGGGACATAACAGCTCTGGCACGTAGCATTAGCCATCGTTTTCACAATGAGAACGCAGCTGGGGACATACCTTCGAGTCGGATGCCGGCGTAAGCATTTTCTTCTTCAGCGTCTGCATCCGCCTCGGCGTCACTTTCGCTATCTTCCAGTTCGTCGCCAAACTCGTTGTATCTCCTTGGGTTGCGTTGCAGGATGTATCGCGTGTAGCCAGCATGTTCTATTTTCTGTGCGCGGAGTGAGCTCCTGGAGCCTCCCATACACCCCACCAAAAGCTCGAATCTACACTTACTTGTTTGTGACCGTCTTGGCCGTGTGGATAGGGCAGAGCGCCAGCGTGAATATAGTTTGCACCCCTTGCTAGTTTATGGCCTCTGTTCGTGGCCGCAGAGGTGACTTGGTCCGTGGGACCTAGTTGTTGAAGGAGGATTAGCTCCACATTTCGCAGCGAGCATGCCTTGAGGAGTGAGGAGGTTATTTACCATCTCTTTCGCGCCGCAGGGTTCTTTTAAGCGCTGCGATCGTCTCTGCAATTTCCACATGTTGAGGAGGCATGTTGGCGGTCGAGAGAGGGTGAAGGGGAAGCGACCGTGAAGGACGCAGTTGACAGGACCAGCGCAGGCGGTCGGTTGCGGTGTCGCGAGGGTGGAGAGGATGAAAGCAAATATCTAGAAGCAGAGCGACGATCGATTAACACTCGGCATAATGAGCGTCCTATTATGGGTTTGACTTTGGAAGAATGAGTCGCATAGACCACGAAGGAGGCTCGCAGGTCGACTTTCAAACTTGACCATCCCTCACTCCTCATCCGTTGCCCACCCTGCAGCCAATCACCATATGCGCCCTGAACTGAAGCTGCGGCAAACCTGCCCGAAAAGCGTCCCTCAGGGTTCACGGGGGTTTCCCAACTTATGACGCAATGATGCCAGCAAAGCAACATCGAGTCTTTGTGTACAAGTCCTTGCTGTACTTGAGGCAGCCGTCCATGACATGACGGTCACAGGAGCTCCCGCAAGATACTTGTAACCATCCAAGTCTTTTGAGTATCTATCATTCTTTCCCCCATGCACGTCTCGTCCTTTTACGCCTTTTTCCGTTCCTTCTGCTTCGTCATTGAGCGAGTTACGGGCCTCGCATCCTTTTTCGCGTAGATTTCCGCAGTGAAGGGACTGGGACACGTCAGTGGTCGTATGTGCAAAGCATAGATGGTGTCTCACTCTTCAAATCGCAAGGCACCGAGATACATCACAAACACCTCCAATGTCAGGAGCACACCGGCTGTCCGACCATAGTACAAAGCGGTGCCCAAGAACGAAAGCGTGCTGCCCCAGTACATTGGTGCGCCGGTGACGTTGAAGGGAAATCCTTCAACCTTTTCGTCCATTAAGATGCCAAAGTAGTCGCCCAAGTACGTCCCAGTGACCCCCAGTGCGTACATGCTGGAAAGGACGAGGACATTGCCAGTGAGAAAGAGGGCCACTCCGATTTCCGGCTGATGTAATGGGGGATAGATTGGCTGCTGCTCCAGCGCGGTCTTATAGAGAGAGTCTCGAATGACCCCGATGGCGAAGATGGTCACTGCCAGAGCGTAGCAGCCATAATAAGGTGAGCCAAACGCCTTGGTCAAAAAGTGAGTTTTGTGCTCTATTCCAGTCAGTCTAGGGCTGCCGTCTGAAGGAAAAATTTTACCTTGGCGGGCGACGATACTTTTGCGGTCAGTTTCTGAATGTACAAACACTGGAGTACTCTGCACTTACTTCCAGAAGATTGGATTGAACGCAATGGCCGCCGCCGCAACTTCAGTACTCAGTCAGTCCGTGTCCCATAGGCACCAGCCATTGACCTCGAGCCTTACCGTAGAGAGACGGCTGAGATGCGTCAATGAAACCAAGCTTCTCTTTCCCCGTTAGACCGGCAAAGATGTTCTGGATCTTCTCCATATTTGCGCCGATATGACCGAGCTCTTCTCTGTCGAAAGCGCTTTTATCGGAGAGACGTGCAGGCAACTGAAAACCTCCAAGTGAAAAGGAGGAAACACGCGAACCTGAATCGAGACGAAAGATATTGCTTGGCACAGATATGACGTGATACCATCTACAAATCCATTGCTGAAGTTCCCCATCCATGCAATCTTCGAAGCCCTGTTGCCCTACCGAGTACGAGGTACACATACCTATCTCTGTTCTTTCGAAAAAGCTATCCACAGAAACGAATTTAATTGCAAGCAACTTTCTTCGCCTTCTAGAGAAGCATGGAGTCCACCCAGCCGCATCACCACTTGCTGGGGTATCTTTGAAGCCCATCAGTGAAGGAGAGCTTTCTAGCGCTCCATTTCAAGCACCTCTGAAGCGGCCATATTGACTGCCAAAAAAGCAGGCTACTTAGACCTTGACGAGCACATTTCCCTTCTTGTCCACCTTGACCCCGCTGCCCCCTGCTAAGACCCTCAATGTCTGTCCAAAATATGCATCGACCACATTCATATGCACTGCGATCCACTCATCCTTCTTATTGGGCAGTATCCGATAGTTTAACGTCTGCCTGCTGATGGGGACTAAGCTGATCGCGCACGCTTTCGACCCACTGAACGCAAAGTCTTCGCTCGCTTCCATGGACACATTGAACGTAAGATAATGCATGCTCGGATTCTCGATCGTGAAAGACAACTTGTACGCCTCAATGTTCAGTGGTCCGAGACTAGTCGAGGAAACAGTGAGCATGACTCTTGGCTCGGCCATCGGCGCCACGAGTCGAGGCACTTCAAGAAGTGTTGTGCTGACTTCCTCTGAATCTTGTCGACGCCAGCCGATTTCCAATGCGAGTTCGACGGCCACAGTATGCCGGTCGCCAAGTACCAGTTTCTGGAGCGTGAGATCAAAGTCGAACGTCTCCGTGTGATCCGGTTTAATCACTGTCGAAATGGTTGCATCGGAGTCTTTGGTTGCAGCGCCTGTCTCCGCCGTTTTCCTCACAATGCCAGTGCTCGCTGAGCAGACCGCGCCCCCTACGATTTTTGTGGCTGTGAGCAATATGGCTTCAATGACTAGAGGCTCCGCGGCGAAGGAGTAGAGACTCGCTCCAACGGAGTATAGATGCCTCAAGCCCAGAGGGGTCAAAGAATCCGAGTGCTGTGGGGGGGCTTCGAAGAAGTTCGGCCAAGGTTCCTTGTCCAGTTGGGGGATGAAGTCGTAATTTGCTTCAAAGGGGCGGATGACTCCGACGTCGACAGTCAGGGTTTTGGTAAGGATCGTTTCCGGTTCGGAGTTGAGTCGGTATGTCGCGAGAAGCTCAACTTCGTGATCGACCGCGGCAGCTGTATCTGTTATGCGGAGTGACACAACGGCCTTTTCTGATGATGGAATTGTTCCAAGTTCACGATGTTCCAACGTCAGCAATCCGGGTCCTGATGCAGCCGCTGGAGCGGTCTTCAATCCTGTCCCAACCCACATCATCTGCGCCGCGCCCTCGACTGGGCTGATCATGCGGGCATCGAGCGACGCAATTGCATCTTCCGCTTCTTCGTTCAAAATCTCAAACACTATTGTTATTGATTCGTTTGTGTAGTATGATCGTCTGAGGCCGGGAGCTTCAATCTTCAGTTTTGGTGGTTTGGGCTGCACGTTGATCTTGTTGAAGGCATTCGACTCTTGCCCAAGTGATCGAGGCATGGGTGTACCGGCTTTCGATTCCCACCACTGGCCTATCGAGTGTGAAAAGTCGGTCGACGTCGCGGCAAAGTTGAGAGTCTCGTCATTGATCATCAGTGTAATGGATGCAACGGAGATTTCCCCGGCTTCTCTAGGTATAACACGTAGCCGGAATATCTTGGTGTGGTCTGGCGGTATCGTTAGATCAGCGCTGCTTATCTGTGCCGCAATAGCGCCTGCAGAAGATCTTCTTATAGATGATAGAGACATGGTCGAGGAATCATCCAAGCGGACGTCTATGAATTGGGCAGTCGGGGTGGCGGCGCTGCTATCTTCCCCTTCCTTTGCAACCAGATGAACAGGTTTTAGACTGCCTTCGAAGACAACCTTGATCTCCGATAGGCGGATGGCAGGTAGACCAATCTGCGCTCGAGACTGTATGCAGAGTTGACACTCCACAGGCTCTCCAACAAACACATCGTGCGTTGAGAAAGAAAACGTTGCAACCAACGGAGAAAGAGCTTCATCAATGCCCACCGCGACAGACAGCACCCCGTCATTGTTGCTGGACGGTATGATCCCTCGGCGGAGATCGTAGTTAGTGTTCGGCTTCTGGCGAAATACTTGATTAGATAGCTCCCAGATCAGCTGAGCTAGCAACTCGCCATCTTGAACATGAGCGAGACAATCAAGGAGAGCCCAACCAAGGCCTTGAAGCAACTTCCACCACCCAGCATGTCTCCAGTATTGGTTATGCCACAACTGTCGTAACGTGGTGACTGCTTCTGCCCACGATTCTGCCTGGATTTGCTGAAATGCTTTCTGGAGCTCTAGAGCCTCAATTTTGCGCAGTTGGCCTCGCTTTGCGAAATGACTGATGGCCGCATCCAACGTCGAGATGATCTCACCCACATAATCATACCCTGGGCTTCCATCTGCGGGAAATTCACGGTATGGCTCAAGCGCAAGATAGGTATCGTAAAGATGAGCCTTGCTGGCAACCATGGAAGCCGGTGAACGACCTGGAGACTGCCTATCTTCCTCTGGGATTTGCAGGGCCCAGTTTCGGCGCGCATGAATGCATCTCTTTGCAATTTCCAACCAATATCCCTCATGATGAAGCTGTTCCCAGGGGGCAATACGCTCGCCCGTAGAAAGTGACTTGTCCACATCAGCGAAAATAGGAAGCAGGCCAGGCGTGTTGGGGAGCTCTAAATGTAACAGAGGATATTCCGACCGAGACACCAGATCCGCCATGATTTTTGCCCAGGCAGTCTGCCACGCTTCCCAGCTGTAGTTATTTGTTCCCTTACCTCTTCGATCGACCAGATCTCTGATTCGGTCTCGGTGGGCAACCCATGACCTCACCGCTGTCGTAACTTGATCAGTCCACAAGAGACATCTGATGGTGCGAAAAGCAATGCCATCCGCCAGCAGCCTTGCCTCGTTGAAACGCGGGCTCCAAACGGCGATAGCATCTATGATTTCAGCAGCAAACAGATTATCATAAGCAGTCTCATAGTTCCGACACGCCGCGTCCATCTCTTGCCGGAATTCGGCGAAGACGCCGAGCTTGAATTCATATCGGACATTCCAACCTTGTAAAGACAGTATATGCGAGCTTCCCGGCTGTACAGTGGGTTGCGGGGCCGCGCTCCGATTACGCTTGCGTCGTGCATGCTTCGAAAGGTCTCGGTAATATTCTACACAAATAGGATGAAGAGATGAAAGGACAGAACTGACAAATGCAGTGACTTCTGCAGGCGAGGAGTTATGGGCGAGGAAATAGATGCTTTTCCCGTCCAGGCCGGTCGCACGTCGAATGGTGCTAAAGCGCTCTTCGAGATCGGAAGGGCTAATTATGCCATCTCCAAGTAATATCACCACAAGTCTGGTCTTGTAATTGGCCGACGTAAGGACACTGCGCACATTGTTGATCTCGGACTTCAATTTATTGTCATGAAGAGAACTGGTGTTGGGGTCGGAGCCTAGAGTAAAGATGGTCAAGAGGGCGCAAGGCAGTCGTGACTGGTGCTTCGTGATCCACAGGGGAGAGATGATGCCATCAGGGTACAAGGGAGAGCTGGGAGTCAAGGGCGATAGCGGAGAGTGCAGCACAAGTGCTGGCGGTGGGCTTCCATTCGCATCGACAGCTGACAGACGGGGAGAATGGGGAGGGGGCGGTGCTTTGCGAGGAGGGAGAGTGTAGACCTGCACCATGTGTCAGCGTCGCAATCTGGTAGGAAAGAGTTCATGGTAAGAGGAGCGCTGACCTACCCGTCCGACCTTGACTATCTTGAAAATCCTGCCATTCCTCGCGGTAGAATATTGAGAGTGCCACGGAACATCAGAGGCATCTTGTTCGCAGAACGATTGCAGCAACTGCTCGGCGAGAGGTCCGCTGACAACTGGCGCATCCACCTTGATTCTAAATCCACCTTCGTGCAAAAATTCATGGGTCTTTCCCAAGGCGTCTGGCTCGCTCGGGCTTCTCGTATTCAACCCTGAGAGGAGCAGTAAAGGCAGGTTATGAAGGACGTAGTCTTGCGGGAAACGGTCCATGATGCTCGGACATCTTGCGTTCTGACGGTAGTCAGATGCCTATCACAGAGAAAGCCTCTCTATCTCGCGCTGGTGTACGATGGAAGGCAACGGCTCAAGGAATAAGGTCGTCAGCGTGTAAAATCGATCTTCAATTGATGTTGGAAGAATGGGAGTGAGATGGATCACTGCATGGGAACCAGCTCGCCAGCTCGCCAGACAGTCTGCGCCCGCGGCACTTTCCTAATTGGGAGCAGCTCGCCATGATGATCCTCACCCATGCCACGAACCTCATCATGCGACCCGAGATCTCTCTGGCTCTCCTCGAATAACATCAATGGTGTTTCTCTCTATTATCGGAAGTTGCAAGGATTCCCTTCCCGTCATCTTGAGAATCAATTCTCCTTTGGCGGGTTGGTGGCGACTCTGTTATTCCCACGTTGGTTGTTCTAGTCATGACCCGACGTGCTACCGAGCGCTCAACCAATGCTCTTGACAATGCTGCAGGTTCAACTAAGCATCTAGACTACCAGGTATTTCACGACTGACCCGGACGAGCTCAAACGAGCTCACACCGTTACGTATACGTGGGCAGTCCCTTTGGATACCTCCTGCGGATGTGGCACATCATCGGCCCTGGCGGCAACCTCGAGGCTGAATCTGCATGTGTCTTATCCTGACGCCCAAAATTTGGAGACGGATCTTGCAATCGGGCATTGCACATTGCCATCGACTTGGACGCTTCACATTGAGGGCTTCTTCATGTGCTCCGTGGTTGGCACTTAGATGTGCATGTGGCCCTTTTCGTGCTGATGATAGCGTGGACCCAGCATTTGCCTGACTGATATAAGTTTGATGTATAAGATACGTCTCGGACATCGCCTTTCATTTGCAACCCGATGTGTTCGACGGAGTCAAGGGCAGCTTCCAGATTGGGTATTTATCTCTTTTGTCACGGCCCGCAGAGCTAGCATTCCGCCCCAGCTCCACGGATAGGTTTCTTCCAATAATGCAGCACGCTGACACCCCCCCACTTGTTTGTCACGACGCGCCATGCGAAGCACAGATCGTGCCCTGTCACTTCCACCTCATCGACACCCTGCTATTGCCGCTCTTCGGCCGCTGTTCGCTTACCAAGCCATGCGAGGGACGGTAGACTCAGCTGGGCTCTTTACTGGCCTCCTCGCCTTTCAGGGTAAAGCCAAAGAGGCGAAACCTGCGGATTCCTGTTACGACTCCCGAGGGAGTGGATGCACAACAGCACCGTCTGCATCTGGAAGGCGCACAGGGCGGCAAGACGGCAATGCGCCATCTCGGCTGGACCAGCGTTGTCTGTCTGGCCCCAGCGCCAGTTCCATGCACTACCTGCATTCTAATCTGACGAGGACCAGAGCTCGAGCTCCATCGGGCGTGGTCTGCGGGACCTAAATGCACGGGGATACACGATGAAGTCGTGTCGACGTCTGCGTACACTGCTAGGACGGATGCCGAGGTGACGGGACGTTCGACAAACATAGCCTGGTGCCAGGGCATTTCCTCCTAGGAATATCCCGTCAAAGACAGCAACCCGAATACCCAATAAGTGCACTTTGGCCGGTGGAATTATTCAGCCGGACAATGCAGGGTGCAGCATCACCAGGCTTCCTAAATCAGTAGGTGCTCTGTGGGCTAAGCCTTGGACGCTGGCCCGACTCCACCTGGTAGGAATATACGAAGTTCGAGAAAACCAATCGAATGGGATCTGGCTACCCACCTCTTCCGTTTTGCCGGCGGCGAGTCAGATCCATCGAGATCCAGAGCCTCGTCAGACTGTCCTTGTTTGGGGCGAGAGTTTCAGCTTATGGCAACCGCATCAGGTCCAACTCGGCAGGTGGTGTGATGTGCGCCAACCAGACCCTCCCTCACACGAGCGTCTCTGTTCTCGGTGTCATGGTCAAGGCCCGCTCTTGATTGGCGCATGGCATCCCCCTTCACGTAAAGATTTTCATTTATTCCGAGAAGCGAAACCGGGGCCCCTGGCACTGCGAACGAGCTGGCAGGAGAGCCAAGAAGGGTGGGCCGGTTAGTCACAAATTATTCAGCTGGATGATCCGAGTCCAAACTGGATCTGGGCTATCACCAAAGCTGCCGGCTGATGGACGGCGACAAGCTAGGCTCTTTCCTCTCCGTTTCGCTCATCCCAAGGTGAGCAGGAAGTCCCCGCCATGCTGAATGTCTCCGAGTCGTCTGTTCTGAGTAAGGTTTTCGAACGAAGCCCGTTCTGGTACTGTGGTTGAAGCTTTCCGGCAATCGCTGCTGTTTGGCACCGAGCTATCCGACTGAACAAAAAGGCCCCGACTCCTCACTGGAGACTCAACGTTTCTGGTCCAGACCAGCTTCCCCCCTTTTGACTGTGTCAGATTCGCCCTTCGACGAGCTCGAAAAGGCTGGGTCGGATGTGTGTGCCTCGTGGTCCAGAGGTGTTACCGACAAATGCCTCCCCGGGAGGACGGGGCACCCAAATCTTTTACCTGGATTACAGGCGATCCACGCAGCAAGCAGAACATCACACAGATTCGCCGACATGCGGGGCAGAATTCCGGGGTCAAAGCTGAGAACAGCGCTAGAGCTCGCTCGAGCTCCTCGCCTAAACCAGGAGGACATCGAAGCTCTGTAAAGGCCTTTAGAGCTGTGCAGCCTTCTTCCAAGACTGACGAGACGACCGACAAGTCTTTCAACACCTACGGCGATGCGGGCAATCCACTTCATGTGAATTACCCTTCCGGCGCCGCGGAGAATGCCGCCGTTCCCTCGCCTGCCTCTACGAATGAACCGGTCAATGTCTATCAGCCATTCTACCCCGTGCCGTCAATCTTGAGGGAAGCCAGTTCGTCGAGCGAAGAAGCTCCTCCGACACGAAAGGTTGCTATCTGGGACCTGGTCAATCACTCGGCCGAGGAAGAAGAGAGGCATAGACTGGAGCTAATGGCTTCGACTCCCGGGCAAGACACCGACGATGGCCGTCACGACTATTTCGGCAACCACATAGACCATGCAGAACTCAAGCAAGCATTGAGCGAGGTACGGGCACATTCACCGCGAAATGCTCGAAAAGAATCTCCCGCTCCAGCCACCATAGCCCTGCAAGCCAACATTTCAAAGCGACGAAGACCAGATGCCCAGGCAGGTTCCTCAAACGCATCATGGCGCATCGGTATGGCGCCCTCCGCCGTCATGACTCTGTCCAAGGAAGACTCACAGATCGAGCAGATTCTCATCCAAACCAGCACCTTCTACACAAGCAAGTTCGAGTCATCGTGGTTCAGACAAGTACATGAAAGCCGTTGTTCCCTCGACACGGGGAGCGTCGAAAACTTCAGCGGCTCCATCACCACGGCCGCCGGATTACTGGCCATCGGAAGGATCGATTCGGCTTCCTCGATACTCAGCCGCGTCCTCCCTACTCTTTCGGACCTCTTGATCCTACAACCCCCAAAGCTCTACTACGTCCTCGCCGAACTTAGCCTCGACGCCTCGAGCAACGAACTAGGACGCCTACGCAGCCAAGTGAAGAGGTTCGCCGCCGCCGCATCTCTCACAATCCTCGGCGCTTCCCACCCGATCACAATGCTTCTTCAACTCACCCTCACGAACGCCGACCAGCGTCTCCGCCTCCGCGAACTGATTCAGCGAAAGATCCACGAGCTGCACGAACAACTCTTCAGCGCCACCTCCAACGAGACAACCGGGCATTACTGGTACCTCGCGCGTGTGCTCGCCCAGTTGGGCCGCCTCGATGAAGCAGCTCGCATTCTGACGCAGATCATCCCCATCTGGGAAAATACCCATGGGATAAACAGCCTCTTGCCTGTGACGGGTCTCCTCGAACTCACCAAGGTCCATCTCGCGTTGAAAAACACCTCCAAGGGCACGGAATCGTTCGTCTCCGATGCTCTGCGCCGCACATTGGCCATCGAAAAGGCCGCAGAGCACCAGCCGTCCTCTCAGCTGGCGGAACTGGTGCACTCGAGGATGGGCTGTCTGAGGACGTTGGGCCGGCTGCATGTCATGAGGGGCAACGTGGAGACGGCGATGATGCAGTATACCGCGGCGGTGGGTGTGGGCGTTGCGGAGCTGGGAGCCGCCGTGCCCGCCGTGCAACTCGCCGTGGCGGATTTGGACACCGTAACTCGCATGGCTGTGCATCCGGACGACGCCGAAGGACCCCAGGACGATGCGGATCGGGCGACGCTGCCACCAACAGTGAGGCTGGGGCCGGATATAAGGGAAACGGCGAGGTTGAATCTCATGGCTTTGAATAATCCTGGTGGTCAACAGCGCGCATAGCATAGCATAGCATTGCAAGCCATGCTCGGGGGTTATGGAGCCGTTTGGATGGGTTGATTTGCGGGGGTGAATTCAATCATGAAAACTATTACTAGGGTCTAGAGGAGCGCAGCGCTGCAGTTTAATAATATACCACGACGACGATACGAGTAATGATGGCTTCGCAAACACCCACCCATCCCGTCTTTTTGTTGCAAAACTATACCAATCAATGTTTTATACGTAAGAAGTGAATCCAATAAAAGGGGCGTCTTGGGCGGTCTTCGACAATCTTCTCATATTTTCGGAATTTTATTTGTTTCTGTAGATCTAGGTCTTGTGTTGTTCCATTTTACTTGCTTTCTAGTGGGGGTATTATATATCCATACATCCAGTCCATCCATTCCACTTTCCACAGGGTCAAGGGGGCTTTATCTTGCCTTGTCGGTAGTTTTCTTCCTCCTGTCCCTCTCCTTCTTCTCTAGATTCTGGATATACGCCTCGGCGGCAATGCCGCCAAAGACCAAGCCGATGCCCATCCACTGGCCTTTGGTTAGGGAATGACCGAACCACATGACGCTGAGCAGCATGGTGAACATTTTCCTCGTCACTGTCACCGTGACGAGGAGCAAGGAGGAGAACCTCTCGAGAGTGGCATAGATGAAGAGTTGGCCGACGGCGCCGCAGAGGCAGAAGAGCAGGACGTCCTTGAGCACGGGCGGGTGGCGCTGGAAGAAGGAGATGGCTTGGGAGAGCTCGTGGGTGTCGGCGCGCACGAACTGTGGGATGAAGGTCGAGGGGATGTATGGCGTTGCAACGAGGTATGCGCCCATCAGGATCGCGCCGAGCAGGTTCAAGATGACCATCATCTGCGGACCGGATGTCTTGCCGTAGCGGGTTGGGGACTGGAAGATGTGGTCTTGGACGGTGTTGGTCAGCCCGTCAAACAACAGATTGATCCCCAGCAGCGTCATGCCGTAGAGACTCGAGTTCTGGGTCGACTTTGATGACTTGCCGGGTTTCGGAGGGTGGTATAGGGTAAACACCGCGACGCCACTGGTCACAGCCAGCACAATCATGTATTTTGACAGGGGGTATCGTTTGCGGAACAGGGCGACGTGCAGCGCCATGACGGGCAGTAGCTTGCACGATTTTGCCAGGACAAATGTGAGGTAGTCGACGTGGGCCAGCGAGGCGTAGCCAAAGGGAGAGGCGAGGGTCGTCGTCAGCGTGACCAGCATCAGCGGCAGGAGAGAGGAGGACGAGGGGAGAATGCGGAAACGTCCGGTCGTGTAGGAGAGGTACAGGCTCCCGCTCGTGAAAGCGAGCAAGGCCTGGATTGTGTTGAGAACGATGGGGAAGCGGAAGTATTCTTGTTGCGCCTGCGCAGCGGAGGCAGAAGTGAGCGGGTACGGGGTGGTGGTGATGCGTTCTTGCAGCACGCCCCAGGTCAGAAACGAGGCATAGATGCCGCCAACGCAGATGAGAAGGGTCAGAAACCCCGGGTGCGACGGCTGTGTCTGAGATCGGTGTTGAATCTGTGAGGTGGGCTTTCTAGAAGGGGACGAGACATGGCCGTTGCTGTAGACGGCAGGCTGTTCGGGGGCTTCTGAAGGAGCCTGCATGACCTCTCCAGAGTTGATGCGCTGCATTGGGGTGATTTGTTTGCGACGCGCCATTGCTGAGCATGACAGGAAAAAGAGAAAAGAAAAGGAATGACTAAAGTGAGTGAGGGTTCCCAGGGAAAAAGGGCCGAAGGATGTATTCAACCGCGACCAAGATGGAAGTGATATTGTTGTAACGTGGCGTCTCAGTGGCTCGTCCCTAAAGATGCTTACCCCTGGCGGCCATGACCTCGGTAGTGAGTGCTAATAATAATCTACTCAGCCTTGCCAGCCCTGCTAGTGGCCTGCAGAGAGGCTTAATACCAGTCCGCAGTACGAGGTACTTTAAAGCCATGAAGTTATAGTAACATTGTCATGTCGGCGGTCTTGCAGTATCTTGGTGTTGGGGTCTCCAGAACGGGAGCCAAAACAACCTGGCTGCATTGGGTACATAGGTACATTATTAACGGACTGAGCAAAAACAGATTGACTCTTGCATTGCGCAGTCATGGCTCTTTCTCAACATCGAGCGGATATGCTAAGTCTGCTGCATTTGTACATGACTATATACCTCCACTGTGCTGTGGAGCTCGCAAGTCACTATGTGGAGGGAGGTGATGATATCTGAGATCGGACGTAACGACGCTCAATTTCAAAGGGCTTTTCTCAGCGAAGGCAAAACAGTCTCAGCCTCGCGAAACCCCTTGCAGAACCCAGCCTTGTCACGTACAAGCAACCAGTGCGTCCCCCACCAAAGTCGAGCTGGAGCATGAATTTCTAAGATCCATTCCTGAGCGTCCATTGCTAATCGTCTTCATCATCGCTGCCAAAAATGGCTTTGAATACGGCTTGCCCGGGTCTTTCCTGCTCGAGGGCCTCGTTTCTGTCTGGGTCGAGCGGAGCAGGCTGATTCTGTACCATTGCTGGAATCGACGGTTGATCCATTCGATTTTCGGCTTGGCTTTGGCTCACTTCGGATCCTTCCTCATGTTGGAATCCTGCAGATGCGAAGGACCGAAACTGCGGCACTGCGAAGCTAGGCTCGCCAGAGGTTGAGGCGGTTCCACCTCCATCCCTACCTTCTCCAGAGCCTGCGTGAGTCGGCATCGGTACATTGAATCTTTTACAGAGCAGCCTGGTAGGGTAGAAGTTGACGATAGACCTAGTCATGGGACCAAACATCCCTAACTTGGCAGCCGATTCTGCAGGATCTTCGGGCTTCGCCTTTGGCTTGGTCAGCAACGAGTCAGTGGTCAAGTCGCCCGATTTGCCATCTTCACCTGTCGGAGAAGATGATGAAGTCGTGAAGCGCGTGGCCATCAGGCCGCTGATAGGCTTAAACACCTCCGCCGCTCGTGTGAACTCTTGCATCTCCAGAATCCAGTCCTCCTGCCTCATCTTCTCGGCGCGAGGAGGCACCTCATCGGCTGCCCTGAGACCAGCTTGAATCTCGAGATAAGTTCGATATCTCAATCTCTTGTGTTCATCCTCTGCATATGGCATCCAACCACCAGCCGCACGACTCAGTGCCTGAAGCGCTACATCTTGGTCAAGGTGGGGTACCATAGTCCGTAACTCCTTTGTTTTCGATTCGGACGGCTGATGACTGTCTGGAGGTGGTTCGCTCCCAGCTGCAGGAAGGTTTTGGCGACCTGATGCAGCTGCCATGCGATCACGAGCGGCAGGTGTTAAAAAGTCAAACACCGACTTTCCCGGAAGTAGTGATTCTCCCAAAAGCGATGCACGGGATTTGGCGGTGAGATTAGATGATTTGGCTGCCTCTGCTGTCGAGACAAATGTGGAGGCAGTGTCTGGTTCCGTCTCCGGCGAAATGGATGACTTCCAGCCTTCAGGAACCTCAGGTGGTTTGTATTTCTCATCCTGTATAGTCATTGAGCCCAGAGAATCGAGTTCATCCGTCAGAACAAACCCGTCGAGCGGCAACCGGCCATCATGACATTTTCTCAGAACTGCCTTCAAGGTTGCCAGTTTTCTGGAAATAAATGCGGGTTTGGTCTTCACCAGAGGGTTTGCAGCGCTTCCTGTACTCTTTGATTTTGACTTTGGCATCTTTTCACCCCCAATAACCTTGTGATATGATATCTTAGGGCCCATAGAGTACGGGTCTTCATCATCAGAGCCATCGTCATTCAGGACTCCAACACCAAATCCCGTTCTTTTCCTTGCACGCCCTGGCTTCTTCTTGAGACCGAACAGCGGTGCAGTTCCCTCCTCCTCGGAAGGTTGGTCGGCGGACCCAGGTCGGGGATTCATCGTTGTGATGCTTCGAGTTGCTGGCAGGTCTTGGCCCTGCAACTCTCCGTCATATCCCAGGCCTTTACGGTCTGTCTTCCGCGTGTATGATACCAGCTGGACATCGTCTGGTGCAAAAAGATGTGTCTGCGCCGGCTGATCGTCATTGTCGTCCTCCTCATCATTCTCGCCAGCTTTTGCTGCTCGCCGAACTCGAGGGCCAATGCCTTGACCTTCCCTCCAGCCCATTCGCTTGAGCAATTTTGAGCCAATAGTCTCATCCAGTGGTCGAAAAATGTCAATAGCAGCAGTTTTTCGCATAGCATCGTGCTCCGTGCCAAATCCTGCAAATTCTGACGAGGTATTCAGTGTGCGCAATTCTTCTGCCTCACGAAGATCTTCCTCATCCATGAAATCCTCTGGCCTTTGCTGTGGCACATTCTGCGCAGCCTTTGCACGGTTCTGTCTAGAAGAGACAAAGGAAGAAGGAGACCAGCCTTCTTTAGACCCTACGGTATTGAAGTATCTGCATCCGCCACTTTAGCCATTGTGCTCTTGCAATCATTGCTCCGAGTGCTCACCCGGCGCTGAAGCCTCCTGTGAAGGCGCCGTGCAAGCGTTTCCGCCCTCTTTCATCTGTGACTTCCTGCTTCCACACTGGCACAAAAGACCCATCATCTCGGACATTTTCATCTAGAGGAGGCAAGGGCGTCCCGTACAGAACGAAAGGTGAGGACTGTTTTTGGAGATCGGCTTCAAAGGCTTGCCGCGATCGCTTGGAGGCCATGTTTGGAGCAGCGTCAGACTCACATTGTCGAGAAGGCGCATTGGAAAGGAACAGATTGTGGGTCTACGGGCATAAATCCATTAAAGAAAACCTGTCTGTGGCTTGGTGAGCTTGTGCAATTAATTGTCCACGAGTTTTTGTTACCCGGTGATGTAAGATGATGGCGTTGACCGTATCTTGTCTGGCAGAACGAAAAGAGGGCATTGATCACTGGCAGTTGGCGGTCAGACGACTCTTGGTTCTAGGCTGCCTACGCGTCGAGATCCTGAGGGCTGGGTTTAGGTCTGATGCGGGCACCGATCCCGAACATCTGATTAAATCCCGCGTCCACTAATCACATCACCGGGTGAGCTCTAGGTGAGCTCTAAGCACCCAATCGAAGCCGACCGCCAACCAGTACCTGTTGTACCAGCCATTACTGTTGGCCTTGTGTGCCTTGTAGAGTGCTACTAGGTATGGAAAGCCTGGAAGTCTCACGGAAGCGTTAAATCCCCCTCTCATGCGTGTTTTGTCAGGTTCTGTGCACCGTGCTTTTGCCTGCGCTCATCAAGCAAACGTTCACAACGTGAATCCAACCTCAACCCCGGCATCTGGACGACTTGAAACAGAGCATTGGTGCCCATCGTCTCGCCTCAGGTCATCAATCTCGTTTGGTCCGCCGCCACGATATCCTCCAACAGTCTCCTCGCCCGCAATCTGCGTTGGACCTGAAAGAGCTGCGGTCATCTTACTACCTGCTCTGCCCGCCTTCGACCGCACACGAGAACCCGATGATACTACTAGTCGGGCCATCTCCTCCTTGCAGTCATCTCTCTGAGCGTTGTCTTGAGAGACTAAGCATTTTCAAGCCATAGCCGACCATACAGACCGGACACTGAATCGAGCAACACCCGAACAAAGCCTTGTGGCTGCAAAGCCCAAGGACTCCAGGGGGTTTGACAGTGCTTGCCGTCCGTGCGTCTTATACTGGCGTTGGTCTTTGAATTCCTACCGCAACCGTGACAGTCGATCTGGCCTCCGATTAAACAACCGAACAGTCTGAACGGCAGCTGAATCGTCCACCGCCGTGAACAAGATGGCCACGACTGCATCGCAACAGTCGCCTTCGTTAGTGCGCAGTCACTCGGCCTCCCGCAACCCTCCTTCTTCATATGCTACCACCTCGCCCTCGCAACCTACAAGGACGCGTTCCACAAACACCAGACCCTCAAATCACACCCGCTCTGCATCCCGAACCCACGAAAACCCGCCTCAATCCAATCCCACCGCCCTCGCGAATGTCGCTCGCAGAGATTTCGAACAATCAAATGTCGCTCGGACAACCTCCTCTCGTCGCAGCACTTCTCGAGATGGGAGAGGGGAATATCCTTCGGAGCCGCCCGCTCACGGGCGTTCCTCCTCCCGACCTGGATCTCGACGGAACAGTCAAGATCTAACCGCACCTACGGCAGTAATTGCCAACGGAACAACCTCACAGCCCCCGCCTAGTACAGCCTCAAGAACCGAGACTCACGCCTCGCAAGCCTATCCCACAATCGGTCGGAGGCGAACATCTATAACATGCCAGACAGGGACTTGGTCACTAGGGAAAACAATTGGTCAGGGCAGCATGGGGAAGGTCAAGCTTGCAAGGAACGTTGAGAGTGGAGAGCAAGCAGCCATCAAGATTGTCCCACGCCAAGCGGCTGACGAGCAAGGGAATCCGAAAGATGAGCGCGCGGATCGGTCGAAAGAAATCCGAACTGCAAGAGAGGCGGCCATGGTGTCATTACTGTCTCACCCGTACATTTGTGGAATGATCGATGTCCAGAGGACCAACTATCACTGGTACATGCTTTTTGAGTATGTAAATGGTGGCCAGATGCTGGATTATATTATCGCTCATGGCAGGCTGAAAGAGAAGCAAGCGCGGAAGTTTGCTCGACAGATTGCAAGCGCGCTGGACTACTGCCATCGAAACAGCATCGTCCATCGGGATCTCAAGATCGAGAACATCCTGATCAGCAAGACTGGGGATATCAAGATCATTGACTTTGGCCTCAGCAACCTTTATTCGCCTCGTTCGCTTCTGAAAACATTTTGCGGGAGTCTTTATTTCGCGGCACCAGAATTGTTGCAAGCCCGACAGTACACCGGCCCTGAGGTTGATGTATGGAGTTTCGGGATTGTTCTTTATGTTCTCGTCTGTGGCAAAGTCCCATTTGATGACCAGAGCATGCCTCAATTGCACGCAAAGATCAAAAGAGGTATTGTCGACTATCCTCAATGGCTGACAGCCGGTATGTATATGTCTTGATCCGAGAATCTCTTATTTTCTAATGACTTTCAGAGTGTAAGAATATCATTTCGCGCATGCTCGTCGTGGATCCACGAGATCGAGCTAGCCTTCAAGAAATTATGAACCATCCGTGGATGACAAAAGGCTTCAACGGCCCGCCGGACAATTATCTCCCACACAGGGAGCCTCTTCAGCTGCCACTCGATCCTGAGGTCATTGACAAAATGCAAGGTTTTGATTTTGGGTCTTCAGCGTACATTACCGAGCAGCTCACCCGGATCATCGAGTCGGAGGATTACCAGAATGCTGTTCGCAGAAGTGCCAAGGAAGATTACAGCCATGCCTCGAGCAGCGGAGAGAAGAAGCGTGGAGTCTTCGACTTTTACAAACGACGAAATTCAATTAGCCGTGAAGGCCTCTCGGCCCCGTCTTCTGAAGCCATCAGAGGTAATGACCCCATCAATGCATACAGCCCCCTGATCTCTATATATTACCTCGCACGTGAAAAACGTGATCGAGAGCGACAGCAGCAAAATCCCGGTGCGCTGGCCATGCCTATGACGGAAAAGGAGGCACCTCTCAAACTCCCTGGGCTGCCTACGCCAGAAGCTGCTCATACAAACACGTTCGCGCCAGAAATGCCGGGGGAGAAAGCCACTGGAGGCCGAGCGAGACCGCGTGCTCGAACAAACGGTGAAGACGATGTTCCGCATGGTACGAAGTCGCCGGAGGCCGCCGACAGAAAACCTGCTCCAAATGCGGTTCCACAAAATGCAATCCCTCAACCTGATCAGCCTGCGAAGCGCGAGGGCACTGCCTTGGGTCTCTTGCGAAGGTTTAGTACTAGACGCTACCGTGACCGAGACATGGAAAGGCCCCAACCTCCACCGGCGTTGAACATTCAACCCCCAGCTGATTCAGTAACACCTCCACGCAAGTCCTTCTCTGTTCGACGCTCACGGAGAAGAGACCCGAGCCCAACAACTCACCATCAGGGAGGCAGTCAACCACAGCATGAGGGTCTCCTAAGTGCCAGTGGGGGCTTATCTAGAGCGGGGAAATTTTTGGGCAGGTCGACCAGCGTCAATTCGGCAGAGTACCGTCCACGACGCGTTCTGCACAGAGGAACATCGGGCAACGATTCTCCAATGCTCGCGCCTGAGCCACCGCCTACTAGTGGCTCTGATCAGTCGAGTGTAAATGCTGGTCGAGCTGGCAAGGGCGTGGAACTTACAGACAAGCCCGCTCCTAACGCCAGCCCGCTGACTACACCACGCACCCCCACTACTACACGCACGAAGTCTCTGGGCCATGCACGTCAGGAAAGCATTCAAGCCAGGCGACGCCGCCATGAAGAGCGTCGAGCAGAGGCTAATGTCCCTGAGGAGACGGATGCTGAGATGCGAGATGGGGTAGATGCACTCGACACGCCGGCCATTCCCGATACCCCTGGGACCGAAATCTCCAAGCCAGCCAGTCTCAAAGGATTATTCTCGACCTCGACTACTAGCAGTAAGCCACCCGAGTTCATCAGACACGACATTATCCGCGTCTTGAATCAGCTTGGAGTGCAATATACTGTGATCAAGGGTGGCTTTTCTTGCAGACACGCGCCCAGTATCAACCTCGAAGGGGTCAAGGAACCGATAGCCGGGCTTGATGAAGACAGAAGTGGACGGGTGACGAGTGGACACCAACGCCGGATCTCGTTTGGTGGGGCATTCCGGGGAAAAGAGAGGGAAGACATTAGGGACGACAGGTTAAGCCGACATCATACCAGAAGGAGACAACCAGACCAGAGTTTCGTGACTAACTCCGAGGGTTCGGATGAGTACTTGCAACAGAATCGATCCGAGGCACACGATGGGGCCGCGACAAGGACTCGAGTACAAGAAGACAGTGGCGAGCGGTTGGTGCTCAAGTTTGAGATTGCCATCGTGAAAATCCCTCTTCTCTCTCTTCACGGGATCCAGTTCAAGAAGGTGCAAGGGGGAATGAACCAGTACCGATCAATGACCTCGGCCATTCTCAACTCATTGAGATTGTGATGCAATGGGCAGCTGGACGGATTTTATTTATCATGGTTTAGCGAAACGCAAATGAAGCATGCAGAGCGCAATATTTACGGGCACCGCGGGTTGACTATGGACTGATTGTAGCGAGAGCGAGGTAGACTGCTGAGCAGTGACTCGTCAACTTTGATGAACGAAATGCCAAACAAATTCAGGTACGACATAGCACTCATGCAAGCAGGGAAATGCAATGCTTTCCTCGTTCCTCGTGCCTACTGCAATAGTGATGGATTCTGATCGTGATGGAGTGTGGTCGTAATATCAGTTTGATGGCGCGCAATGGTCTCCTCCTTTGGGACTCTCCGTTGAGGGAGATTCGACCATTATTCGTTGGCACGGGTGGGGAAGAGGGAGCGATCGACGGCCGTCGGAAACAAAGGCAGGCGGAAAGGATCCGTGACACGCGCTTTTTGCATTTGGTTCAGCTGCAGTACAAGTTCAAGAGGAAAAATGAACAAGGTGAGATGTAATTCCAGCCGGAGGATTGGGGCGCGGGCATCACCCAGCGGCATGCACCATGTTGATACCTACCTAGGTAGGGAAGGGAAGATGATGATGATCGAGGACAAGAATAACAAAGTGACAGAGACATTGCTGAACAGTTGTGCTCCCTTCAGCTACAAAGTATTCCGACGAATTGGTAGTACCACATTCAGCAGCCCACCAGCCTGAGGACCAGGCGTGCCAGGGCATAAACGCCTAGAGGATGATGGAAAAGGCAGCTCCCGCCCGAGTGACGGTTGACGGCTCCAAGGGTTTCTGGGCGCCCGCCGGCCACTCATCGTGCGCCTCCTGGGGCTCATGGCCTCTAGAATCCACCCACCGGGGAACCAGACTGTCAAACGCTCGAGTCTGGTCTCCAGCTTTTGGTTTGGCCGATTTTCCCAAAGTGAACTCCTCAAAGTTCAAACGAGCCCCGACAGAACCACCGCAACCGCAACCGCAAAGCCAAAGCACAACCTCACTTCTCTCCTCTCTTTCCATCCCTCTCCATCCATCTCATCCCGTCCCCCTTCGTTGCAGTCTCTGTTACTCAATTGCTGCTGCATTTTCATTTTTGAACGCCCCTCCCCAGACTAGACTGTAAGCGGGTCGCTTGTCAGTCCATCACTCTCCTTTTTTAAATTATTCTTGTGCTTGGTTTGCGAGGTCCCCCAAGGTCCCTGCGGCCCTGTGTCTCGGTCCCGCAATTGTGACTGCGGCCACTGTCTGCGCCTGCGCCTTTCCCGCCAGCTTCTCAGAGTTGCCCGGTCCCCATCCCCATTTCCACCACCCTTCGACTTTTTTCCACTGAGGCTCGTGCCCTCTGACCACCGTCTCTGCCACTGCCAACGGCCCTCCCTCCACCGAGACATTCAAAGCCGCTCTGTTGCTGTCTCGCTGTCTATTCTTCGACCCCGGGATCCCACAGAACCTCAGAATCCTCCACAGCACAATCGCAGTCTGACTGGCCGGTTCCCGTCAATCCAGCTCGTATTCAGAGCACCTCCTGTGCGACGTGGCTACCAACACGGGCAGCTCATGGCCTCTGCAGCCAGCATCCCATCCCCGAATTTGAATACTGCAGTCAATCCCCCACAAAATAATGGTTTGGCAAGGGCCACAATGAGATCAAGTAGCAACCAGAAGGCAGTGGATGCAGGGCGCAAGCAGAGTCCCGGTGGTGCTGGTGGTGACGGAATTTCAAGGTACGCACACGCAACCCAGGACGTCTCGACTTTGCATGCTGGACTACCTTCCGCCCTTTTGCAACATCCTCGTCTCATCTGGGACAAGGTGCAAAGTACACATGATTGTCCAATCCTAGCTCAGCTCTCACAAAGGTCCTTGCTAACAAAACAAGTGCCAGGCGGCCGACTTCTCAAAAGGTTTGGGGCTCATCCTCAAACTCGTTCTCGCAGCGAGGCTCCATGCCTATCCACCAGAATGGGAACAATGCCCAACCCAGAAACACAAACACGATAAGGTCCACAGCGCAGAGAGATGCAGGCATTACAGACAAACAAGCGCACGAGAGATTGATGTTCCTGTTTGGGGCGGCTATAGTATACTCCAGTCACGATCCCCAATAGATTAGAAGGTCACTGACATCTGGCGGTAGGGTTTGAACATCGTCCTAACGTCCAAGTCGGGAGAGAAGTTCGAGGGACTGTTGTCTGGTTCATCACTCACGCCGACCAGCACCAAGATCACTCTCAAGATGGTTAGAAAACTACAGCCTGCCACTTCAGGCCAGGCAAACGGCGTAGCATCTCGGGAAGCGGCCTTAGTTGGTTCGAGTCCTGAGTATGCAATGAATTTTGATTTGAAAGATATGGCCGACATGAGCATCGCCGACTTCTCTCTGCCCGAGACCTCGAAACTCACCAATGGTATGGATACGCCATCCAACCATTCCAGACTGCGCGCTAACATCGCACCCCTAGGGTCCTCCTCGACCTTTCAAACTGACACTGATATATCTGGCAATCAACTTCGAGGTGAACGCGAACTTCAAAGATGGGTGCCAGAAGGACCAGACAACACCGATTTTTCATTGGGGTCATTGGGGTCGGGGAATACCGCTGCTTGGGATCAGTTTGCTACCAACTCACAATTGTTCGGCGCCAAAAGCACCTACGACGAGAATCTCTATACCACCACCATCGACCGCAATGCGCCATCGTACAAACGTCGGGAAGCTGAAGCTGAAAGAATCGCGCGAGAGATTGAAGGTTCAATGTCGACAAATGCACACGTCCGCGAGGAACGTGGTCAGGCTCTCGAGAACGACGGTGAGGACGAGGAAGAGAAATATAGTGGAGTTCGTCGGGATGAGCAATCCTATACACCACTGTCCGTTGGGGGCACGAACAAATACACACCTCCAGCGAGGCGTGCGCCTACCGGTCAAGCAACTGTACCGGGAGCACCTGTAGATCCCGCAATCATATCCGCGCAGCTCTCTCGACCAGAGCCTGCCGTGGGCAACACGCAGAAGCCGCAACATGAAAGAGATATCCCTGTTACTGCTGAGAAGAGTACAGCACCTGCGCCAGACAAGCAGCTGTCTGAACCAAACGGTACGGCGTCAACTCAGAGCGCTCAGCCCGAAAAGGTCGTCAAACCAGGGACTCCAACGACTCCTGGCAAGGTTGATTCGACCAACATTGAAACGCAACCTAGCAACAGAGTCATATCACAAGGTCCTACCGAAAACGTCGAAGTCAAGGTCCTCCACCAATTCCGCCAATTCGCCGATTTCGAGAAGCAAAGAGTCATTGAGAGACGAAAGGCTCAAGCCAGCCAAGATCGCACTGCTAAGCTGAACGAACTCATGCGTTTCTCGAAGACGTTCAAACTCAAGACCCCCATTCCGAGCGATCTGATCGGTATCCTTGCCAAGGACCCAGCTAAGCAGGAGGCTATTGTCGAAAGGGCACAAAAGGAATCCAGCGAATCAACTTCCCCTACGAAGGCGAGCCCTTCGCAAGGCCCGGCTGCCAGCAACACCACCCGCAAAGCCGACGTTCCACAACCTCAACCGCCCGTGCCGGAACGACAAGTGTTCCACCGTGGTCGTGGGGGAATCCAAGCAGCTGGACGGTCTGACCGACCCGCAGGCCAGCAACAGCCACCGCTCTTCCCAGGCCGAAATAACAGCGCTCCATATCAACCAAGATTTAATGCACATCAGCAAGACCGCAAGAGTACTCAGCCTCCTCCCATTCCTGCACCGATTCCCATTATTGAAGGGCGTGTCCCTCCAACTGGGCCCATGGCCGATCAAGCTGGAATGACCAGCCCGCAGAGATCCAACATGCACACTCCCAATTCCGCCATTTCTGGAAAATTCAACCTCAATGTGAAAGCTTCGGAATTTCGGCCAACTGCTGTCTCCTTCAGTCCAGCTGGTCCCTCGCAAACTCCTTCAAGTCCCGGCTCAACCCAACGTGCGGGTTCCATCTCCCGAACAGCCTCTCCCTCCGTGTTCTTTGGTAACCGAAAGCCCAAGCCGGCTTCCCAGAGGCCCTCTATTGCCAAAGATTTTAATCCAATCGTTCGGATGAAAGCAGAGCATGCTCCGAAGAAAGCCAAAGAAGGTGCAAAGATCGAAGAGGTACAAAAAGACTACAGTAGCAATGGTGGCATTCCGAACGCCTTCCAAACGGGACCAAGATGGACTGTGAAGCCTGAGAACGACCAAAAGACTTATGAGGAAGTATTCGAAAAACCCACGGCACATTCTGTGGTCTCACCTGCTCAGAGCCGGTCATCGTCGAGCCATCATATTCCAATGTATGGGCAGGGTATAGCGATACCCAATGGACCTGCCAACATCCCACATATTTCAACACCACAGCACGTTCCGCACAACGCCTCACACCCGTTTCCCCATCAATATGAGGATGGCGGTCATCGAATGCAATATGGAGCAGCAACTCCACAGGTGTTTTCGTCGCCAAACATGGCTTCGCGTCAAGCTTCAGCCTATGCTTCGCCCATGGCACACCCTGCCCAACTCTCTTATCAATCGCAACCATATTTCGGGACCGCTACTGGCCAGATGCCCATGCAAATGCGACCGTACCCTGGAACTCCTGGCATGATGCACGCTCAGGTGGGGCAGATGAGTGCGCCAATGATGGTCCAACAGCCATCGAATGGTCCATACATGGCGGTGCCGCAGCATTTCAATCCCCAAATGCAGATGTATTCGCCAAATCCCAGTCAAGCGTATCCCCAGCAGAATGGAGGCTACGCCAGTCCCGGACGGATGGCGCCGATGATGATGCAGCAAGGATCGCAACAGGGCCATCCACCAGCGCCCAGTATGATGTTCAGCGTCTCCAACCAAGGAGCAGCACCGATGGCATATCCGCAGCAACAAATGGGGATGCATCGTGGCAGCTATGGCGGAGGGCACCAATACGGCTCTACACCCCATCAGGGATATGCCATGCAACACCGAACCATGAGCAGCGGATACGGCCAGATGTCGCAAAAGATGCATCATCAAATGCAACCAGCTCACGGACCTGCGATGAACGGTCCCCCACAAGGACCGGCATATGGACAAATGGAAGGAGGTCAGGACGACGGCAAATGAGGAGTTCGTGAGAATTGCTTGAACATGGTGTTCAAATATCGTTTCTGAAACCTCTTCTGTTGTGCCACCATGACGGCACTAGCAGTCTTACATAACCCATGCCGGCTTGACGTTGAAGGTCAAATATTGGGCTTTTCGTTCAGTCAGTTGCGTCTTCGCACAGGTATGTCCGGAAATTCGCGCTTTTCAATCTCCCACTAACTCGGCCAGCGTAATAAAGGACGAGATGGAGGTTCACTATCAGAGGGACACATCGAACCCACATACATCAGAACGGATAGCACCTTTCGACAGCCTTGCAGAGTATGCTATTATTCAATCACACAATTCCTGCAGCTCTTGAAAGCTGCTGCGAACCCTTTCCACTATAAGTTGGGAGTGGAAGCAGGATGAACGTGGAGGCGCCACAGTTCTGGGAATGGACTCAAGGCAGCAGCCACGATGAGGAACCGATGAAGGGATTCATGTGGGCAGGAGGAAGAGGTCAGGATGACTGGGAGGCATCCTAGCTCTGCAAAAGTTGTATCGGTAGTGGGAGGGGCAGGACATCGGATACAATGTGCTGCTAATAGGGAGGAGGGGCAATGATCTGAAGGAGGAAGCTATTGGCTGTTCACACACCGCGAGAGAGGAGAGAGACGATGGAGAGGGAGAGTAGGAACAGGCACAAATAATGGGAGCGAAGGGCCAGTTTGTTAAATCCAAGCTGCTGCCTCCCTAGAGTCGCGCACTAGGCGGGTGCTTTGAGGGTTCACCGAGTCACTCGAAGTAGCTCTTCCTGCAACTACTCGATTCTCCAGAATGCATACTGCATGTTGCATATTTCCTGTAGTAGGTACGGAGTGCACAGTACATGACTGGCCATGGCTGGGGTGTAATTATCATGCAGGGTATGGCCTTGATCATTGATGGCCTGGCACGCCTCGGAACGTGGAAAGCAAAATGGGGAATGGGGCATCGGACTACGGAGCTTGGGAGAAAGAACCTTGAAATGGTCCACAGTCGACGGTGTGTGGTAGCCCCCGGCTGCTGCATGCAGTGCTGTTCATCATTTTAGCTTATTAGCTTGTTAGCTTGCAAAGCTTGCAAGCTTCGTCGCATGGTCGCTTCTTGGTCGCTTCGGCTGCCGTAACCAAAACTCTCTTTTTTTGCTTTCTTCCTTCTTGTTCCTGCTGCTCGGCTGAGCGTGTGCCACGTAGCAACCCTCCACCGCTTGTTCCTTTTGCTTGCGCTGCCATGTCTCCTCTGTCCCTGACCGCTGCGTCAATATCCAACAACGGTGGCTGACGACGCATCCCATCGACCTCACTGTTGATAAAAGACCACAAAAGGAGATGGCGTTGCGAACATGGTCCAACAGGGAAATCGAGGACCTAGGTATCCTTTGTAACTAACTCCCATCTCAAGCCCTGTCGGCATGTCCAAACCCTAAAGCTCTGCCCGTCTCGCCGTGGGCAGCTTGCCCTGCTCCAGCTAGTCTCCAGTCCTCCTCCACACTGTCCACAGGGGTCAATCCATGGCTAACACGCTATTGCCAGTCAGGTCAAGCCGGCGACCAGGGCTGGACACGCGCTTGATGCGCTGGCACGATGCAGCTCCTCCCAGATCGCCGGCTCTCAGCCTCTCGTCCACTACTACTCGTCTACTGCTGACCTCTCATCTTCGTGCCAATTCAATCACTTTTCCACTTGCCAGCTCCAACAAGCTCGATGGCAATGGCTTCGTTCATTTCATTTGCTCCTGCTGCTGTCCAGAACATTGTCGTCATGGCATGGTGATCATTGGGGACTCTTTCCCCGTTCTACGCTACTGCTCCGTCCTGCAGCTGCTCACAGTCACTACGGCTCTGTCTTTGTGCTTCAAGTTGACTAACTAGGTCCATCCGACTCCATACCCTGCATCCTGCATCTGCAGCTATCTGCACCGATACTGCACTCATTCGTCCCGTTTGCAATTTTCCAGTGTCGGAATCTCCCCTCGTGTGCATTTCCCTTACTTCCAGCCCGGCAATCTGCGTCTGTGGCCAGCACCTACCTCGCCAATCAGGTCGTCCACCCGACTTGTTCCCAAACTTGGAGGCATCCCAAGGAAAGAGAAGAAGGGAGAAAAGGACTTTGCTGATTTGGTCCGGATCCAACCTTTGGGGAGACTGCAGCAGCACAAAATCGAGGAGCATTTGCGCACACCTATTGAATACCCACTCCCCAGACGGACCACAGGCTTTTTCGCTTTCCTGACTACCACACACCATGCGTCAGACCAGAACAAGCCGTACCCTACAGCCTCATTTCCAGAAAAAAGCCCTGCGGCCACAATTCCAACCTCCAACACTACCTGTCCCAGATTCATTGGCTCCGATAATAAGGGTGCTGGGCGAATAGGCGATTTTGCGCCAGTGTGTTGTACGTAGGCGCTCCAATCCCAAGCTGCCGTGGCTCTGCATCTTCCTCCAGGAACGTTGCATGGACGTCATGGGCGAGTCGCTCTCGGTCTCAGCGAGCTGACATCTGGCCTCAGAAACCCAATCTCGGCAGCACCATACTTGCACAGCCTTTTGTACAGCTGTCCACCCGCTATTACGAGTTCCTTTTTCTTCTTCGCCTGTATATTTTTGTAACAACAGCGCATTTCCCGTCAAGGTTTAACCCTAATCGCACTGGCTTTCGCCTCAGAAGTTTCCGCCCTTTTTCTTCCTGCTATTTGTACCAACAGTCGATACCCGCAGAAACAAACCGTCGCTCAATAGACAGGAAGCCAAAGTCACTCGTTTGTACACACACTCGCTTTTTTCTGGTCATACTGCAACTCACCTTAACACATCTAAAACGGCGTCAAAAGTCACTTTTTCCAAAACCGGCCGGTTGTCTCAACGTGCTTTTTCTCCGACCTGTTAACGCAAAATTCTCCGAGAGGTCCGACGCCAAAATAGGTGCACCAAGGCTCCGACAGCCTTGTTCAACATTTCACGCGAAATCCCTGACTTACTGAGGCGGGCATTTGTTGCAAGCGCGTTCAAGTTGAGGCCGGGCGGCTAGAGGTAAATTGCACTTTTCGCTTGTTTCACAAACCCAAGTTCTCCGTTCAAACACTCTCTTCCACCATTCTTCTTGCGTCCGTCGAATCCACAATCACATCAGTTCTGCGAAACAGCATCAAGAGCCTATATGTTAGGAAAGGGCAGGAGTCTCTCCAGCCATTTCTCCCCCTGTTCAGACTCTTGCAATTACAAGCGTCCAAAGTTCTTTGCTCCGGTTGACGGATCTTGGCGGTTGCTTCAAATATAACCTGCCAGCTGGCACCACGACTCCTGGGACAAAGAAGAATGGATACAAGTTTGGTCAAGACTGACAACTTATCGGACCCACCAAAACCTTTAAGAGCGCGCGAACGATGGAAAGAAGGTTACGTGGAACTGACATATCTGTCGCGACAGTGGCAGCCGTTCAGCAAGGACAAGTCAGACCCTCCTTTGTATTCGACTTGGATGGCCTCCTCGGAAGTGGACCAAAAGTTTCTGGGTTATTTTGCAAAAGTCACCACTACCGAGAATAATTATCTTTCTAGGTAAGGCCCCTTATCCCTGCCGACTCCAGAGGTGAACGGATCCAAAGACCTCTCCGTCCCAATCATTGCTGACAGGCATGATGAATAGTTTTCTATTTCGCGTTCTCGGCCTTTCTGTGATTCTTGCTGAGAAACTTCTGCGCGCGCGCCGCGCAAAACGCCTCGACCCTGTTCGGGACCCCAAAGCCCGCCACTTAATTCACCACATATTATGGCTCGCCCGCGAAGGACTTGTTATGGTGGAACAATATGTACTCCCCATGGTTGGCCACTACGTGGAACTCAAGGTGTTGAGCTACAAACTCAAGGCCAGCTTCTACCACATTTTTGTGCTTTTTCATAATGAGCCGCCGGTGAATGATCGCATTAATCGAAGAAGGAGCAACGGCGGTGGGGATACGAGTTATACTTTGTTTCCAGAACCACTAAGTCCGAGGGAATCGAGGGAGGGAAGAGAAAGGCCGAGCAGACAAGCCACAGTCAGGTCTCCTACCGAAGGCGGACGAAGGAGATCACCAGCCATCAGCCTCGGAGGTCCCGTGGGCGGCGGCGGTGGGATGACAGCTACAACACGAACTCCGCCTGGGCTTCCCCTTCCCGCAACATATCCTTACTACAACAATGGCAACGACAACGGCAATGGCAACGGTACGGCAACGTTCCTCCTCCTTCTCCAAGACTACACCCCCTATGCAACCCAAGCGTTCCGTGAAGCCGACGAACTCGCCGAGCGCCTTCTTCCTGGATCTCATCCGGTTCGCCTGTCGGTCAAGGTCGAATACGTCGCCTACGTCTACGATTGTCTACACGAAGCCGAAGCATCACGGAAGATGGCGAGGATGGCAATTAGGCACGTGTATGAAGCACAAGAGGGCATGGATGATGATTCATTTCAGGATGCTGCCGAGATGGTGGGAATCCTGGGCCGGATGATGAAAAGAGGGCTGGGGGGAGGCGGGAGCAGCGGCAGTCAGATGCAGGGACAAAACGTGAGTGGAGGAGCCAGTGGAAGGAGAGATGCCCAGCAGCCGTCGACATGGGTATAGATGATGCCCAGTATGTGTGCATGATCAAGATCTGCTGCACCCTACCTTCTCAAGTCCAGCACTTGTGTTGTAACTGGACAAATCCAAACCCATCCCTTTCAACGGCTTTGATCATTTGTTGTAGTAGTAATATGTTGGCAATCTTTCCCATTGAGACTTAACAGACGACTCATGTGCTGGTTCTTGGTGCTCTACGAGTAAGCAAGGCAAAAACGATGGTGAACAGCGCTCCGGACTCTTTACAGCGGTGGTTTGAGACTGGCCTGTCTTTGACTTGAAAGGGACGAACGGAAGTACAAGGGGATAAATGGATAAGGGCGAGAAGCAGAAGACAAGTGAGAAAGAGATGAAGAACAGATGAGAGTGGAGTGAGCTGAGAGGTCCCCGGGATTATATCTTTGGACGCCCTCGACGCCTACAATAGCCTTGTTACTGCCGATTTGCGGTTTGCGGCTTGCCATTTACGATTTACGTGGGGCTTTGATTTGGTGGCAAACCCTTTGATCGAACTTCACCTCAACCTCATGTAGCGACTGCCACACGATTGGACGGAGGACAACAAAGACGCCCTGCATCCTCCTGCCTACATTTGCTATTTGCCATCAACCCGGACAACCATCAGCCCTGCTGGCCCTGCGCGAACGAACTTCTCGACATATTTAATTCCGGTCGCCAGAACTTGTTCTTCTTTCTTTTGTCCTCCTCTCTTCCCACTTCAAATCCCATCACTCCTCTCTTCTTGCTCTCTCTACATCACTTGCGCAGGCATTCACTCCGCTAATCACCAGAGACTCGTGGAGATCAGCGCATCAGGTTCGTTCCCAGCCGCTCCATCCTCCCGCTGCCCGTGAAACGCGACAGGTGCGCTAACTCCGATACGCGCTCTTCACCAGGATCATTGCCACCGTCCTCCTCATTTTCCCTTTCTTCACACATTCAAAAACACCTTTTCGAACCCTACAAAATGTCGGACCAAGGTTCCCCAAACGGCGCGGGTGGCGATGCGCCTCCTGCAGCAAACCCCAGCAATGAACATTTGAACATCAAGGTCACGGACGGGAACAACGAGGTCTTCTTCAAGATTAAGCGGAGCACCAAGTTGGAGAAGCTCATGCGAGCGTTCTGCGAGAGGCAAGGCAAAGACCTCAAGTCGGCCAGGTTTTTGTTCGACGGCCAGAAAGTCCAGACGGGAGACACACCCGAACAGGTGAGTCATCGGTCGACGAAAAGAGCGGGGGACTTCAGAGCCCGACTGACAAATGCGCGCAGCTTGAAATGCAGGATGGTGACTCGATTGAAGTTCATCAAGAGCAGGTCGGTGGCTCTGCATGATGGCGTTGACATGGCAAATACTTGACATGGAAAAGAATCAAACGAGGTGATGGCGACAACTTTTCGCATGGATATCTTCTGCGCATGATGAAAGGAGGACAGTGTGTGCTTTTTTTTTATCAAGGGTGCTCACGGCAACCTTGCGACGAGTTGATGACCAAGGAGATGCAAACGACAGCGAGGAGGGCTACAAGGCCATTTGCTCTGATGAGTGAAAGATGCCCCTGTTATCAGGGCGACATGTCGATGTCGCTTGGGCGGCAAACTCGAGAATTGCATCTCATCCCAGCCAAATGGACCAAGCCTCCACAGACTACATCACTGAACCAAGGTGCAGGAAGCTGATGGGTTTTTGCTCAAAATGTTGACGGTCCAAAAGATACAATTGCTATTGCTTGTTCACTCTAATTCCCATGGCTTCCGCAAGACTCTCCAAAGCAACCAGTCGTGCTCATTATTTGACCATCTCTCAAGACCACAAGAAGATCGAGTCTGCACTCCGTACCTGTGGGTGTGGGCCGTGGATCTTAATTGCGCATGACCGACCCACCAACAAGCCCATGTTTACTACCTAGTACCCGTCTCAGGAAATTCGTACTGCCTGAACCTGAATTACCATAAGACGAATAATACCTACCTGAGCCACACCATCCCGTCATGAGCAAAATCTCTATATTCTCCCAGATTCGAATGGACCATGGAGAAAGCATCCCAGCACCACCACCACAGGGGGACAACGGGAGTCTGGCACCCCACCCCTCCCCGCGAACTTGATTCTCGAGGGGGCACTGCGAGCGCGTCCCGAGGGGGGAAAAATAGATTCGCCTTCGAGTGTTAGAATAGTACAGAGTACTCGGTAAACTACCTACCTACCTCCCTAGGTATATGGTGCAGAATACATGATGGGCGGGGAAAGACGACATCTTTTCCTCCCTTTTTTTCCTTGTTCTCCTCGCCTCGCCTCGCCTCAACCCAGCCCAGCCCAGCCCAGCCCAAAGTCAACCTGGTGGTGGTGGTGGTGGTGGTGGTGGTGGTGGTGGGAGGCATTTGATAAAGACGCGCCGTGCCGTTGCTCTACTATATAATAGTACCTACTCGTTGCCGCTGGAGGCGGCGCACAAGCGATGAGAAGGGCGATAGTACGAGGGAATGCTCAGGACAGAAGGGTACAAATGTCCAGGATGTGCGATCCCAGTCCACATATGCGATACACACATGTATACGGATGGGATTCTTGCTATGGACGTTGAGAAGGGTTTGACATCCACTTATACAACACCTCCCTAAGCGGGGATGAACAGGCAGGCCAGCCAAGTCTCTGCCGGTATCTAGACATTGGGATGCACCTTGACATTCAGCTGGATGGGTCAGCCACTGAAACTCTGGTAGAGAGCGAAGCTGCTTCATTTCAATTCACTACCATGTTCGCCACGCTTGCTTGCTATGGATGGAAGGCTGGATTGAGCTTAGATCATGTCCCAGACTTCTTCTTCCTGCCCTGCATCGCATCGCCCTGGAAAATCAAGGAAAACCGGGTGCTGATGGATGTGTTCCAAACAAAACCAATCAATGGCCCTGTCTAAGTTGTTCACACTACTGCAACCATGCCATCGACATCCTTTGTGGTGTTTCAGACGTACACTGACAAGAGACAACTCCAGCTCGTCGTGTAGAAAACTTCCGTCTTCATCTAAGCTTCCTCCTCCAGAGGCGCTTCCTCCTCACCGTACTCCTCTTCGCCCTCAGAGATGCTAGCATCTTGGTATTGTTGATACTCCGAGACGAGATCATTCATGTTGGACTCAGCCTCGGTGAACTCCATCTCATCCATACCTTCACCAGTGTACCAGTGCAAGAAAGCCTTGCGTCGGAACATGGCAGTGAACTGATCGCCCACACGCTTGAAAAGTTCTTGGATAGAGGTCGAGTTGCCAACGAAAGTGGAGGACATCTTCAGGCCGCGTGGGGGGATCGAGCAAAGGGCAGTTTGCACGTTGTTAGGGATCCACTCGACGAAGTAGCTGCTGTTCTTGTTCTGGACGTTACGCATCTGGTCCTCGACCTCCTTCATGCTGACCTTGCCGCGGAAGATGGCAGAGCAAGTCAGATATCGGCCGTTTCGGAAGTCGGAAGCAGCCATCATGTTCTTAGGATCGAACATCTGTTGTGTGAGTTCAGGAACACTGACCGCGCGGAAGGAATAGGCGTTGCGGCTGGTCAGGGGAGCAAAGCCGACCATGAAGAAGTGAAGTCGGGGGAAGGGGACCATGTTGACGGCCAATTTTCTGAGGTCAGAGTTGAGTTGACCGGGGAATCGCAGGCAAGTGGTGACTCCGGACATGACTGCCGAGACAAGGTGGTTCAAGTCGCCGTAAGAGGGGTTAGACAGCTTAAGTGTTCTCATGCAAATGTCGTAGAGAGCCTATACAGGTTAGGACAGAGAAAAGAACGATCAGACATACACCATACCTCGTTGTCAATGCAGAAGGTCTCATCAGAGTTCTCAACCAATTGGTGAACGGACAGAGTAGCATTGTATGGCTCGACCACAGTATCGGAAACCTTGGGGGATGGGACGACCGAGAAAGTGGCCATCATTCGGTCGGGGAATTCTTCTCGAATCTTGGAGATCAACAATGTACCCATGCCGGCACCGGTACCACCACCAAGGGAGTGGGTGATCTGGAAGCCCTGAAGGCAATCACAGCTCTCGGCTTCACGTCGGACGACATCGAGAACTTGGTCCACAAGTTCAGCACCCTCAGTGTAATGGCCCTTGGCCCAGTTGTTTCCTGCAAAGATGTGTTATTGGTGTGATCATTCTCCTTCTGGGCAGCTGCTATATCCTCTTACCAGCACCGCTCTGGCCAAAGACAAAGTTATCAGGACGGAAGAGTTGACCAAAAGGGCCAGCTCGAACAGCGTCCATAGTACCGGGTTCGAGATCGACAAGGACGGCACGGGGAACATATTTGTTTCCAGAAGCCTGTGTGGACGTCAGGTGGATCAAGTCCAAGGATCTGGAGGTTGACATACCTCATTGAAGTAGACATTCATGCGTTCAAGTTGGAGGTCCGACGTGCCATTGTAACTGTGTGTCGTCAACTCCACGATCAAGGCATTCAAAAGGGATAAGGACATACACTCCAGAGCCATCAAGGCCATGCTCGCCGGAGATGATCTGCCTGGGACCTTGTTAGATTTGAAGTTGTCGCGTGTTGCGGTAGGCTGCGTACCAGAAGGCAGCACCAATTTGGTTGCCCTGAGATTGTTTGTCAGTTTTCGAGAGATAATGCACAGTGATAGCTCAAGAGCACTCACACATTGGCCGGTCTGCAAGTGAACCTATTTTGTGATGGACATGTCAGTCTCCAAGCTGTCAAGGTACGTTGGAATGGTGGGGTGCGAGAACAGGGGTAAACAGGGTTTGAGACGCGTAGCCAACTTACAATTTCACGCATGGTGTCGGTGTAATGAGGATGATGAAGGAGATATGGACAGGTTGTGAGATGAAGAGGACGATGGAAGAGCTACTCCAAGGAACGGTCTCTCCAGAAGATGGCAAGGTGGTAAGGTGCAGTTGTGGACGACGAGACAGAATTGAGGGCCGCAGGTCAACAAACTCGAAGTTCAAGTTTGGGCAGTGGAGCGCCAAGCACCCACCGCGATAGGCACAACCGTCAGGCGGTGAAGAAGGCGCTAGCGATAACCAACGCCTTTCCTTTCTCGGCCATCGGCAATACACAGGCGTGACGGGCCACGCGCGCCGAGATCAACACCAGCCTCACCGGAGTCACCGCGACAGGTCATGTTTACTAGGTAGGTACCTATGTTATAGCGGTGTCGGTGGCTTGTCATAAAACTATACTTTTCTGTCTACTTGGTGCAATGTCCTCTCGTTAATGCGGCCATGACATACTTGATGCCGGGTATCAAAGCTATAAGCCCTTAAGTCCTGTGTTTTCTACACTTCATTCGAAGGATATTCCACCTTTGTGGTCGGCAGTAGCTCCTCCTTCATCGACCTCATACTGACAAACCGCGACAAGATTGCTGCTGATCCAGCCTTGTCATTTGTTCCCGAAGCTCGTGCACCTCCAAATGGTTGTTGGCCAACGACGGCACCTGGTTTGGAAGTCAGCGCAGAGCAGATAACAGCTCATCAAATTCAACACTGACCTGTGCTCTTACAGTTGATGTAATAATTACCTGCCGCATTTCTCAACGCCTCCTCGGCATACCTTATTGCCGCACGATCTTGAGCAAACACCGCTCCTGTCAGACCATAGTCCGAAGTACTGTCCACGAGCTTGCAGGCCTTTTCGAAAGAATCCGGCGCCGCGTCATCGTAGACATAGACTGTCAGGATCGGTCCAAAGAACTCGGTGCTGAGGTTCCGGTGGTTGGGATCTTTGGATACGTAGATGGTAGGATGCACGAACCATCCCTTCGAGCTGTCGTATTTGCCGCCGGTAAGGAGCTCCAGAGAGCTATCGTTCTTCGCAGCATCGATCACACCAGACAGCTTCTTGAAGCTTGCCTCGTGAATGACTGGCCCAATAAAGTTTCCAAAGTCTTCCGGAGGTCCAACTTTGAGCTTCTCGGTCTCCTGAATAAGCTTGGTTTTGAACTCGGACCATATCGATGACGGCACATATAGTCTGGAGCAAGCACTGCATTTCTGACCTTGATACTCGAATGCACCCCTGATGGTTTGAACCACTGCATTGGTGATATCAGCACTGTTGTGAACCAGGTGGAAATTCTTCCCGCCGGTCTCTCCCACTATTCTGGGATAACCTTTGTACCTCCCCTCGGCAATGCCCTGCCCAATCTGGCCATATAGCTTTCGGAAGACAGCCGTCGATCCCGTGTAATGTAGAGCTGCAAATTGCTTGTGACTGAGGACAGCCTTGGTAACCTCTTCAGCATCGCCGGGCACAAACTGGATAACGCCAGCAGGAAGTCCGGCCTCTATGAGGATCTGATGCACCAAGTAATTCGACGCAATGGCAGATGGACTGGGCTTCCAGATTACCACGTTGCCCATCAAAGCTGGGGCACCAGGCAGATTCCCTCCGATGGCCGTGAAGTTGAACGGAGAGATAGCATAGACAAATCCTTCGAGCGGCCTATACTCTACTCTGTTCCACACCCCCGGAGAGTTATAAGGCGGCTGCTGCGCATACAGCTCCTCCGCGTATCGTACATTGAACCGCAGAAAATCAATCAGCTCTGCAGCCGCATCGATCTCAGCCTGCCATGCGTTCTTTCCCTGGCCCAGCATTGTTGCAGCCATCAGTTCGTATCTGTATTTTGTGCTGATCAGATCAGCGGCCTTGAGGAAGATAGCAGCTCGGTCGGCAAAGGGCAACGACTCCCAGGCCGGTTTTGCAGCGAGGGCGCCTTCAATGGCAGTGTTGACATCTTCCGTGGAGGCATTGGAATATTTAGCAACAGCGGTCGCGTGGGAGGAAGGGCTGTTCTGTGCGAGGATGGAGGACGTCTTGACAGCTCTGCCAGAGACAATGAGAGGGATCTCAAGGGGAGCCTTCTCCTGCAGGGCTGCCACCGCAGAGGCTAGAGCCTCACGCGACGGACCTCCCTTCTCATAATGCTTGTTTGGCTCGTTGGTGATGTTCGGCAGCCGGAAAGCTGCGAGGGTCGACATTGTGAGGTGACTTGAACGGAGACGGTGGACGGATCGAGTGGTCGGAGCAGTACTAGAAAGCAGAGAAGGTCGAGAAAATGCAAAGACTGCTTTGATTGAACCCGACATTTCTACGAGAAGGCAAGAGCCACCTGACGAAACTGAATTTATTCCTCTCCTCACAAACCACAACATGCGCCCCACGTCGAGTTTTTGAGATCAAAGTGCATGCACCCCTCTGGCTATTATCGGTTCGTGGTGGGGGCTATGGTTGGTGGCTGGACATGGAGATGCCCGTTAGGGTACTGATAGGCCTCTGTTGGGCGTTTCTTTATTGGCGAGAGGTACGGCTTCGTGCTGAAAATGGGGCAGAAGGCTGAAGAAAATGTGTTTGCGAGGCTTTGCGAAGCAGTCACAGGGCGCAGTGGCACAGAATCTCTGTGAGAGTCACCCTTTTATCGAACATCGGTTGATAGGTCTAATCTCTATGACATCCCGAAAGTCAAGCTCGACGGACGGCAAACGGACAACCACCTGTCCTCTCCCTTTTCAGTCTTTCCCTGGTCATCTCCATCTCTTTTGATCCCTTGCCGACGAACGCAGATGGCCCCGTACTGCTGATTTCGAAGCCTTCAGGATACGTGCCTGGGTCACCTGGACGGGGGATCCCAAGCACCAGGTGAACCATTGCCCCTGGACCCCATCGGTTCCACAGAGTAGGCTTGACATAAACAGGCGCAGTGTCCCATGTAACATAGTATCTCCTCCCTTTTGCATCAGGTTCTTTGGTCATCATCTGCTTAGCCATGAATGTGGGTTTGGGCAAAGCAAGATATCTCAGAAAGAGACGTCTCAACTCCATGAAGCCGTTGAAGAATGATTTGTATGACGGTGGTGCCTCGTCGAACATAATGGCTACCCTTAGCCTATCGTCCAAGGGGGCGCTCACAACCTTGGTAAGGACTTTCTTCATGAAGGGGGGGTACATGCTCAGCAGCAGATTTCGAGTCTGTACTGCTGTTTCGTAGTTCTTCTGGTGAGGTACCATGCAATCCTTCTCATATTGCTTAGCCCAGGTATCCAGCTCCCGGTAGAAGTGCAGCCCATCTTTCCAACCCGTCGAGTATGAGGGGAGTTTCTCGAAAGAGATTTCCATGCCATCGCCCATAGCTTTATGGAATACGCCCATGGCGCAAATTTCCAGGTCACTGAGCTGCCTCCACTCGTACCTGTTGATCCATTCCACAGGCTGATTGAGAAACAGCGACAGTGTATACAGCATGTCGTCATTACTGATTTTGCCTTGTTTGATGTAATGTCCGTGCAAGTAATTTAGTCTGGCATAACCATCGATGCATCTGTCGCTTGTGGGTTCGCCACCATACATATCGCCCAGCAACACCCCGGTGTCGGCGTATCGCTTGGGCACATTCTTCTCGGTCGAGAGTTGGGTTGTCTTGACCAAGAGCTCGCTGATGGTGGGAATGCCATACGTCCGGAAAAGAGCAAATTGCAGCCCCTTCTCAAACAAGGACGGGAATTCCAGGTCGCTCACAGCCTTCAGGATGTCATGGGCTTCCTTGACGGTCATTCCCTCGTAAGATGGATGTTCAGGCGTACCATATTTGTACTTGGCCTGGAGGGACTTTAATCGGCGGAACCGGAGTGCTGAGCAGACAAAAGGATAGGCCACAATAGCAGGGAGAAGGTAATAGGACCAGAAGGATGAGAAGCCGGAAAGTCTCTGCGTCGAGATGGACGCCAGTTTCGAGAACGACTCGTTTGAGAAGGTCGACATCGTGAGAACACCCCTTTCCCTTTCCGGGGCAACAACAGGGCGATGAAGGTGATAAGTGTTCTCACAAGAGGAGATCAGGCAGTTCTCTCTCTGCAATATCTGTGCGAGAGGAAATCAGAAGATAAGGAGAGGAGTATTACAGAGGTTCCTGGCGATGGCAGGATTTAAAGACCGGGCGAGCTACGAGGGTACTCTGTGCAGCTTCTGTCAGCAGCCCTTAATATGTTTTGGGTGTCGGCCTGGACCTTCTCGCTTAGCAGTGCCAGCCGCCTGCGACGTGTTGATATCGGCTCCCTTTGGACCACGAGGACCGCAGCTGTGGCCCAATCCACGCACGCGACTCGCGCATTACTTCTTCTTCCATCCACTGGATACAATGAATGCTTTCCAAAGCTCCCCATCCGTCCAATGCAAGCAACCTCTGGATTGGCCAGATTGCAACCTTTGGCGATGTCGTGTCTGACGGACTTCCTCCTTCAGACAACTCCGGACTATCTTCTACCCATCTAGTGCTCCATCTCCAGCTCCGTGACGGCCGTTTATCTGCATAAGAGAGACAGAGTTATGCAAAAAGAACATAAGAAAAACGTCGCGAGACTCAGGAAATATGTACTTCCACATCAATCTAGCGATGCGAGGTGTGCACCCACTCCCGAGTCAGTCATATCGACGTCGATGTCAGGGCCATTAAGCACGGCTTGAAATTCTCCTGCGTCTCGACATCGAAACTGGGGCTTCAGGTAATAATACAACTCAGCTCGGCCGAGTGAAGTACAGAGTCCCTCGCATGACCCACAATAGAGCTATGCGGCCTTGACAAGCATAGGTATCAATGTGATGCGTCCTTCTGTCTCTCAAGTGTCTGTAATACATAGCCCGCCTTGTCCAATTATGAGTTAGCTAAACTGCGTCCTTATCTTCAAGTTCTCTGAGCACCCTTCGCTTCTAGTTACCGCTTTCTAACCCAATATGCATCTAACCAACGATCAGTCACACGGTGCAACTCCCGCATTGCAATCCAAACATGCCGCATCAGGTGATCTACAGACGACGTGCGAAACATATACCTCTGATACCATCGCCGAGCTCTGCAAGTTGTGCATATATGTGTAACCTTCCCTTTTCATTCCATCTTTGCTGTTCCGTTTGCTAATGCGATTGCGCGAGCGGCTGCTTCTTCGAAAGAATCTGTGGCAGTGGTTACTATCCAGGTCTGGTTCACACAAAGCGGCGTTCCACTTACCAAATGCATCCAGCTTGAGACCACTTTCCCGGATGAGCTTCTGTCCCTCGGCCTCTCTGGTTCCGCGAATGCGAACTACCACCGGGACCTGGAGGTTCAAGTCCTTAAACGCCAACAGAATCCCTCGGGCGATCATGTCGCCCAAAGTCAAACCCCCAAAGATATTCACGAATATGCACTTGACTCGAGGATCCGATGTAACGATCCGGAAGCCCGCCTTGATGGTATCGGATGTGGCTTTCCCGCCGGTGTCCATAAAGTTTGCTGGATGTCCACCTCGAGCCACCAATGCATCAACCGTGTTCATGGCTAGCCCTGCGCCGTTCACAATAGTTCCAAGCGTGCCCTCTCCTGCTAGCTTTACGTATATCATGCCGTCTTTCTCAGCCTCGACTTCTTCACGCACTTCACTTTCGATGTCCCGCAGGGCATGGATATCTGCCTGTCGCCCTGAGCTTCTGAAAGCCGCATCGTCGAACCCAAACTTGGCGCCTTGGACTTGGAGACCTCCTTCATTGTCAATCACGATCCTTGTCTGTAGTACAAAGGCTTCTTTGGACATGAAGAGGTCGACCAGCTCGGTAACAAGTCTGCCCAGGGAATGCTGACCCTTTCCAGAAACACCCAAATGTGCTGATACCGTCTGAAGCATTGCATCTGAAGTCGCCTCATCAGTCCCGTAAGCAAAGGGGAACTTTTTAGACTTGAGGAACGCTTGCGAAGGATCTGTGGTGGGTGATGCGATGATGCAAGGCTGTCGTGCTTCCCGATCAATGGAGATGGCAATGAACTTCTCCTGAAGCCCGGTGGGGCTGTCGACGGTGGGTATCCCCCTCTGCTTCAACATGTCAAAGGCTTGCGCAGGTTTGATGTACAAGTTACGCCGTTGCTGAGGAGTGATGCTGGTATCAACGAGTCTCGGCCGCCTTCGCATGGTATGGTAGCCTCTTTTCTGCGATGCACTCGGAGACCCGACTCTGCTGTTTGAACCTGATTTGGACCGCTCAGCAAGCAATTTCTTCATGCCTTCTCCCAGCTTTTCTGGATGGTCCACGACTTTCACTCCGGCGTCTTCCAAAATTTTGATTTTTTGTGCCGCGGTTGCTTCTCCGGGAGCAGCCCATGCTCCTGCATGACCCATGATCCGCCCAGGTGGAGCCTCGACACCTCCAATGACCGACATGAAGGGCTTGGGGTTTGCAGTCCGCCGCTGGTATTCTTTGATCCAGTCTGCAGCCCTCAACTCGGCGCTTCCCCCGACTTCGCCGATCATGATGATGCCCTCAGTCTTCTCATCTTCGACCAAGATCTGGAATGCTTCCGTGAATGTCGTTCCCGCCAGCACATCACCGCCCATGCTGATTGCGTATGTCTGTCCCAGTCCCGCTCGTGTCGTAGATGCGACAGCTTCATAGCTCAACGTACCTGACTTGGCGATAATGCCGATGTTGCCTTCAGTGAAGAATGGGAGAGGCTGGAAGCCTAGACGACAGCGGCCGTGGACATTTATGATTCCGGGACAATTTGCGCCAACCAACCTCGTCTTTGATTGTGTTCGTAGCATTTGGTGTACCCTCAAGATGTCGTGTACGGGTATGTGTTCGGCAACCGCGACGATGAGGGGTATTTCGTTCTCGATGGCTTCCTCCATGGCCGTGACGGTCCCATTTCCAGGGACGTAGATGGCGCTGGCGTCAGGCTTGAGCTTCTCCACGGCGGCCCTGACACTAGGAAGGACTGGTAGACCCAGATGCTCACCCTCCACTCCGGGCTTGACACCGCCAACGATGTTTGTACCGAACTCGAGTGATTCTTGGGCATTCATCGTTGCCTGGCGTCCGGTAAAGCCCTGATAGAGCACGCGAGTATGCTTGCCGATCTTGAGGTTGTTGATTGTGTCGGCATAGCTCCAGCGTCGAAAAGACGTCGAGAACGGGGCGACATTTCCGGAGGTACCATGTTTGTATAAGACAGACCACGAGGCTTTCTGGGATCTTAGCCCCCTCGGCAATATGATTCTGGTCATCCCAGGAACGTACGCTGGCTGCTTGCAGGAAAGGGAAAAATTGCTAGTGGTTCAACGCAAATGCTATAACCAATACCACAGTTTCGGAGCTCCAAAGGCTCCAAATTGACTCACCAAGATCAACAACGAAGCTTGACAACCCAAAAGGTCATGATATTGGGTGAGGGGAATATATACAAAGGTTGGAGAAGGGCTCGTGTGCAGCACGCTCGGCACGGTAAATGTGAGACTTCGGGTGCCATTGGTGATGAGGCGGGTGAAAGACTTCCGAGGTCGGAGACGGCGCCATTGAGGACGACGCAGAGGTATCGAGACGCACTTGATGATGGTGCGGGTGTTTGCGGCCTGGTTTCCGAGACGCTAGCGGAGTTTCGAGAGAAGGAGCTTGATGGGTGAGATTGGTGGCTTTCCTAGGCCCGAAGCACCGCCGACTCGGGCCTGGGCCTCCAAGGATCGGGAGCAGGGTAGAGGAGGGTATTGCTGCACCAAAGGTTAGGTACCTAGGTACCTATGTACAAATAATATCAGCCGTCTCGAGCTTGAGGAGAGGGGGAATGAGCAGGCGTGGGTTAGTCCCCAAGTGTACATACCTTGGTATGTAAGGAGTACGAGGTACGTCGTCCGTACCTGGCGAATGGGCCGATGCACCAACGACGATGTGCGATAAACCGTCCAGTCTGGTTAATGCTTGCTTATCGGCCCTAGTTGCCCTTTTCCTTCCCCCTTAACGACCCTGCAGCTAGGTCCTCAATGCAAATGCGGGGAGGGTCTTGCAGGGTTGCATTGTCCCCATAAGTGCCCGTGGTGCCCCCAGCTTAACCAGGACAACCAGAACCTTTTCGTCTAGGTGCCCCCGGGTGACCCCAACCGCCAGCTGCCGCTTAACTTCACCTCCGCCTGCGATTCGTCATTCCACTTCCTTTGACACGAGATGTCTGAGGAATGGAGCTCGATGCGGAGCACGTAGTTCGTCAAGGACATCAAGTATCTTATGACATCGCGCAAGAGATGATCCGATCGTCTCGTTCCTGGAACATTGCGTTATATCCTTGTTCCTGGGTATTTATCTGTTCGTCTGCGCGCTGCTGAAAATCTGCTCTTGGATAAGCATGTCGGGCCAAACATCGATACAATCCAAGTTGCCAGATTTACGCATAAACCTCCCTCCTAACCCCCAGTCTACGCCCTCCATGAAGAAGGAAGAGGTCATTGAATCGTGGGAAGATGATGATCCATCTTCCCCCACCGAAGATGACCGCAATACTCACTCACCTACCGAGGGGATGGGCGGCCTCTCTCTAAAACTGTCCGACTCCGCAGACCCTGCCTTGCGACCACCGCCTCCTACTCCCATTGTTCCAGGCAACGGTGGGCAGATTGACTGGTCGTCTGCCCAGGTCCTTGGGGGAGGCCGTCCAAGTACCAGGCCATACACGCCTTCTGGAGCGTCCACACCGCAGACCGACTCTGATCGAGAACGCCGAAGACCAGAAAAGACGACAACCACCGCCAGTCGAATGATAGCCGCAGGTTTAGGGATGAAAGCCCCCAAAAAGACAGAGGAACAAAGGCAGTATGATCGAGCGGTTAGGGAACAGGAAATGAAACGAAGAAATAAGGAGAAGGAAGACAGAGAGCGGGAAAGAGAAGCGGATGAAAAAGCCAAAGCTGCTGTCTGGGAGGATTGAGGTCAACTGAATGTTACTCGATCTGACGGGGATTGGGAGGAGAATCCAAAGGTTCCTTGGTTGCAGAAATGTCCTGCACGTTTAACAATTTCCCCTGCTGTGTAGCTATATCGGCCTGTTGGTAAGACATGCCGCTGATTCTCTTCCCAAAAAGGCCAGGGATTCATACCTCAATATCCGAATGAGGAGTCACATCCATCTGCGTCAAAAAAATGAGACATATCATACTGGTTACTTTTGCCAGACGCTGCTTGGAGACCAAGTCTGCCTCTGGGGTTGGTGATTTGCACCAAAACTGCATCTGCATCTCTAACATGCTGTGACGCCACTGCTGTGACGCCGATATTTTGGCTATTCTCCAGCACAAGAAAAGCTGGAGACAGATAAACTTGTTTAAAGTCTGGCGACATTTTGTTTCGCAGAAAAGGACGGAGGTCGAAGTAGCTGAGACGTAACTTGTTGGCGAGGATTGTAGCCACACTATGACGCAACGTCCGATCGCAAGGAAACGTCCAGATCTCAAAGTATTAAGTGTCTCGGTGTCTACGCACTCGGTACATGGCAGACAAGTGGACCATTTATCCTCGAACAACATTGACCGGAGTCTCTTCCACACATCAATTTTCTTGCTGTCGTAACTCAACGAGATCACGATCTCCTAATTTGTACTCTTTCATATCGAGGACCACACAATGGTGAGCCTCGTCCAGAGGAACTAGGATTTTGTTCGATGCTTGATGCTAACCGTCTATAAGGGCCGCCTTGAAGACGATTTAAAAACAGATCCTCCCTGTCACCCCAGAGCGGTGAGTGTTTCTTTTTGAGCCTCTGGAGTACTGTCGACGCTTATGCTGTTTCTGTGCAGTGCGCGATCCAAGGTGTGTCCTACTACAGGTTCACCGAACATCTGTGAAAACTAACACCCAGCCTCAAACAGATTGTCTGCAGAAAAACAACTACAAGGAAGAGAGATGCCAATCAGCACTAGACGCATTGTATGAATGTTGCAATGCATTTTACAAGGACAAAGGGGATGATGCTAGTACCACCTCATGTCCGAAACCGAAGCTGCTGAGGCTCAAGATGGAGCAGCGAGGACAGAAGTGAAGGTTCAAGACTGATTTACCACGAAATCCTCTTTGTCCTCGAGCACGTACATAGCCCTGAGCATACTCTGGGAAGACGCAAAGGCGATAGAAGGTGAATGTAGCAACTCGATTTTTTCTACCTGAACCATCAGTCCTGTTTGTGAGGTCTGGTCAGCTGAACAGCGAATGCCGAAAGATACTCTGAGGCAGTCGTGAGCACGCAAAGAGACCCCGCAGGATCTGAACAGACATTGAGTGTCCGTCCCGAGACTCTAATGACTACCTGGTTGACATTGGTAGAAGAAAAAGAGAGGAAGAGGGAGAAAAGAATTTCGAGTGACCTTTTTCAAAAACTTCGCCAATAGCCTATTTGGGTTTAGCTTGTCAAGTAAACTGCCGCGTCGCGTGTGAACGGCCAAAGAAAGTGAACGGCCTAGAGATTCGAAGTTGCCCGGCTTTTGAGAGACAACCTCCAACGTGCTAGGTCAAGATCCATTTTGTTGAGTGACCACGTCGAGCTTTCTGCAGTTGACGCGCAGAGATGGCCCCTATCACAAGGTCCTCTGTCCATGGAAGGCAGTCCCAGGTAAGTCAACAACGCAGCTTCCTGCAAGTGGAATTTACTGAACCCAATGGCCAGATGGACAACCACGGTGCCTTCGAAGAGTCCCAAGTACCTGACGAAGACCAAGAGATGGACGATCAAGACGAAGAAGCGTCAGTTCATGAAGGTGGGACGAACCAAAACAGGTTTCCTTTTATTCCGGCGAACATGATGGACTCTACCGCTGTCGAGACGCAGTCAGAAGCCAACATGCTGATCGACACTTTAGGTGCCCCGTCACCATTCAGATCTTCTGCACAGGAGATGCTCCGCCCTCTTCAAGATACCGCCGATCGTGTGAGCAGGCAAGTCGAGGAATTTGCAAAAGCTCTAGACAGATTTGTGTCTAATCGACAGCCCACCGACAATTCTCTGTGGGACGATGCCATGGTACTGTTGGAAAAATACAGCAAGATTGCGGACATTCGAAAATCAAAGACGCCTGCGCAAGAGCCGGTCGAAGAACTGGAAAAGATACAGCTCGAGTCAGATTTGTGGATTTTGGTTAGGAACCTGCTCTACTGCGAATCTCCTCTCTCCCTCAATGATGCACAGATTGCCCAAGAATCGAGGTTGGGTGGTCTACACCGCTATTCCAGCAACGTTGAACTCTGGACTGCGTTCCTTGACTCAGATGCTGTGGCACAGGAGTACGAAACCATTCTGGCGTGGTTACAAGAAAGAGCTGCCGCGACATCACCCCCTATTGAAGACTGCACGCGCAGTCTTTCTGAGAAATCGGAACGTGGCGATGGCATTTGGAGCGCCGGACCTATCTTTACACAAACCGCTATTAAGCAGCAGAAACGAACCCGAGTATGGTCAATACCGTTGGAGCCTTCAAATCCCGGATTGGACCGAACCCACGTTCGCAAAGTCGACCAAAAACCGCTTGTTGCTCAGCTGGACCCTGACGCCCCAACCAGAGAGTCGGCTGTACTTCAGGAACAGGATGAATTCCATGACCAAGCAGCCTGGCAAACATACTGGGAAATGCTCCGAAGGGGATACACCAATAGCCAAATTCAATCATGGTTCGCGGAACGGAAAGAAGTCTGGAGATATGCAACGCTTTGTGGATGTGGTCCGCATGCTGAGCAAATGGTCAACTCACCCTGGCTGCGTATTCTGAATTTTGCCTCAAATTCCGAATGGTTCGAGCGCTGTGAGGCACTGGCTCAAAACCCTCTCATTCAAGATCAATTTCAGAAGGCCACCTACGGTGTGCTCTGCGGTGATGTTGGGGCTTCCAGGTCTGCAAGTAGGTCGATTGACGACAATCTGTTCTCCATTCTCAATTCCCTCCTTATCCGGAGATATCGAAACTATCTTCAAGCCTACAGAAAGAGATTGACGGACACGGCCGCCACTGAGTACCGCCCTCTGCCACCATCGACCGCCGAGATCCAGCAATATGTCACCCTTGCTCAGTCAAACCCAACTACAAGGGATGAATCTTACCAGCCACATAAGCTAATGGAACTGGCCATCGTGTCGAAAGACTTCGACGACTTTTTTGTAAACATTGGCAGAGCTGCTGCTAGTGTCGCACATACCACAGGTCAAGGATCACATCTCATGACCAGAAACTCCGACGAGGGAACTGAAGTTGCCATGTTGAATGCCCAAGACCAAGACAGTGTCCGCATGGTTGCGCATCTTCAGCTGTTGTTCCGGTCTCTGGGGTTGTTGCAATCTTCGTATGCCGAACACGAATACGAACTTGAAAATAACATCGCAGCCTATATCGGGTTGTTAGAGAACTGGGGCAAGTGGCTTCTGATCCCTCTTTATGCGTCCAAGCTATCCAAGAAGAGAAGCCATCACGTTCTCGGAGCCATTTTGATCAACGTCACAGATCGCCGCGAGAGAGATCTGCAAGTAAAGCTGATGAAGCAATACAATATCAATGTCTCAGAAGTCACCTACGGGATTTTCTCTCTCGCCAACTACTCAGATCTGCAGAAACTTCGAAGGTATAAACATGGTCCGATAACTGCTAGACTCACAGTCCTGGGTGGTTCAGGCAAACTAGCACAACACAAGGTTCGACCTAGCTTGATGACAGGCGAAGTCACCGAGGCAGATGAAAAGGCTGTCAGGAGCGTGGAGTGGATTCGGTATGTCGATGCTGAGAACTGGGGTGCAGCTGCCTGGTCTGTTGCAGTACTTTACAAAGTATTCTTGGTCGAAGGAAGATTCGTCGCCCTGCGCCAATTACTTGATCGTGTTCGTCTCTCGGATATGTCACTTGCAGCCTTGGGAATGAACCTGCAATTTGCGGACGCAGATCCACCGGCAGACAATGTTGAGAGCGAGGTAGAGGAGCTGGATGAAGCTCCAGTGACTCCCATGAGCAGTCCGACTAGGAAGAGAAAAGCAGCTAACTCAGACCACCCTTTGACGAGAGCCGGGTCCGATCGACAAACTTTGGCGTTGAAATCACTGATCTGGAAACACCTGGAACAACTTGTGACTGCTGTTGATGCCTTAGACGTCTTTCAGGAAGCAGCAGATGGTCTCGAACAGTAAGTAGCCATGTTGCGGAAGTGTCTTTGACCAAAGCTGATGAGAATCATACAGGCACCGAAGAAACCCGTCAGCACTGAAAAACTACAAAAGCGCCCTGAAACGCGCTCTTGAGGAGGTCCGGCAGGCTATGGTACCACTTTTGGACAACGAATTTCTGTGCCAGCCTCAAGATGAAATGGAGGCCGTAGTCCTGAACGATATACGCAATCACTACATCCCCGAATGTATTCTCGCCTACAACAGCGCATTGTGGTTTGCTGGCCACTTCGCTTCTCGTGCATGGCTTGTCGAATGCATGACCCTGGCCCAAGTGGTCGCGGAGACTCCCATGCTGACCAACGCCTTTGTGGAAAGCAGAAGAATGAAGGAACTGGTCCGGGCGTTTGCGGTTGATAGTCAAGCTCTTCTACAAGCAACAGAACAAGGGGCTTCTGGTGGCGCTGGGGGAAGTGCCAGCCGGACGAAGAAGATCAAGACGGATAAAGGAAATGCGGATATCTGGAAGGTGTCGTGGAAGGAACAGACTGAGCCACTGGATTTGGAGGCAATGGACTGAGTACAATACGATCTAAGTGGCTTACGTACGAGTATGCTGCGTTCGCCAGAAAAAGCAGAGGACGATGGGCCATAGGGAAGATCGTCTTTGATCGAGGGACCAAGAAGCTTGGTCGTCAAGCACAGCGGGACATGTCCTGAGGGAGCATCTATTCGCATGAATGTCGACTGCGAACTCACTCCTTCATGCCATCTGATCTTGCTGGAATACATCACGTCGTATCCTGCCGCGCTGGTGAATATAATAGGTATGTATGGACTGGTCAATCCCGCACTCAACCCGATTTCAGCAGGATGGGATTCGAAGCCTTCCCTCAACAAGAAGGGCGTGGATGGCTGAGACTGAAGCGAGATTAATTAGAGCTCTTCCTTAGCCCCTTATCGAGTAGTCTTCCCATCGTGCAAACGCTCACCCGCGCGCTGGGATCCTCATACGCGACGGCCATGACACACGACGCCTCACGTCTATCGGCCTGGTTTATCGCCCCTGCTGAGCGTCATACTCATATCCGCTCTACGGACATCTCTGAGCGCTCTACAACTCACGCGCGGAAAGGGAACTAGACCTACGGACCTGTGTGCCAGCCATGTCAGTCGCGTCCCGAGAGCATGGCGCTCTCAAGGAGACAGCCGAGCAGGTTGTCTGGTTAGACGATACAGACTCGGAATCTAGCCTCGAAGGCTCGGACGACAACGACGTCGCTTCCATAGTCAGCAGCAGCAGCAGCGCATCCTATGACAAGGAAGCCCTTAACGACGCGATCCTTTCCGCAGATCCGAAGCGTCTCAAGCTCACCTTGCTCCAGATGTGTGCAGAGGAGGCGGTCATCCGGCGTCTGGTACGCAAGGTGCTCCTAGTCCCGGCTCGGTCGACGACAGCGGACGACAACAACAAGGCGGCGGCGCCGGAGCCGAAGACGGGCGTAAAACGGCTCCGAAAGGCGTACGAGATGTGCTCCCAGTGCGCGGAGGAGTATGAGGTGGAGGAGAACGAGATGTCCAGGGGACTCTGCGTGTATCATCCCGGTGAGTCACTCAGCCCTTTTTCCGCCTCAACTTTGTGCTTTTGCATGCTTTTCGAGGATTAGGACGAGACTCCACCCCCTCCCCTGCCGGATAAAGAGTTTGCCCATCACAAAAGTATTATTACGGTGCACTGACTCGGGAGAGAAAAGGCGTGAAAGAGGTCGACGATGATGCAGACACCTGGGCCGACCATGACGACGACTGTCACGGACCACCGGACGCGTACATCGACGACCCCAGCTACCAGGACGGGTTCGTTTGGAGTTGTTGCGATGGAGAGGGCGATGCTGAGGGATGCGAGAGGACGAGGCACCGACGAGAGAGGCGCAACCGGGCGAGGCATTGAGACATGGTGTTTGATCTGCTTGCGCGAATGTTTGCGAGGCTGTCCATGTCCATCCTCTTGCCTTGCTTGGACACGGGAAGGGTAGTCTGTGAGGAGCACGATGAGGCGATATAACTTCCTTCTGGGCTTGATGCGCAGATTTCCCTTTTTTCCCGGTAACATTTCTTGAACGTCAACCAGACTTGGTGATCGTGCGGCGAAAAAGCCAAAGCCTGGATTCGCGTGTGGTTGTTGTCGTGATCCCTCTTTCATTTTTTGAGTCTCGCAAAAGCGTATCACCCTTTCTTGGACCATGGCTTCGTGTTATTCGCGAAGCAAATCATGTCTTGAAATGATTCTGAGCGTGTTGGGTTCCGACAAGGCGGGAGAGACTAGATGGTAAGCTGTAGAATTCCAAGTGGATTGAGTACTCGAGGTAAGTAAGTATTCGAGGTCGCCACAGATACTGCCCGCTGGCATGTAAGCATCACCCCAGGATTTACCTTAGTGGCCTCCGGCGAATGTAATTCACGAGCATGAACCTGTGTGGCTCGCTAGGCCTGGCGGTATTCCTTACTGCTGGTTTTCGGTGCCCTCTGAAGCATCAGGTGTTAAATCGTGCGTTTCCGCGGAGCTTGAGAGAGCGAGAAGAGAGAGACAGAAAATGTAGCCTGCGTCATGTCGACAGCAGGGCGTGCCTTCTCTTTACTAGTGTAGCATAGACGTAAGACAGATTCCATGAACCCGCGACCGCCCTTGCCTTGATGGGCTGACCAACAGGTCTCGCGACAGGCTATCCCACATATCATACTGGAAGTACATGAAGATTGAGTTGCTTTTGGCCTTTTGAATCAGAGTCAATATGGTAATAGTCCTTCCGTCTAATCCAAACCTTTTAGTTGCGCTTTCGGGCTGTTTACTCATAGTCTAGGCAAGTCCTATTTACCTAGGTACTTACTTTCTTACTCGCCAAAAAGTCTCCACGAGTCTGAATTTGGGAGTTGTCTATGACCCAAAGCAGAGTCAAGCACAGGGCGGAGGCGGATATTTCGGAGGAAGAACATGAGCTTGTTACTAAGATTCTAAGAAGAAGTCAGCGCGTCGTTGAGTCGGAAATGCCATCTTGATTGGATGTGATGTAATCGTCTCCCGGTTGTTTATAGGCGAAAAAGAATCTGGGAATCGAATATAAAACGCCATCTGAGGCATTCGTAGGATCCTGAAAAGGGGTCTTGCTTCAGAGGCAGTGCGATTTGTTACTGTCCGTCTTACTGCACGCCGCGTACGACTGTACTACTGTAGCTACTGCCTACTCTGATATCCACCCCTTGAACTATTCCAGCACAGCCTTGTCATCTGCGCAATCTACCCGATAATCACCACCGACCCGCCTTCAAACTCTACAGACCTTTGCCGGCACAATGTCTGACAGTAGTGACAAGACTTATGGCTTCACGGCCCTTCCTGCCGACCAATCGCAAGACAAGCCCAGAACAACTAACCCCGAGGCTGTGGCCATCTCATCGCTTCAGCCTCCCAACACTCCGCTCGCCACGCGCGTCGACGGCTACGTCAAGTCCAAGCTCGATGCTGACACCTACCGCCACAGTCTGCGCGTCTACAGCTACGGCTGCGCCATAGCAAGGCAGTGCTTTCCGGAGTTTGAACTCACGCCAGGCTCCAAGCTGGACGAGACTTGGTTCTTGACCGCCATGCTGCATGACATTGGCACCTGCGACGAGTTCATGACGAGTACCCGCCTCAGCTATGAGTTCTTTGCAGGCGTCCATGCCTTTGATCTCCTGCAGAATCCCAAGATATCGGGTGGCGGGGAAGGTGTGGCGCCGCGAGAACAGGCCGAAAGTGTCGTCGAAGCCATCATCAGACACCAGGATGTTCAGGACAAAGGCAAGGTTACTCTGGTCACCAGACTGATCCACTGGGGCACGCTGTTGGACAACATTGGCGCCGGGAAGGAGTTGGTACACCCAGACACCATCAAGAACGTGGTGACCAAGTACCCTCGCCCAGGATGGAGCGGGTGTTTCAAGAGGACCGTTGAGAAGGAGAAGAAGTACAAACCCTATGCCATGGTTAGCCGGATCGAAGGATTTGAAGAGCTCATTGCCAAGAATGGGGCTTCTGGAGGACTGATGGCCAAATATGACTGAACTCACGATATGAAAACATGACTATGCGAATGACCTCTGTAGAGAGCATTTCAAATTATGGGCGTCCCGGGAAAACTCTCACTGTTTCGTACCATTCTGACCAACGTGGAAGCTCATGATGGGTGAAAAAGCCAACAGAATGATGCCTAACCACAGAGCCATCATCAATGGCAGCCAGCCAATCCCCAGTACCGTCCATTTGCTGATGGTTGCCTCACTTTAAGAGCCCCCCATGTGGGGTGAGTTGGTCTGCTGTGGCTTGAAGCAGATACACCCTTAGGTGGGAGGAGGGAGGAGATGCAGGCGTGAGAAACCATGCCAGCCATCTTCCTGTTGCCCCTCCAGGGCCCAAATGACAGCGCTTTCATCGGATCTTGCAGGCCAAGCTTGGCCGTTTCACCAACAATCCTTTCGTCAATACCTCGATAACTTTCGCGACGGCGAGTGAGTTCCTGCATGAGAGCCACGTGTGAGGCTTGGACAGAAACAATGGGTCGCCGAGAAGAAGAAAAGAACAGAGGGTTCTCAACAAGTCCAAGTCGACAGTCCTCGGTACTCGTGTTTGACATGCATCTCGCGTCGATCTTGTTTCACCACCCACGAAATCTCCACAATTTGCTTTCGACAAATGCTAGTCTGGCCGACACGTGATTGTCTGCTTAAGCAGCATTGCGCAATAAGAGTCTATCAACTGCCGTAGATATTTGACAGATAATGAGTCTATGCGTCGCCGAAGGAATTTGGCGCTATTAAACAACTGTGGTCGGCGGTCGCGTCGCGATCAATGCGACGACCAAGTCAACACTAGATCATCGTAGTAGGACCATGACCTCTGCGGCAAAAGGCAACGAGGTCCCTTCGTACCAGTAGAACGTAGTGGGCAAGCCTTGCACTCTAGATCATGCGCGAACGTCTAGCCAAGGGACACCACTCTCACACAAGTGCACTTGTGCGGACTGTATGGTGGGTTTTGATTTTGACCATGGAACAAATGAGGGAGCCAAATTGTCCATCGGGAGAGCAAATCTCAACGAGGAAGGGGTCCTCACCGGAACAATACGCGAGGTCGTGGAGGTTTGCAATAACGAAGATGGCTAGAGAAACCAAGACACGGAAGCCGGATGCGCCTCTCGCTCAAGATTTCGCTTTTCGCAGACCAGGTGGCACGTTTGACAGTTTCAATCAAGTCTTCAGTTTCATCCCTGAAATTGAGAAGATGATTTTCTGAAGAAGTCATGATTGAACTCTGAAGATTCCTCAGCAAGATAGCCACATATCAGGTACTTGCAGGGCCTCCTCAGGACATCTCAGGCTGAAGCAGCAGCTCCCCAGGGCCCAAAACAGAGATCGAAGCCATTTCTTGATTCCGATATCAGAAACTTGCCACTTAGCCTCAGCCACTCTTGCTTGCTCCGTTTGCCACTATACGTATGAGGATCCGCGGACCAAGCAGCTCGATCTGTGTCTGTGTCCGATTCCTTTATGTACTCCGTAGGTATATCGGAGTTGGATGAGAAGTGGAGGAGTGGAGGCGAACCAATTTGATGGAAGGTGATAGGAGAGATCAGATACGGAGGGTCTCCCTGGTCAGCAAGGCGTAACCGGTAGGAACTCGTAGTAGTAGTTCCTTCGTTCTCCTAAAGCAAGATGGCCGTAGTGAGTGACAAGGGGCTGCCTGATGGAGTAGTCTTAGCACGGTGGCAGTGCAAACCTCTGACCACCAATACCCACATGCGATTGGAGAATATCCTTCCTACCTGCGGCACAAGGCGCCAGACGGAAGCGGAGGCAGACATGAGGGTATTTTATCGCATGAACGGAGCACGTCAGATGCATTTGCCGCCGAGAAAATGAAGGGAAACTGTTGAGAAAGGAGACAAGAGTGATATCACATCGCAGAGACCGAAGTGAGATGGATGTCTCCATGTCGAAAACTGCGGATTTTGTACTCGGTATGAGGCCCCCATACTCGGTATGTAATCAGGTACCTCATAGTGACTGGGGGTCGGTCTCTGCGTCCTCCGATACGGCAAAATGGCGAATGGCCTCTGGACCACTTGAAGCCCAAGGTTTATCGCCTGAAAAGAAGAAGCTTGGCACCTAACGGATGGTCCTCGGGGCGCAGAGTTGGTACTCTGTGGGAAAGGGTGCCGGGCATTCTAGAGGCTTGGTTAGTGGTACTTAGGGGCCTTGTTTAAGTGGCCTAGCTCCAGTCCGGGGCCTGGGCTGCATCCAAGATTTCGGCAGCCAGACTGCGGCCATGCACGATGATCCTAAACCGTTGTCCGCAACTTCACGTATTTTCTCAATTCTCTCGATCGTCTTGGTTGTTTTGACACACCCTCAACGAGCAAATGGCCTTGCAGTTTGCCTCGTTCCTTTCTTTCCTTTGTACATACTCCTCTTCTTAACAGTACCCGCTTTATTTCCTGTTACCCTTCCCCTTCCCCTCTGTGGACCTTCCTGTTTGATCGTGAGGAGCCTGATCCCGACCACCCTCCCCTTGTTGATCCCTCGCTGCCACACTGTACATTATCCCACATGGATTCAGCCTTTCCATAGTAACCGCTATTCCCTAGCCAGTACGGAAGCCACGAATCTTTTCTACAGACAGGTCGCATTGGAGTATCGTTTTTCGGCATTGGCATTGCAGAGTCTGTGGCGTGAGCGTGACTTTTGTTAATTCACTACCATCTGTATGTGCGCTGTCCTGCCACTTCACGTTCGTCTCTCTTGCAGTGAAACCATTCTGACTCGCTTTGTTATACCAGTTCATCTTCAGATAATCCAGCAATTCACATAATATCGTCATCTAGTTCTTCTGCTGGTCGGACTTTGCCTCCCGTTCAACTTCGCGCCGCTTCTTGAATGGTTCGCTTTTGGAAAACGCGCCCTCTACAAAGACAACGAGGCGCTGGAACACTGCATGCAGCCTTCCCCCAAGTTGCCCTCATACTTCGAATCCTACCATGCCTTCACCCTCCGATGGGCAAGACCCAGAATCTCCCAAAGCAGTACAGACCCGACCGCGGGCTCCTACAATTAGTATAGACGATTCCGCCGTCAATTCTCCTCTCTCCCCTGAAGAACCTCCCAGTGCGGCATCAGATAAACCTGGTCCTCTGCCTCGAATACAAACATCTGGGCTCGATTCCGGACCTACTCTATCCTCTCCACTTTCAGTGTCGCCAACCGATGTTCGGCCGTCCTTTGACATACGCGAGTCCCGTCCAACCTCTCCCCATAATGTTTCCTCTCCCAGAACCCAGTTCCTGGATGGAGCTGCCCACAATTTCCTGGCAGTCCCCGGCTCAAGAGCAAGGGCGACGTCAATGGAGTCTCAAAACTCGGCTTCCACTTCTGAATTCGGGGGGGAAACACAGATCGCTTCAACCATTTCCGGAACGGACGATTTACGCAAGAACTCGTTGAACAATAACGACGATGTGATGAACGATGCAGACGCGCTGAGACCAGATCCTGGAACGGAGGCAGATTTTGAAGTTGAAGACAACAAGTTTGCGTTTAGCCCGGGACAGCTGAATAAGATGATCAACCCCAAGAATTTGGCCGCCTTTCATGCTCTTGGCGGCTTAAGAGGTCTGGAGAAGGGCTTGCAGAGTGATCGTAACAGCGGTCTAAGTGTAGATGAAGTTGGTTTAACTGGAACTATCGACTTTAAAACGGCCGTTCAGTCAGGCGTTGAGGCCGAACAACACTACGGCACTGTGAAGAGAACCCTCACCTCCAACTCGTTGACGGCCCCAGCGAAGATTTCCGAGAACTCGTTTGCTGATCGCAAACGTGTTTTCAAGGACAATCGGCTCCCGGAAAAGAAAGCCAAAACTTTCTGGCAACTCGCCTGGATTGCCTACAACGATAAGGTACTGATTTTGCTGTCTGTTGCTGCTGTTATCTCGCTTGCACTTGGTATCTACCAGACTGTCAATCCTGCGCCAACTGAAGAGCATGAAGCCCGAGTCGAATGGGTCGAAGGGGTGGCCATCATGGTCGCCATTTTTGTCGTTACTTTCGTGGGCGCATTGAATGACTACCAGAAAGAGCGTCAATTCATTAAATTGAATCGCAAAAAGGAAGAACGCTTCGTGAAGGTCATCCGATCCGGAAAGTCTCAGGAAATCTCAGTCTACGATGTTTTGGTTGGTGATGTTATGCACCTGGAGCCGGGCGATCTGATACCTGTGGATGGCGTCTTCATTGATGGCCACAACGTACGCTGCGACGAGTCCTCAGCAACTGGTGAATCTGACATTATTCGCAAAACGCCTGGGGACGAGGTCTATCACGCAATTGAAACGCATCAAAACTTGAAAAAGATGGACCCGTTCATCCTATCCGGCGGTAAGGTATCCGAGGGCGTCGGCACATTCCTTGTCACTGCAACTGGCGTCAACTCGAGCTACGGCAAGACCTTGATGTCCTTACAGGACGAGACCCAGACGACACCTCTGCAAATGAAACTCAATGTCCTCGCCGAATATATTGCGAAACTCGGTCTAGCTGCCGGTCTCTTACTCTTTGTGGTGCTATTTATTAAGTTTCTGGCAGAGCTCAAGAATATCGATGGAGGTGCTCAGAGCAAGGGTCAACGCTTCCTTCAGATTTTCATCGTTGCGGTCACCATCATTGTGGTAGCGGTGCCCGAAGGCTTGCCCTTGGCTGTCACGCTTGCCCTTGCGTTTGCGACGACGAGGATGCTAAAGGACAACAACTTGGTGCGACTCTTGCGAGCCTGTGAGACCATGGGCAATGCTACTACTGTATGCTCGGACAAAACCGGAACATTGACGCAAAATAAAATGACGGTCGTCGCCGGCACGCTGTCTACCGCTTCTAGATTCGGCGACAAACAACAGCCCATCAACTCTACCGTTGCTGAAGATACTATCATCAAAGGTACTGGTGTGGTGGCTGATGATGTGTCCTCGGCCGAATTCTTTGCGACACTTTCTCAGGACACGAAGTCACTCCTTAAGGATTCGATTGTCCTCAATACCACTGCTTTTGAGGGTGAAGAAGAGGGCAAGAAGGTGTTCATCGGCTCCAAGACTGAAACAGCCCTGCTAACATTCGTCGTGGACCATCTTCCCATTGGATCGATTGGTGAAGAGCGCTCGAATGCTGAGATTGCTCAAATGGTTCCGTTTGATTCTGGTCGCAAATGTATGGCTATCGTCGTCAAAATGCCAAGTGGCAAATACCGTATGATGGTGAAAGGGGCATCTGAGATCCTCATTTCGAAGTGCACCAGGATCGTCAGTGACCCGACAAAGGAATTGGTGGATGCACCAATGACCCTAGATCAAATGGACGCCTTGAACGGCATCGTCAGCAACTACGCATCGCGGTCTCTGCGCACCATTGCACTGCTCTACCGTGATTTCAATGAGTGGCCACCACGTGGTGCCGCTCTTGCGGACGACAAGAAACAAGCAGACTTCGACAAGGTCTTCAAAGACATGGTCTTCCTTGGGGTTGTTGGTATTCAGGATCCCCTTCGTCCAGGCGTTGAAAAGGCGGTTCGCGACTGTCAAGTTGCCGGTGTGTTTGTGCGTATGGTGACGGGTGATAACATCATGACCGCAAAGGCGATCGCGACTGAGTGTGGTATCTTCACACCAGGTGGAATTGCTATGGAAGGCCCTGTGTTTCGGAAACTGAGCTCAAAGCAGCTGACGCAGGTCATCCCGCGTTTGCAAGTGCTCGCCAGATCAAGTCCTGACGACAAGAAGCTACTTGTGAGCCATCTAAAAAAGCTCGGGGAGACTGTGGCTGTCACTGGTGATGGTACCAATGACGCACCGGCGCTGAAAGCTGCAGATGTTGGCTTCGCCATGGGTATCGCTGGCACAGAGGTTGCCAAGGAAGCGTCGGCTATCATCCTCATGGACGATAACTTTGCGTCGATCGTCAAAGCCATTTCCTGGGGCAGAACTGTCAACGACGCTGTCAAGAAGTTCCTTCAGGTAAGTCTCTTTTGTCATGTTCGGGTACTCACGACAGACTGACGATGGCGCAGTTTCAAATTACAGTGAACATCACAGCAGTCTTTCTGACGTTCATTTCAGCGGTTGCTAATGATGACGAAAGCTCTGTACTGACGGCTGTCCAACTTTTGTGGGTTAATTTGATTATGGACACGTTCGCCGCCCTGGCGCTCGCTACGGATGCCCCTACTCCTTCCGTACTCAAACGGCGACCGGAGCCGAAGTCGGCACCGTTGATCACAATCACAATGTGGAAGATGATCATTGGGCAGTCAATCTATCAGTTGGTCGTGACATTGGTCTTGTACTTCGGAGGAGACGGCATCCTGTCCTATCAAACACAACATGAGAAGGACCGACTTCAGAGTACCATCTTCAATACGTTTGTGTGGATGCAAATCTTCAACCAATATAAGTGAGTGAATTTCCAACCATATCTCATGGATGCCAGACGCTGACCACGTCCAGCTCGCGACGACTGGATAACAAGTTCAATATTTTCGAAGGAATGCTTCGCAATTACTGGTTCATGGGGATCCAACTCATCATTATCGGAGGCCAGTGCTTGATCATGTTTGTTGGAGGCCAGGCTTTCTCCATCAATCGAATCAACGGGGCGCAATGGGGATACTCCATTGTTCTTGGTGCACTCTCCGTCCCAGTGGCAGTCATCATCCGATTAATCCCCGATGAGCTGTTCGCGAGACTAATACCCCATTTGCCACGAAGAAAGAAGCATGGCCCAGAGTTTGTGCTCGAAGATGATGAAAAGGTGCAATGGAACCCCGCATTGGAAGAGATCCGAGAAGAGTTACAATTCCTGAAGAGAATCCGCGGTGGCCGTATCTCGGAGCTGGCTTACAAGCTGCAGCATCCACGAGATACGTTTCTCCCGCGGTCACGCAGTCCTTCGCGATCGCGATCGAACAGTGAATTGCCACAGACACCAGATGGGGACAATGTTGTGCCAGATACACTGACAGGATCCCCGGCTACCCCGGAAAGGCCGAAACGACGGGCGAGATCGAGCTCGAACTCGGTTTTCGGACCTGCGACAGCAATGGCTGGGATCATTGCAGGAAGCATTGCTGGAGGGTTCTCACCAATTGAGCGGCGGCCTGAGGAACAAGAGACAGTGCGCTTCACCAGAGCTCGATCTCATTCCGGCGTTGAAGGGACAAGTGGTATGGAAATCCATCCGGCGACACCAGCAGACGACCCTGTTTTTGCTCGCTCGGCTCCTAGGGCTGGCGTTCCTCCCAGCCAAGATCCTGACTTGGCTCCGCATTTCGACTATGCACCGCCGCACAGTCCTTCTGGGCGATCCAAAACGTCACATTCGCGACATGGGTCTGCTGTGTGAAAACTGAAACAATGTCTGTTGTTGGTATGTCTAGGGAAGTTTCTGCCTCGACTGGAGTACCACCTATCGGGGACCAAGTCACTATCAAACTCGCAGGTGAAGATGGCAAGCGACAGCAATCTATCTTCGCTGGGAGAAAGCGCACTACGGCGATCCACATTGTAGCCGGAACCACAGATGTGAACAAGACCATGGATCACTTGACGGGAATGGTGGATCTGCATCGCGGCCAACCCGGCGAATCCGATGAGGTCCGTAAATCCAAGGCTTAATGCAAAAAGGAGACCAGCGATCTCTGCCACTCTATCATTGCCTGAATTTGGCCAGGCGGCCGTAAATATGGGTTGGGAACGGAAAAGGACTGGATTAGCGGGGGAAGGAGCAAATACGGGATACAAAAGCCTCGAAAAAGGCCAGCTGGGATCAAGAACACTGTGTCCAGCATAGCAATGATTGATCCGGCTGCTGTACAACACATAGGACATTGGTGACATAGCACTTCTCACCGCATGTCGCCTTATCAATAACAAGATATGATGAGAATCAACAGCGCAGCCTCGAGCACGGTCGTGCAATACTGCCTACCTAGGTAGGTATATACTAGTAGTATTCGAGCAAGTCCCTGGATCCAAAAAGGGGGCACCACTGCAGGGCAGATGTGATATCATTTTGCCCCCGAGGCTGGCCCGTGAGGCTGTGAACCGAGGCAAAAAAAAATCACATTTCTAAGTCGGTTGGATGGCCGGTTGCCAATCGAGGCCAGCCATTTTGTCTTGCAAACTCCACATGCGCTTCAACATTATCCATCGCACTGCTGAGTCCTCGTACCGCTCTTCGCTTCGTCGTATCCCGCCGGGCACTGGCGGGCCGTTGATCGCTTTTTCCTCCTGGATAGCTCGCAGTTGGGAAGCAATGGCTCCGGCGCGGTCAACGTTAAATAGACTCGGGCTCTGCATCCCTCGCTCCCCGACTCTTCTCAATAAGCCTCCGACTACGAGTCTCTTGTTTACCTGCATCCATTGGCCTTCTTCTGTGAACACACACTTCCCCCGGTCACTCGCTCAGAGGTCGATCCACATTGCCACTGTGTCTCGTCCATCAGCGGCGTTATCATCTGCCCGAGCACAAGCCTTCCACTATCCAAGACAGATACAAAGGACTGCGTGGAGTCCCTATTCCACAGGTGAGTGACGCGACGCCCTGTGTCAGCGTTGAAAGACCGCTCATATACGCCGCTGCAGTTGTCGTCCACAACAAAGGACAAGCTCGCGTCCGCCGGACAATCAGCTTCCTCCTCATCAGCACCGTCTTTTTCGCAGTCGGAACCTATTTTGCCGTTACCTACGCGTCTCCTATCCCCACGCCCTTAATCATGGGTTCAATGCCCTCGGACGCCGAAACCCTCACCCTCTACACACCCGACAATGACTTTGCACGCGAAGTTGATGAACACATCAGGAACTGTGCCCTGGCCCAGTCCCTGCGGGCAAATCCAGATTTCGTCGAGTCCAGACCCCATCTCAAAATTCCCGAGGAAATGAGACAACACAGCCTGACGGCAGGGACGTTGGCGGGGCCCGGAATGATCGTGGTGCCTCCATATTACTTTAACGAGAAAGGCGGAAAATCCATGGTGCAGATATTTTACGTCGGTACTGATGTCTCAGGACATCCGGGAATCGTCCACGGAGGGTTTTTGGCAACCATGTTGGACGAGGGACTCGCGCGCTGCGCATTCCCTGCCATGCCGAACAAGGTCGGAGTGACGGCCAACTTAAACATCAATTACCTCAAGCCGACCATGGCGGGACAGTTCCTGGTGTTGAGGGCCAAGACGACAAAAGTTGACGGCCGCAAAGCGTGGGCTGAGGGATGGATTGAGAGCCTCGAGGTTGCCGAAGGAGAGGAACCCGTCAAGTTGGTCGAGGCTAGTGCGTTGTTCATTGAACCAAAACATGCCAAGGTACGTCTGCTGTGCTTGATCTTGATCCGCTACTGCCGAGTGGCTATAACTGACTGTTCATCTTCTAGGTATTAAAATCTCTTTACAAGGTGGCGGCAGCGTGAGAGATCCCACGTTGCTGCTAGAAATCGCCTTCTAGCTTTCTTCACGACCTAAAGGGCCTTCAAGCCGCTTCAAGAAAATTGCAAAAGAGCGAATAGACCGACATTGCAGGATGGAGTACATAATGAGACATTTGCTTTGCTGGGTAAGAGATGGTTTAGGGATATACCCACTCGATGCCTGCGATGTTGAACCAGGTGGCGCGGATGATGGGCTTCATGTCAACAGGGCTGAGGGCGAATTTGCACGTTAGCGGAGTTGGTGGCTTCTTGATACGCAATAGAGCGGAGCATGGGTCATGCGTAGACTTGGTAAACGGTGAACTGAGCGGGAAGAGTGAAACCAAAGTCATATACATATACATATACCTTTGACTTGCCAGCCTTGAGATTTTCCAATGCCATCTGAGTTTGTGTACACTGTCGTGATCGGAGGGTTGGATGTCGCCAGAGATCATCGAGATCTCACATGCCAACGGGTGGACTATCGCTCCATAGGTAGCTAGGTAGGGGCAGTGCGAGGCGAGACGGCTTGATGCAAAGGACGGCAAATGACGGATTCTAATTCTGCTTTTCAGTTGCCAGATGCGGCAAAATCGCAGCAAAGCAAATAACGCAGGTCCCAGCGAGAAGTCTCCATATCCTGCTAATCAACTCTACTCGCCCACTTCTGGCAATGGGATCCCCAATTCGAGACTTGCTTCCAGACCCCACCATGTGGGTGAAAGGTACCTAGGCAAGCTAGGTAGACGGCATATCAGTGGCATGACAGAGTCCGCAGTGGTCGTATGATGGATGGAATTCCGGCCATGCACAACCCCGATCTACACCCCCTCCTCCATCCTCGCCGCTGACTGCCATGTTCTAGAGCGCCATATGACCAGTTTGCTTGTTGCTGAGTGGGAGGCGGCTTCCCCGTGTGCTTGTTTTGGGGGGTAGGCTGGCCTCATTCCCTTTTGCTGATGTGGGAAGTACATTGTATTCCTCCCATCTTTTGTTCCCGCCCAGGCCACCGAGAATTGGCTTCGTAATCTGTCTACAAGCATGTTGGACTGGAAGATTCGATCGCCAAAGGGGCTCTGGGGCTCTGGGGCTCTTCTGGAACAAATGACGTTGCAGGTAAAAAGTCTATGTAGAATCGATAGGCTTTGCTTTCTTCACCTACGAGTGTCCTGTGCCGAGGGTGTCGAGTCCCATCCTGCAAAATACACAATCTATGACAAGTCAGGTGTTGGGAGAGACTTCTTCGCTGGCCGTTACCCGATGCGAGAGAATCCATTCGCTGGAACTAGCTACTATGGGCAAGACGCAAAAAGCTTGCAATCACAAGCTAGCTGATGTAAACCAATCGCAAGTGACATAATAAATCCCTGTGTGCCTAGACGCCGATTACCGGCGGGGGCTTATGCGCTAAGCCGTATTTGGCCATGGGCAGCGAAGGGGGAAGGTACCTGGTATTTGATTGTTTTGAGGGGCACCTTTCACTTTGCCTCTCTTTAATATAAAGGCGCGGGGTAGTTCTTGTTCCCTTCCCGACATGTCCTTTACTTTTCTCTCACCTTCACGATCCTCCTTTCGACTGTCTTCTTGTCTCACTAGATTGACAAAAACATCCGCAGCCATGGCTTCGTCCAAGTGCCCCATGAGAGAGGCCAATGTCGCCGGCGGCGGCACTCGCAACCGCGACTGGTGGCCCAATGACCTGAGACTCAACATCCTCCGCCAGCACACTGCTGTCTCCAACCCGATGGACAAGGACTTCAGCTACGCACAAGCCTTCAAGAGCTTGGACTACGAGGCGGTCAAGAAGGATCTTCATGCCTTGATGACAGACTCTCAAGAGTGGTGGCCAGCCGACTTTGGTCACTATGGTGGTCTGTTCATTCGGATGGCCTGGCACAGTGCTGGAACCTACCGTGTCGCCGATGGCCGTGGTGGCGGTGGTCAAGGTCAACAGCGCTTTGCTCCCCTCAACAGCTGGCCTGACAATGTCAGCCTGGACAAGGCCCGCCGCCTGCTCTGGCCCATCAAACAAAAGTATGGCAACAAGATCTCCTGGGCCGATCTGATGCTCCTCACTGGCAATGTCGCCCTCGAATCCATGGGTGTCAAGACCTTTGGCTTTGCTGGTGGCCGTCCAGACACCTGGGAGGCCGACGAGTCAGCCTACTGGGGCGGCGAAACCACCTGGCTAGGCAATGACGTTCGTTACTCCCAAGGTCACTCGGGCATCACAGGCGACGGCGTTGTCGATTCCGATGAACATAAGAGAGACCACAAGGATATTCACACTCGAGACTTGGAGACCCCGCTCGCAGCTGCGCACATGGGCTTGATTTACGTCAACCCAGAAGGCCCCGACGGCATTCCTGACCCTGTCGCCTCCGGCAGAGACATCCGCACCACCTTTGGCCGCATGGCGATGAACGATGAAGAAACCGTTGCGCTGATCGCGGGTGGTCACTCCTTCGGCAAGACACATGGCGCCGCTCCTTCTGAAAACGTCGGCAAGGAACCAGCAGACGCTCCTTTGGAGCAACAGGGCTTTGGATGGGCCAACAAACATGGTTCTGGCAAAGGTCCCGACACCATCACCAGCGGCATCGAAGTCACATGGACCGCCACTCCCACAAAGTGGAGTAACAAATACCTCGAATATCTCTTCAAATACGAATGGGAGCTCACGAAGAGCCCTGCTGGCGCCAACCAGTGGGTAGCAAAGACGGACGACTTGATCATTCCTCATGCTTATGACCCCAACAAGAAGCTTAAGCCGACCATGCTGACGACCGACCTTGCGCTCCGCTTCGACCCAGCCTATGAGAAGATCTCTCGCCGTTTCCTCGAGCACCCAGAGGAGCTTCACGATGCTTTCTCGCGTGCTTGGTTCAAACTTTTGCACCGTGATATGGGTCCACGATCCCGCTGGCTCGGTCCCGAAATCCCGTCCGAGGTGTTGATCTGGGAAGATCCTATCCCACCTGCCAACCATCCCATCATCGATGAAAGTGACATTTCCAGCCTGAAGCAAAAGATTTTGGCCACCGGCACCAAGCCTTCCGAGTTGATCACTGTTGCGTGGGCATCGGCTTCAACCTTCCGTGGCAGCGACAAGCGCGGCGGCGCCAACGGTGCTCGCATTCGCCTCGCTCCCCAGAACAAGTGGAAAGCAAATAACCCTCAAATACTAAGTCAAGTGCTGGCAACTTTGGAGAAGGTGCAGCAGGAGTTTAACAGCTCCGCAAGTGGTGGCAAGAAGGTGTCGTTGGCCGATCTCATCGTCCTGGCAGGTACCGCAGCCGTGGAGAAAGCCGCTGGCATTTCTGTTCCCTTCACCCCTGGCCGCACAGACGCCACTCAAGAGCAAACCGATGCTCAATCTTTCGAGCACCTCGAGCCTGTGGTTGATGGATTCCGCAATTACGGCAAGGGAACATCCCGTGCCCGAACGGAACACTTCCTCGTCGACAAGGCACAACTGCTGAATCTGTCCGCACCTGAAATGACTGTGCTGGTGGGCGGTCTGCGGGTCTTGAATGCCAACTGGGATGGCTCTTCCTACGGCGTCTTTACCAAGCGGCCCGGTCAATTGACCCCTGACTTCTTCACCAATCTCCTCGACATGGGCACCGCCTGGAAGGCCGCCAGCCCCGATGAGGAACTTTACGAGGGCTTCGACCGCAAGACCGGTGAGAAGAAATGGACTGGCACTCGCAGTGATCTTGTCTTTGGCTCTCACGCCGAGTTGCGCGCCATCGCCGAGGTGTATGCCAGCGCTGGCAACGAGGAGAAATTCGTCAAGGACTTTGTCGCAGCTTGGGCCAAGGTTATGAACTTGGATCGATTTGATTTGGCTTCCGCTCAGGACCCAGCAAAGGCGCGTCTATAAGCGAGAAACATGTTGATTTCTAAGAAGACGATGGGACCTTGCAGGTCACTGAATATGTAGTCGTCAGTTCATCATGCTGTTCGGAGTTGGGCAGTGAACAAGTTCGATCGGTTAGCAAGCTCAAAGAACTGCAGCCGCACTAAATAGCAATTAAAATGTACCAATTCAGAATGAGTTTGTTCTCTTCCCTCTGCATGAGCACGAGTTATATCAGCACACGATGAGCATGAATGTGGTGTGTGCCACGGAAAAGAGCTGGTGAGGCATGACGCAGGCTCCCCCCAAAGGGATCTTCCGAAGACGCCAATCATCACAGCGTACGAGGTAATAATAGTGAGGGAGCTCCATCTCTGCCTACTACCACGTACCGCTCACCAGTTACTGCACCATCTAAATAGTTCACCCGGATCTCCTGCATACAATCATTTCCACCGCAGCCCTTCTCCCTCATGCACAGACACTTTGAAACGTGATACCTTATTTCCTGTACTTGTTGCGCGCTCTATTACTTGAGCCGCCCTCCTCTGCCCCCTCCCCCTCTGGGTCCTGAGCACGGTCGGTTCAAAGCCATGTCTGCCAAATATCTCTTCGTCTCGGTCCCCACCAGCATAACGCCCTCGGGCCACAAGGACGACGCAGTCGCATCGGTGCAGAAAGCGGCCAACCCGTCCCAAGGCGACGTTTTGCCATTCTCCATCCCAGAGTTCAAGATCGGCACGCTCGACGCCCTGTTACAGCAGTCCGAGGAACTGGCCAAGCTGGCGGCCGTGTGTCATGGAGTGGTAGGCAAAGTCGGGGACACCTTGAAGAACATCCTGGACGGGGACGAGGAGAAGATTAACATGCACAAGAATGTCAACGATAGTATGTTTTTCTTGCTCAGCGGAAATGTGACGAGGCAGAGAAGGCGGCGGCGGCGGCGGTGGTGGTGATAATATGGGTTCTCGATCGGAGCGCTGACTTGGATACCCCGTGCTATTCCAGAACCCCTCGAGCAATACCTGCGAAGCTTCTCCTGGAACAAAGTCAAATACCGCGCCGACAGGCCACTGTCGGAACTAATCGATCTTCTACAAAAGGTATGTTAACGGGGCAGAACTGGGAGCTGTGCTTGCGAGGGTTATTGGCGACACACGTACATATGTTGACTCCGATTGCGCGGACAGGAAGCCAATTCGATAGACAACGACGTCCGATCCAAGTACAACCAATACAACTCGCTCCGCACCTCCCTCCAATCCCTGATCCGCAAACAGACGGGCAATCTCTCGACCAAATCCCTCGCGCCTCTGATCACCGACCCCAAAATCCTGGTGCAGAATCAACACTCGGAGCACCTGGAAACCCACTTGATCGCCGTGCCCAATGCCAACGTCAAAGAATTCATGAGGACCTACGAAACGCTGGCGCCCATGGTCGTCCCACGCTCGGCGACCTTTGTGGCCCAGGACCAGGAATACACCTTGTACGCGGTGACGACTTTCCGGAAGCACGCGCAAGAGTTTGTGCATAAAGCCCGAGAGAGGAAGTGGGTGCCCAGAGACTACAAGTACAAGGAAGGCGGCAAGGAAGAGGAGGAAAAGGAGGTCAAGAAGGTCGAAGCCGAGGAGAAGAGAGTCTGGGGAGAAACGCTGCGGCTTGGTCGGACCGGGTGGAGTGAGGCCGTCATGTGTCTTGTGCATGTGGTCGTGTTGAGGGTGTTTGTGGAAACCGTCCTGAGATACGGCTTGCCGTTGGATTATGTGGCTGTTTTGATCAAGGTATGTCTATGCCGACCCTACCATGAACCTCTTCCTATCTCAAGTCTCTGAGGGAAAAAAATCCCCAAATTCAATGCTAACGCTGGCCCCCAGACGGACACGAAACGCGAAAAGAAGGTCCGTCAAGGTCTGGACAGCGAGTACTCGTACCTCGCAGGCAACGCCTTCGGGAGAGACAAGAAAGGCAGAGTGGTCAAGGATGAAGGCACCAGCGGCCAGCAAGACATGGTTGCCGGTGGCGGAGGAGAACAAGGGGAGTATTCGGCTTATGTATGTTACGATATCGAACTCGAATGATTTTTACAGGGGGTGGAGGAATGATAAAGGAAGAAAGAGGGGGGGGCGTGGGCGTGAAGTAAATCACTGGATCAAAGAGGGAGGGAATGCAGTGGTTTACGTTTCATAGATCCCCCCCGGGCAGAGAAAGATGTATAGAAGAAACGTTGAAGCGTTGATTCACTCGGACCTGGTAAGCTCGCGACGCAATGCAATGCGGCTCCTCTGTGGCCGAAAGAGGAAGGATGAAGCAGGGGGAGTCTGGTCTACGTACAGAGAGAATCGGATCAGCTCGTCGTTGCAAAATCTCCCTCTCTGCTTCGTTACATGGTATCAAAGATCGATAATACTCCGTTGGACCACCGGCCCCCGCCCGCGCCCGCGCCTGCCCTTCTGTGGAATTACATGGATCCCCTCTTGAATCCCAATGTGTTTTCAACAATGTTCGTCCGAACCTCTCAATCTGATACCTAGAGGGGGGAGGGAAAGCGTAGGAACTACACCGTTCCGCATCGCCTTGCTCTGTGCGGTTGTGCGGTTGTGCGCTGTGCGAGTATCGAGACGATCGAACCCCCCCGGTCTTTTTCTTCTGTAGCCTTGATTATTGGCCACTTCCCGTCAATTGCCGGCGAGAATACATTATATGATTGAGTGATTGATTGATTGATTCATCGGACCAGTAACCGACCGGTATTGGCGGCGAACTCTATGGGGGCATGTATGTAGCATTGATAGCTCAGGCGATGGCGATGGCTTGGATTCATGTCTATGACATTCAACCGAATAGGCGAGGGCTCCGGGTCATTCCCAAGGCTTTCTGGTCACCGCATGTGTCTCTTGTCCTCGAGGTCGAGGGAGCACATCCTTTCACAACCTTGTAGCTGGACTTGGGAGCCAATTTTGGAGAACTGAAAATGCTTGGTTAGCTTTTGTTCGTCCTTTCCCACCCTTTCCGGGTCCGATTCTAGGGAACAATTGATTGTCGGAGTGGTGGTGAGAGGCGAGTTACGTCCGGACGATGGCTGGAGTGAACGGATGGATGAAGATAACCAGTCCATGACACTTTCCGCTGCGCTGTTTGTGCATGGGTCATGACGGTAGGGCCAACGAGGGACTGCCTGACCTGACCTCGTCTGAGCGCAGAGTTCATCGTTGGCCTAACGTCGCTCCCTCTGGCGGTTGTGCCTGAGTTCCGTGCTGGTTTTCCGCTGGAGCTTGAGCTTGAACCTGACCCTGAGCTTGTCGTTGACCATCATACAGTCCCGAGTAGTACCCCGCCCAATAATAAGCCATCTTGATATTCTCGAGCGTTTGATCTGGCGAAGAGATGGGTGTGGCCGCTGTTGGTACAGGATAGGAGTTAGAGAAGCCAGCAAGAGCACAGGGACTGTTTGGAGGAAGATGAAAAAAGACGTGATGAGCAAATACAATATGACAAGAAGACGATGGTGCAACGGCCGTCTCGGTCTGCAGAACAGATGGGGAACGAAAGAGACCATACATACCTTGACCGGTTGTGATTGCGGTTGCTGGCGGCAAGCTGGGTCCCATAGTTGGAGCAGTTGTCGCTGTCGTTGTCGATGGTTGTCCCATTGTTGACTGAGGTGGATGGTCTTGCTGTCCTCTCTCCTCACCTAACATGGACTGGACTAAAGGACACAGAGTATCAGCGATTGGCCACAATCCCCGGACTTTTCGGAGGAAGAGGCATACATTGATCCATGGCAGCCTTCCGTCTCTGCTCAAGATTATGCGACTTGCCTCCGTGGCCATCCTCATGCGAGCTCATACACTCCCCGTCTTCCACCTCGCCACTCTCGGATCTGGTATCCTGGGGGGCTGTGTCGGCATTTTCGTTTCCATCAGGCGCTGTAGGTCTAGCCGGCGCTTCTGTGTGAACAGGTCGCCACTGCCCGCTTGCTGCTTGGCCTCCAGGGTCGACGTCGGTGTCGTTATTATCGTCGTCGTCAAGTTCGCCCATCTCTGCCTTGCGGAGGATCTCTTCCACGTCTTCGCCGCGCGCGTGTATGCTGTGGTAGTACTATGTCTCTATGTCAGGGAGAGAAACGTGAGGAGGAGACTAGGAGATGAGATCGACAGAAGACAGGCTGGAGTCGTGGAGATGCCGTTTGGGCGAAGCTCATCCCGCGAATGTTTATTAAATTCCTCCTCTGCTGCACCTTGGCGAGGAGAAGGAGGGGGATCGGTTTTGTCTGGTGCACTAGCCAATGTAACCGTAATTGTCAAGCACATACCTCGTACTCCGCAACAGCGTCGTTCCAAGACCGGATCAGCGCCGAATCGTCCCATATCTCGGCCTGACTGAGCTCTTTCCCCCCTGTCGAGTGCTTCGTCTTTTGCTTTTTCTTCTTGGGCATTGCTCACGGTGGCCTTGGAGGAAGATGATAGAAAAGTCAGGTTAAATACTATGGCAGTCACGAGACGTCAAGGCAGACTGTGTATGGAATTACTTGCGACACAAGGAGAGAAGTTGGAAGTAAAGCCCCCAAGGCTCAAAGAAGTTGTGCTCGTGCCAAGACCGTGAGGTTATTGGTCAGCCTTGCCTTGTCACCACAAGGCGGACGAGGAGCCACTGGCCTCGCCGTGAATGTTATACACATCTCCATTATTGCTCTTTGCGACTGTCTATTCTCAGCGAGATCACAAACGAGCGGGAGCTTTGGCGGAAGTGACTCATCTGACCACGTCCGACGCCGCTGGGAGGCTTACAGAAGCACCCGTTGTTGTCAGGTAAGCAGAAGGTCGGTTTGAAAAGCCGCGTGCATTACATACTTTACCAGAGAGTGTTTTATGTTAAAATTGACTGGTGGCATGGGACGCATGACTGCTCAGTGCTCACCTTTGTCACCATTTTTGCCATGAGCAAGTTGAACCACTGCAGAATAGTGGTTGGCTTGGTGGTGGCGGGTGGGGATTTTGTCCTCCGTAAGTTCCTTTAGGCTGGCCCCGGCCCGGCCAAAAGTGCAAATCTACCTCGTGCTCAAGAGTCTATGATAAGAAGAATATCCTTCTCTCCTCTCCTCAATTACGAGCATCCCGCGAAATCGAGAGATTGTTAGCTTGGGCAAACACACACATATATACACACGTCGCAGGCTCTCTCAGTCGATCGGCACACCCAGCGACTCGAGTTCCTCTACTTCTCCAGCTTCTCCTCCTTCTCCTCGACAAGGCAACTGAGCACGCCCCCAATGACGGCCTTTTCTACGTCAGATCCCGAGCGCTATCTCAGCCGTGCATGGACAACTTTCGACTCGGTCTACCTGTGGACCCTTTTGATTTTACTCATCCCATTCATTTTCGTCGATATGCATATACCTTATCGGTTCGGCAAGGAGGGCCGCAGGGTCAAAGGGTCTTCGTGACAAAATCACCTTCCCCTCTCGCCCTGCCCTGGTGTCTTCATTGCCGATAGTTACGAGCACTTGTGGTGAGGGCGCACAAGAATATATTAACTAAATGGGGTATCTATGTCCAATGAGGAGTAAAAGAGCACAACGCTCAAATCAACAAGTCCAAGCTTCCTAGCTTCAAGTACAATATGCCCGATACTCGTACAAATGGGGGTCCACGATACCATCGTCAGCTCAGCTCAGCCTTGGTCGAAGCAGAAAAAATGGCGGTAAATGTCAATCAAGACTCAAATCTGAACTGTCTCGCCCTCGTCGCTCGAAAATTCTCAATCAAAACACATGAATAGATGCCGGTTGAGAATACAAGCCAGCGCGATAAGAAGACATGGGTATCGAAGCGAGTGGTGATGCCGAATGCCAAAAAGGATATGCTTGCTGTATGCTTGTAAGTTTGCTTGCTGTCACAGATTGAAGTCGGACGACGAAGGAAAATGCAGTGCTGGACGAGCGAGCTGCGGCCTGGCGATGTGGATATCCGTCCCAGCAGAATCCTCGGCCCACAACGGTATTCATCTGGCGTCTTCTGCTCTTTTCCGACCGATGTATGAGGTATAAAATGCACAAGGTGATCTTCAATCTCAGAAAAGACCTCCGAGGAAGCTCTTTCTCTTGCTGTCGTTCCTCCCACCCAGTGCCGGACGCCCGTCCCAAGTCTTGACAGGCGCCTCGTCATAGCCATAGCCGCGACCGTCATCCTGATCGCGATCTTTGCGTCGACGTCGTTCTCTGCGTTCTCGCTCCTTGTCTCGCTCGTCACTGCCGCCACTGGCTGACTTGCCCTCCGCGCGACGCGAGCTCTTCCTGCGAGCACGGTATTCTTCGATTTCTGCGTCCGTCATGCCGGCATATTTGTCACGATGGCGACTGCTGCGTTTAGGCCCGGACCCCTCGTCCGCTGCTCGTGGTTTTTCGCCACTCGGATCGAGAATTGTGCCCTCAACAGGCGGCAGATCAGGTGGCTCGTCGGCTTGAGAATCGACCCATGAGCTAGTCTTGTTGGCTGGAGGTGAAATTCCTTTACCACTACCGCTTCGAGATTCGTGGTATTCTTCAACAAGGACGCTGGATCGCTTGCGGCTCGATCGCTCTCTGTCTTTGTCTTTGGGCTTCCGCTCTTCTTTCCGCTTTCTTCTTTCTTCTTCCGCATAATATGATCTGCGACGGTCATCTTTCGAAACATCGCGATTGACTCCTTGCTCAGCTTCAAGCTGAGCACGGAGTCGCCGGCGCTCTTCCCGCCGGCGGTCCGCTTCTGCGTTTGCCTCGGCCTCTTCTTGTGCTGCGCGTGCTTCTCTGGCGGCGCGTCTAGCCCGCTTTTCTTCACGGCGCCTCTCTTCTTCCTCTTGTTCTCGTCTTTCACGATCACGAGCTTTGCGTTGACGAGCTTCGAGATCCGCCTTTTCACGCTCTCTTCTTTCCTTCCGTTTCAGCTCACGCTCGACGCGATCGGCTTCTTCGGCATGATCACGCGCTTCGCGTTTAGCTCTTCTTTCAGCACGTCGAGCTTCCATATCGGCATCCGTTTCAGCTGGCGCGTCGGTGGTGAATTCATCCCCATCTATAGCTCGGGAACGTCTCTTTGATTTATCTTTGGTCCTGATGGGTAGATCTTCTGCATCCGTCAGAGTTTGGCTCCGGTGCCGCTGTCGCTCTCCTTCAAAGGAGCGAGAACTGGCAAAGAAGCTGCCGAAAAGTCCTGTCGATTTTCTGGGGGCAGTATTGCTTCTCTTTAAAGCGGGCGGATGATCCACAAACGCCATGTCGTCGGGTCCGCTTGTGACTAATGGGTCTGCATGTGTTGGGCTCTCGACCATCACAACGTCGTCGTCGTGGGAGATGTTTTTGCTGTGTGACTTGATCTGCGTGTAGGAAACCCGTCCGTCAGCATGAACTTCCTTAATGAAATCCGGTGACCAGGACGGGCGGAAAACGTGGCCCAGACTCTTGGAGGAGGCTTGTGCACCTACCTCTTTCTTTGATTTGGAAGACCTGGACTTTGTATTTTCTGGTAGTGATACACTATTCACAAGCGGAGGATTGTCATTGGTATGGATCATTACCATGTCATCATCGTCGATAGGATACGGGTCTGGAACGGCTGATGGAGGCGGATTAGCTATCATTCTGGATGAGGCCAGATTTGTCGCCTTACCTGAAGATCTCCTCTTCACTGATGGACGGCGCTCGACCTTGCTGGATTTGATCCCCATGAGCTTGGCTGCCTTGTCTGTAACTTGGGGTTCATCCTCAGGCGGCGGGGACGCGAAGCCATCAATGGATTGACGCCGAGACGAAGGCCTTGAACTGGTCGCGCTGCTTGGTCTTCGACTGGTGGTCGTCTTCGAACGCGGCATAGACGATGGCGGTGGTCCACCAAACATGAAGTTCGAAAACGAAGTACCGCGAGCAGCCTTCGGTCTCTCGGTTTTCTTGGATTTGGTCTCTTTGTCAGATCCAGACGACTTGGAGAGCTTTTCAACTTCCTTCCTGTCCTCCTGTTCTTGTTCTTTTGGAGTCCGAGTCGATTTCGACCGAGTCAGCCCGGTTGGTGATTTCTCTTTCTTTGGTGGTGGCGGCATGTCCTCGTCGTCCTTTGGCTTTTCTTTGGTCGACTTCTTCGGTGGAGGAGGTGCTGCGCCCCAGAATCCCCAAGAAGTGGTTGCGGATCGTTCTACCCTAGGGCGTTCTTTCTTGGTAGTTTTCTTGTCTTCCGGGGGAGGGGTCGGCAACTTGGGCACTGATTCTTCCTCGGGCAGGCCGATGTCGTCTGTTGTTGACTCCTTGGGCGTGGTAGTCTTGGATTTGATAGCCTTTTTCCCAACAGTGGTAGCCTTAGCCTTAGCCTTGGGCTTTTCCGGCGAGGTGGGTGAATTGTCGAGGTCGAGAATGTCGTCGGCGAAGTCGTCGTCGCCAAACGCGCCAGGAAAGCTGCCGGGGATGGAGTCTTTTGACTTCTTCTCCTCTGCGACAGGAGACGCGTCTTTCTTGGATGTCTTGGATGTCTTCGCAGTCTTGGTGGCGGAGGCTGTCTTCGTCTTCGAGGCTGGTGCCTTGTCGATATTCGTCTTTTCCTCTTTCGGCGATGGCGCGTCGTCTGGTGGAGGCAGCTCCTTAGTCAGCACCGGCTCGGCCTTGGGCTTCTTCTTGCTCTCTTCCTTTTTGCCCTCCAAAGCCTTGATGCGATCAGCGACAGACGAGCTTGTTTTGGTCTTTGTGGTGGTGGTGATCATTGCCTTTGCGGCCTTCGAAGTAGAAGAGGGTTTCTCAAAGTCAAATCCAGAATCCAGATCTCTCGAGAGGTCGGCTAGCGCGTCATCCTGATCGGGCCACCCCTGTTCGGTAATTTCCTTTTCCTTCTTGCCAGCTGTCTTCTTCGATGTTGACGCGCTACCCCAGAAGCCAAAATAGTCGTCCTCCTTCTTGTCTTCAGCCTTTTCCTCCTTGTTTGACGGTGTCTTTTTCAGTTTGGACCCTTTTTCGGACTTGGATGCCTGCGTGGGCTCGCCAAACATATCAAAGAGCTCGTCTGCATCCTTGGCTTTGCTGACTTTCGTGTCGGCCTTCGACGATTTGGTGGCCTTCTTTTTGGAGCTTTTCGCTGCCTCTTCAGCCTCGCGAGCAAGCCTCTCCTCTTCCTCCTTTCTGGCCTGTTCTTCCGCTTCCTCTTTGGCCTTCTCTTCCGCTTCTTTTTTAGCCTTGGCCTCCTTCTCCTTTTTGGTTAATTTGGCGGTTGTAGTCGAGGCTCCGAAACCCCACATGCTCTTTGTAACACTGGCTGGAGTCACTTCTGGCAATGGCTCGTCGGGCAATGCAATGTCAAACGACTCTTCGGCCTCTTTGGCCTTTTTCGTCTTGTCCTTCCCGGTTGAGGTCTTTGAAGTCGTGCTCTTTTTTGATGATGCTTTGCTCTTCACTTTGGTCAGGCCTGCCCAAGTGTCCCCACCCAGATCGTCATCCAACATCTCAACCGGGTCAGGTTCCGGCGTTAGACCCTGAGCTGGGGGACTTGGTGCCGGGGGAGGAAGATCCTCCTTCGTCTTCGACTTCTTGCTGCCCTTCTTGTCTTTTGATCCCCATGCGCCCCAGATGTCGTCTTCGGCAGGAGGCTCCTCGACCTCGGCGACAGCTTTCTTTTTAGAGTCCTTAGCACTCTTCTTCTTGTCCTTTGTCGAGGTAGCCCAAGAACCCCAAGCATCGTCGGCCTTTTCTTCTATGGGCTCCGGCTCGACAATAGGCTCGGGTTCGGGCTCAGGCTCTTTCTTCTTGCTGACCTTCTTCTTGTCTTTTGCCGTTCCCCAGGAACCCCAAGCATCGTCGGCCTTTTCTTCCACGGGCTCCGGCTCGACAATAGGCCCAGGCTCGGGGTCTGGATTTGCAGCTGCAATACCTTTCTTTTTCGCCTCTTTCTCCTTTTTCTTCCGTTCCTTTGCTGTTAGTCCGAAGAAACTATCTTCTTCTACGACGTCTGCCACTGGCACGGGTTCCGGCTCAGGCGCGGGCGGGAGGGGTTCCTCGTCGATATCGAGGAATCCTTTCTTCTTCGTGTCCTTGGACTTTTTCTTTTTGTCGGTGGAAGTAGCAGTACCCCATTGGCCCCAGACATCGCTATCCTTGACATCAGGCTCAGCTTGAGGCTCAGGCACGGCTGGCTCATCGAGGACATCAAGGAAACCGCTCTTCCTCGCCTCTTTCTCTTTCTTTTTCTTGTCTTTGCTCGATGTAAACGCTCCCCAAGTATCATCTTCCTTGTCTTCTGGCTCAGGAGCTGGAGGAGGGACCGGTGGCTCTTCAACTACGTCCTGAAGTCCCTTTTTCTTCCCTTTCTTCTTGTCCTTGCTAGAAAAGGTCCATGCCGCATCCGGCTCCTCTTTCAGAGCCGGCTCTGGCTCTGGAGGCGGCGGAGGGGTTTCCTCTTCAAGATCGAAGAAGCTCTTCTTTTTGCTTTTCTTGTCTTTGGTGGAGGTTCCCCAACCACCAAATCCCCAAGAGTCATCTCCTTTGATGGATACTTCCGGCTCAGGAGGCACTGGTTCTGGAGCCGGCTCTGGCACTTGAGGCTCGTCGCCAGGGAGAAGCAATCCCTTTTTCCTAGCCTCTTTTTCCTTCTTTTTCCGGTCCTTGGCGGAGAGGTTTTCCCAGCCAGTAGTGTCAGCATACTGTGCTTTAGCTGGTTCATCTTGTGTTTCGACCTCAACGATAGGATCTGAGATTGAGGGCTCAGGACTTGGGGCTTTGCTCTTCTTCCCCTTTTTATCCTTTTTGCCAAACGAGGACCAAAGGTCATCCGATTCAGCCGGCGGCTCGACTGGTGGGGGCGGTGGCGGCTCCTCTTCTTCAATAACAGCCCCCTTCTTGCTCTTTTTGTCCTTTTTGCCTTTTACTGTAAAGGGCTCATCAGCAGCTGGAGCATCGCTCGTTGTCGTCTTAGCATCAGCAGTATTGCTCAAGTCGAGAGAAGCGGATAAATCTTCGATCCCTCCTTTTTTCCCTTTCTTGTCCTTCTTCTTTCCCCATGCTCCAGACATCCAGTCGTCGCCGTCGTCGGCTGTAAAGCTTGGTTCAGCGGCAGGAGCAGGAATGGCTAGAAGATCGTCATTATCATTGAAGTCGCCAAATGCCCCCTTCTTCGCCTTCTTGTCCTTTTTGCCTGTTCCAAAGCCCCATTCGAAGGTGTTGTCCAGGGATCCCACGTCAGCAGCAGTTTCCTTTGTATCAGCAGGAGGTTCTTCGATAACCCCCTTTTTCCCTTTCTTCTTGTCTTTCTTCGTTGAGAAAGCTGACCATTCATCCTCTGCAGCCGCAGGCTCTGGTTCTACTGGGGGAGGTGGTGGAGGTGGAGGAACAGGATCCTCATCAAAGAATCCTCCTTTCTTTTTCTTATCTTTCTTCGCAGCTGAATTTCCCCAAGCACCGAGGAGGTCGTCATCTTTGGAGCCCGGGTCAACCACTGTAGTCTCCCCAATTCCACTATCTTTCTTCTTCTTGTCCTTCTTGTTGACAGTGGAAAATCCCCACGCATCATCAGTGGGTTTGTTTTCGCCAACGTCTCCGTCGAAGGCGAAACCTTTGTCGCCGGAATCCAAGTCACCAAAATCAAAGCCCAATGAGGTGGTTGTCTTCTTTTTTGACTTGTTGCCAAAAGACCAGGGGTTGTTGTCCCCAAAACCATTCGATTCTTCCTTTTTGTCGTTATCCTTCTTAGAAGCCTTGTCGTCGGCTTTTGCCGTTCCAGTGTCGAGGGATCCAAAGTCCCATGTTTTACCCCAGGTACCAAAGCTTCCCGTATCCTTCTTGCTGTCAGTACCACCAAAACTGAATTCTAGCTTCGGGGCACTATCGTCCAGACTGATATCTTGGAAGGCCGCTCCTGCGGGAGGGTCTGGAGCAGAGGGTGGGGGTTCGTCGGCCCCCTACTGAAGTCAGCATCTTAAGGGTGAACGCGATAGATGAGATTACCTTTTTGTTCTTTTTATTCTTTTTATCCTTTTTCGTTGTGAAACCTGTTGTCCAGTCATCCTCTGCCGCGGCGTTGTTTGCGTCGTCAGCCCAACTGAGTGGATTCGCAGCCTCCTCTTCCTCTTTTTGCTTTTGCTCCTCCTCCTCCTGCTTTTGCTCCTCCTCCTCCTGCTTTTTCCTTTCCTCCTCCTCTTGCTTCTTCTTATTCTTTTTCTTATTCTTCTTACTGCCACCAAAGTCCCACTCGTCCTCGTCGCCTCCTCCGCCGTTGTTGTTGTCATCACCGCCGCCCGCGCCGCCAGCACTTCCGGCTTGATCTCCACCTCCACCAGCACCATCTTCACCATCGCCGGCAGCGTTTCCGTCTCCTTCGTTGTCTGATTCAAGCCATTTTGCGGCAGCCCTCCCGGCTTTCTTCTTCTTACCCCTAGTTTGTACGCCGTACGTGCCTCCAAAATCTATACTGGCATCCATTGTCGCGACTCGGGCCGTAGACGTTCTGGCAGGGGTTAAGGGTCGAGGTTGGTCGGGTGTGGTAAATACTTGAGCATATGCTGCTGGCTCTTGCCAGTCTCGCGACGGTAGCAAGCCTTCGCCGGGGGGCAATGAAGGCGAGCTTCCATAAGGCTGAGGACGATCTGTGAGTTCCTGCAGTAAGGCTGCGACCAGCGCAGCTGCTCTTAGGTATACATTGTAGTTTGGGGTGGAATGCTGTTGTCTCCGTCAGACAAGGTCCCAGTGCAGGGGGGAAGGAGAGGAGACGAGATCGCAGGCCTGGAAAGAAGAAGAAGTAGGGACAGACCCTCGACGGATTCGCGTTAGGATGGAATAGCGTTCTGCATACCCGTTGTACTGGCTTGTAGTGCTCAAGCATGGCGGTGTGCATGCGATGGCGCCAATCGGCAATGCGAGGTGTTGGAGAAATGCACCCAACCTCCCCCATCTCGTAAAAGTATAGCGGTGCAGGGTCAGCCTTTGCCATCTTCCACCATCCCGGGATCCTTGGTCGAGATAACGCGTTTTCTCTGCCGGCGGGCTGTGCGGCGACCAGAGCCGCCATGCTGTAGCTGTTGCTGTAGCTGGGCAAGACGATCCGACCGATTAAATTGGGAGAGCATTTGATGCGGCAGCGGCGACGCGGAACAAATGGATGAAAAAGCAGAGATGAGAGTGAGGCTACGTCTACAGAGCCTCTGGTATTCAGCGATAGAAGAACTGAGAGTGTTGGTTGAAAGCTGGGAAGTGCAGCGTCAGGAGGTCACAAGGTGTTTGAGTTGCTCATTGGTGTGCAAACCCAAACCCTGGTGCCAATTGGGGCAACAGCGAAGACGAGCGGGCAAATGGCAGCGAAGTGTGCCACGGGTGCCCCCTTGCAGTCACGCTGCGCAGATCCCAGCAATTCAGCGAAACTCAGCGACTCGCCTGGCCAGAAACAGTCAAGGGGGGCAGCCAAAAACCACAGCCCAGGCCTATCTGCTAGTTATCACCCTCCCTATCGATACACAAACCGGGGGGGAAGAAAAGGAGAAATGAGGTCACTTCATATACCCTCAACGAGCCGACCAGAAATCCCACTCCGCGCAGCAAATTTTCCATCAATGCCCAAAACGACTCCATTCAATGCATCAATTGCATCTGGGAGAATCTGGCGGTGTTGACCTGCAGAACAAACGACGAATGACGCGCCTGACAAGTCTCGGTGGTTATGCAGGCAAGCAATCGATGTGGCAACGAATCGCTCACCGCTACAATTACATAGGAACCACCAGACAAATAGGAGGGGAGTAGATGGCAAGCTTGCTGGTGATGGGTTGGACTGCGCGAGACCAGCAAAATTAGCAGCATTCCAGCAAGACCCGGTGCGGATGGTGTGTTGATGGTCTGTGGACCAAACGCCCGACACCACCAAGCATTGTTGGTGTGGGAGATTCCCTGATCACTCGGATGGGTGCTGGACAGCGGCAATTGGCCCTCGCTCAGGTGAGAAAGCAATCGACCCACACACTCGTGCCGTTGAAGGTGCCCCGACGTGATCCGAGCTGCCAGCACCCGTAAAGGGTACCTAAAAGGGGCGCCCCGAGTCGAGGTCGTACGGTTGCCGAATATGGGGTGTCAATCTCATACAAGGGCAGGGTAGAAGTCCCTTCATCGGCATCCATTCACTGGGGCGGTCTCATTGATGTAATTGTGGCTTGATGGATGAATGCAGAGCCGCAACCGGTGTAGCAAAAGAAACCCGGACTGGGCAGCTCGATGAGTGAGGGTATAGAGATGGTTTGAATGGGCAGACGCGATGCAGGGCAAACTGCAAAGCCAACGCAGTTCTTCGGCAGGACAGGAACGCCCCGTTCTCGCCGCTGCAAGCCACTCGGCGATATCTCACAGGCGGAAAAATAGCTGCCACTATCCCGCTTTAGGTGGGCGCGATCACCGCTGCGTTTGGTGGCGAGGGTGGCTCGAGCGCTGCTGTTGTCGCGACACAACCAAAAATGCGCCTGGAGCTTCAGGCCCAGAGGCTGCTCAAAACGCCAAACAGTCTGCATCATTGGCGGCAGAGACCGACCAACTATTTCTTTGCTTTAAGTTCCCAGCCAAAGCAAGCCAAGATTTTCAGTCAAATATTTCTACTACCTAGGAGGTAAGAGAAATCTGCGCAGACTGGTTGGGCGCATTTGTGCGTCCGGGAAGCCCCAAGCGCGGTATGTTCAGGTTCATTATGAGCGCCTGTCGAACAAGACACCCTTCACTCGTCCACTTTGCCGGACTTACTCGTCTTCATCAGAACTATAAGCGACCAGGCCGAGTCCAGTGGCTGGTTGGGGGTGCTTAGTTGTAATAGGAGGCTCAATCTGGTCTTTGATGGCTGGGTTATTGACTGGCGAAGTGCGTTCCACAGGTGCATTATGTTCATCGTCATCAGCGGCAGCAGTCTCAGCAGCTGACAGCTTTCTCAACTTGGGCTCAGCCTCAGACTCGCTGTTCTTCTCTCGACGTCTTTTCTTCTTTTTAATGGCCCATGAGTCTTTGTCCGCAGGCTCGCCAGGTTTACCGGCCTCGTTACCCCCCATTAGCGCTTGTTCGGCGGCGGCACGTTGCTTGCGGAAGACCTCAAGTTGTTCGGCAGTCTCTTGCTTGACGGCATTCTCCTTTGCTCGACTTGATTCGAGCACAGAATCGAGAAACTCCACTTCATCGTCGTCCAGGGCACGGAACTGGTTTTTGAGCCGGACCGACTCCTCAAAAGCCTCCTGTTTAGCAGCTGAGTTCGACGAAGCATAGCCGTGTCAGTAAAGAATCGGCTGCTGTTAAGAGAGCCCTTGCACCCATTCCTTACCCTTGTTTGCTTGCAGCACCTCATAAAGACTCTTGCCACCTTCTTGCGCTCCTCCCTCCACCGTCTTAGGTTTCCTAGTAGACTCGACTTGTTGCTGCGCCTTCACCCAAGCATCATCAGGTGTGTCGGGATCGGTCCCAGCTGGAACGAATCGGGACATGGTCACGGATATATATCACGGGGGACGTGGTAAGCTGCCGGCGCTGATCAGGATAAATTCTTCATCGGGCTAATTCGTCGAGGCCAAGGGCGCCTTTGTGGCGATGGACGCGGCCAAGGGAGACTATGCGGGCTTCCTCCGTCATGTAGAAGGTCAAGTTGACAATGGCAAAAGGGTCTGGTATTAGCGGGTATTTTTTTACTAACTCACTTGGTTCGTTCCTTGGATCCCAAGTTGCGGAGGAAGCAACCCCACGAGTTTCCCTCCAGCGCTGGCTTTAGTTTCACACTGTCATCTCCTGCGCTCTCCTCGCCTGATCGCGGGCTAGACATGGCCCAGACATGGCCCTCGATCTGAAGATCTGGCACCATTTCTTCTCGATTGCTCGCCCGCCGCGGTGCCTGCCCTGGTCTCTGCGCGCCGGCCAAAAGTGCCCCTGCTCTTCTTTCCGAGCCTCAAATCTAGTAGTGGAGAACCCCTCTTCCGCGCCTGGAAGAGATATGCCACGAGACTCGGTACCCATGTGGACATGAATTATCCTCTCGATATTTATCCCATGCCTTTGACCCAGTCGATCATTTCAGCCTAAATCCACGGCCGGACAAATTGATCTAGAATATTCCCAGTCCTCCAATTCCGCCGCGAAGGGTGGCTAGGCTTCCTAACCCGCCAATAACGCCTCGGGTGAATAACTTGCGACGATGGGACCGACGCGCTTGATTGAAGCATACCCCTCGTGGACCTGGTCATTGCGTAGCTGTTGTTGCATTGTGAAAGTCATTGCCCCACCTCCAAATCTTTCAAAGTGCCTGAGAACAAAACCCCAATGCGAAGAAGCCCACCGGGATATAACTGCAACTATATCATCCAAGTGATCCGCAAAGGAAATTTTTGGTTTTCTGTCTCCGGGTCGCATGTCATTGTTTCGCCTCTCCGTCTCTCCCTTAAAAGGATCTAGGGTATCTTCTCTTGTCGCAAGTTTCCAATCTGCGTCAAACCACTTCTTAAAATCTACATTGTTGAACCCTCGATTACTCCGCACGATGACGACTTCACAAGCAGGAAAGGGCACAAAGTGAGAAAGCTCCCCATCATCACTTATGCATCTCGTTGGAGAAGGGCGGTTGCTGACATCCGCCTTTCAGGACCGTGTTCACTTTGAACACTGGTGCTAAGATGCCCGGTGTTGGTCTTGGTACCTGGCAATCCAAGCCCAACGAAGTCCGCGAGGCAGTCAAGAACGCTCTGCAGATTGGCTACCGCCACATCGATACGTAAGAATGCCCTATCCGCTTGATTGTGGGCTGTGCGATATCCTGACTCAATTCAGAGCTCTTGCGTACGGCAATGAAGCAGAGGTTGGCCAGGGAATCATTGACTCGGGTGTTCCCCGCGAAGAGATCTGGTTAACCACCAAGCTCGACAATCCCTGGCACAAGCGTGTCAACGAAGGAATCGAATCTTCTTTGAAAGACCTGAAGACTGACTATGTCGACCTCTATCTCATGCACTGGCCCAGTTCCTCCGTTCCTGAGGATTTGAAGAAACACTATGATGACTGGAACTTCATCGACACCTGGTAAGCAACTGGATCGTTTCTGGCTGCGGTCGTCGGTGGCTAATTTCCTGAACAGGCGTGAGATGCAGAAACTGGTCGGCACCGGCAAAGTTCGAAATATCGGCGTGTCCAACTTTGTAATCTCCAACCTCGAAAAGCTTCTGAATGCACCTTCGACGAAGATCGTGCCTGCTGTGAATCAGATTGAACTGCACCCTAACATGCCTTCCCCAAAGACTTTGGCATACTGCAAAGAGAAGGGGATCCATTGCACAGCATACTCCTGCTTGGGCTCGACAGACTCGCCTTTGGCCCACGACCAGACCCTCCAAAAGATTGCCGACGCACACGGCAAGACTCCTCAGCAGGTGCTGTTGATGTGGGGACTACAGGTGCGTAAAAGCCAGGCGACACGTCGCTAATCGTCTCTCACCGACAGTTCAATGTACTGACCTATTTCTGTTGAAACAGAGAGGCACCAGCGTCATCCCGAAATCTGTCACGAAGTCGCGTATCGAGGCAAACTTCCAACTGGACGGCTGGGAGCTGACACAAGAGGAGATGGATGCGCTGAGCAACATCAAGACCCGCTTCAAGGTCTGCGGTGATTCTTGGTTGCCCATCAAGGTCTTCTTCAATGAGGAGGGAGATGGCGGTGACGTCCCTTCCCATTAGGTGTGTCAGTGCTGGAAACTATTGGAGAAACAACGATGCCTCGGGGCTCAACTTCTGCGGAAGAGACCTTCTGCGGCGTTGTGAAAGTAAGGAGCCTTGAAAGAGAGACATGTCGCACCACATATAACAGAGCATAGAAAAGGGGATAGAGAAGGAGAACCTCGCATCCTTCCTGCGACGGATAACTCTGTGCAATCAAGCTCACATCACCCACACCACCCTCCGACATGATTTCTTTTTGGAAATCTAGAAACCAACCTGGAAAGCATTTATCGAAATCTTATTATTGACGTAACCACCTTTTTGGGGTAGCTCGGCGCTCCGGCAATCCAAGGGCTCGGCTCTATCTCCTTGGCTGCGATTCGTCTACCGAGCACAGTACGCACGTAAATCACTCGCCCTACCTGTCACGCCCGTGTAGGTGCCGAGTGCCTGGAATGGTAGGCGACGCGGGGAACTTGAATCAGCAACTACCTAAGCTCGATTGACGCTTTTGGCAATGGACTCGTCAACCCAGCTTATATAATCTGCTCACCGAATGACAATAGGTGACCAGGCGCAATCTCACTGGCTGAGCGTGCGGGCACTCCTTGCTTCGACAGCCCGTATTACTGTCGTATTTCGTTAAACCTTTTAAGGCGCTCGCCTGTGGCCCGTGGGCCTTGGGAAACAGTTCTGCCTGGACAGTTTCGCCCGAGCCGCCCTCCCAAGCCCTCAGACCGTGAGAATCACTACATCCAAGTCGCTCTCGCATGCTCGGTCTCTGACAAATGGGAACTGGCAGCTTTTTGACCTGGATATTACTTCGCATGCTGTACCTCGTATGCAGTCAGTCGGCCTGATTTTTTCCCTCACACGTCTAATCTTCTCCGCCGTCTACGTCTTGCCGTTGCCTGTTTCCTGCTCCCCACGCACCAACGACTTGTGGCGGACCTCCTTTGTACAATCCACCGTACCTCTCTACTCCTTCCTCCTCGCGTTTATGGACCGCTAGACCCTCACTCGCAGGGGAAATACCAGTCAATCGCCACTTAACGAGATTGCGCGCCTCCTCCTCAGGATTCACTGTACAGGCTTGTTTTGACCGCTAGGGATGGCATCTGGCAACATCGAAGATCCAGATATGGACGGTGCAATTGGAGATGGCGAACAGTCGACAGGAGGGACGAATGATGCTATTCCTCGACCAAAGAGGATTGCCTGCATATTATGTCGCAAAAGAAAGTTGAAGTGCGATTCAAACAAACCGAGCTGCGGGACATGTTCGCGTCTAAATCACCATTGTGAATACTCTGAAGAACGGAAGAAGAGCGGCCCCAAGAGGGGCTATGTCAAACTTTTGGAGGCAAGACTTAAGCAAGTCGAAAACTTGCTAGAAACAAGAGATGCGACGAGCGAGCTCACGACCCGTCCTTCTCAGCCCACAACGACGGCGGACTCGTTTGCGCCTATGCCGACTCTAGATATCCCCGATACTCTCGATACTTCCATGTCCGGAATGATGGCAGACAACGGGTTTACTGATCCAACCCTGGGGATGCCAAATTTCAACATGAACTCCAACGACGATTTCTCCTGGGAGATGATAGGCCTTGGTCTTGAGGAAGCATTGCCAGCACGGGAGGTGATAGATGAGATGTATGGCTGATCTCGACTCTGACCTCCGAGATTTTTTGCCGTTGCTGACTCCTCCAGGAATGAGATATATTTCGACAAAATCCATCCTTCCTTGCCCATGATTCACAAAGGCCGATTTTTGGCTTCAATGGACCTTGCGCCTCATATGCGCCCAGCAGTGTGCCTGAGATATGCCATGTGGACCCACGCTTGTGCCATCACCTCAAAATATTCGGCTTACACCGAACACTTCTATGCACGGGCTCGGAAATACGCAGAGATGGACGAAATGAGAGGGCACGGTGAGGGAATGATCACCATCGCCCATTCGCAAGCCTGGACCTTGCTTGCCTGCTACGAATTTCGAGTCATGTACTTCCCCAGGGCGTGGATGAGCATCGGAAGAGCTGCAAGACTAGCTCAAATGATGGGTCTACATCGACAGGATCGTGTTGGTCTTGACGTGAAACAAACACTACCACCTCCTCGAGACTGGACAGATCGGGAAGAACGACGGCGAACCTTCTGGATGGCATACTGTCAGGACAGATATGCCAGCATCGGGACTGGGTGGCCAATGGTCATTGACGAGAGAGACGTATGTACACCGAGCCTGTCGATATTAGGAAACTGCTAAATGTTGCACAGATCCTCACAAATCTACCCGCTAGCGAGGAAGCCTTTAATAAATGCCAACCAGAGCCTACGCTGCAATTATCTGACATCTTGAATGGTGATGGGGCCTCGTCCCTCTCCTCATTTGGCGGTGTCATTCTTTTATCGACAATATTTGGGAGAAACCTTACTCATCTCCATCGACCATCGGATCAAGACAATGACCATGATCTAAATGGTGCATTCTGGAAACGTCATCGATCTCTGGACAATATCCTTCTCAACACGTCTTTGTCGCTACCTCCACCTCTCCGCCTCCCCGCAGGTCTCAATGATCCGAACACCGTCTTCCTCAACATGAACATCCATACAGCTACTATATGTCTGCACCAAGCAGCCATATTCAAAGCTGACAAAAATCGACTTCCAGCCCAGATCAGTGCTGAGTCCAAACGTCGATGCATAGTTGCCGCGGACCAAATCACCAACATCATGAAAATGATCAGCCATATGGACATGTCGATGGTACGTTCGTGAACTGGTTGGCGATGTCTATGTGCTAATTTGTTCCAGATGAATCCCTTCCTTGCATTCTGTCTCTATGTGGCTTCGCGAGTGTTTGTGCAATACCTCAAATCGAGACGAGAAGATGCTGCAGTCAAATCATCCCTACACTTTCTACTTGCTGCGATGCAAGTCCTCAAAACCAAGAATCCACTCACTGAGTCATTCTTGGTGCAGCTTGATGTTGACCTCGAAGGCAGCGGGCTGGATATTCCGAGCAGCTATTCGCGATGGAAATTTGGACACCGCCCTCCAGTCAGTTCGCCCCTGGTTCTTGGGTGAGGCGGCAAATGCTGACTTGAATATAGGGTGAAAGTCCTGCTAACACAGACGCTCTGAAATGCTCCCCGCTCTTTGAAATCCGAGAGACTCAAGGTCGGGAAACAATCGGAGCAGTCCAAGGGACCAATCCCAAGGACGTACAACCCCCCTGGCCGACGGATGCCAATGGCTCTGCCGCCACTAGCAACTATCCAAGTTTATATGCGTCGGAAGCGTTGGGCACCAGTGCACAAATGGCTCAGACGATGCCATCTACAAGCGATGGCTTGGACAATGGTTATGGCTTTCCAATCCAGTCCGTTGGGACAGATACCTCACCAGACACTTCGCATCACGACGGAACTGGCTCACGACCGCACTCTAATCACCCAACCCCTTCGACACTATCGAATCAAAACTCATCGCACACGTCTTACACTTCGCCTCCTAACCAATCCAGCAGCGGAAACACCGCGAGCAGTGGGCAGGGGCAACCGTCGCCAGGCTATGTGTTTCCAGGTGGCGCCCAGTCTTCCTGGAACATGAACATATCGACTCAAACGGGACAGGATACGTCGCCGCAGCAAACTGGTATGAATTTCGGCTCTACCGGAATGACACCTGGTCCGACAGGCCTGACCCCTATACCCGACTCCCTTTGGCCGACGGAAGGAATGGCTGATGGGAATGAATGGATGTTTACGTGGGCCGGTTCGACTCCGCAGCCATGATGAACTTGACTTTGTGATTCTTGGATGCCCGCCTCCGTTGTAATATCTACGATTTATGGCTGCGAAATCTTGTGGGTGATGAAAACGTGATACCCAGGAGTCGATCAGGCGACCTCCCAACTCTTATATGCTTGGTATAGTTAACTAGATGAAAACCAATCTTGAAGCTTCCAGCTGCGTAGGTCAGTCGAGGTTCGAGTTGTGGAAGGATAGAACGTCATCACAAGTGACCTCGACAGAATCCTGCGAGGAAAGCCAGCCGTCCAGCAAGAAGGACTGGCTTATACTATAACCACCGCATTGATATTTTGTGTGTGTTAGCCTGAATCGCAGCAGGTAGTGGTTGAATACTAGGTACCTAGCACTCAACAGCAGTAGCGAGGTCGGGGAAGCCTCCTCGTGACATCCATTTTGGGGAAGGTCGTCCACCCCCACAAAATTCTTGAGAACTGCGCTCGACCGCAAAGTACGAGGTATTCTTGTTCAGTCTTTGATTGTGCGACCAACCACTCTCTATTATACATATACTTGAGCGTCGAGTGGTATGGCGCCCGTGAGCCAGCGAAAGCACCTCGGACGCGACAAGTTCGGGGCTCAGTTCAGCTTGCTCAAGACCCAGCAGTACACGGACCCTGCCACTCGAACAGCCATCCCCACCATGTATGTACCCGCCGTCTGCACGATGAACCGCAACCTTTCTTTCCTCTCCCTCCGACGCGTCGGCTGATGAACCATTGCCTCTTTTTTGTTTCGAAAGCCACCGCACTATCTCGTGGAATGCCTCTGGCGGGCTGATCGCGACGGGGGCCAACGACAAGACGATCCGAATCTGGAATCCCGAGCGCACCAGTCCGCGAAGCCAGGTCGAGCTGAGGGGCCACGGACATGGCGTCGAAAAGGTCCTGTTCAACCCGGTGCGGGAATTCGAGCTGGCCAGCTGTTCATCGGACGGCACGGTGCGGTTCTGGGACACCCGCACCAAAGCCTGCGTGAGTAAACTCGACGTGGGCGGCGAGCCTTTCACCTTGAGCTGGAGTGCGGATGGAAGCGTGCTTTTGGCGGGGACGAAGGTGCGTGTGAAATCCTTGGGGGAAACAACCTGCGTTTAGAAACTGGAAATTGAAAAGCTGAAAAACAAACCAACTTGCTTTCTGCACAGGGCGACGTCCTCATTCCTATCTCAACCGCGATCCCCTCCTCTCCGCAAGTCCTCTCGCGCCATAAGCAGAACCAACAAACCAACCAGACAACATTCTCCAATGCATATCCACCCTCTGACGTGCTAATAACACAAGGTGACGGCTCCGTCAAGATCCTCGACTACCCGTCCTTCACCCTCCTGCATACCATTTCCGCCCACACTTCCTCCTGCACCGCCATTTCATACTGTCCCAATGGGAAGTACGTCGCCGTCGGTGGCTCAGACGCCATGATATCTCTGTGGGACACGACGGACTGGGTATGCCGACGCACCGTGTCCAACCCGAGTTCCGGCGCCATCAGGGGCCTGAGTTGGTCGTGGGACGGTCGATACCTTGTTGGCGCGAGTGAAGAGATGGGATCAGGCGGCGGTGAGGGCTTAAGCTCCGGATTCGACATATATCATGCCGAGACGGGTGATGTCGTGCACACGATTGCTACGGGCACAAGTGGAATCCCAGCGGTCGAGTGGCATCCCCACCGCTATTGGTTGGCATATACCCAGATCGAGGAGACCAGGCAGGGGAAGTCGAGTCTGAAAATAATCGGAGCAGCTGGAGGGCCGTCGATTTAACGGACAGCGCTCGACAGCACTACAACTCTTGTTGATCAGATTGAGACCATGACGCAGCCTTACACATTCGAGATCTTATGACCTGCCCGCTTGAGAAAAACATTTCGGACCAAGCTCAAGAGGACTCCGGTGTGCGAACAATCGCCGGCCTAGACATGCAGCATGAACAACTCCTGTCCCAACACCCGGGGATTTCTATCCGTGCGACCGGGTTACACAGAAGAATCCGCACCCTGCGAATATCCAGATGCGAGGTACATGGCAAAGGGCACGTCCTATGTCTATGGCGTATGGACCTCCTCCGGGGCCAAGCTTTTCACAAAGTTTTTTCCTGTGTTGGCGTTGCCGACAGTGCCGTCCATTATCACGATTACAATGACGCTATCTTGTCGAGTGTCTAGGTTAAGCTACTGTCTGGGTTTTGGTGTGATTTACTTTTCATTCACAGCCGGCAATCGCTCGTTGTGACGATTTCGCTTGCTGTTCCTCGAGCTCTGGTCGGGTTGGATACCACCCATCAGAGCTTTCCAGCTCAATGGTCCAGTCTGGGACAGACCGAATCTTGCACAAAGCGGAATATTAAGGCTGCCACTCGATAGCAAGCTACTATCTGCTGCACCTTTTGTCTGCCTTCTCTGGGCAACGTGGCTGGCTGCGTTATCACGAGGATACTAGATGAAAATACAAAACCCTTCGAACTCGAAATTCCTCTCCATACACCCTCTCCCCGCCATGCGTCGGGTAGCCTTGGGCAAACACTCCTTCGCTCACGGGTTTCTTCCTCCCAATGACGCTCTGTCGAGTCGCACGCAGTATTTGTTTGTATGACGCGAGGCAGAGCCAAAACCACGTTCAATCTGGACTTGATAACCATCAAAGACTCCGACTCTTCCAAAGTCTATGAGGGGAAGTTGCTTGATTTGCTCGAAATCATTAATCGTGACCTGCTGGAGATAGTCGAGGTCCGTGGCTCCCCAGCTTGACTAAATTGCGGGGAGCTTTGATAAGATACCCCAGCTAGTAGCCAGCCTTGCCGAGTGCCTATGTGTACCGAGCCACCGCGCAGGACTGCTGCGCCTGCTCCGTACTATGCTACTGTCTGATCTGCTGTGGATACTGCGACTAGCCTCGATGACCAGAGCTTCAGCAAGCCAAAGTTACCTTTTGTTAGGACATGCAAATGCTTCAGTTTACCGACAGGAGTTGACACCATGGAGAGAAACAGTGGCCATGCAGATGGATGAGCACATAGATGTCAGTATAGTGCTCTCATACACAAGTCCCTGTCTGCGGTCCTCATAAAGAGACAGGACAAAGTATCAAACGGAACACGTTTGCTAGAGCCTCTGCGAGATTTTGGCGATTGATATAGAGATAGATGGATACTTTTTGGGTTTGCTGGTGTCTGCTACACTTGAACCCAGTCTGGTACCTCCGCGAGAGAAGACGTCTTGTAGTGGTCTCAGGTAATGCTTTAGTGGCACAAAATGATTGCCGTCTCTATCATTTCTCAGGGTCTTCTTACCATCGTTCGCTCAACGAAGAATGAGGTGCGAAGACGTGCAGTAAATAAGGGGCCCCGTAAATAATACTTCAATTGCCCCATCAGGAATTACCTCAACAGGCAGGCAAGACACGGCCGTATGATTGGCTTGTATGGTGAGAGCCGAGGCGGAGATCCGCACGTTAACCTCGCCATAGTGATCGCTCTAGTATAAAGATCAGTTACTATTCTCCCCCCCCCTTTGGTGATAGAAAAGACCAGGAACCCCATTCCGCCGGGTTCATACCATCAGAAGCCCCCCCGCGTATATTAGTCCAGCACCCTTCCCACATCTATCATCAAAAAAAAAGAAAAGAAAATGGCTACGATGGACAAAGTCTTCGCGGCGTACGAAGCCCGCAAGGCCGCGCTGGAACAGTCCACCAACCCACTCGCCCAGGGCGTGGCGTGGGTCGAGGGCCAGCTGTACCCGATCCACGAGGCGCGCATCCCGCTTCTGGACCAGGGTTTCCTGCACAGCGATTTGACCTACGACGTGCCGTCGGTGTGGGACGGGCGGTTCTTCCGGCTCGACGACCACCTGTCGCGGCTGGAACGCAGCTGCGCCAAGATGCGGCTGCGACTGCCGCTGCCGCGCGACGAGGTGAAACGCATCCTGTGCGACATGGTGGCCCAGTCCGGCCTGCGCGACGCCTTCGTCGAGCTGATCGTCACCCGCGGCCTCAAGGGGGTGCGTGGCGCGGCGCAGAATCTGTCCGAACTGAAGAATAACCTGTACCTCTTCCTCACGCCCTACATCTGGGTCATGGAGCCCGAGATGCAGCGCCGGGGCACGGGCAGCGCCATCATCGCGAGGACCGTGCGCCGCACTCCCCCCGGGTGCATGGACCCGACGGTCAAGAACCTGCAGTGGGGGGATCTGACCAGGGGCATGCTCGAGGCCAACGACCGCAACGCCGACTATCCCTTCCTGACCGACGGCGACGGCAACATCACCGAGGGGTCCGGGTTCAACATCTGCCTGATCAAGGACGGCACTCTGTACACGCCCGCGCGGGGCGTGCTCGAGGGCGTGACCCGGAAAAGCGTCTTTGACGTCGCCAAGACGCTGCAGCTTGACGTGGCCCTGGACTTTGTCCCCGTCGAGCTGGCGTACCACTGCGACGAGATGTTCATGTGCACCACCGCGGGAGGCATCATGCCCATCACCTCGCTCGACGGCGTGCCTGTAAAGGATGGCAAGGTCGGGCCCCTCACCGCCAAGATCTGGGATCTGTACTGGGCCATGCACTACGACCCGGCTTACAGCTTTGCCATTGACTATGATGCCGATGGAGTGAAAAAGAACGGAGTGAATGGTGTGGCTCATTAAGTGTCAAATTGAATAGAATACCCTCCCTCTTTCGAGAACGAGGCACCTCTAGTATGACGCGGATACTGAAAGGTACAGATTAGTTGGTTGGCTAGTTTGTGTCGAGACGCGTAGATGGCAGAGTAGAGCACACTGCTACAAGTTTCACTTCCCGTGCACTGGACCAGACGTCCAAACATACGAGCCGACCTACTATCATTCGTGCAATATGCGCCGAGGCAGTTGTTTAATACATCGTATAATGATACAAATGACGAAGTGCTGGCGCCCAAACCCCCAGACTCCTTCAATGTCGTGTTTTAATCGTAAAGCCTTCCTGCTTTGGGCGGATCGGTATACTCGATCAAGCCCACCCCGAGAACATTGGGGGCCACCTCGCCATACCGCACCTTCCTGGACCCCAGGACCTTGACAAGTTCGTCCGCGGATAGATTCGAGCCGGATTGTGGCACCTGGTCCGGCCCGCTGTCCATGTCAAGAACACTGTAGGGGTTTCTCGTGCCCGTTTGATCGTCGACAATCGTCGAGTAGTGCAATGCCTTGGCCACTTCGAAGGGCGACAGGCTAACATTCCTGCCTAGTAGCCAGTAGCCGTCGTAGAGAGGCAGGATGGCCAGGATGGCTAGCAGCATAAGCCCAACTGCGACGCCGAGGACGGTTCTGTTCGTCTTGTATACTGTGTGGTAGATCCGGTATTCACCCAGGCCGGTGACATTCTGAACTGGGACATTTGATGTCTGGATGTCTAGGTTGTAGGATGAGTTCGGGAACTTATAATCGCCCACCTTTTGCGTTGCGATCATCACGGAGCTGCGGAACATGATATCCCTTATGTTCGAAAGCAACGCATCCATCGGGGAGGCGTATGTGTTGTTCAGTGTGTTATCAATATTGGCTGTGCCGTACTCGAAAATGGCGTAGGGCGCCGCGAAGGACCCCGTCACCGCAACGTCAGAGCCAAAGTTGGTGACATCGCTCTTGACGACGATGCTCGAGCCAAAAAGACTGGAAAATGCGAGCCCTATACCTCCCAGCGTGCTGTGTAGCCCAGCATTCGGGTCGTCCTCGTTGATCCAGATGTGCATCAGTGTTTTTTCATGATCTGGAATAGGAAGCAGACTCAGGACTTTATCGACCAGAAGAGCTTCATCGTCGGGATTCGTGGGAGAAGTTGTCCATTCTACAGGAGAGGTGGCTGCCTGTAAAGTTGCGACCCCCTGGGTAACATTGATTGGATACTCCACCAAAGCCGGCAGGAGAGTGCAATGTCGGTTCGTGATCGTTTCACCCTGGTAACCTCTCTTGTCCTGCCAGAGGGCGCTGAGACCAATCTCCCAATCAATCCCAGCGGTGACATTCACCTGAAAAACCGTGTTGTTAGGTTGTTGAACAGAACCTGAATCGTCGGATAATGGATCCAGCAGCGAACTCCGGGTCGCATTGCAGGTATACTGGAAGCCCACTCCGGGTAGTCGCGTGGTGCATGAGACATTAGAAGTAGAGTCACACCCTTTCAAATCAAGAGAGACAGGGGACTGGATCTTGTAATCTTGAAGGACTTGGATAAAGGGTTGCGTGAAATAAACCACACCGAAGACATCGTGTCCAACTGCCGCAACTACGCCAGAGAAGCCAGCCGGAAGAGCACTAGCAAGCTCCGAGGTCATGTTCCGAGGTATCAGTGATAAGACTGTCGTTGAAGAACTAGCTTGTTGTAGCACCACTGTATTTGATCGTCAGCTAACCACTCGTGACGAGCACGGCCGGCTTGGGCCATGGAGACGATAACATCAGCCCACAATGGGGGTGACCCTTACCTTCCAGCCCAGCAAATATGGTAAACGCTAGACTTCCAACGCATATCCAGCTCCATAGCCTCCAATGCACTGCGACTTTATGTATGGAATTGCCGACCGCCCAGCGGAAATGAAGTCTTTGCAAGGTCTGGCCACGGATAGCGTCCACCCACCAGGAAACGGCAACAGCTTCCGCAAACATGATGGCGAGGGTCTTTGACAGGAGGAAGTTGGCAAGCGCAAGCCAGGCACTGACGCCAATCTGCCAATAGTGGGAATGGCCGCCAATTTTCATAGTTGTGGCACCCCAGGACTCAACATCTTGGCCGTCAGAAACGACCAGAATTATGATCATGGCGACGAGAATCAAAAACATGATGAGCAGGCAGCACAGGCTGAGGAACGGGATCCGAGCTTTATTGCCCGCTCGCCACGCGCTGGCTATCTCTTGCGGTTCTCTTCCAGTCTTGTCCAAGAGGCTGTAGCGGTCCGGGGTAGGTGGTTTTGGATTTTCTTCTTCCGTCACGTAGGCTCGTTTGGCTAGTATGGGGAAGGTTAGCAGTTTTTCAACAGGACGGCTATAGTCCACGACACTATACGCACAAACTCACCTCCATTCTCTGAGAGAGTGACCTTTGCTTCATTATTGTCCGAAAAGTCAGGCAGTGGACTTTCAATTTCTGGAAGTTCTAGCCGTGGTGGTTTTCGCTGAGCCAATGTCATATACCCTTGTTGGCCCTCCATGTGTAGCAGTGGGCCAGATATAAAAGGCTTTCGAAAGTTCAATCCGCTTGGTAAAGGACAGAGTAGGAGGCAAAGATGTAGAGCGAGGAGGTTCGATACCTGGCTTCGACTCGTGTGAGGCATGTACGAGGTATAGGTTATATCTGGCTTCCAGAAGGGCCAGCAAAGCGTTTCATGCTCTCCATGACGATACACTAGTTGGCCAGTCAGAAGCACGTCGGCAGGCTGAGCAAGGAGCCCTTGTAACGCGCATCAGTAGACACGGCCAGAATCCAGCGAGATTCCCTGTTTCTTTACTGCCGGTACATTGCGCAAGTAGTCTTCTACCGCCGTCTGCAAGATTGATTCGCATGGCGGGCTATGCTTGTGGTAACAGTTGACCCAGTTTTGACCCAGAACCACAAATGAAGCCCAGGGTCTTCGAGCGGAAGGGCTTGCATTGGGCGAGGCACATTAGTTCGGCCCGTGTTCGGCACGGCCCCAAACCTCGCAAATCAATTGTGCAGCCAAACCCGGTCGTTGTGCAGGGTCGTTTCTGAAGGCGGGCGAGGCAGACTGGATATGAGGGCCGGCCAATGCACCGAGACAGACACCACAGTCTTAAGAGCATTCGAGACGGACCATGCTGGAAGCATATGCCCTGGCCTTTCAAGTGAATGATCCAAATACGCCTCACCAATTCTTGCTAGAGGTGCAAAATCGCATTAGCCTGATAGCGAGAGTAAAAGTCCCGGTCGAGCTTCTGCTTCTATGCAGCCAACTTCGTTGTTTCGCCCCCACATAAGGCCGCCAGCGTCGAGACAAGCAAAACAGAAGCATTCACACCAGCCCGTTCTAGCCTGGCACTGCTTCTTGCCGCCAGCAAGGATGGCATTTTGAGGGTGCATATGTGCAAGGGTTGAGGTGCATAGCGATGTGAGGACGCCAGCACGAGTGATGAATCCTGATAAGTCTTCCGACTTGCTCGCGCTTCCACCATCGGGCAGAAGAGCTAAACTCGCTTTGAACAATGTCCGTTTTGTCTCGAGATGAGGTGTTGCATGTGGTATGCAGAGACTTACACTGGAGAAAGATCTGGGTAGATATCCTCTCCAGAGACATGCTGGGTTTGCGCAGCGACCCCTCAGCAGAAGCGTTCGCCCTTGGAACCCCTGCCGCGGATCATCGAGATCCGATATATACCTCGTCTTTCCGCCTACCATTGGCAACATCTTCCTCACACGTACAGGCCGCTGCCGCATTTGTGACATTTCTCATGTGGATGCCCTAGGTTAGCACTTCGGGTCTTTTCGTTCATTTGCTGTGATGTTCTTGGTTGTCCCAGCCTGATTATCCTGTCTTCTCCGACTTCCTCGTCCCACCATAGCTCCGTCCATACTCGCGCAGAAAGCTGGAGGCTTTGTTGGTCTTGTCTGCTTGGCCTGGATACTGGCTGGATTCGTCCCTCGCGACACGCTCGCCGCCAGACTTGCTGCGGCCATGCCTGAAGCTGTCGATCATGACGTAGACCGGAACGACGACGATGCTGGTAATGAGGGTGAAGACCAGATAGAAGAGCGGAGCGAGGATGCGATTGATCAGTCTGTTGAGGAAATTGGTCGGCGGCAGTGGCTCGAACTTGGGCAACGATGGCTTGTTGTCGCGGTCTGACGAGGCCGACATACCTAGGTATTTTGGCTTGTGATCTGTGGATGGTCTTTGAGTGACTATTGGGAGAGTGGCAGAAATATTGAAGGGAGTGAGGTTCTCCGACTGAATTGTTTTGAGAATACTTCCATTGCTCTATACCTAGGCACTTACGGAACAGCTAAGGGACCCGTGTAACACGTGGAAAGCAGAAACTGCGCCTGACGTCTTCGTGATGAAATCGTTAAACTTAGATACCAAAGTCCAGTTAAGATGAGGGTGCCAAGTGTCTATCACTCACGCCTAAACTTTGAACTTTGACCTTTCAACAGCCCTGAATTGTCCCGCGTCCCTTACACCTCTTTGCACCTGACAAGCTTGCAGACACATTCCAAGTTGTTTGGCTCGGCCTTGTTTGTGAGCAGGCTCAAGTCTTCTGGAGCAGTTGACGGCCTTCTTACTCAGAGTGTGCTTCAACTGTGGTAATCTTTTCAAAACACATGCCCGGTAATGCCTGAACTGCGATCTCATTAACAGTGCTGCTCCAGTGCGAAAACAATGTTGATTCCGCCTTCATCTTCAATTTGCTAAACTCTGTTTGCCACAACTGTCTCCGTTGCATCTTGCTGATCAGGCAGACCAGGTGCTGTGACCCGTTGACTCGCTCCCAGCGGACCGTTGTGCGCTGTCAGGTTCGCAGCCTCCCAGCCTTCATCGCCTACGTATCCTGCACGACCCACGCCCAGCCAGAATGCTCGATTCCGACTCCTTGCTCCCCAAGCCCACCCGCTTCCTCCCTGAATTGGTAAATGATACCATCGAAACCCCAAACAGGCGGTGAAAATGCCGAGGACTGAGCCCGAAATAATGTCAAACCCGGCGTGACGATTGTCGAAATACCGCGACACTGAGATGAACATGGCGACGGCAATGGGAATGAATGCAATAATCAGCAGATATATAGGGGGAGCTGCTGCTTGGTTCCGAGGAGGGTAGACCCGCTGGTGAGAAGAGGAGGTGTTTATTGATTCCTTTCCCAGCTGATCCTCCTCTTCATCGACCGCGGACATGCGTCGCCCAACTTCCGAGCTTGGGGACAAGAAAGGAATCTGAACAGCGAATTTGGAGCAGATGAACAGAGTGAGATAGAGCAAGCCCGACCAGCTGAAACTCGAATGTCCTGACGGCCAACTCGCGAATGCATCGCGCAATCTGCTCTGGTCGGTGGTGCGACAGATATGCCAATCGACCACAATCGGCGTGGCTGACTGAAGAGATGTTCCCAGTCCCCCTACTTGATGTCTGCGGATGGCTTCAGGACTCAAGTCCGGGTCGCATACGGCGAGCAGACACGGCCGGGGCTTTCCAGCGAGGTCTTTCAGTCCTTCGGTGATGACGAATGCACCTGCCACGGCAACACCAAGGCCCATCCATGCTGCGTTCCATTCCCAGAGTTTCCTGCGCCAGATTAATGCCTTGGGAGTTGACCGATGGACGGTCGGGCCGGGGACGAAAAGCAAGGAGATGGCGGCGGTGATGACGACCGGTGCAATAACGGAAACGACGATCAGGACTGGAACCGTGACAGTGTCATCGTGGTAGGGATAGGAAATATTTGGATCTTGAAGCGAGAAGGCATGTTTGTTCCCGTGGATTTGCGAAAAGGCGGCGCCGACTGCCACTGTTGCCCTAAAGACATGGTTAATTTTTTGTGCCGCAATTATGCGTAATCAGCCATGGAGTCTTTTTTTACCATATCAGAATCCAGTCGAGTACATAAGAAGCAACAAGCCGCTTGGAGACACGCCCTATGCCTGAGGAGAAGCCGTTGAGCGTCTTCGCGGCGCCCGCGGCCATTTCTGGTAATTGAGCACGCGACCCAGCCTATCAATTGGGAGCAATCAATCAAACATTTATTTTTTGGCAGTCACGGGTGAAGAGAGATAGATATGTAAAGTATCAAGTTATTGTAAGAAGTTGAACGGAGAAGACGACAAGGACATTTCTTATTGTAATAGTAGGACCCATTGACGCCAACAAAGCCCGCTCGAATTTTTCCAGCTCGCATGGTCGTCGTATGGGCGGAGCGCGTGAGCAGATGCCATAATGAGACAAGTTGGGAGGAAGGGACTCGGAAGGGGCTTGGGGGGGTTTACGCTTCAGCTCTTGCCAGGCGTCATCAAACAAAGGGCCACGGATTGAGCACCAAGGAAAGCCGCCTAGAGCCACTGTCACCTAGGGTGCCAGTGTGAAAGGGCCACTTTCCTCCCGGACTATTACATACTTGGTATTGCGCGTGGCTGCCTGACGAATGCCAAATGACACCGTTCACCCAGATTGATTCCCACTCATAGCTCTTCTAAGTTAGAAATGTACGCGAAACGGCGAGGCTATGTGCATCGTTCGACTCGGCACAGCTAGAGTCGCTTTGAAGTGACAGACGCCACGCTTCTGATTTGTCGCCCTTGTGCGCAGGAAGCACTCGAGTGGCAAACATGATCATGCAGCACACGCAACCCAAAAAGCCACCAATGCCCTCCCTTCTCAGCCCTTTCCGGACCTTTCAAGCCAACGAAGCAATAGTAATCCCAAATCTTACACAAAGACTCTAGTCTCTCGGCCGCATATTCCCAGCTCCTTTTCCTGGGTTGTCATGGATCGAACTTCTCACTTGTTCTTCCCGTCGAGATCGGCGTAGAAGTTCCACCCAAACGACTCCGAAGGGTCGTTGAACCTCAACTTCTTGTCCAGTCCGTCGATCCGTTCGACGTCCTCGGCCTCGAGCTTGAAGTCGCCCTCGAAGTTGGCCTTGATGCGCGCGGGCGTCTTGGACTTGGGGATCACGGAATGGCCCTTGGCTATCCCCCACGCCAGAGCCACTTGGGCGCCGTTCTTGCCGTACTTCCTCCCGATCTCCTTGAGCGCCGGGTCGTCGATCAGTTTGCCCATGTTCTTGCCCTTGTCGTAGATCTCGTTCTGGTTCCCAAAGGGCGAGTACTGCGTGATGTGGATGCCCTTTGACTTGTGCCATGCCGAGAAGTCCGCCTGCACCAGGTACGGATGCAGTTCCATCTGATGGGCGGCGGGGACGATCGAAGTCTCTCTCAGCAGCCTCTCCATCTCCGCGTGGGAGAAGTTGCTCACGCCGATGGCGCGACATTTCCCCGAAGCGACCAGTTTCTCCATTGCCCGGTACGTTTCGACGTAATCAGTATCACCGGGAACAATCTTGTCGTCCTTCATCGGCCTCATTTTGTCGCCTCGTGCCCACGGACAGGGCCAGTGCATGAGGTAGAGGTCGACATAGTCGGTCTGAAGGTCCTTCAGAGAGGCGTCGCACGCCTTTTCCACATCGTCCGGGTGGTGTGAGTTGTTCCACAGCTTTGTGGTGAGAAAGATGTCGCTGCGAGGAATGCCGGACTTTTTGATGCCCTTGGCGACACCAGGCTCGGTGCCATATCTGCAAGGGGGGTCAGCGTCCAGACCTACTGGTAGGTAGGTGAAATGACAGTCATGGGGTTTCTCTCTTACATCCGAGCTGTATCGATATGCCGATAGCCCACCTTCAATGCCTCGGCCACTGCGTCTTCCTGTGCTTCTTTGTCCTATGCAGGTTAGACGCTTTATTATGACTCGCAGTTGGTCCGCGGTGCCTTTGATTATGTAGGCTAGAGCATTCTGCTGGAACGAGAGTTCAGCGTACCTGCCACGTTCCGAACCCTATAGCTGGGATCTCGGCGCCTGTGTTCAGCGGAAACTGGGTTTTCGTGTACCCTACTATCGTTCTCGTCTGGCTGCTGATTTGCCGTGATACTTGACCAAGCCTCGATAGGGAGCGTCTGCTGCATTGGGAAAGCATGGCTCAAGAGCGTTTTGTTGTCGTGGAGGCCTCTTAACGGAATGCCGAGGGTCGGTGTTCAATCTGATGCTCTTCTAATAGGGGATACAGGCCTCGATCTGAAACACTTGTACTAAACACAGGCCTTGGGAGGAGCTGGGCAGTGTATCGAGTGCTCTGTTCGAATTACTCGTTATGCACAAACTAGAGATCAACTGTGGTGTGATGGACTCGATTGAAAGACTGGGTTGGTACTGATGTCACTACCTAGGAAGCTTCTCTGCCGTGCACCACGGATATCAAACCCCGATTCTGTCAACTTGGCCCCCATTTTATGTAAACCAAGTCACAACTTCGATCTTTGATTCCTTTCCTCCTCATCCAGACCTACATCGTCCGAAGTAGGTATGGAGACAAGCGTGTCAAATTCAAAGATCCCATCATTGCTGCTCTACTATCTCCACGCCGAATTCTCGCTCGTGGTCCTGCCACGGTGCACAACGTGCCTCAAAAATGCAGCAGCTTCTGTCTGATCTCCCGCCAGAAATCAACTGAATGCGATTTTGAAGACAAAGCCTTTGTCTTCTCATCCGACCATCCTGCTAATGGTAAGACGCCCATGCGCATTCTTTGTCGCTCGATCCAATCACAGACCTATTGAACATGGCCCATGCTAGGCGAGGCTCTGCGACAATGCCGGATCGGGGCTTCATTCTTTGTACGTTGGCACGCGAACGCTTGCAGCCAGCACCGATCAAGTCACAAGCTCTCACAGGGTAATAAAGGCATGGAGCTGGTCCTGCACCTGCGTCGCCTCAAAGCCTTGACTTCTTCTCGTGGTTGACCATCGACATTTGTCCTTCCGGTTACTACTCAAGCAGATGGTTGACCCAGGCGCCGAAGAGGCACCCATTCATCCGGTCTCACGGTTTTCGACTTCGACCTCCTTCGGAATGTCCAACGCTTCCCAAATCCACCCGCCCGTCGTGCCAATGCCGCGCTGGTCAAACGCAATTGGCTGCGCGAGGGCCGTGACCGCGATTTTGGTCCTGGCCTTTACTGCCGCAAGCACTGGTATTTGGGGCGGGTTCCCTGTTTTTGGTATTGCCTTGTTCACGGTAAGCCAAGTCTGCCCATCACTTCATGCTGCCGAGGGTGCTAGCTGACTTGGCCAAAGGCATCAGCAACGTTGATCGTCTTTGCGTACTATTTCGTTGCCCTTTCTCGCCAGCCAGCGCTCTACAACCGCTGGGCCATACTCACCCTCGAGATCTGTGGCACGATCCTGTGGTTGGTCAGCTTTACACTGTTGGCGAGGTGGACAAGCTTCCACCATCGTTTCTGGTTCGGCAGCGGACAGAGTTATGGGTTCTGGCACGCTCCCTTCAAGCCTTCAGACATGGGACTTAGTGCAAGGACCATTGTCAAGAGAGAATCCAGCAGCAGACGCGCAGGCGTGGCCCTCGCAGGCACTGCTGCTGGGCTGGGCGGTCTTGAATTGTAAGCTATACCACCCTGAACTGCAAGAACCCAGGAGACGGGCTAACGTGTCATTGCCAGCATTCTCTTTTGCGTTACCCTGGTTGTTTTCGGGATGGCTCTCCACCGACAGAGAGTGGCGGAGGCCGGTCAAGCTGGAAACACAACTGCGCCGGCTACAGCCCCAGTTACTGCAATGACACCTGCAACAGAGGAGGAAAAGGTGGGAGACTCAGAGGAGACACTCGACAAGCCAGAGCCGGTTGTTGTTTGAGTACAGAAACATACGTCCGGTGTGATGAGGCTGGGGATTCCGTTGGAAGTTGTTTAGCAGAGAAACTCCACTAGAAGATTTATGCGGAAGACAGTGATGTATATTCCTTGATAACAAAACACATTTTCAATCCCAATGTTCTGCCTGCCTTGTATCTCCGAATCTCGCTATGGACATGACGGACATGGCGGAGACGGTCGGACGATAGCCTCTCGGCACAAGATTCGATTACATCTTCGGCGGATTTCCATTTGGCAACGTTCCCTCAACCTTCTCTCACCATATGGGCCCTGCGTGGGCATCATAAGCGGCATGCCTCAACCGTGATTCGACGGCATTTGATATTTTCACAGCGATGAGAGCATCCTCCCTCCCCGGGTCCAGATCACAATGCTGAATTGTGTCAACTCGTCTGTGGCCGGAAGAATGTTCATTTTCGCGACGTTTGCTTACCTATTCGTAACCACTCGAGTCGTTTCTGCTTCTCTCTCATTCATTAGGTTCTATTGATATGTGCGTTATAGATTAAGTTGTGGTTTGAAATGGGGGTTGACAGCACTCTCTTTATATATCCCTGATAATCTGCTGACTGTGCTCTCTTCTTCACGCCGGCCCTTCGTTTCCTCGGAGGTGTACATCGGTTTGCTTCTCAACACCCAGTGAGTGGCAGAACGTGCCCACTTCTTGAGGTTGTCTGCCCAGATCGCCTACATCACCGCCTGGGGACGAACTCTGTCACCCTCTAGGTGCCCAACACGGAAGTAATGAGCCCTCAAAAGTGTTCCAAAAAAGACAAACAACAGTCTTCCCCCTCGAATCTGAAACCATGGACCTTTCAGTAGGTGAAGAGGTTCGCACCGAACCTGATGTTGACGAGTCGATCGATGCAAGAATTGAGAGACTGGGACGGGAGCGGCCCCCAGCATTCGGGTCAATGTGGTCTGAAGTGGCATTCGTGTTCAGCATAATAATGTCCCAGATCATAACCGAGTATTTTGTTTCGGGATTCAATGTCATACTACCGACGCTCATCAAAGAACTCGGGATTCCTCAATCATCCAGCGTCTGGCCAGCTACGGCATTTTCCCTGGTGATTGCGAGCATGCTCCTGGTTTTTGGCAGACTAGGTGACATGTTCGGGGGCTTCCCTGTCTACGTCGCCGGATTGACTTGGTTGTTGATATGGAGCATTGTGTGTGGCTTCAGCACGTCTCCTCTCATGATGGACTTCTGCCGAGCGCTGCAAGGACTTGGAGCGGCCGCATACCTGCCAACAGGAGTTATGCTGATGGGAAGCGCTTACCGACCTGGGCCGCGCAAGAACCTGGTCTTTGCATTATACGGCACCTTTGCTGTCGTCGGGTTTTTTGTGGGGATACTCTGTGGCGGCATCGTCGGCCAATTTCTCAACTGGGGCTGGTTCTTCTGGATCGGGGCCATTCTTACCGCCATTACCGCCGCCACGTCGATTCTGTCTATACCGAACGATCGAAGAGAACGGCGGAGGAACAAAATTCCCATGGATTGGCTTGGTACCGTGACGATGGTGCCCGGGTTGGTCCTTGTCGTCTTCGCAATTACCGAATCAGCACATGCTCAACGGCGGTGGCAGGAACCTTTGATCCCGACCTTGTTTGCCTTGGATGCATATTGCTTTTGATCGCAATATACGTGGAAGGTTGGGTAGCCAAATTCCCTTTACTACCCGGTGATATCTTCACTGTCCCATGCATGGTGCAACTCGTTCTTGCGATGCTACTTCTCTACGGCAACATCGGCATTCTTTTGCTTTACGGCACCCTGTATTTTCAGAATATCATGAGCGCCACGCCTATTCAGGTCGTTGCATGGTGGACGCCGATGGTGGTCGGGGGAGTCATCTTGAGCACCATGGAAGGGTTCATCCTCCATCTGGTGTCGGGCCGCCTGCTCTTGATTCTCTCATGCCTCGGGGCGATTGGGTCCCAGCTCCTTCTTGCTCGAATTCCAGAGGGTGGAAACTATTGGGCTTGGATCTTTCCAGCATGCGTCCTGGGTACTGTCGGCATTGACCTCTCGTACAATCTCATGGCCGTCTTCATCACCACGCAGATGCCCAAGGCGCGACAGGGGCTGGCAGGTGGGCTGATCAACTCGGTCCTGCAGCTGGGCTTCGCTCTGCTTCTGGGCTTCTCCGACATTATCCAGTCGTATACGGTGGACGAGTCCGGACTCAGACAGAGCTACAAGAACACGTTCTGGTTTGGTGTGGGCTGTGGTACTGCTGCCTTGGCGCTGGTCACGGTTTGGGGAAAGGTCCCCAAGGCGAAGAGTGACCTTACTGCAGATGAGAAGCTGGAGCTACAGCGGGAAGCCACAAGGCTCTCTGAGGCGTGGCGCAGCAGTCCTGGTGGGATCTGATCGACAAGATGCTGTTGTGGCCGCATTGCCGATGGTATGGACGAAGATAGGTACCTCGTAGTGGTATGCTATCCCTTGTATGCTATCCCTTGTATGCTATCCCTTGTAT